GTACATGGACTGTACACCGTACAGTTAGTACTGTACCGTATTGTACTGTACTGTACTGTACGATGTGAGCCAGTGCTATTAGGCAATATAAATTGTAGTAAAGCTGCAAAATTTGCCTCAAATTTTATATTAGCTTACAGTACTCTTACTCTAATTCCAACTGGTTCACACTGATGTGAGCCAGTTCTATTTAGAGTGCTATTAGGCAAAATAAATTGTAGTAAAGCTGCAAAAGTTTGCCTCAAATTCTATACATACAGATAGTGTACTTTAGTACACACTGTCATACTAAAGTCAACGGCTGTTTGTTGCCCAAAATGAGGAGCTGATTGCTGGACTGTACAGTTAGTACTGTACCGTATTGTACTGTACTGTACGATGTGAGCCAGTGCTATTAGGCAAAATAAATCGTAGTAAAGCTGCAAAATTTGCCTCAAATTTTATATTAGCTTACAGTACTCTTACTCTAATTCCAACTGGTTCACACTGATGTGAGCCAGTTCTATTTAGAGTGCTATTAGGCAAAATAAATTGTAGTAAAGCTGCAAAATTTGCTTCAAATTTTATATTAGCTTACAGTACTCTTACTCTAATTCCAACTGGTTCACACTGATGTGAGCCAGTTCTATTTAGAGTGCTATTAGGCAAAATAAATTGTAGTAAAGCTGCAAAATTTGCTTCAAATTTTATATTAGATTACAGTACTCTTACTCTAATTCCAACTGGTTCACACTGATGTGAGCCAGTTCTATTTAGAGTGCTATTAGGCAAAATAAATTGTAGTAAAGCTGCAAAATTTGCTTCAAATTTTATATTAGATTACAGTACTCTTACTCTAATTCCAACTGGTTCACACTGATGTGAGCCAGTTCTATTTAGAGTGCTATTAGGCAAAATAAATTGTAGTAAAGCTGCAAAATTTGCCTCAAATTCTATACATACAGATAGTGTACTTTAGTACACACTGTCATACTAAAGTCAACGGCTGTTTGTTGCCCAAAATGAGGAGCTGATTGCTGTACAGTACATAGACTGTACACTGTGTACAGTTAGTACTGTACCGTATTGTACTGTATTGTACTGTATAGCGTACTATAGTACACACTGTACTGCATCGATCGGACTGGAGTCGTAATGGATTTTTTCGGGTACACCGTACACTGTACAGTACAGTATACCGGTAGTCCATGACGTACTACTGTAGACGGTTCAAATTTCCTTACGAATATTCTCGAACATTATCTGCCATTAATTTATTTTGCCTTAGACTTCGTGATTAACGATTAATAATTTCAATCGGTATGCCAGATATTAAAGGTGTAAGGAAATCCGTAATAAGACCTGGCAATGGTATTCCATTGGAGTTATTCACCGGTAGTAAGGTACAAAACCAATTAGATATTGATACCGAATTTGGAAAGCAATAGAGAAAGAAAGAATTAGATAGGATAGCTTTACACTTTATATTATTATTTTACGGTTATATTAAGACGAGCAATCATCTACAACTCGGTATGTGTACTCGTATGACATGTGTCGTTGGAATTATGCATAACCAACTAGTATAGGTAACATGTCTAATGACTATCATTATGCATAGTAACTGTCTATTCATAGTTCCGATGACATATGCAGATATGCACGTATTGTAAAATAAGTACACATATACTCGTATAATGATCGCATATCGAAGTATGATAAGTCTTAGCAGTAAAATATTCGTACAACGAACGTATCTTTATACTGTATCTTCCTTTTAACATCAATTTTACTATTAACGGTATTTTACAACCACACTAACTACGGACGAAGTTAAAATATCAGACTAAGAATTGCTCGATAATTGATATACTGTGTCAGTAACATGCTATTACTCGAGTACATTCACTACCTAATGTAGTGTATACTGTACTAGTTTTCGCTGGTGTATAAACTACACAACTACCTTACCGATTCATTTCTATCAAATGCACTACCATTAGTAAGAGATTGCTACATACAGTATAATAATACAGCATGTTAATATCATGCCCGAAGATAGTTATTCTCTGTACTTTAAAATGCAAGATTGCCATAATATCGAAATGACAAAAGAATATTATTTTGCTTTCATCTATCAGAGTAGAGATACTAACATTATATCACATTGAGACTTTTTAAGTTTATACGATTCCCTACTGACCCCACATAGGTGACAACCAGCAGTTGCAATACTTTATATTAAATTTCTCAGATGAAATTAGCAATTATTGTAGGTCTATTACAACTGTTGAGATGAACACTATATTATGCTCAATAAATGCATTTACGAAATACAAGTTTGCCCTGATACATATGACTACGTATTTTATAATTGTAGGTGACTTTCCATTTTAAGACAATCACCTTAGATGAAAGCAGAACTGTTATCGATGATAGTCGACAGATGGGAGAACCATTTGAATTGTTGTACGGCCGGCAATTTAAATTGGATATATGGGAACAAGTGATTCCAGAAATGACTGTTAATGAACTGTCATCATTTGCTTGCGATAAAGAGGTGAAACCAAGAAGCATTCCGATGTTCACTTATTTCACAAACAGTAGTCGTCAATGTATGACGTGTTCATGGTTTACTTTTGTAATAGTATAAAAGTAATTTTATAGTCTCTTAACTGATCCTCTAATTAAATTGCACGTAATTATTTGGAAATCCTTGATACCACGTCATAATGCTGCTATGAAGTCATGTCGTTACTTTTCTATCGATATCACATAAATTTCACGTACGTTCGAGTGCTAGGATTATGAAGGACTACGTTTATGTAGTCTTATTGTCATGAAAAACAGCAATTAATATGATTTTAATTTTACTAGCTGGTACTCAGCTATCCTCTTGTATCAAAAAGTATACGAGATCACATAAAGAAAAAGAAGGATCCAGGAGCTGAAATAGTTGATGGTAGCAGATGTTGCGCTTCTTCCTCCGGCTACGGATATGCAGATCTAGATAAATTATCCACAGATAGACTTGGTTAGCATATTAAATGGGTCAATATAACATAATATCTTTAACAGCCATTAACATTGCATACTGATATGATTTAATAGGTTTAGTGTTCGAAATTGAATTGCTTAAGGTAGAAAAGCATGGAGAATACAAAAGCGAAGTCTGGCAAATGACTCCTGAGGAGAAATTAGCTGCGTTGCCTGGTTACAAGCTTGAAGGCAACAAGTATTATCAAGAAAGAAAATATTCTAAAGCGGCAGATAAATACGCTGTTGCTTTAGGTTGCATAGAACAACTATTATTGAAAGAGAAACCTGGTGAACCTGAGTTCAAAGCATTAGAATTAAAAAAATTGCCGTTCCTTTTGAATTACTCTCAATGTAAATTGTGCTTGGGTGAATATTATGAAGCAGCCGAGCATTTATCGACGGTGATGGAGATTGATCCCAATAATGTTAAGGCATATTACAGACGAGGCAAGGCTAATAGAAAGCTATGGAAGATGGAAGAATCTCGAAGCGATTTCAGTAAAGCAACCGAATTAGATCCAACTCTACAAGGAGCTGTAAATAAAGAATTACAACTAATAGATGAAATACAAAAAGACCACTATCAAGAGATGAAAGCAAAGTATCAAGGAAAAGGTATGTTTGCTTAAGTTACGTTTATCTTGGATTATTATATTATAAATTTGCTGAACTAGCCAAAAATTGAAATCGTTGCAACCAATGTGTAAATAGGACAATTTATCATAGGTACTGTTTTTGGATGTGACTGTTTAATGTTGAATAGTAGACTTTAATTTTCATCCCCTCTTCAGTAAACGTTGCTAGTGATCTTAATGATTGATTAAATTTATTTAAGTTTCCATTATTCAGTTGCCAAGGGGGTTAGTATTTTCCAATAGCGATTGTTACGTGTTATCTTATTTTATAACAGTTTCCAATATACTGATATGTTTGTGACTTTCATCGTATCATATGTATAACCTTTATATTATTAAATGCTAGTGCATATGTGTAGTGTTCTTAATTATTCCATTTCTCATACTATGCGTACAAATTCAAAAAATATCCGATACGAATTTTATTGATAATTATAATTGTATTAGTTGTAATTCTTACAGCGGCTAAAAATAAAATGTACATTAACGTCATCTTATTCAACCGTAAGATTTTCGATCAAACTGGAAAGTTCAATTGGAGTAAATATCTGTGAACCACAGCAGTCTGATAGCAGTCCATAAATATACAATTTTAAATATTGACGACCTAAAAATTTATATAATGAAGACGTCTGCTCTTACGATATAGTAAACAGTAGGCGTGATAGCCATAATTTTTAATAGCTTTAATGATGTTAACGCTTTAAATATCAGTATTACTTATAAAATTGTAGTAGCTACGTACTCCAATCTATCCTGAGCGGTATTTACTTTCAAAAACTATTTGCACTGTGAGCGGTGTGAGCTAATTGCTAATGCAATATTGTGAACGATCACATACATGCTAATTCAGTATAGTACCGCAATACGTCTGATCAGACAAGTTTTATTTACTGACAGCAATTCTTACATTTTAGAGACTTGACTTTGAGTTCGGAATACCTTAGAGTAGATTCTTGCTAGCAGTTAATTATTGCTCTACTATTCTTAAACTTTGTAATAAAAGCCTTTTCTTAAATTCTCTCTTGACTAAGACAAATATTGTGAGATACTTTTATTATACGACCGTGTAAAGGAAAATGAAATATTCTCCATACTGTCTTAACAGAACCAACATATCCTGTGTTAGTAAAAGTTTTCGCTCCATCTATAACATCTTCATGTAATTTATCGATTTCAGCTTGAGCCTGTTTGGTCTTATCATTTACTATGCAAATACTGCGTGGGATATAGTATCATAGGTGTTTTTATTTATCGAGAATAAAGTCCCTATTAACATTTCCTTTAATCGTATGATCAGATCTGATTGATTGAAATTTCTAATTCTAAAAATAACGCATTGAAGATTACCAAGAATTATGAAATCATCCTGTTTTGTATCTTTATGTCTACAGTAAACGAGTATATGAGTACAGTATATATCTATGTATAGGTAATTAATACTTTACAGGTACTAATTTCGAAAATCTATCAATCACTAGTAATATAGCGTATTATTGCAACAGATGGTCATAATTTAGTTATTTAATTCTTAAAATATTTTGGATAATAGGTATAATATTTACTTTTTCTCTTAAATCACTGTGCAACAGGATTCTAAAACTGACGGTAAATAAGTAACAGCAGGAATCTGCGGTACAAACTAAGTTATTTCGTAATAATTGAGGTCATGTTGCACTACAGCGATATACGCATGCCATTCAATCTGACTATAGTAATATACAGTGAGTTATTAGTCATGAAAGGAAAATTAAACGTAATATTATACTAAATATTAGTAGTGATGTTATTTTAATATTATTAATGTAGAGTTTTCACTTTTGGTAAGAGTTGTTTGAGGTTTAAAATAGTCTTAAATGAGGTCATGCAGTTACTCTTTAGGGCAAGTGTACCTGATACCACCCAATATTATAGGTACTCGTATAAATGTACAGTATAGCAAGCCTAATGATCAATGTCTACTTTATGCATTAATCATTCGACGAAATTCGTAATTGAAAACTATTGATCGTTGATCGAATAACTTTTTACTAGGTACTGTATTGTAATTCGTATACGAATATACCAGTAACGTAAGCCATGGTTACTGAAGCAATAGCATAAGGTGGTGCCTGTCCGTCGTAAAGCTTCGTCTAAATATTCTAATATAACTCATACTATAATATTGTATACCATACAGTGTTAACGCGTATTTTCTTATTATAATAATAATTTTTGGTTACTAACCAACTACTACACACCCAGTTGAGCGCCATTACTATAAACTCTAGCTGTACTGCTCCTGATAATAACTACAACCTGTATTCCCATGTTTTATAGCGCATCACATAGAGTGCGTTTGCACATTTTGTAATATTTATGATTCACGGTATTATTGAATTTGTTTTCTTTAATTTATCCAACAAGCATTATTTAAAAATTTACTAACGTCTACGCTACAATTACACTCAATTTCCATTTTCCATATACGCGTATTGTGTAATGTATACGAATATTTATTATTTCAATTTATCAGTTAAAGTAACTACAGACCACAGTACAGATTATAGATAGAATTATGAATGTACAATTGGTGATATATCTGCAATCCAGATTTAACTACGCCAGAGCATCTAATCGGCTAATGTGTAGATTAAATATAATGTACTATTCTTGTCATTTTTACTGAAGTAACACATGGAATGAATATTGTAATAACTCTTTAGTACTGTACATTTGGCAAACAGTAAATTAGTAAGCATATAGTATTTTATAGTTAAATTGTTAATATTCAACTTTTGTAGTATTAGTTGCCATATTCCTGACGAATTCCGTTTCTATATTGAAATTATCACCAGGTATTTCTAATATCACGGGTCGATATTAGCGAATTATATTTACAGATCCATCGTAATTTAACTTTTGTAACCCAATGGACTCATGACTGTTAGGAGCTATAAAGGTTGTATAGTCATAATCATTTTGAGCTAAATCTTGCATAACGGCTTCCAATTCCATCGAAAACTTATTCAGGTAACCATCGCTAGTAATATGTTCCCTCGGTACGTCATTTTTACTGTTAAAACTCTGTTGGTCTTCAGTGTGAAATAGTGATGTGAAATCGTCTGCGAAAGTATCGTCTTGTAGATATTCATTATTATCCAATCCAAACTATAAATAGAATAAAACCTCGAATAAGTGAGTATGAACTATTACAATCGTTGCAGATGTTGGTTATTGGTAAAAATTTGAAATACATTGCACATTTGGCAATTATATTCTATAGAATTGTTTTAGCCTATCGTTAAAATGTAAGTGCAAATCATATCAGTTGCATATGCGAGCTTGTTTGTTTATGAATGTATAACACTGCCAGAATTTTTACTTTATGAAATATTACAATAGTTTCTCGTTCAGGATACAGCAAGACGATTGAGTGTGATAGAAATCTTCTACATACGTAATATCGAGGACGATAAACTAATAACTATAATATAGTTCTGATAAGTGTGTTATCGTCAATTAGTATAAATATAATTAAAAAATTTGTAAAGTATTCTAGTTTACTTTTATACAGTTAATCACAGATTGCCATAAGAAGATATGCAAATTACAACGTACCTCAAATTCATTATAACTGACACAAGATACAGGTACAGAAGTAATGCCCTTTTCTGCTGCGGAGAAACGTAGAGCACTGCTGGCTCAGCAGGCATTTCAACAGGACCTGATAAATCTTTCGTGTCAATAAGGTCACATTGTTCTATATATTCTTGCATAGTTGCGAGGACTATTTCAGACTCGCTCTTTAAAGATGAGTTTTCTTGCGACAGTTGTTCAATTTTAATTTTAAGCATATCATTTTCATTTCTTAGTTTTTGATTCTAGAAATAGTTAATTGTAATTTAGTAAACTGCCAAGTGGGTCCTGTCAATAATTCGTTATAGTAACTGTATTTCGTATAGCACACATACGCGTAACTAATCTAAGCAATTATGATGCAGTATGTAATGTACATCTCCATGCAGATCTCATATCAGGTGTACTATAAGAAAGTAATTGTTTAACTTTTCAATATGATATATGCACATTAGATTTTAATGTTAAGACTTATGCTACGGTATTAACCTCTAAACATGGATAGTATCTTAATGATGACTATCATCTTGTAATGTATGTACAGTACTATACATTACCTCATTTCGTAAAACATCTACATTCGATTCCAAATAATTCATTAGCTCCTTCTTTTTATCTCTAGCTGCCTGAGCTGCTATACGATTTTTAATTTTTCTGCAAACAAAAAAGATTCAATAAAATATGAAATCGTTTCCCATACAACAATGAGATTTTAGTTAAAAGTTATATACCACAGCACAACAAGAGCAGCTCCTGGCTGCTGTTTGATTTTTTTCTACAACGGCAATGTTTAACTTTTAGTTCAATAACTTAATTAGCGTATTATATAGTGCAGAGTAATTAGGTTTTAACAGCTTTAATTGTATAGTAGATACAATATTTTAATTTGATGAACGCCAATGAAGACTATACTGTACAGTAGAAATGATAATTATTATAATACATGACCTGTAACTGTACTGGTTACTAAATGCGCCTAAAATGATACAGAAATCTAGCGGTCTAATATCTTACTATACTGTACAGTACAGTACTGCATGATCGTTACATCACTAAGATGCACTATAACTACAGCGTCCAATACTACAATACATTGCCTGAATATATACTTCAAGATAGAAAATTCAATTTTACCGATTAAATCTTCTTTCTTCGGGTGTCAGGTTTGGATTGCGCTTTCTTTTCCTACGTACTGGTGAAGGTATATCTTCAGAGTTGCATGACGAATTACATGTGTTACTATCTGAAAATCCTGAATCTTCCATATTGATTCTTCTTAAAAGCAGCTTTCCATTAACTAACAAAGTTCATAAGGAGTGCTGTCGGTAATGAGTTTAACTGATTGTGTATAAAACCGAAATACTGGCTATTAAGTTGTTAAGCTCTACAAAGTACTTAGACAGTCTTTGAGAAATTTCGGTGTTGCAGCTTCTATTTAAGTGTTTTTATCCAGCCCCAAAAAGGTTCTATTGCGTCATGCAAGTTACAAGTTATATAAAATGTACGCAGAAGTAAATAGTAAAGAGAATGGCATCATTGGCATATCGTATGTTTACTTCCATACACAGTATTGTACTGAATTCTATTTTTATTTTTTGCATCGTGTTTGAATTTGATTGGTTGATTGATTTCATTTACAGGGTAATGTACTGTACAGTACAGTACACCAGTAACAGTGCATTCTTAATGTTGTACTGTACACTGTACAGTAGCAACGATTTGTCTACCCTCTATGAGAAAATGGCTATGCTGCGTCATACGTATGTGCGCATCCTCTGAATTTTATACGAATTCTAGTATAAAAATAAAACATTACATAATCTAGTCCTACTCTACAATCTACAGTACTGTACATGCGCGTAGGTAGGATGCAATAATGGGCGTGTCTGTTGTGTAGCAAGAGGAGCTGCCTTATAGCAGACATTGCTACTGTACTGTACTGAACAGTACTATACGGTATATCAACCAGTAAAAGCCCTCAAATATTTCTTTCTTTGCTCTATACATTTTGCGAGAACACTTTACAAGTTGGTGACTGCAGGAAAAATCTTTAATTTAGGTAATAAATCAACCCTGTGAGTTAGCTTGTAATACCATAAGTAAGATAAGCCTAATCTCATCGTTTCCGTTTTTTAAATAATAGTATAATACTTCACCTAAATTACGATAAAAACCGTAGTATCGAATACGCATCCAGAATCTTTGATTGCGGAAGTGCAGCTTTCTTTCTTTCGATATCACTTTAATGTCAGGCCGTACGAAAGCTTATGAATTTGAAGTCGATCGATAGAAGTTTGACATCATCCGCCTAATTTTAATACTCTACAGTTCTTTACATTGCGTAGTCATTATTACTATAACAGTCTAGTATCTGTTATGTATTATTCGTGTTATATTGCGACACTAGGTCAATCACGCTAGACAAGGTTAGACACGTCAAAGTGGCCTTAATAAACGCAAAATCGTCTTTTTATTCTGGATTACATTGCCGTTCGTGATATAGATATACAGAATCATCCATGTAGCAAGTTGCATACATAATAGTAACTAGTTAGACTATTTCGCTATGGACTAGTTAGGCCCATCAGATCAAAATTAGCTAAAAAATGAGACGCCATGATCCGCGTCCGAAAAAGATACAGTGCTGTACCACTGTACAGTACAGAACAGAATACAGTATTACTGTTACTATACAGTAGAACAAAACCACCGTTGCTAAGTTATAGTCTCAGCGGCAGGGACATTGTAATGCATTGATACGACAGGAATCTGTTAATATACAGCGTAATGAAGTAGGTGATATACTGTACTAGTAGTCGGCGTTGTTTTAATTGCATTATTTCAAGAAATGATTGATTTGTACGTATCTACAGGATATGACGTACTGTAGTTAGGCTGTTACACTACGTCTGAATTTAAGCAATTTGTTCTTTGTTGCCAGCTACGGTATAAGCTCCTATATACTGTATACGCACGCACCGTAAGTTGCATTGCAGCATTTAGGTACGGTAATTAATAGGTAATTGTGGACGACGTAGAACACGCTTAAAAGTAAAATGAGTACTGATTAAGGAGTTATTTGTAAATCTTTTGCTAACAGCGGTGTATTTATGAGTATTCATGAGTAAATTGATTATATTTATCAGTAATAAATTGGCACTATAATTGAAGATGCATCTATATGATTCTGGGTTGTAGCAAAATGAGTTCGAAAGGATCTTCACGCTCCTCTGAGGAAATGAACATCTTTCGTATTGCACCGTATTACTATATTCACGTCATGGATCTGAATACCAACGTGACGCGAGTAGTAAACGGACCAAAGACTTACATACGACAGGATAATGAGAAAGTAATTTTTGGACCGGAAAAGATGGTCACAGTACCTCCACGTCATTACTGCATTGTCGAGAGCCCTGTCGTACGTAATAAAGATGGCAATGTGGTTTTTGATACCTACGGGCAAGCTAAGCTACGACACGCAGATCTTGAAATTCGCTTTTCTCAAGAACCATTTCCGCTTTACCCTGGAGAAGTTTATAAACAAGCTCCCAAACCGCTTATGGTTGTCGCTGCGAACTCTGCTATTAGACTTAAAGCTATTTTAGATTTTGAAGAAGAGGGAACAAAAGTGAACCGTGTAGCCGGGGACGAATGGCTATTTGAAGGGCCAGGTATTTTTTTGGATGCATTGTCATGAAAATATTGATTTTTACATGACTGCACTGTTAATGAGAATGGACTTCTATTGACACTCAGGGACTTATATGCCAAGAAAGGAAGTAGAAGTAATCGAACCCGTTCGTGCTACTATAATTCAGCCGAATCAGGCAATCAAGCTGAGAGCTCGTAAACAAACTACGGTAACGTGTTTATACTTGATAGAATATCTTACATTGTAAAGAGAACTATATTTTAGCTAATTAATAAGATATACGTAATTGATTAATCGTCAGGATCGAAACGGTGTCGAGCGCGTCACCGGTGAAGAATGGACGGTTAAAAAAGTGGGTGCTTACTTACCCGGTGCATATGAAGAAGTAATGGGAACATTAGATGCCTACGTCTTGACTGAAAAGGTGCTCGATACAGTTAAACTATGACGCTTTAAAAATGCAACATTCTGGCTACTCTACTGTATAATTATAATTGAGGCCTAGATCAAGCAAACTGTAGTGGATAGAGAACAAATCTTAAATTCGTTACCACTGTTCATGATTATTATTTATACATTACTAGAAAGCACTTCACCTGCGTGCTATGCGCACTTTCCGTGATTGCTTCGACATAGAAAGAAAAAATGGTGAGGAATGGCTTGTTACCATGGTTGAATCTGAAGCTTATATACCTGATGTTTACGAAGAGGTCGTACTTACTTTGATTCATACGGAGTTGATATTTATTTTTTAAATTCTTCACCTCTATTGGCTATTTAAATAACGGAAAATTTCTTATTCATTAGGTTGTAGGAGTGGTAGATATCACTACCTTAACCAATCGACAGTATGCAGTTATCCTAGATCCCGTCGGCGCCAACGGGAAACCACAACTTGGTCAAAAAAAGCTAATCAAAGTTAGTAACTTAATTAATATTGCATGTAAGATCATAATGCAAAGCAAACGATCGGCATAGTTATTTAACTTTATATTAATACGCGTATTTGCTTTTTAGGGTGAAAAGTCGTTTTTCTTACAACCAAATGAACGCCTTGAGAGTGGAATTCAAAATGTGTATGTTCTTGGTGAAGATGAAGGATTGATACTTAAGGCTAAAGAAGAATTTCTTGATACAGAAGATAATAAGACCCCTCGTAAGCCTGGTGATAGGTGGATGATCCGTGGTCCTATGGAATATGTACCACCAGTTGAGGTTGACGTTGTATCGAAAAGGAAAGCTATTCCTCTGGATGAAAATGAAGGTATTTATGTCCGCGACGTAAAATCAGGCAAGGTAATATTAGCATAGACTACATATTTTTATATCATTCTTGTATTCGTTATATAAATATCTTTGAACGTCGCTGCGATTTGGTAGCAAATTCTCGTATTACGCTTAGAGTAATTTAGTTTAAATATCCTACACTTATTTCGCTTGCTCGAAAAATGTTAGGTTAGGTCTATATGCGGCAAAACTTATATGCTTTCTCAAGATGAGGAATTATGGTCTAAAGAATTACCACCAACTGTCGAAGAGTTGTTAATTAGCAATAAAGACCCACTTGCCGACAGAGGAAACTATGCAACCAAAACTTCTTCAGCTAAACGTGACAAAACTAAGGTTGTCACGTTCAGAGTGCCACATAATGCGGCGGTACAAATTTATGATTATAAGGAAAAAAAAGCGAGGTACCGTAATGCTTCGTATTTATATTGATATTAACTTCCGCCAATTAAAGCAATTGCATTCTTTATTACGTAATTTCTTGTTGTATATTTAGGGTAGTTCTTGGACCAGACTTGGTCATGCTCCGCCCCGACGAACAGTTTACGCAGATTAGCTTATCTGGTGGTAAACCGAAAAGACCTAACCAGATTAAATCCTTATGTCTTTTACTGGGGCCGGATTTCTGTACTGATGTGCTTACTATTGAAACAGCAGATCACGCCAGGCTGCAATTACAGTTGGCTTATAATTGGTAAATCAGTTAAATTTTCTGATTCATTATGTTACACGTTTAGAGAACGCGTTACTAAAGATTTAACAACGATTGTAGGCATTTTGAAATATCTGATAAAACTCAAACTAGTTTAGCAAAGCTTTTTGCAGTCCCGGACTTTATTGGAGATGCTTGTAAAGCGATTGCATCAAGAATTCGAGGGGCAGTTGCCAGTGTACAATTTGATGATTTCCATAAGGTAATTTTTTTGCATGGGTGAACGTAAAACGTTATCAAAATTTTTAAGAAATTAAGATTTAATGACTCGTGATACGTGATAGTAATTGTAAGCAATAACGAAATGTTATAGAATTCGGCAAAAATCATCTGTGCTGCAGTTTTTGGATACGATAGCGATCGGAAGCTTGGTAGTCGTTTTATCTTTCCTGCTAATAACTTAGCAATTACAAGCATAGATATACAGTCTGCAGAACCAGTAGATCAAAGAACCAGAGATGCCCTTCAAAAATCTGTACAGTTAGCTATTGAAATTACAACAAATTCCCAGGAGGCTGCAGCTAGGTATCCTCAGTAACGGCCAAACTTTGTAACTTATTTAGAAGAAACTGATTAAAATCTCGTCTATATCAGGCATGAAGCTCAAAGACTCGAGCAGGAAGCGAAGGGTCGTTTGGAGCGGCAGAAGATAAGCGATGAGGCGGAAGCTGAGAGATCTAGGAAAAATCTCTTAGAATTACAGGCTCAAAGGTATTGAAAATACTACTAACCATTAGTAGAATGTTACAAAATCTAACACACACTTTACTATAGCGCTGCTGTAGAGTCTAGTGGTCAAGCGAAAGCCGAGGCTCAGTCTAGAGCTGAAGCAGCTAGAATTGAGGGCGAAGCCGCAGTTGAACAAGCAAAACTCAAAGCCGAAGCCCTAAATATCGAAACGGTACTTATAGCATAATGCGATATACCACTAGTAATGTGAATATACGCGTATACTGTAAAGCGAATACTTCACCTAGAATTAGATATCAAAATGACCATAATTTTTCTGGGATTAAAACTACAGACAGCTGAACTCGAACGTTTGACTCACGCTCGCGAAGCCGAAATTAAATACGTTAGAGAGCAAAATGAATTGGAAATTTCAAAATCCAAACAAACTGCTATTATCGAAGTCGAAAAATTCGGAAATATGGTTAAAAGTATTGGCTCTGAAACTCTACGTGCAATTGCAGTTGCTGGGCCAGAAAATCAGGTACTTTACAGGATTATTAGATTTTTAATTTAATGTCTTTAATTTTCCTACCCTCTTTCATAGGTTAAGCTTCTGCAGTCTCTTGGAATACAATCGACTCTGATTACTGATGGTTCTAACCCAATTAACCTTTTTAACACTGCATCTGGATTAATCGGTGCAGTTGAACCGCCACTAAAGCGAGAAAAGCTACAGTAGCACTAAAAATTATTGGAAATACAAAGTCAGTAATTTCGTTGGAAATAGTTCGATTCGCCATTGTGAATCTACTCTTCATCTTGACTACTCATTAAATTGGCCTTCGGCGTTTAGACCTTGACTGGTTAATCTAAATATTTTATTTGTATTATCAAACCTTAATGGAATTTATGTCACTGCTAGTACAGTACAGCATTAGAATGCTACTTTATTCCCTCAATTATTCTCTATACGTATATACATTTTAAAACGCCTTTTCGCCAATAGTCAGTATACTTTAAATGATGTAGCTAAATAAGATGATTTCTTTATTCTTCATTACATAGTAACGTAAGAAAAAGTGCGATCTCTATTAGAAGATAATGTGCTGTGCTTAATATATAATTAGCAGATACGAATCTATCATAATTATAAAAGGACCTTTTGTAATAACCATGTAGAAGGTTTTATGATATATTTGATTTTAAAATATTTCTGATGTTAAAGCTTTCAATAGCAAATCTTATACCAATAACCATCTGATTATGGTAATTGCATATCATTTACATTATGGCGTCAGTTAAAGCTAGTGATTGCACCCGGGGATACCTATCCGGGTTTTTTATCCGGCTAAATGGAGCTAGTAGTATTTTTCACCTATCGCTGAGTATCAAAGATCAAATCTGCACGTACGAAGAAAATCTCTTACCATAAAAGTCTGTGTTTTACTATAAGAACAGTAGCCCTTAGTAACACAAACAAGTCTTAAAGTCTTATTTTATTGTTATCTTTACAACTACGGTATACTGTACAGTACAGTACAGTATTCCGTTTCAAAGGCATACTGTACTGTACTGTGCAGTAAGTCGTTTTAATTTACAGTAGTTATAATCTTCCCGCAGCTATTATATATTCGTAATTATACTATATTATGTTGATTAAAGTTCTTGTCTACTTAAAAATCTATAACCACTAATTTTAGTCGAATATTCAGTACAGTACAGTAGGCCAGGCCAACCCAGCTTGCAAAAACCTGGTACTACTGTACAGTACACTGTACAATATTCATCGCTGAAGCAGCTCTATCTATTCTCTTGCCTCTACTGAACCTAATACCAAGTTTCATAAAGTTTGATTAAGATTTAAACTACTGTACTGTATAGTAGTTTAAATCTTAATCTGTACATATTGGGTGGAAAATCATTGTTTGGAGCTCTGCCCACTATGCCAAGGTGATAATAAAAAGTATAGTACATAATAAGCGTATTTGCAGCTTGACAAGTTCTAGCCTGCTGCTGCCTCAATGTACAAACCTTCGACAGGTGTAACTAGCACTAGCTTGGTTCGAGACGGAGGGACATTCGGCCGGCCTTCAGTACTGTACTGTACAGTGTACAGTACAAGAGACCAAAGACCGCGCCTGCATCTACAGTACAGTACTGTAGGTTTTATTGTGCTAGGCCGCCTAGGCGTACAGTACTGTACTGTACTGTACTGTAGACGTGACTCCCAGGCTAGTGAAATTTTTGTACTGTACCGCACAGTAAAAAAAGGTGTCCACTGTTGTACAGTAGAATACGATACTACTGAAGTAGTGTACACTGTAGTGACTGTACCATGTACTGTACAGTACATATCCGATTCAGTCATCAGTTTAGGTCTCAAGGTAAACGGCGAAATCTAATCTTTCACTATTTATTTATGTCGTTGTACAGTATGTAGTTTATTCTTTCTGTTTTTATCGCGAAAACAGAAATAAATTTGATTAGCAAATCCGTTAGTAGGAATACGAAAATCTTACAGATGGAACGAATTTTTAATACAAATTTGCGACCAGTAAACTCTAATAATGGCAACTTATCTTCTGGCTACAATTTTGCACGTTTTGGACAAATGCCGAAGCAATACAACTTTTTCAATCGCTATACTCTGTCCGATAAGGTTGCCGATGGTGATTCTTTAGCTCAATTACTCGACTGTTTGAGATTGGAATATAGGTATATTGTGATGTATATTCTAATCCAAATTATACCATTTCAAATACAGTATAAGGTATTAAAAAGATTTCAAGGACAGCGCCTCAGTACATAATTTGCGGTACTGTACGTGTAGTAATAAGCAATTTTTGTAGTTTAGACAGTACTGTATACTGTACGTATGTCCCGAAAACTTCAGCATGTTCAGTACTTACAAAGGGGCACAGTTTCATAATTTACTGTACTGTATTCTATACCGTGGACCGACCGGTTAATTTATTCAGCTCGAAAAATTCATAGAAATATAACATCGACCAATTAATAATTTCCTAATTTTTTAGTTAATTATTAAACCTACAACTCTTTTCATTTTAGTTATTATTTAGGCAAATTTGATGTCTGAACGCATTCACTAGAACTGTACAGTACAGTACAGTGTACACTGCACAGTATAGCTGTATTTTAACCAGCACGCGAACTGTATCATACTGTGCTTCCTGCTGTACCGTATTGTACAGTACAGTGTTCACCTTATGATCACGTATTCAATGCACTAGTTGGTTGCCATGTCATAAACTGCAAGTGTTTTCCTTATAGTTAAGTACAGTAATTGCCATACACTAAGTATTTCAAAATTATTAATACGCAATTTGCTGTCACAAAATGAATTACTAGCCTAAAATTGCAATGAATTATTATCATTAAAATATACGATGGCTTGTTTCTGACATTAGCCCCTTCTACAGTATATCGCAAATCCCCAGTTCTCCTATATTTAGTGATATTTAGACTAGTTAATGTAGACTGTACAATGTACAGTCTACATTCGTGGTACATTAATTAAGTTAAGTTAACGTTGTCGTGTAGCACATTTATAAACACAAAATATTAACATATCATGAAATCTTTATTATGGACTATTATCGACTGGTTTGAAACCCCTTTTTTCTTATATTAGTGACACCTTGCTAACTCCGAGATGGAAGAACTTCAAAAGTCAAAATCTAAAATGGGAACAAAAACGGAGATTAAACAACATCATTTGGAGAGCCTGGCACATGCAATGTAAGTTGTATTAAAGTTAACCCTCTGATACTTACAACAGCGCAAAGTTCTTGCAATAATGTTCTTGTTTCATGCTATACAATTTTCAATAAATATTCAAAATTTTATGACTACATAATTACAGTACGATTGTATCATAACCCGAGGTTATTCACTATTTATGCTGCAATCGTTAGATAGATTTATTGCGCTATACTGCTTCATTTTTTACGCGTATTAGTCACTTTTGCCGTAACTTATCTTTATGTAAAAAAATGTCGTTAGCAATGTGTGAAATATCCAATATACTATTAAGTTCCAAGTAGTATACGAAGTGGTAGATTCAAGACATGCCAACCGATAAAAGATAAAGAAGTACCTTATAGTACTAAGCTGCCATATATGCTGCGCTTCGTGAATCGTATCCAACAGTTTATAAATATAATTAGAAGCTGCCAATGATCTTATTGATCTTTTGGATAATGTACATGAAGTTGTTGAACCTGTTTAATTGTAGAATCTTTAGTAAAAAGCCACAATCTGTGCGGTATTACATAATCTTGATAACAGTTTTTATGTTGGGACGGAAGAGAAGAGCACAGTATACTATCAGAAACGTATCTATCGTTGCGGTTTTGATGTGCTACGTTCGACATTACGACTAACAAGGTCTTCCTATTTAACAGTTCAAAAGCATCGTAACTTGCCATTCTGTAAATTTGCCATCCCTTTCCTTGAAAATATGCACAATAAACCTCAGGTATTGACGTAATAAAAAGCTCTATATTTAAAGAATTAAAGTAAACCGTTGTATGGATAGCCATGACTACCAATCTATCCTAATTTTAATAATTGATCACTGTATTACATCAAGCAATGACAGGAGCGTATCATAAATATTCTTAAATATTTTTCTACATGAAGGCAATCGTAGTAGAAGGTGAACATTGGCGTCGAAGGCTTGATGCCATTGCGTCAGAATATAAACGATGGAGATGTTATTTTGGGCAGGTACTTGTATGATCTAGTCGCTAGATTACGAATCTTACCTCTAAAAATGAGATTTTTGTCTTTATTAGCTAATTGTAATTTTTGATCTTTTCGAAATTTAGACTGTTACACCTCCTGAAACAGAGACACAAGTCATTCTGGGAAATGTCTGTTATATTTTGTCTACATCATCATATAACGTTAAATCGATATCGTTTTATAGATTTTTACCTTATTGCTACGTTTTATGTGCTTCTATAGGATGATGAATTATCGCAACAACTGAATGATGCATCCAATAAATTGATCAAAGAACAATTGACAGGGTTAGTCAACTAAGATATTATTTTGTAAGCAATAGGTCTTGAAGCTGCTTCATAACTTGAATACCCCCGTTACTGCTGAGAATAATCATTTCAGTATTTTCATTGATAATCTTAATTAGGCCAGGGAATGATAGCGAAATATTCCAAAATTCAGCAGATGGTAAGTGTCACAGCTGCAGATTAGAGGTAGTATAACAGCAGTAATTTATCGTAACGGGTATTCACTGCTAGTTATTGTAATTTTTAGATTTTTTTTCGTATTGAGTTGTAAGTCGAGTACTGATTTCGAATCTTTCATTACAGTTTTCATGTTACCAGATACGCTCTTTTCCAGTCTAGCACCTGTAGACGACTTCAATTCTACCGACGAAAGACTTATGGGTAAGAAAGTCTTCGGTAGTTATTATCATGAAGACGTAGCAAAAGAATAATAATAGATTACGTTGTTCTTTAATATAGATACAGCAGATTTAATCCAACCAACCCTTGATCAATTACAGCCGTCTGTTGCAGATTTATTGGCTACGATGGAAGATAACGGTGAGAGCATTATTTCGATATTAAAAAATGCATGCTTTAACAATTGACTATTTAATGCGAATTGCAGTTAGCTAAATTTCTTTCCATATAACCATGTCTTTACGACAAAAACAGATAACTACTTCTTAAAAAAATTGGACGAAACTCCTCCGTTTTCCTTTACCGCTCAGCCTCAAGGTTTAGCAGCTACTCAAAATCTGACACAATCCCAAAAAAATAAAGCACCAATTTCATATCATCCAATTGACGAGCAGCATTACAAACATGTAGTGCCAGCAAATGTTGAAATTAATCAAAATGTTGCAAACCATGGTCATCAAGAATTAGGGCTTATGAATGTTAGTAACTATAACTGCTCCGCCATCGACACTAATGCTACTGGATCATCCAACTCTATCCAGAATGTACCGCGTGCTGATAATGTTCATTTAGCTATGCATCAGAACCGCTTTAACCAGCAATCCTATCAATTACATAACATAAGTATGGAATCTACAGCTACTTTTATTAAGACATCTAACAATCAGCTATCGGAATTAGAGAATCAGTTACCCCAGGATTCCTTTCATGTATACCCAAACGTCGACAACAGGCAACGTCATCCAAACCTAGGAGCCGGAACTACCAATCATAATAATCATCCACCTAAATTAAACAATATTTCAGAAATTCAAACGAGATTTAGACCTAGAGCTCCAGATCAATCTTCGAAATCTCCATCAACTCCTGCCCATATTTTGTACAATCCTGTAAATAATCAGCAAGCAATGGTTTCTGAAGGCGCTGTTCCAGAATCTCCTGGCCGCGGATTTAGTAAAGAAAATCAGCCTATTCCCAGTCAATCAAGTTATACCTTTTGGAATGAACAAACTCAAGATTCTAGTGATAAATTTTTATCGCAACGGCCAGCCGCCGCCAGTCAGGAAAGAATTGTCGCCAACACCGCTACTGATAATTCTTTCCTAGCTCGATTGCTTACGAATTCAAATTTTACTCAAGAATCGAGACAATATCAACGTCATTCAATCGAGAGACACTACGTAGCTAAGCCAGTACCAATTGCGCCTGCTCAAAATAAGGTACAGATGAACAACTCGCCTTCGTTGGGAAATTTACAGTATGACTGGAATCAGACGCGAGAATCATCGAAAACCTTAGATAATGTAACTATATCTACTGAATGCTTTGCCATTTTTGGTTGTATTACACCCATAAGGCTTCATCACTTACTAATTTACGATTTGCTTAATATTAAGAATGAATCTACGTCTTTGCCGGTTAGCCCTACTCATACTGGCTCCATAGCACACGGTAAGTAAGCAACGCTGTAAACTTAACTATTCACCATCTTGCACCCATGTAATCTTTTATTATTGTCCCTTAGTTGTGGAGCCGACTGGATTCGCTAAGATTGAATCGCATAGTGGCTATATGAATAGTATTCAGATGACCAGCAAAGCTAATATGAATACATCGTCGGAAAGCCAGACTAAGCCGTCAGTTACTAATGAGGTTGTTTAATTAAACCTTGAGTTTATAATAGCGAAAATGACAAGCTGCAGGATAAGAGTGTTGTTTTTAGACTATATGGGTAAAATCTTAGATAGTTATAAACATTTCTCATTTAGGAATATCGAAGGAGATCGCATCAGTCTTCCGAGCAGAAACGCCGTGGCAATATTAAGGTTTTCGGCCTTTTTTATGATGAAATCACTAGCACAATATAAATCTCGATGACGTAACTAATGATTACTATTAATTTATTAGCTAAGATTTGAGAAACTGCAGTCTCTAGTACCATCGTTAACTTCAGTGCACAATGCAAGAAACAGTAAAGCAACTATTCTTCAAAAATGTCAGTAAGATTAATTTATGAGTATTCTTAGATGAAATATGGCTAAGTAATGGTAATCCTAGTTTTTTTCTATTTTCTGTCGCCTAAATTAGCAATTGATTATTGTAAAACCTTAACCCAAGAAAAACAAGCGATGCAAGCTGAAATTCAGAGACTTAAAAGTAGAATTTTAGAGTTAAATGAGGGTATAAAGTACGTAAAATTCTATGTTGTAATAGCGTAATGTTTTAACGGAGATACTATTACTCATACCAATTTATATACGTTACATGTATAGTAAATGTCATCAACAATTACCTGTGACTGGTGCTACTGTTACCCAGCAGCGAGCTGATCAATTACGGCAAAAATTTGACGAATACGTTAAAAAAAGGACTTTAAGCAATTATAAATTCTGGATTGTATCCTTTTCGCTTAGGATTATACATCTTTCGAGTGGCAATCCCTCAGAATTTACTTTCTTCTGTTTGTTTATATATTTTATGTTTACTCTCAAATGCAATCTGTGATTCTTTAACGATATAAAACTGCTACAGTTTAGCATCATTATTAGGCCGTTGTTCGAGTCATATAGCAACACTGCTGTAACATCAAGCTATGATGAATTCTACCGAACAATGCAAGCATGGATGGATCAGCACTGCACTCTTGTTCAATTGAGACCAGGTATGATTGCATGACCAGGTAATTGCTATCTGTTTAACATAAAGATTAATGCAAGAACTAATCTGTTTCCTTTCATTTCAGTTGTCATGGCCGCGCTTTGTCAGCTAAGTACCGATACGGATATACTATCGAATCCATCATTAGTTCCTGTTCAGGCTGTAGAAGCTGCAAAAAAATTATTAGTTGAAAATTAATCACAAAGTAAATTTAAATTTAATTTGGGATTAATTTTTACGAGTAACTTGTATTCATATAGCTTTGCCACAACAGTCTAGACTATTATCTGGATGATTCAAACCGGTGTTCTAATTAATTTAATATTATATATTCATGTAAATATCAATAACATCAATTGTGTGTTGCAGCTTTTAATTTTTTTAATTCTATCTCTTTTGTGTTAATTATTAAGATACAAAAATTGATTTAATATAACTAGTGTACCAAATGGACAACAAGTAAAAGATTGTATATATAAAAATATATGTACTGTATATGTACTAGATAACTGGTACATATAAACGTTATAGTCAGTTACTTGCCGCTTAAAGTGGTTGTTCGTATTTTTAATAACTAGAGTTAGTCGGTCAAGTCGCTATGCATGATAATATTCACAAAGCGTTTACAATGAAATCGATAGTAGATATTTAAAAGTAACTTTCGAATTCAGTATGCATACGGTATTACACAATTGATATGCACGCATCCTCACCCTATTATAGCATCGTGGCTGTATACGCGTATATATACGTATGCTGTATTTATGTTACAAGATTTACAATAAATTCTTTCTTTTATCGTTCGGCAAACGGTTGGGTCGCAATACTATATATAAAACATGCTTAACGTAGACAATAATTTAATATTATAATAGTACTGTGTGCATACTAATGTAAAGTTAACAATGTAGGATCGTACAATTGTATCTTCAGATTTCGAAATATAATTGAATACGTATAAGAGGAGGTATTTACTGTAGGCTTCAGCTAGAATGCCATGAAATCTGTCAAAGTTTTTTAGAACTTAAGGTTTTACATAATCTAATTGATTTTCAGTTATAACTTGCGGTTAATATATCGTTACTCTAGAACCTACTATAAATTTATATAATACCGTGATCATTCGTTTTTCTTTACACTTCACGAAAGCTTCATAAATTGTAATGCTTACCGCATCTATTAGAGAATTGTATCCGAGTTGTTTATTATAAACTCCGAAATTCTGTTATCTAAAATCCATCCGCTGCATGTTTGCATAGATACAATATGAAATTTATACTTGTAGTAGGCCAACGCGGTAAGGAAATAATTTTAGTATAATTCTACATTTCCTTTCTTAATGTACGTATACTGTACATCAGAGTACTTTGCTACTAACATCACCAAATTGAAGTAAATTGCATAACTTAGACAACATCGAAAGTAGCCTTTCTTAGGGCTTTGCTTCTAGATGGCTTCTCATCTTTTTTTTGGCGAAAGGAATTACCTGATATACACAATCATCTGAACAAGACTGATTCTAGATGTAAGAATCTTGTGACATTATATGTAAAGTACAGTAGAATGAGTTGATAAGTGCGCAATACAAAGTACTGCACTCGGTAATTGCTGCATTAAGATGATATATGTTTGGGCCATCCCTTAAGATCTATCTAGATCTCTCCGATATTTATGCAAGATTGCAATAGAGACTATCCTAATTCTGAATTTCTTCCGCATCGTATTCGACAGTGATCGCATCTAATTCTCAATCTAGCGTACGACCACGCATGCTACATATCTATCCAATCTACGGAAGCTGATATCTTATTTGAACACGGTCTCGAATAGTTTAATAATCACATACAATTATATATATATTAATGTATAAATTGATTTGAATGCACAATGGGGATGAGATAAATCTATTAGTGGTATTTTGTAATTGTTAGAAATAATAATTTAATTAGAGCAAGATAATTTAACTGCTTGCCCGATTGTTGGGGCGATCAGCACAATGCGTATATAGAACTGATTGCTTTTGTTGATATATTGTGGTAGTTGCCGAATCGGTTATAAAGAAGGTTCGATTTATCTAGCTTATGTTACTAAGTCAGCCAGTACCTAATAATTTAATGAAATTCTTTGTTTTGTAAGAAAAGTGTAATAACTTTGTCAGTACACATTTGATAAAGATTTACTTCGAGTATTTAGAAGCAAGCACCATGATATTTAGGATAGTTTAATCATTGAAGAAATTTTATAATCGGAATCTATCGTTGCCCGCTAAATAATTAGGCGTCTGGATATATAAATTGATTGTTAAAATAGATGAAAAGGGTCTAAGGCCTGTCCCTTTAGTAGCCTTTAGCACTAAGCGTCAATGCTTGCATTGTACATTGTACAATAACTTTCAGCAGTTTTGTTGCTCACTGTCAATTGATTAAAACTATTAAAATGATACTGTTTTTAGTACAATAAAATTAACCTCATGTTACTAGATGCTAAAGTTGAACTGTCATATCGGTACTCAATATAAAAACTCAATCCATAAATTAATAAACTTACAATTAAGGTAATAGATATTGATACAGTGTAGTACATAATATAAAATTAAAGTACAGTACTGCAAGGGTATATCAGCTGCAGTTATCCCATGCAGCATGTATAAAATGCACAAATAAGTACGAAATCTTCAGTAAGGATATTGCTGATAGAGTCAACTTTTTTAATAAGGTTAGCAGGCATATTTAACGTAAGTTCGCCAAAAAATATGCTGAGTATACTATATATAGACAGATAGATATGCGTATCGATACACTAATACTGTACAAATCATTCACATCCACATCTTAAATAACAATCATAATCAACCACACATTAAAAACCAGAGCCCGAACTAGCAGTCGTAATTGCATAAAGGATCAGACTACTTGTTATATTCGGTTGTTTACGAAATTTAAGTCGTAAGTATAGCATTCGCATGTATTTGTAGTCTTTTATGAATAGCTATTTATACTTATATCTCGCGATCGATACGTAATATTCGCGTCTTGTAATTCTTCCAAAACATGTTGAGGCAATCGTCCTGTGACAGATATTGCGTAACATCCTCTCGTGAAAGAATCTACGAATTAATATAGCATTTAAGAACCATTTTGCGCAAAAGCAAAAACCGCGTATGTTGTTAGAGACTTCAATACGTTATAATCTATACTGTACGGTATATACTGTACCCAAAAACTGTATTAGATCTAGTTTAAACCACTAATAAACGCAAAATTGAATTTTTGACATAGAGCTAACATATTCTCATGGTATAATAGTTACACAAACGAATTGCTCTTATAGATACTATCTAAAGATCAACAAGTCATTACTAACCTATTCCTTGCCACCTTGCTACCCAGCTATTTTTTGGATCAGTCAGTGAAATCATTCTACGAAAAAGGACAAAGTAAGAATATTTATGTATATGGGCAACAGTAGCATCTACCTCATAATCCTTTTACTGAATAATCTATGATTAATTATACACAATTAATTAAAGCCTTAATCAACATAGGGCAATAACAATAAATTTACTATTGAATTCGTATATCGAATATTGATATTCTAATATTTTTATGGCTTGTTTCATAGCAAAAAAAAGCGTATTATACTTGCAATACTACGTAGCTACTCATCTACAAGATGAGAGCATTAACGTCTTCTACTGCATACTGTACTGCAGATAACAATTTGCAACGGTTTCCGCACAAACTCTAATCCTAGTATAGTTACAGTAAGCTACAAGGGTAGTAAATATCTCTTAGTACGCAATACTAAGTTTTTGAGATGAAACATCCAAAAATTTAGCAAGCTTATGTAAATAAGCTTTGTACGGCTGAACATTGATAAAACATTTCCATTGATCACGACGTTAAGAGCCACTTAAAGGATCAAAAAGTAAACATTTATTATAAATATAGAGGTAAAGAAGCGAATTAATGACATTTCCCATCGTATGTACCTTGTCTAGTACCAGAATAAAGAAGACGTGCAAATTATGATCATAATCGCATTAACTGCTATCACATTGCTTAATATCTTTCTAGCGTCGTCTTGCAAGACTATAGCACGCTTGATAAGTGTTTTACTCTAGACGACAGCACTTACTCAGGCATAACACCAACCAACACTGTACATACGCCTATACAGTTTTATCCATTTACTTTAATTATGCTGTTCATACGTACACGTATATGATCTTAACAAAAAAATCTTACTGACTTACCCACTAAAGTTTGGACTTGTGCATTCGTAAACACTCTGTCTATCCCCTTTGAGATGCAGGTACTTATCACAGTTTTCACATCCATCCAACTCAAATTGATCTATGGTCTGATAATTTTACGTATTCATTATAATACAACAAAAAGTTAAAATAGGCGAAAAGTAATAAAGCTACATGAAAAGAAGTACAGTGTTAGTCCAAGATATGCGTACGTATTGCAAAAGATATTAAGGTAGAAATCTAGACATGAAGTAATAGAACTTGATAATCCTATAGTGTGCGTATTACAAAATTGAGCTGATATTATCATTTTAAATCACAGTATGCTGTTTTTGTAAGTCTATTTATATATATATATATATTGTAGTAGTGATGGATCTATCAACAAATTTAAATAATTTCAATACTTGAAATGCTGCTCTTAGTCTCTCACTAACACACGAATACATGGCCCACTAGAAAATCAGGATGAAAGAAGCACGTACAGTATTATTGTACACTTGCCTTCACGAGAGAGCAAACCAAACAAGCCCTTAGATTACGAACTTCTCTAGGAACACCATCCATTTGTTCTCGAGCATCTTTTAGTTGTTCGTCCATTGATAGGCGTAAAACTTTGAAAAATTTTGGCTAATAAAATTTGAAAGGTACAGCAGCAGATAAAAAGAAGCTCGGTTTAGTAGCAGCAATATCTGTAAAGTGAGTTAAATCAAATCTTTATAGTAGGGTCTCTACTGTACAGTTACAGTACACCGTACAATACAGTACAGGACTTTAATATAGTAAATGGTGACACTGTACAGTACTGTACTGTATACGGGTACAGTACGGGTATGTCCAGTACAGTACTATACACTGTACACGGTATGCTCAGTACTGTAGGACACTGAAGACAGTAGCACAGCGGCAGCAGTGCTACTGCCATCACAACTTGCAAGCACAAAAGGAGATTAGAAGACGAAATTACAAAAATGCCACAAGGTCCTGTTAGGAAATTATCCAAAGCGAATAATAGTAAAAAAGTCAAAAGATTAACTAAAACATCGATAAAAAGTGAGTTCTATCTAATCACAATTTGACGCTCTACTGCTTTCATTTTTTGACAGTGCTGTATAGTAAATGCAAGGAGTAGTTTTACTATGGACTGAGGCGTATACCTGTATCTTTATGCCTATTTCACTCCGTATTTATTGATCATGGCTGTTTTTAGGGAATGCAAAGCAGCCTAGGAAGGGTACGAAAGTAACTGGTGCTGACAAATTAAGGAAGGTATATGAATTGAAAAATTGGGAGATAATATTCCTGAATGAAGCTAGAAATCAATTAATTCTTAAAATTTCTGCATGATCAGTAAAGCTCGTATCCTTAATATGATACACGTCCTACATTATTGGATGCTTATTCAACAAATGTACATTACTGCAACAAGCTAATAATATAGTTATTGGGATGACTTGATAAGATTATTCCAATACTGCAAACTTGCCAATAATATGGCATAAAACTTGATGCACTGCAAGTGGATGCAGTTGTAATGTAAGAATACGCGTATTTTATAGTAACAACTGTAAGTGAGAACAGGTGATGCAGAATTTCTATACTGAAATTCTCTACTCAGTCCATTACAGTATATCAATTTATGTAAGAGATCAAATAAATTTAGTGTAATATATCGGATCCGAATACCAATTTACAAATACAGTACTTATTCACTTATTCATTAAAATCAACTTACGTGTATCCTTCTAACTGCGTATGATCTTGCATTTCCATCAACACAGACTTTGCAAAAAAACATTAACAAAAGTATAGAGGAAGACGTTAGACAGCGAGCTTCAAAGTATGAAGTCAAACCTTTCTATATCATCCGTAACGATACCACCACGAAGGAAACATTAAAAAAGAAACCCGAAAGTAAATGAATTGATCCTCCGAAAGAATATTGGGCAAAAATTTTTACTCAATATAGTACTAGATATTGCTTGCAATATTTAGTCTACTTGTGCGCATTCAAACTAGCTTAAGTTTATCTTGGTATCCAATCGACGTACACCATACAGCAAAAGCATCATCAGTGCAAGATGCTGAATTATGAAATACTTCGACATACGTGTGTACTTATTTAAGGTATATTCTTTTAAAAGCCATAATGATTGCATTATGATGGTACCTGAATTTGTAAATTTCCGTGAGCTGTCTTAATAGGATGTTATGTTTACAATTTTGTAACAAAGCTAATATAATAAAATCTTTAGTCTTTAAACTGCAAGCCACATTGCCATGTCAGCAATGCACATAGTGTACAGTATGTTCGTATGAGAACATCAATGACTTTTCTCGCGGATCACACGTACACATATACGTAAACGATGTATGGTAGTGATAATATTTTGAGTCAGTAGATCTATCCATTAGTATAGCTAACTAACTTCCACATTGATCATAAGTTCAAAAATGCCCTATACTGTATTGTATTGTTAAAATAATGACAACATTAATGTTGATTCCATTCTAGGCCGTAAATTATACTTTACAAGTTAAATTGCACAATATCTATGATATTTTATAGCATTTCTAACATTATAGGACGAGCGAATGATAAACCTGGATCTAAATTGAAATACTCGTACAGTATACAGTATTATTCATCACCAAAACGTTACGGAGAAAATATGACAGACAGTGTATGAACTAGTGTAACTAATGTAACTGAATCTGAATGATCACAAAGGAGTTTGACAGTTTCAGTTCTTAATCAGAACAGTACAAGCTTATTGCTTATAGTGCTTATGGGCTAACAGTTAGTTTCACTAGTTAATTGAAACTGCACAAGCTTTATTGCTCACAGTATTTGTGAGCGATACGCATGAGTTTAGCCATCCAGTTAGTTTCAGTTATTAATCTGAATAGTACAAGTTATTGCTTACATTATTTGTGAGCTATACACTTGTTTTGCAGAATAAAAAAACTTTTACGTTAATTCAAATAGTTGAACTACCAAACTAATTATTCCTCCATTACTCAGTAAGGATAATCAGGACACAGTCAAGAATATAGTAACGGCTACTAGGGCCAAGATTAAACTTGTAACCAGTATAAACTTAGCTATCGAATGTTATGTGGTTTGTGTTGTATTTACTGTTACTAGTCAACTTTAGTGAATTGCTAGTGAACGAGTCAATATGTACTGTAATTACGGTATTAAGTTAATATCATTGTTTTAAGCCCTGCAGCTACTGTGCTGTATGCAGTTTATCTGCACTAATTCCTAGACGTTACAGGTCTGTCATACATACAGCTGTAGCAATGATGACCATACTGTACAGTACAGTACCGCTCTGGCAGTCTCCAAAGTCCAAATACCATACCGACAATATATTTTAAAAGTAGTGAAAAATAAGTTATTGATAAATATTAAACGAAACTTCCGTCGCTGATTATATTCAGACCAGATATGTAACCTAAGATTAATAATTTATTGCATAACCACAAAATTAATATCATCACTGGTAGATAATTACGTATGTTAATTTTGTTAATAATATTAATTTGATTGAAATTGACAATGGTTAAATAACAACCAGCCTAACTAGGAACTTAGTTTAAAATAGAGACCTTGGATTAGTTTTTATTTTAACTAATCATCACTTCAACAGCTACAATATGTAAAAATAGATTTTTGAGAGAGATTCAATTTTACTTTAAAACGTGTAGGATCGCAAATTGCCAACACTCGTCGATGCTGCATTGATGCATTAAAAAATATGTCCATAGAACAATGGATTTTCATTGTTTATCTTTAAGACCGGAAATTAACACGACAGAAAGTAAAATTACAAAGATAATTGAGATATATCACAAAATTTTACAATCAAACCTCTTACAAAACCCTTTAAAAAAATAAGAAAATGTTTAAAGTTCTCGAATCTTTGAACATGTGCAAACTTATACTTCTTATAGCTGATAATCTTTGCTCTTGAGATAGTTGATAAATTAATTGGTAACCTATAAAATATTATATTAACTTCGAAATCATCAATAGCGTCAAATACGCAGGTACTGTCAACTTAATCTAAAATCTCAGTCATTATTTAATTATATACTAACACTGAATATACTCTATTTCTGTTGTGCTACGAATTCTCACTTCTTTATGGTATCGCGATTGGCATATCATAATATGCCCTAGCCATAGCTCACTAAAACTTTATACTCCAATATTATTAAACTGGTAAGCGAAGAGATACAACTGCTTTAGAGCCAGAAATTTGAGCAATCTCCTAGATTCTGCACTGTATGTGATTAATCTTCAACAGTCAGTTAAAATATGGGTTGTTATAATTATTATTCCTAAAATATTTTCATTCTTTATTAACAAAACTGATTACAGCTTGGTTGTAAATCATCAGTTATTATAATTATAATCATAGGCCTGTTGCGATATCTGGTCAGTACAGTACTCTAGACAGACATTTTAATAATATTGTGCTGTTGGTGTTGGTACTGTACTTGTTTAGACGGGGTAACAATAATTCTGACACATTGAAATGTTGCAGTGAGCTCAGACAGACAATGAGCAAATGTAAATAAATATAATAAGCGACAGTCAAATAATGTAAAGCAAAAGGTACAGTACAAATAAACAGCAGTACGCGAAGTATACAAAATACTTGCTTTTTGAAACATACTAGCTAAACATCCTGTCGCTTCGCCGACAGAGATATAGGCAGCTAAATGATTATAATGCAAAATTGCAGTACCACGCAAAGTTCAAAGAAACATTTTATTACTGCTGAAATACAAATGCGAGACTGTACTATACAGTATACAGTACTCACAGTATATATTCTAAATGCAGCACAGTTACTAACTATAATTAATATAATCCATCTAGTCCTATATTAAACCGTGAACAGGAGTAACTGTGACACTAACAAGAAATGAGAGACCATATCAGATCTAAAGAGACGGATAGCGCAAACTTTAAATTCCGATTCATTTTCTGTCACTGACCGTACATACTGTACAGTACAGTATGTACTAGCATACTGTACTGTACTGTACAGTACATTACAGCGTAAACATGGCTGAAACAACACCTTATTTTCTGTTTACGGTACTGAATAAGGTGGTGATCCTTACTACTGTACTGTACTGTACACTGTACACTGTACAGTACAGTACTGTAAAAGAAAATTACTGCCTGTACTGTACTGTACAGTACTGTAGTCTACAATACTGTACAGTACAGTACTACATGGTTACAGTACTGTATACTGTAGAGGTTTTTTTCTTACCTCTAGGCTAGCCCATAATGCAGTATACAGTACTGTACTGTACACTGTACAGTACACTAATTTTGAATACTGTACAGTACTGTACAGTACAGTACAGTACATTACACTGAGTTTAGTACTGTAGAGCGAATGCGCATCGCATTTTATTCCTTATTTAACTCGACACTATCACTATTATCAGTGGTCCTGTCCATCAAGAACATTAAATATCAGTAAAACAGTCATCAGACTCAGCATCAGCTATCAACTAATCGCTAATATCTATATTTTATCTAATTGTGAACATTATATCTCAAGAGCTTTACTAAAACAGGACGAAGACCTTTTAGCATCGCGCCATATTTCAGGTTTTGTTAACACCGTAGTAAGATGATATGAACCTCAACAAGAAATTTCCACATGCTATCAATGATGTTATTATCGTCAAATGCCAGAACAATTACTATTATGCGAAAATAAAAAGCATCGACAAACGACGTCGCAAGTGTAAGGTCTTATTTGATGACAAGTCTACAGATGATCTACCCTTTAGTGATATCTACAGCGGTAAGTTCTTCATTTAACTGCAATATTGCCTCATATTATATGTGCTCACTCACTTCATCGCCGACTCCAAATAATTTGTTATAAAAGTTACCACTAAATCCAATGTTCTCAGAAATTGTGTCTCTTTTTACTCGAGAATATTTTGCAGCGTCGCATGTAGAAAGTACCTTAGCACTGTATTACATTTCAAATTGAGATTATTTTCTATTAATGGTGGATCATTATAAAGCATCTCTTGAATGGTGTGATATTGCTCTACTGTACTATTATGTGCAATATTTTCAATGTAATTCCATCGATTGGTGACATACAGTATTACTTTACGTTAGCAGTGAGTGGATACCAATAATTACAGTACTGTACAGCTGCAAGTCTAGTCTTTACTCTCTATTGTCTTTGTCATTTCTATCAGTATCTTTCGAGTTTACAATATATAATTAGACATACGCATTCTGTAATACCGTTAGTATCTCATTTTCCTTTTCTACTGTATGCTTTTCAACATGTAATGAATACCGAATAAGTGTGTATAATACTGGTAGAGTAACAGTAAATATAGGATATGTCGTTTTTACCAATGTTCATGAAACTACTTCGAATCAGACAATTAGACATTTATTTTATTTAATTTTACTATACAGATTGTGAGTACATAAAACCACCTTTGTAAAAAAGAGTGTCGTACGGTACTGCACGGCTCCATACTGATACTGTACAATCTTTTACAGTACTTCAGTGGACATGCTGCACAGTGCACAGGTATACTGTATACTGTACTGTACGTTCAGTACAGTACAGGTCATCGATAGCCTTTGTGCTCGCATTGATTCAAAGAGAAAGAGTTGTTCAATGTTCACTGTACACACCGTACGTACTGTACGGTACTATACGGTTTTGTTCTGTAGATGTGTGGCTGTATTATAAGAGTAGATGCGTTATATGCATTACCTAGTATAACTACAGCCTTTAGCCTTGAGTGCAGCACATCTTTTTTGTCTTTGCACTATTGCTTGCTAAACAATAGACGTAAAATGCAGCGTGCTTGTAGACTTGGCTAATTTTATTTCTTTATTTATTAAAAAGTAAAAAAAGTATATACCATAAATATATAATATATACCTGAAATTATTCTATGAAGTTGAAGATCTTAAAAGCGTTTGTGTGCTATCACATTACTCAGCTTGGAAGAACTGCCAAGTTGATAACTTACAGTAGTGTAGAAAATACAGTACAGTACTGTACTGTACAGTATATTAATTGTGCAAAGTGTACAGTACAGTACACCATACAGTACAGTACTGTGCACTGTACAGTACAGTATTCCTTCTCGGTTACTTCTGGACGACCGTCTACAGTACTGTACATTTTATTGATATACTGTATTTTGGATTTTACTGTAACGTAAAGCTAGCTCATAGTGATAGTGTGAATTGTATCTGTTCCAGTATCAATCAGCACCGCTTAATAACAAACTAACGTTAGTATCAGTAATAAAATAACGCATCACACACATCAACTTCTTTATCCTTGACTGCCGGAGTTGTGAGCTTGCGAGTGACTGATTCCATCATCCATTGTACTATTAGGAATAAATATTACTATTAACTGAATGCGATGTACAGTATTACAATGAATCCACTTAGCATCGGTGTTCATTCATTAAAGCTAGAATTTTTAGAAGGGCAATTAACTCCAATTTTTGCCGTTACTTCTATAAATTTTTAATGTTGGGGCTGTTGTTGTTCGGATTTTCTATTTACTCAAGTTGGCGATACCACTACGGAAATCGTCTGCATCGTTTGTAAGAGTGGCTCTTCTGAATCACCTAACGAGATTGTCTTATGTGATCGATGCAGTATTGGTAAGTAATAATGATTAATTAAAATTTTAGTGCTATATTCTATTGAAGTCTTCATGCATGCAGCGCAAAAGAGTTTGAAATCATTACATGTTTAAACGTTTAATAAACAAGAAAGTATCAATTAATCCTATGGCAATCAATTTTAGCCTATTACAACGTCAATGTAAAAGTATTTACTGTTAGTGTAGTCAAAAATTTCATTAATCTTAATTAATTAAGTAACAGTACTGGTGCTGATGGGAATACGTACATGCGCGTATATTATGGTATCACATTATAAAATTATACTGCATGATATCTTTTATAAGTTCTAGCGTAAGGTGGTATCAGAATTAGTACAGTACATTAGTTAGTTACCTGTTGCATACAGGTAATAATTTTTTTATTTACCATCAATACGTAAAGTCGTAGACTTTGTTCTAATAAATAAAATCTAATAGATAAAAACATTAATTTAAATTTTTAAATACAGTATAGCTGAGTGATTGAGTTGTAGTGGATGATATGTCACAGATGACATTACGACAATTTGGTCATTTTTTCTATTTAGGATATCATCAACAGTGCCATTCACCACAGATACCAGAATCGGTTTTGAAGCCGGACGTTCCGTGGTTATGCCATTATTGTCAGTCGAGTGAAATTTGCCCATATTTTGTAAAAAATCCTTTTACTGACGATAAAGGAGGAAATTTTAATAATAAGGTAACGTATCATATATGCATCGATGTTATATTCAATAATTAACCTCAAGATAACGCACATTACTGTAGGTAAATTAAAATTACAGTATAAGTACAAAATTATCCTATATTTCACTTATAATTAGCGAGCGACGGGATTTATATGATATTTTTGTAACAATCAGAAAAAGCCAATAGATAAAAAGCTACGAAAGAATCCATTTCCAGATCCTACTTTAACCTCACCTAAAGATGCTGTGATTGACCCGAAGAAAAGCGCTACTAAGAATACAAGAGTGTCCATACGAAAAACCATTAGTAAACGGAAGCGTAAGTGTATATAAATATTGTCTACTTGCTGCGTATGTATTTAAGGGCATATTGGTTATCGTACAGTATACAACTATATATAATAGTTAACGTTGTATAAATGCACCGTATTAAATCAGGACTTCTTCGGAAATATAGTTCTTATCAATTTTTCTAAATTGTCTTTATTCGATTGGCAAACTCTGTATAGGAGATCTAGACACGGATGAATCTGAACAAGAGACTGCTGAAGATGAAGACGAAGAGGAAGATGGAGATGTTGATTATCAAGATACATTCCGAAAGAGAAGGCGAGCTGCAGTAGTAGCCAGGAAACGTGTCCAAAAATACATGAATGAAACTGGAGTCGCTAGCGATACTGATACTGAGAATGCAAATGCCAGCAAGAAAAACAACGATGCCGATTTTAATATAAATTCTGTTAATACACACGGTAGTGTAGGGATAGGACTATTAACCGAGAATAGGATTTCAAGTAGTTTTCCTATGGCATCATCTGGCGGTTTTGGAACTTCTCCAAATCTTAGCTTAAATAATAACTATAGTATGAGCGGAGTACGAATTCAATCTCCTGTTATGATGCCTCAAATGAATAGCATGATAAGCGATCATGCCATACATAATAATCCGAATCAAATATTTAATATGGCTAATGGCCTTATGAAATCGCCTCCTGTTCATTCACCAACTTTAGGAACTTTAACCTCACCCATGGGTAATGATATGCAGACATCACCTACCTTTGTTAATGAAAGCTTTCAGTCATGCAGTAATGTAAACCAACCATCGTACTATCAGCCTCAGCCGCAAGCGATTAACAATATAGATTATCAATCACAGCCTTTATCTGGTTACAATTCATCTGCCCAAAATTTTACAAATCCATCGCATATGCAACTATCACCTCAGATGACCCCACAGTACCCAAATCCTTCACACGTTTATTCTCAACATCATTCTCATCACGTGCCTTCAATGATTCATAGTCAAGACCCTCATTATCAACATTTTCCTAACTTTCACAATATGCCATCACAAGAAGTAGCTCCGTATGGTGTCTCTCAGTATAATCAGTACCATTGGTTAGGTCATCCACAGCAGCCCCAGACAATACAGCACATGCCATCATCTCAGTATGCGGTGTCACCGATACAATCCGTAAGCGGCAGTCTTGGTATGACTGGACCTGCCAATCAGCAGTTCTCTATAGGACAGCCTGAACAAGCACCATCACAAAAATTGTCGCATAGTACTGACCACCAATTATCAACGAATAACCTACCTAATGTTACAAATTTTAATGCAAGCAATTCTTTTGCAATTTGCAATGAAACAAAAGATAACATAGATAAATTGAACACTAAGGAAGTACTGTCAATATCAACTGAAGCCAGTATTTTAGACGTTGCCACCAAGACGCCGACTATACGAGGTCAAAGTAAGAAATCAGATACTGATAGTAGTATTGAAAAGGAAACAGTTACCAAGGTTACTACAGGAGAACAGTTTGAAACAGCCGAAACTTTAAAATCTCAAGTTAAAGCATATGATATCCCAAAAAATAAACAGAATGATAACCATAACTCAGTTGAATTTCACCATCTACAAGAATCAAATTCAGTGAGATATAGAGAAGAACGCGATAAAGATGTATCACACTTAAATACCGAAATATTTCAGAAGCAGACATCTGGGAACTTATCTAACGCTACTGAAGGTATTTAAATGGGAGTATTTTTATTGTATTTCTGATGTAGTTTTCACTGGATAATTTACACTTATATTGGTTTGGTGTTTAGCAAAATCCATTAAGAATTTCTTTTTCTAAATTGGATTATAATCTTAAAGGTAATAGAAACTCTGTCATTAAGGAATCATCGGACAACCCTATTAGCAATCCGAATCAGACTGACAAAACGTCGGTAAGAAATCTTGCGTTGATAAATTATTCGGCTTCGAACATTAGAACACAACCTGGCCTTCCGATATGGCATTGATATCTTAGCTTATTAAAACTACCTATAATTTATTCATCTGTGTTTGTGAATAAACTTACTAGCTTCGTTAATTAAGATGCATTTAAGACTCGTAAACATAAATAAATTTTTGCAGTTCTATTGCTGTAATATGATTTCTTAGTTCATAGAAAATAGAAGGATTCTTCATCTACATAAAGACCTTTCATCATAAAATCTAAACTAGACTGATCAAAGCTGATAAAGTATCCTTTTTACATCTCATGTAATTGCAGATTAATCTGGAAGAAAATCAAATATGTCCGAAAACCAAAGTGAAGAAAGATGGGAAAGACGATTCATTTAAGTCCGATGATGGCATTAGTAAGAACGAAAAATCTAAAAACGAAAGCAATGCCGATGAAATTAAATCTAAAATAGAAGCGGACGCTTCCTCTAAAAGAAATAAAATGAACGACACAGCAAATTCTAGTGATAAGTCAGCAACAAATGAACCTAATCAACAAATTTGTGATTCCACGAAAGATTCTAAAGATGGCTTAAAGCATGCCAAAGAACAGCGAAACCTGGAAGAAGTAGATAATAAGTCAAACAATTACGATAAGGATATTCATAGAGGTAATAGCAGAAAATTTTTATAAAGCTTATAAGATGTATGGTATAATACTTGTAAAAGGTGTAGATATACACGTAGATGTTATACGTTGGTAGATACGAAATAATAACCTATTATACTAGTACTATCAATACTTAATTTAAAAATCTGGCAAAGTGAAATTCAGAAGGAGTAGGTAGTGCGGCCTTAATATATGAAAATACGGATAGTACGTATTATTTTTTGAAATATCTGATAGGTGTAAGACATACTGTAAATATGGTTAGTGTGGTACATTAATAACAGGTCGTATATTGACAGATCCTGAAACTAATGCTCGTGGTGCATTGGATAACATAAAGTCTACTCCTTGTAGTGGTGACACTGTACGACCCCTTAATGTAGATGTAGAGCCCCATCGTATGTGTGATAATTGTAATCAACCCGCCTTCTTTCTCTGTTCCGGCTGTAAAACCACATGGTATTGCAGTCAACGGTGCCAGGCGAGTAAATTCAATAATTCTTTCGCAAATCATCTAGCCTAAGCGCAAGTTAAATTCTTGAATCTATTGTATGTTAGCGCACATGTGTAATTAACTTTACGTACGCATCAGCATTTCTCTACTACCTGGTAATGCTTTATAGTAGCTATAATAATGCTTATGAGGTAATATTATGCCTTCTTTTAGCATAAAATACATGAAGTAAAAATATCTTATTTTTCCGATCATATTTCTACGTTTTTCTTAATTACTAAGATTCAGTCTATAAATATCTATTACAATAGTCTTACAGTCGATTTCCTGATAGATTCTTTTTATATTATTTTAGGAGAAAGTATGGAATGACCATCACTTAAAATGTAAGAGAATACCGTGGCATTTGACATAGTTCATATGTTCTCCATATCGACATGGTTAAACAATAATTGCGAACCTCTGAAATATATTCGTTGACTTCGATAGAAATAATGTATTTCCTTATTATACTGTATTTATTTTAAGTGTTAAGCTGTATTATTATTATTTATATTACAGTACGGCTAAAACGTCGGTGCTTCACCTTGTAATAAATAAATTGTGGCACTCGTAGAAGTAATGTAATACCACAAATGAATGTAAGAATTTTTTATTACAGTCAGCTACTTCTAGTTATGACTAAGACAACTGTATCGTAACTTGATTAACTACGGCTATAATCTCATTTATATTCTGTTACCAGTCCTCTAGAACGGTTTAAAGATAATGATTCTTGAATCGATCTATTGACAGCAATTTCTTATATATTGGCGATTGTTATTGTTAGTTGCGATTACAATCTGCACCAATGCGTATATAATGTAAATGTATTGTAATCCCTTGGTATACGTCATTGTTTTATGGGACGGGACTCTCTTAGATATATTCTTCGCAGTCAATAATATAAGTGGAATATCCACTTACACGTATGATGTTAGGGTTAACATTTTAAAAGTATACTGTTAACAGGACTTGAGAATTAGAATATGATCATTTGGACACGAGTAATATCCAAACTATTCAGTACTAACATGGTCGTTATTTATTCTTGATCAAATCAAATGGCCGCTCTTTGACAAATGATTACATCACTAATTTTTTACATTTTATGCATTTTCACTGGTAACTATGAATATAGGGTCTATAAATTTCTTCCGTATCTCGTATAAAATTTCGTACATTTTTTCTTTTAATTTGCACAGAACTACGGAAGTACTCTGCAACGAATAGCTGTTGATTTATACTGTACTGTACGTATTATCATTTAGTATATTTGCTTAATTAATAACAGTTAAAAGTTATTATAGTTAATGATATTATTAGCTTGTAAATGTATATGATGCCAGATAGCTCAGTTACTGACAATCATTAATTTTAATTATTGACTCGTACCTAGAATTACTTTTGAAATCGTATAATTCCTTTAAATCTGTTCAGTTTATTATACTGTAACTGATGTGATTACTTCGAATATTAACACTAAGTTGTGTTTGGTCTAAGATAATGCCGATGTCTTGTTACTATCCAGACCAATTATGTTCATAAATAAATGAATAATTTATAAGTATGGCTTACAGACAGTAGTTATTTTATATTATATACGAGAAAATAACGATTACAATTGAATGTATCATTGACATTAATACAAACATTCGTCTAATAAATAATACGGTAACTACATGTTAAATGATATGTAATCGTTCACGTTGGCTGTGATATTGAAAACCTAGGTTCGATTTTGTAGTAATTAAAAACTTAAAAACATTTTCTAACAAGACGATCCACTCTATAGTAATACTAGTATACAGTATAGAGTAGGTCATGTGTAAAATTTATCAATCGGTGCACTGCTAGTAGAAATGTAGTACCGTTGATAATGCCATCCTATCCTCGTTGCCTTATTAACTACTAGTTACTGTAGATCCCTCGCTCGTGTACTCCTGAGCTTGAGCACGAAACTACGAGTACCGTTATATTCGTTGTTACCAGGTATCTTGTACAGTACGTTCTGTACAGTATACTGTACTGTACTGTAACTGTAAGAACTAAAAAGGACTGTACCGTACAGTACAGTCCAGTACGTACTACTGCTACAGCCTGTAGATCTGATACGGTAACTACTCGAGTAAAAGAAAGAAAAACACCAACATTGCTACAGTACAGCACCAGTTTCAGGCACGCCACCTTGGCACATGGCTACAATAATGGAGTCTGGCAGTGAAAATGGTACGTTGCTAACTATTAGGTTAATTAAATCGTAAATCGACATATTTCGACTTTGAGCATATTTCCAGTTTGATTTCTTCTGACTTTTCTAAATAGTCAAGCCTCGTCTTTTTCAGCTTACAACCGAAATAAAACACTTTGCAACAGTTCAGAATGCATGGTAGCTTGCAGGAGCTGGGCAGTGGGCAACGTGGCCGCGATCGGATTCGAAAATTCGTGAACCACTGTACAATTAATTACAATTTATTATTGAAAAGTACAGTCTACATATACATATACATATGTATCTACAAAAAATCCGCGTATGTTGTCATGTCGACAACTACATCGAGATAAAAGTGATGTTTTTGACCTAAATTTGTTAACATTTACTGTATTTGATATTAATATACAGTACTATACAAATGATGCATCACACGACGAAGATTTTTGTTCTACTGTAGATTGATCCGATTACAATATACGGTACAAAATATATCCAAATCCTCTCTCATTGTAATAATAATAATAATTATTAGTCTCAGAGATTTTTACAACAACGTAAAGATGTTGTAGCATTAATTAATAAGCATTTCAAGTTAAAAGTTTATAAATGGACCTCCAATCGTTTACTCTGAGATCATCGCAACAACAACTGTAAAAGGTATGATTTATCTGCCAATATTGGCTACTGACGTAAACTCTTTCTTTGAAGTTGCATGAAGCAAATGATTAGTGTAAGCTATAATATATAATTTAAGGAGTCATGGATGTTCCACATGATGAAAATCACGACGGTCATCTGAACTTACAGTAAATGATGCATAAATATCTGTAATCGGACCTGATGGGCATCGTGACTTCTTTTAAGTTAATCAGTGAAAATCATTTAGTATTCTATGGCAAGTTCGTGTTGATATTTATTAACTCTTTTTGCTCAGCTGATAATAATAATCAGCAATTCTTCATTTTAGAAATAGCGTAAACTTTAAGCATTTCCGTTTTGTTACTGTAATCCACTGCTTGTCGCACAACATCGTTAATCTATTTAATCTTTTCCTTTATATCTATCTAGGCTTTCTCTGAGACCGCTCTCTATGAAATGGATGGCATATGCGTAGACATGCAGCATGCCAAGCTGTGAGTCTGCGTTGTGCATGACCCCTGAAGGAGCTTAAGATGTGTAAAATCACAAAAAATAGGATAATAAAATTTTTGATGATAATGGAAATCGAATTAGTTTTATTTTACTCTGCAACAGCCTAAAGTGATTTAAAAAAAGCTCTTGATTCAAGGTAAGATTGGACTGAAATTGCTGAATGATATGCTGTAGACATCATTGGATTCGGATAAGTGCAGAATCTATGAAGCTGTATGAACTAAACATAAATCTATGATACTTACTGATTAGTGTTATTGTTAACAATGTCGCAAAGCGATGAGCGGCGGTAAACTACCGTTCTAATACAGGTACACTCCTGTCTGTATGCAATGTCATCATCTGTAACAAAATAAAGTCAAATACGAAGTTTTTTTCTTCGAAACGATGTAGTAGCCTGATTGACTTCATGAATTCGAATAAGCTTAGACCAGTGTTAATTGTTCATAATTAGTACAAGTGCACACACTGTAGGAAACCGTGAACCGCGTTTCAAAAATCCTCAAAACATGTTCCAAAACCATAAAACGCGTTTCCATTTTTGCAAATATACGCCTGGAACGCGAACCACGTTTCATAAAATATCGTTGAACCACGCAACTTTGGCTTAAACATACATGACTCCCACTGGTGAGCGGGTGCAGAGTTAGAATTTTCTTTTACCTTTGATATGTGTAAGCAACTGGTAAGAGTAACTTTGGACAAGTAAGGATCATGACTTAAAAGTTTGATGTACAGTGATACTGAATATATACGCATATACGAAGATTTTATAAAAATTACTTAATATTTACTATAATCTTAAAATACCTCTCTGATCATAATAATTGGGTACTTGACAGTTTATCTAATAACCTCATGTAGATTGAAGAAAAGAGGTCTGCTTTATGATTAACGTTTACAATACCAAACGTAATTTGTGAAGTAGCTACCGAATTATAACGCAGATTCATTTCTAGTGATAAAAATAATCGTTATTATGCTATAACCTGCCCCTCTCTCTGAATAGGGCCAAAATTAACGATCTTTTAATATAAGTTGTATAATAACTAATCACGTTCAAGTCGTCAACATAGTAACTGATACATGTTCGTTCGACATCATTGGTATTAAAAATTTATTTAATATATAAAATGTATATATTTTACAAAAATCTAATAAAAACTTTAGTCTGTTGATGAAATACATATAAAAAGTGCGAATTTAAGTTAATAAATCCAGCATCGCATAGTATTATTCCTGCGATACATACGAGCATGAAAACAGAATTTATTTGGTTAGTTCCTACTTCGCTATCATATTGTACACATATGAAAATATCACTTTTCATCCGAAAGTTTGAGTAATGGATTCTCGCTTATCTACATTGTCAAAAAATATTTGTGACCAATACATCACTAATCTACTATACGTATTGTGCTTTTCAAAAATTTTTAATTCCAATCAGTAGTAATTTGCAGTACTGTGATCTTATCTCTACTAACGTTAGCTTTGTAACAATAATTCATGAACAACTATAACATTTACATGGTACAAAATGTTGATGAACTCGTAAATTTAAAATAACTGTGTTCAGAATAACCGTGAGATATTCATTTCAGATTCGTTTTCTCGTCTCCTTCGTTTTCTGTGCTTTGTAGTAACCATTTTTCGCCGATACGCTGTTCGCTTTGCACATCACGTAGAATCATCATCGCAACCTTCCAAGCCATTTCGTCTTCACTCTGTAAAAACGAAGTGATTATTCGGTCTTAAATACTTGCAATTAGTAATTTTAAAACAGCAATGTCGAACGATTTCATATTAAAAATTTACAATCAGATTGCAATATTATAACCTGTTGGTCTGGTGCTCGAGTAATCTTTTGCATCGCCCGTGTTAATCGTGAACCTATCAAGAAATAAAGGCGTTAGCCGGCTATTGATGTAGATTAAAAAGTTTATTTCGAATAATTTAACATCCCCAACCAGGTTTCTTCTTTAGCCCAGGTTCAGGCTCAGCTTCAGTGACAAATCTACCATACTCGTCAACATAACCAAAAGATAGAGGCCTCAAAGATAACAGTAGACTTAGGACCAGAGAATAGCTAAAGGAAAGTAACTGATCAAAAATATACCTGTGAAGCGTAGCTTCTGCTGCAGATGGTTCAATTTTTGCAGAACCTTCCACTGCATTATTCTTATTATTCTCTACCAAGTTCGGCGCAACGTCAGAAATATCAGCAACCCTACGTCCAATGGCTTGCAAACTAATTGCTTCCAGTTCCTCATCATCTTCGTCACTACCTTCCATTATAATCAATTTGACACCCGCTATGATATCACTCATTCGTTGTGATGAATTAACCAATTCCGATAAGTACTTGAAATAAAGGCTACTATGCAAAAAGCTTGGTAAAAAAACCTTAAATAAAAGTGAAGATAAAATACTAGTAAGATGTAAATATTTAAAATATTAATAGTTACTTGATAATTCTGTAAATAAACTACATACCTCCTCAATCATGAAGTAAGTATATTTCTGAGGTGTTTTAAAACAATCTACTGTAGGCCCAGATTCCTGACAAATGTTATTTTCTATTTCAAAGCGTACAATATCATCAATGCCAAGAGATTTCGTAGCTTGCAAAGAAAAATATCTGAAGAAAAATAAAGATAATATTATGGCTTCTCTTTCGAAGTGTTTCAGAAATTGGTGAGCCGCTGCACTTGAAATATGAACGCTTTTGCTTACTTATTATATATTATCATTGCATCATCTTGGGCTTCACTCGCACAGTACTTGCCAGTCTCTTTTGCCGTTACTAATTGCTGTCGAAAATTTTCCGATGTTTGCCAAAACTGTAGATAGTTTAAAGCATTTTCTTGCTCCATGAACTAGGCATACAAAATAAGAAAACAGCACAATATTCATTGGTGTGTTGTGTTAAACACATACAAATCCTTAAACTTTGAATAAGCTATTATCATTATTTTATTTAAGATTACTCAATCAGCATATACCTCCATGAAGTAGAACATTGCCATCTCATTATATAATATGTCTGCAACGCTAATTCGCGTACTAGTTAATATATCTACTTGATAATTACTATACATTTCACTGCATAAAAAATATGGAAAAATCCTAATAATAAATATAGAGAAATATGCATTCAGTCTAGTGAAAGGATTTTGATAATTAAAATTTTAACTTTTAAATATAAATTAGAAGAGCAATAGTACTTCAATACATCACTATCATAAATACGTTTGTAATATACCGTTCCATTTTATTAAAGGAAAATTCTTGGGCTTCTTTAAAACAATCAGGCAAAATTCGTCCGTCCTCGGAACATATATTGCCTGGAGAATGATAATCAAATGTATATTCAATAATGAAATTAACAAGTCCATTTATGTTTTTAAACCTCTAATTGAATGCAGGCATAATTTTGTTAATAAGTAGATCTTAATATCGAACTATAATCTTTTAAAAAGTTTGTATTCACCTTCTATTCTTACTCTTATATCTTCACTTAATCGAATTTTCTCAGTAGCCTCAAGGGAAATATATTTATCGTATAAGCTTATAGCATCGTTTTGGATGGCTATGAATGAGAAATTATGAATAGAAGATCTTCTAATGATACCATCATAAATATATATACGACTAATCGTATTAAATCTGAAAAGAGATAAAGATTTGTCTTACACTTGAATATCGAATTTTTGTCGACTTGTTCATGGTTATTACAATCTTCATCTATTGCTTGACTATTAACCAGAGGATGGGAAGAAACAAAGCTCTCGACAGCAAGCCAAAAACGTAGTAAACTAACAGCTCTTATACTATCCATAAATTCAATAAAATACGGTAGAGAATTTTTATCATGAAGTACTTCGGTTAGAGTTTTGTTCAGGCGAGAAAAAGTAACCCAAGCTGTGTCTATTTTGCCACTGTTATCCTATTTGACAACGAAAAATTTTAATATTCAGACATAACTATAATATACCTCAGTTAAAAGTATTTTATTACAGATATATGCTAATTATGGTATAATTAAGCACATTTTAGTAGGCTGAAGTGGAATGGAAACATAAACAGACCTCTCTGGAAATAGCAGACATCAAAGAACGCGTTACAGTCTGCGTAATGCTTTCGTCTTCATTCTGGTCAAGTAATTTAACATCTGGCTCAAAACTTGTCGATTTGCTTCTCATAATTGGAGATTTCTTGTCATTAACGTTCAATAATTGGGATCCAGTGTTGTCAAAGACCGCACTGTCATTGCTAATAGCGGACGCGGATACGTTACTGTGGTTGGCGCGGTTATCCTTTTTGGGAGACTTACTATTATGATCCTTAGGTCTATTTCTACTTTTACTTTTACCATTTCTCCTTAAATCATCTTGTTTACTAATTCTAACTACTTCCGCTGACGGGCTACCTTCGAGCCAGTCGAAGCTATGCCCTTCACTATTTCGCCTTCTATGTCCTGTATTAACGCCATCGGTAGTTTTGTCTAAAACAATTAGATAATCCGAGCATTTAAACAAGACTTATTTTAAGACAGTAAATGAAACTGATCATATAGGTAAACCTATCAAGGATAAGATAGCTAATATTTCATGAAGTAAATACGATTTATCAATAGCAACTACAGTATTCCATAAACAGGTCACATTGTAGAACAGTTTGGTAACAAATCTAATAAGGCATTTAATAATTCTTTCAAAGTACCGATTTATGACATACGAGACCGTAGCATCAACACGGTGAAATCTGTCATATCAATGCATGATGACATGATTATGACATTAACGAGAAGGTTAAGGTTATGTTACTGTACCTGTACAGTGTACATGTGGCCACTTAAACTATTGACTAAAGTTACGTTACCGAATCAATCACTCAGGCACTGAGGCAAATTCGCAGTACAGCATACTGCAGTTAACAGTAAGTAGAAATTACAGTAGCAATCGTAATTGCAATACTCGCACAATATATTCTATTTTATTTTATAGTAGCTTCGCGCTGCATTGCTTCTATTATTGGATAACTAATTTTTTCTTTGATTATATAATCTGTTAGTCTGTTAGCCATTTGTTATGACTATAGCACTCTTTCAATACCTGAAGATAATAATCATTATTTATAATTACTGTAAATAAATATATATAAAAAGCATTTAAAAGCCTCGATAATAAACTGATTGGTTTACTAAGTAAAAAGTCCACAGTAAGAGTAATCCTGTATTAGTCCTTTGCTAAATGAATTTAGATTAACTGAGAGAACTCTTCACCATTAAAAGCATGATATGAATTCATGACTACGAAATCAGAACGTAGTTTACATCGTAGATAAAGAGGGACGAAGCACAAATACGAACAGCTGTAAGACAAAACTTCTGGGTACATTCTTCCTGCACACGATCAATTTTTGGTGAAGGCAAGTACAGAGTGAATAAGAAGGAAGTTCACAAACAGTAAAAATACTGCCGTAGACTATCGTGTACAGTATTGTGCTGTAGTGCATAATCTGTTTACCGCTTGCAGCACAGCACTGCAACGACGCCAAGCATTGCAAATGATAAGTAACATTAAACGTGATCATAATCTCATGCTAACCTAACAACAGATATTCTTAGAACTGTTCCTACCTGCCTTACTTTTAAATAATCTCTTCATTGTGAATTAACAATAAATGTGATATGCCATACAGCCTCCAATAATGCGTATGTAAGTTTTCATTAAATACGATACTAGGATTTCTTGAAATGTATTCTCAGCTTGGCTCGCCTCGTTTAGCCAATACCTTTTATCTTACAATTAATTCACCCCTTTTTTTAACACTTTATCACAAAGTAGAGAATACTATACAGTGTAATCAATCATTAAAGGGATGGGATAATCAGTTTAGTTCACTTAACCTAAATTAAAGGACGAGGATATTGTAAAGGCTTGACTGATAATACAATCATCGGATTACAAATCATTGCAGTGATTCTACTGTATATGACTATATACAGTATACACAAGCCGAGATGCGTCTTTTACTACCATCTGTCTAATGTCGCGAAGGACTTGCCAAAAGAAAGTCCCGGTACGTACGTACAGTACGTACTGTACAGAGTACAGTATGATGGACTGTATCGCGTTCTATCAAGACCATTTGAAGAAACTCATCCTGTACTGTACAGTACTGTACTGTACTGTACTGTACTGTACTGTACGTACTGTACAGTGTGGATAATGTACTGTACACTGTACACTGTAAAGTCATACAGTACTATACAGTACAGTACAGTACAGTATTGTACTGTACAGTATTGGGAGTAGAACTCTCGCTCGTTCTATTTTATCGCCTATCGTTGTGTAAAATGTTTATTTCATTGAATTGAATCTAATTTAACCCTGATTATGTACAAGGGCTGCAAATCAATAGTTCACAACTACTGTATTCAAGAGAGTACTACATAGGATGATAAGAGTAGATGTACAGTACTAATGAATTAATGATATAACAGCTATATATTATTATGTAGTGTATGTTTTAGCATCAAATTACAAGCTAATTTTACATAGGACGATAAGAGTAGATGTACAGTACAGTACAGTACTAATGATACAACAGCTATATATTATTATGTAGTGTACTGTATGTTTTAGCATCATTACAAGCTAATTTCATTGGCCATGGGAAGGGTATTCGATGAAAACTGTAACAAATGCTGGATTACTTGTCCCTGACTTTTGAGTAGCTCGCCTATCCCCACGCCTTGACTCGAAGTTGACTCCGGGTATCATGCCTTTATAAACACCTGTACGGTAACATCGATATTATTAAATTTTGAAAAGTAATACCGTACTGTACTATCGTTATTATGTCGGAACATTACAAGGAAACTGGAAACGTTTGCTCATTGGCCTGACATTCATGACGAGGCATCATTACAAGAAAGCAAGAAAACGCTTGTTCAATGGCTTAATCCCCACGATTTTCCTAGCTATGCCAATGAGGAAGCGTTTCTTGTTTTCTTGTAATGATGCCCCGACATAATCGTTACACGTTGCTATTTTAGGATCAAAATTGTAGTCTAAATTACTGTATTACTCCCACAGTACAATACGAATACACTAAATTCGTAACATGGTTTTTAATATAGGACGTTGAGAGGTTGTTATGCGATTGTTACTGAACGTTAAGTTTTTACCCGATGGGTGACAGGTACTGTATTTGTACAGATGAACGGCAACGGCTTTACCGGCGGCCAAGCCATACCGTAGATCAGTGTTCTACAGAGCTCGATGACATGGATGAGGTCATTAACGAGCATTGAAAGCTAATTGAACTGGCCATTTAATCAAGGCATTGGACAGAATGTATTTTGGACTAGTCGGCTCGATGGTTAATTGATCTAAACTTGAAATCGTCTGACCTTATAAATTCGAACAATATCAACAGTACTTGTGTGTACAGCATTTAAGATAACTTTGCAATAATGTTCACAGCGCTACAAGTGGTCTTAGTGTCATTTATTCGAATGCTGTTCGTTGTCGTACCAAACAAAACTAGTACACAAACACAATTTTACTCCCATATATGTACAATATAAGAAGACCGTGTATCATGACCGAAGCAAACGAACTACTGTATAATATTCACAAATAATAAAATGAAGTATAATTTCTGCTGCATTTTCTCATTTTCAAACAGCCCAAAAAGGAGAATATCTAAATTTTTTCATTCATAGTAGTACACATACATCAAACATAGTATGTATATAGACCATGCTCTAGGACACAGCTCTTAAATAAATACATACTACAGTAAGGTTTATAAAATAAAACAAAATAATAGCATATACGCTCTGAACTTGTATCAATTGTACAATATCTATTTCATGGTAACACAATTTGGTAACCTCAACTTAAGGCTTTTATATCAATGTGCAAAGGTAGCCCTAGGATGTTTACTGGGACGACTTGAAAGAAAGTCTAGCTAACATCACAATATAAGCTACATTTTTAGAAAATAATACTTTCGATTTTAACAATCTGCTACTGTATATACTGTATACAAACTTTAAAGAATTACATATTAGATGAATGACAGTCAATACTTGCAGCTGGGCACCATTATACACGTATGCACATATAAATATTTGCAGATCTGCAAATACATCTGCATGAAAGACTTTTAAATCATACAATTGTTTGACTGGAAGTCCTACGTATCTGTGGGTTATGCATAGTAGATGAATTATCCTGTTTTCTCTCTTCAGTTAAATCATTTAAACCTTCGTAAGTACGCAGAAAAGCTTGACACAGTTTTGTAAACAGATGAAACCAATTTGTCTGTCTATCGATATCTTCATCCTAGAACGAATGCAGATTTGTATAATATCATTAACTTAAAACCAAAATAGCCATAATTACTTGACTATAGTAATAATCAATCGATCATGAATTTAAAGGCTTAAAATAAAATCACAAATCATGAAGGTCTTGAACTACCTGATCAAAAGGACCGGCGAATTTAAAATATCCGTCAAATCCAATTTCTATTAAAAACATTTTTCATGAGCAAGATATCGGTAAGAATTATCACAATGTAGGCATGAAAGAAATCACACTTAAAATACATTAAATAAAATACCGCGGAACACAAACCTTGCAAGTAATCACTACTAATAATGTTACGATAGTCTGCTTTAGTAGTTAACATAAATTGTACAATAGACTGCACATAACCCAATATGTATAAATCTCGATTATGAGCTAAAATTGAACCAACTTTTTGATCTATGATATGGCCCCTACATAAAGAAATTCAGAGCGATGATGAATATTTTATAAATTTTATCTACTTATTCCCTGATAATATAACTAAATACTTGACGGACTATCAATGTGATTACTAACAATATAGGAAAAGATAACGGCATAACTCTTGACGCTTCTTCGATAATTTCACTAAGGATCCTAAGCTTAGGCTCATCATGTATATAATGGAAATGTATACCCTATTTCAAAGTAATTCAATAAGCTTAATACTTCATACCCAAAAACGAAAAAGTTAACTGAAAATTGTGCATTGTACTGATATATACTCGTATATACATTAATACATAGTATCGCAGCCTACTAACAAGAGTGCAGAGTAACAACACTTTAGTCTTTTCTGACAGCGATGGATCCAGCAATTTATTCCAAAGGAAACCACCTGAATTATCAGCGCTAAAGAGCGAAGTGGAGCTCGCATCGAGAGATTTGCGAGCAAGTTTCTGAGGTATTTCATCCACTAGTGGATATAAAGCTATAAAGACAGATTTATGCCTGATAAATTACAAATAATAACTTTAAAGTGTCGAACATTAATTATCACAAGTCAAGCGAAGTCTACCTGCAAGGTAAGCAGTGCTTTCCTCGTTTACATCATACTTGCCACATTCTTTGCTACGATTAATTAGATGGAGTAATGTATCTAACAGCCTAATACTCTGAGCACAGGTTTCAGGAGACGGATGATGACGTCCTATTAAATAATACAGATCATTTATTAACTTCAAGATCCACAGTAGTTAATTCACTGGCTTGTATTAGCCGTACCTTTTAGCAGAATTGCAACCATGGCAAAGTGAAAGTTACTTTCGAAATTGCATTTCGTAAAGTTATCAAAGCGTCCGCATTCCTCCAATATCGGTAAACGCATTTTTAACACAGGAATATGTAGGACCTTCGAAATAAAATCATCATCAATGAGTTATCATAAGCACATAAGAAGGAACAGCTTAAAAATGCCACACACCTGATTTGTAAAAATCTCCTGGCTATCCAATGCATAAATACTTTCTTCTAGCAGTCCTAATCCTGAGGCATACAACGATGATTCCCCTAACTACGAATTATCGATAAGGTAAGGCATTGATTATTAACAGCACATGTATATTTCTTAACTCGTAATGCATACTTACCTGTAGTACTGAAATTGCGAGCCAAAATAATAGCTGGTGTAGTCTCGAGTTCTATAAATATGTAACAGTAAGGCATGTAAGCTTAAGTTAGGATCAGTACAATTAAATTGCCATAATCACGCCATTCACATAAAATAAAAACTATGTCCTTCACTTAGGAAGCAATAACCTTATCAAGGCGGGACTGTAGCTTTTTTAGGGATATCATCGTAGCTTCCATTATAATGATATCATTGCATTTCTGCGTGACCTTAGATGTGAAATAAGCTCAAATTACTAACGAATACCACTAATCCGATGTTAGCGAGTACGTCAATAGTTATAGAATGGATATTACGGAAAGTAAAACAAAATAGGTAACTTCTAGAAATACGTACATCAACTAAAAGTTTAATTAATCTCAAAACAGTTTCATCAGTAACATTCCTAACAAGGCATCCTATCACGACCAGCGCACGGGGCTGAAGAGCCGGATTATAGTCGTATGCAAACCTAATTTACGGAAAATAAATAAACCCAGTAAATCTCTACGCGTCCAAGAATAAGATTTATGATAGACGACAAACTTTGATGCCAATGTTATCCATGTGTCAAGCCAGCTCAAGTTAGGTAAATCGCGATTGCAAGCGTTCATGACCTCAACCAAAAGATCTGTTATTGATTCTAACGCGTTAAGTGACATTCTTTCTTCGGACTGTGAAGAAGATGATGACGATATAGATTTTTGAGAAGTTTTAGAAAGTTTTAGAGAAAGTAGCGAATCGGCTTTGCCTCTTGATAACCCTAATAAAGTCAATAATTATGTTAGTTCTGTTTCATAAGCACCAAAAATTCTTACTCTTAGGCTAATACCGAAAAGATGACAGTGCCTTGCAGATGACAATTCTTCTAATCGATGACGAAGTAATTCCAATGTTTCATCTGTTTGTTGCAGATGATCATTATGTGAGAATAGATAATACAGTATGCACATCAACAACTTAAAATCTAGTAAATTTTAGTAAGTACTCACCAGTGAGGGTCAAATTTCGACAGGTGCATAACGACTGTAAAATATTTATAGCAAAACCATGTATCGTAGATCTTACAGATATTGATCCAGTGCCGACCAAGAGTACCATAACGTTGCAAATATGTGGAAAATTACTAACCACTAATTATCAATAAAAACAGACCGATTTTCACTTATTAGTACTTACATTCGCACGCTATGACACTTTTGTAGCATTACGAATTACTAGAAACAATTTACATTTATGAAATATCCAATTGATCAACATTTAATATTCCATACGTTAAGCAAACACTAACCATTTAATACATTGTTAAAAGATAACGTCAACAAATACTTGGTTAGTGTAGCTATATCATCCCATAATATATGGCAATCCAGGCTCGGTGCAGGAGAAATAAATGTTCTGTCTAAATACTGTCAAAAAACACTATGCTTTAATACTTATAGTTCTATGTCGGTTTTATCTCTTAGAATATCAAACTAACTTGGCTAATACGCTCAATAATCTTATTAGAAACAATTTCTAGATTGGCTGCAGCTAGAGCAACAGTAGCATTAGCCATGACTTCCGCGTTTGGAGAATCTAGGCCTCTTTGACCGCTAGCCTGATAGGAATAACGAATTGATAAAATAATTAAGCGACCACGCGCTAAGATATGCATTATATAAATTTCTGTTACCTGAATAAAGCAATCAAGAACTAAATCTATTAGCTCTCTAACTTGACCCATTTTTTCCCAGATGGCAGCTTGTACGGAAGAGTTCATCTAGAATTCATGCATTGCAGTAGCATTTATAAAATGTGTAGTTACACATAATTAACTAATTAATTCAATCATTATAGTACCTCTTTCTCTTTTATTGTTAGATCAATCAGTTTTTCTATAATAACAATAACTTTCTGTCTTTCAGTTATTCCTGTAGTTATAAACCTTTGACGATAAACAAAAATATCCAGTAAAATACCAAAAAACATACTACCTTAAGTGAGAAACCGAATAGCAATTTTATAAAGTCATATCCTGTATAAGCTTCTTTAGTAATCCGTAAGAACAAAACTACTTACCTTGCCAGATTGGGAAGCCAGGGTGACATGTATTGTAAGCACAAGTGCTTCAACTCAATTTTAGATTTGGCAAAGCTATCAATGCTTTCTTCGAGGAACTATTGAAAGTTTTATACGTATTGAAATAATAATTTAAAGTTTGATCGTTTGAACGGTTTCCGCTGAGATCATAAACATCAAACCTGAAGCGTGAGGAAAGGTTCGCACTTAGCTAAATGCTGGCTTATGCTAACAATAAAGATTAAATTGTTTGCAGGAATACGCAAACCTATATGACAAAAATAGTAAAGAGCGAATAACATCATTTTAGTAAATTTCCATAACATTTAATGTTCAGTAATGTAATGAGTATAATTTGATAAATTTTTGTGTAAAGTAGCATTATTCGACAAACCCCTGGTTTCGAGAAGTTGCCCTTCTAGTGGTAAGTTAAAGGCGGTCGCCAATGCACATAATAAATTATACGCTGAGGAACGTAATTTTGAATCGTTATTTCCAAGATTTAGTAAAGCCTGTAATATTCCATAATGTAATACATCAATCCTAGAACAAGCTACAAAGAATATATAGAAACGATATAAAATTTCACTTTACCATGTTAAGTAAGGTCCCAGGTACTTCATTTGGTGTAATTTTTTTATATACGTTAATTGAATTCTGGAAAGTATGATTAATTTAGAAGTAAATATTATAAGCTTCACTACAACCGATAAGAAATGATTCGAAAATTGTAGGTGCAAGAATATTATAACTTGTTAACAATCTCGTTATTAAATACCTACCGGCTGGGATAACTGCCATCTATGCTTGATCAGTGATATCGCATTAACTATTTGTTCTGCTTCTCCACTAATAAAGGCCATATTTAAACCATAATTGGTACATTTTAATGTGAAGGTATTTTCATTACGAAGCGATATTTCTTCAATTTCTGACGCCAGAAAGACATCATTTAGAGTAGTTGCAAAACCTAATAATTTTACTTTCTCAGCACTGCGTATTTGTAATGAAGATGGCCCTATCTATTAATATGATCGAGAAAAAATACTGATTACAGGAAGTCGAAGAATATATTGATTTTTAAAGACGAGCACAAAAAATAACTCAAACACTGCTCAGGGCTAAAAAGAATACATGCCAATATACGACAGTGCTCTTACCAAGAAAGCTAAGGACGGTAAGTAAAGACTTGGAACTCTAACCTTTTGAGCAATATTACTAAATAACTAATACAATTAGAAAATAAAAAATTTTCATCACAGTAGTAATTCGCAATGCCTTCGATTGAAAATTTACAATCTAAACATAATATCAACAAAATTACGATACTTTGTTATCTTTTTGCAATGAAGTTGTAGCTGAAGGCAATTTTAACTCATTTTCTTCAATGTACTCATATATTTTCGTTAATTCATCGATAACTATTATTTTTTCATTTCCCTACATGCAGAGAAGTTACAATTACCAGGTTCGTATTCATACAAAATTTAAAGAACTTGTTTAGTAGGAAGGGTACCTTAACTCTTTGAAATACTCTTTCGTGATATTTTACATAATTTCTAACCCATTTGTTACAGTTATAAATATATACTGCTTGTAAGTTATCAGTCGCTTGGTTAGGAAAGACATGAAACCATTTTGAAATGAAATTTCCCTTCAAAAAAGATAAATTAAAATTGCAATATGTGATGGCAGGTCAATATTAATCAATAATTTTATCACGAATTTATATCAATATATGCTGTGGTTAGAATTACTTTTAACTGATTCGGTGGACCGAATTTTGTGCAATCAATTACAAGTTCCCACGGCTTATTCATATAAGGTGCCAATGATGACATGATATAATAAATTACTAATTCTTCATTCATTTGTTCGCAGCTATAAGAATTTCAGCCAAACAGTTAAAAAGTAAAGTAAGACCTAAATTTATTCCAGCTTTACAACAAAAATCAAGCCCTACCACAAGTTATTGCAAATATAGTAAAATACTGGATACTTTTTCCGAGACTTTCCCTCCTATCCAAAAAAGTTTTCAATTTTAGATTTACACAATTTCAGGTCTATGATATTAAATATATATAACTATAACGGAAATCACCAAGTAAAAAAAATTAGCATCTTTGATAATTTCCATTTCCTGTTCGTTATAATGTTTATGCTTCGCCATAAATTCGTAGAATAAAGAACCACTTTCAGTTTCGGTACTTTGAGTTCGTCTAAAAAGTGTCAAAAATTAACACCAAAATGTTGCACTTGATGTCCTATATACAAACTTTATATGGCTATACTGAACTTACTGTATTTCATAAGATTGCTTAAATTGTTTCTTTGGAGGACCAAGTTGTGCTAATAAAATAGATAATTGATCTAGTAGCTCACGAGACTTATTACACCGTGATCCTCTATATCAAAGAAATCAGAAAAGGTTATTGTCCTTAACGCTAAGCCAAACCGGTATTGAAATAGCATATGCGTACTACCGGAGGCATACCTATTTGCTGCAAAATATTGAGTTATTTGTTCCTGGTTGTCAAATACAATTGAATAAAGAGAATATATCAGACTATCATTTACGAAGGCTAAGTCCGCTTTGTCTCCAACTTTATTTCCCTTCTCTGATGATATATTTAAAAGAAATCTAGAAATTTGGTATTGGATATAATGCATATCTAATCAATAAATTGATAACACTAGAATAATATCGAGACTAAAATTATTTTCTTACTCCTTAATAGCATTGAAATGATTTGTAAGAAAATCATTGAAAGGTAACATATGGTGTTCTTTCGCGAATAAGACTTGATTTGCACAATTTTGTAATATCTTAACATCGTATGCATCAAAAATAAATTAAATGTAAATAATTCGAAACAATTAGAATATCATATTGGATTTGACGTCCAGCAAATTTACTAAGAGGGCTTGACTACAGCGTAGCATTTTTATAGCTACATCTATTGCTAACCTTGGATGCGAGCTTTAATCCTCTGACAGACTTTAATGATATTTCCCTTTTCTTAGAACCAATGCTTAACGGAGAAACTAAGATGGAAATAAAACTTACTACTAATATATATGTTAAATATAACACCTATGCTGACAGAAATCGCATATAACGCATCGCTGCCTGATGCTGTAACTTTTGCTTACCAATAGCTGGATTTAGGAATCGTAAGAAAATTGCATTACTAACGGCACTAAGACCACTCTGAGGAAAGCGCGATTCAGCTACCTACAGTCCAAAATTGAAAAATTGATAAATTACTAATTCTTTAACAGTCTTAAATAACACTATTTATCGTTGTTTGCAATGTTATTTCCATCAAGTTTCTAGAGAATATAGCACTGACCTCATATAGACAATGACATGCACTCTTGAGTTGACTAGGCAGCCTATAGTGTAAACATAATTTTTATTCGTTTACAGTCAGTGAAATTAGGTATATCTATTAGTAACCTTTACGTTCCAAAGTATTTCCATATACTTGAAAGTACGATTAAATACTTACATATGCGCTGAGCTTAGAATAATATTTAGAACATTCTTAGCTAAATTGATTAAGTTGACGCTGTTAGTTTCAACATTTTCTTCGCCGTTAATCCTAAAATGTTAATGAAATTTATATTAATTCATTGAATTAATCTCTTGAAGTAAGCGATGATTACTAAAGAGCGGTACAGCATATTTCGCTTGCGGATGCTATTAATAATCCCTAAATCACAATTTTTGTATTATTAAACTTATCATCTTGCATCAATGACTAACCGAGTTGGATCCACTTCGTATGAATGATCGACTCTATCGCTGCTGCAAATATAATCTAGGACTTTGTCTATGATACTGACCAAGTATTCTTTACCAAACGTATTGCAGCAAAAAGTCATCATCTTACTAGCAACAGTATTACCACGAAACAAAGTGTTTACGTCATCAGAAGAAGTAACCTAGAATTAATGACACCCTTATTCACATTTTGCTACATGCATTAAGCCATATCAATTTAGAGATTTTAAACGCTGTTACCTCTCTGCCAAACACATTCAAAAGAAGGGTATCTAGTTCACTTTTTGCTTCTGACAAAGGAATCAAAGCTTGACATAGTTCATCCTAAGTATAAATTACATTTCTGTTTACTACAGATGACCACCAACGTAATTGAGTATTTATTTCTTATAAACTTTATCGAAACTAACGAGTTGCGAATGTGAAACCCCATTTATCAGAGCGAGAACAAGAGGTAACTTGGAATCTTTCAGGGTGGTCATAAAAAGATTTATGAACTTTTCAAATCTATCACTCGATGCGGTTTCCGCTAGGGTATCAAATTCAGTGCCCTATACAATTTAAAATTTCAATAAATTCTTCAGGAATAATACTCAATATAAAGGCTAACTTATTTAAAAAATTATGCAAATAAAATATAATACAATCTCGCTGGCAGCGTAGGTAATAGACCTCTCGCAATATTTTTGTAAGTATTTCGGTAAAAATTGTTCTTGTTTGCAAGTCAGAATGATAGCCGAGCCCTACAAATAAATGATCAAAAGTAAATATTTCTTAACAGTAACAGTAATTTTATTCCAATTATATCCATCAACCTAACGATAACGTGAGGCCATAATCGATATTAGCTTGCAATAAATTCGACATTGCAGCTACAGTGCAATCATGTAATAGCAAATAATAATCGGATAAGAGGCGTTCTTGCTTCCTAGGAGACCCTTGGTGTAGCAAGCTACACTCATTTAAAAGGTTCATAAATAAGGTGAAATATCTAAGGAAAAATTAAATTTACACGTATCAGTCAGTTTAATATTTAGTAAAGCGACAATAATTCTAATATTATATATTTTATCATACTTTAGATAAATTTTTATTTTTGTGTCATTAGTATTTGGTTCAGTTTCATCCGGTTGTAAGGGTAAATCTGCCAGAAGGACTGCTATCGCCTGCATGCAGGCTAAATCTAAATCTCTGCATGATATGCGCATAGAATCACAAAACTGAGATCAGCACAATGCCGGTAATCCTAACATGCAGTACGATTTCTTTGCCAATAAGCCATATGAAAATAAGAGATGCAATCTGATTAGGTTCATACAAAAAAAATGGCGTAGAAATACCTTAGCATTCCTTTAATTTCACTTGAAACATCTGAGGATGATCCAGATACATTCATAACCCACTCCGTTAGGTAACTAACTAATTTATTACGAAATTTTATTTGTTGTGTAAATGTTAAGGCGTCCTTTCTTTTCATAACGTTTTGCACGAGTTGGCAAAGCCTCTTTTTAATAGGAACTGTATGGGCTGTCATCGGCAAATTTCTTATATACCTATAAGTCAAATAATATGAGTCATTGTAATTTTTTCGATGTCTAGATAAGCATAACAATATTCAAAAGTTACGATCGGGTTTCACCTGATTAAATATAACATAATAGTTTCAATATTTATATTTCTTAAGTAGCTATAAAGCTGCTCGTCGGATCCTTTATTTAATATTCCTCGGATAATCGATATTATCTGGCATATAGTTACAAATAACGGGTAATACCGTGAAATTTTACGTAAACGTATAATGAACCGTCCTTTAAACAACATGGTCATTACCTGATCAGCAAATAATGTATTCGACTCTAAAATAATCGCCTAGGATCGTATAAAAATCATCAAGTATGCAAATTAGATATTTCTTTTACATATCGCGATATAACTTAATAATATAATAATAACCTGCTTATTTTGCGGAAAAAATGTAGAAAGTAATTCTTCTATTTGTTCGAATAGGATTGGATGCAATAGTGGACTCATATTTTGTCCGATAATTTCTTTCAAAGTACCGCGAATCTATTTTAAGATCAGTATAAATTAGTAGTCTAATTCATCTCAGAAACACCTACATTTAATAAAAGTTTCTGCATTAGAGCTAAACCTGCGCTCCAAACTGATCGTTGTTGCAATCAAGTAAGTTTAGCAACGCAATTATGAATCTGTGAAATATTAAAATCGAACGTTAACTCAAAAATTTTTAATTTTAATTTAATTAAAGCCTATTGTAATTGTTATGTGATATATCATTGAAAATAAATATGCTGAGGATATAATGCATACTTTCTAGCATAAGCTAAACTATCCCTTTCGCGTTCTTTCTGTTTATTTCCAGATCTATTTTCAATCATAACCAAACTTACTGTAGGAACATATTAACTAATATAACATTTTACGGATAAACAAAATACCTTAACAGAATCTGATTAGCGTTACTAACAACAATACCCCCAAAAGAACACAAGAAACCTGTCACATTAGCCCACTCGTTAAAGTCATCCTGTATAAATTACGAACGAGTTATGATAAATCAATAAATTGTTAAAAGAAATAACAAAAATTGTACTTAAAAGGAAAAATACTGTGTAATTACCTGAGTAGGAGCATAAGAACTACCTGACCTTCTTTTCATAGCAAGAAAATCGTACAGTCCCGACTCTTCTTTTAGTTGTCTTAAAAGATGATTAGTTGACTTTTGCCAGCATTTAAGAGCTTCTTTCCATGCCTAAATATATATATTTCCAGTATAAGTACGCTTGCATCTTCAGAAATCGCTTCCTTAACTTTCATTATATATATTATCAACAAAGGTGTTGATCTAATATCAAATACTGTCATCTTAATAGCCAAGTTTTATATAACTACAATAGTCACAATCTACTAACCTGAAAGTTTCCCTCAGTATGATCCTCAACTTTGATCAGAATGGCACCTATTCGTTTTTGAATGGCAGCTCGTCCTTTAATATATAAGGTGAAATTTATTGATAAAAGGAACACTACATGATTATACCAAATCTAACACCATACGTGCTTCAATACATTCGACCATTTATTAATATTACCAGTTACAGTTAGTCTGGTATGCAATCATTACAAACAATGTCTACCATTGTACCGTATACTTTTTACAGTTAACACATATACTTGTTAAATTCGGACAAGAAATCAGTATAATTGATACATCATACAAGATATAGAACGTCAACATATCAATAATGCAGTAAATCTCATATCTGATTAAGACTAAAACAAATCGTGATTATTCACAAACCAATAATATAGCATATGCAAAGAATATTCCGATGATGAATATGTCATTAACTGATCATGCTTAACCCTACGCAGTATATATTTATCGACATACAGTTACGATACAATATATTACTACACGTCTTCATTATTTTACTACTTTAATGTCAACAACATTATGCAAACAATGATCAAAGTAAATAACAGAAATACCGTTTTTATACAATATCTTCGTTAATAAATCTATCCAACCTGTTATTAGCTCATCAGCTAAGCTAGCTAATTCTTGATAATTTACAAAGCAAAGCGGCAATTGATTACTATCATCCAACGTTGACAGTTGATATTCTGCTTCTTTATGCAAATATCGAAGGCAGGATAAAGCAGTAAGTACAGTCTCAATATTGGAATTCCATAGGCATGACAGTAGTGCAGTCTACAAAAAAATTACGTAAATAGAATCAATAATAGGCTTATCTATATCTAGATACTATATTGTAAATTGACACAGCAAACCTCCAACTTCTGTAGCGTAACTGTAAACATCGACGACTTAACAATCATTCTGTCATCCTAAAGATCATATTGAGAAATGATAAATTTACATAAGCTAAAGAAATTTAGCCTAAGATGAGGTTTGGTAATTCTATGGCAAAAAGCGTTAAATTGTTTCGTATTTTGAAAGTTGTGAACAGACTAAAACAACCTTATATTTTCCCAATAAACGACCACGAAAAGTAAGAATTTCTCTTAACCACATAGCTAGCTGTAAAACATCACATTCCAGTACTCTCTCAACCAATTTTCCTGACAGTGTTAAAACAACTAACGAGCTGATAGAAATAAAATTGAGTTAGCACTGTAATCGTAAAATCGTCGCCTGAATTTGAAGCAATCAAACGGGATTTTACTTGAAATTCCATAAAGTAGATGTCCAGTTTGCTGTATCTAAGTACAATACATTTTCCAACTGATGAAAGTGTCGCAAGGTCTATTAAAAAGTTTCGACAATCATTATTTAGCTAATTACAGATTAGATCTAGTAAAATAGAAAATACTTGGAAAGCAGATTGAGATAATTCCAACAAGTCAATCGAAGTAATTATCAAAAGTAGACCACGAATTAATTCTTGGAGTTCCTGATAGTAATCCTCACTTTTCTTAGAATTCTTCAGCGAGTACATATACGAACACAAATACCAATATTAAAGGTTGCAATCAGAGAAATCAACTATTCTAACCGTATACTTACATTTAATGCCAATGCAGGATCATCGTCAAATAGTAATATTAGCGATAAAACTAAGTCTCTATCTCGGTTAGATTCTTCGATCTTTTGTTTCTTATCCTTATTCTTGCTAAAAGTCTGTAACGAATTTTAGCTATATTAATGCAACCTTACACTTTTAAACACAGGGATTTCAAATTTTTTACATGAAATTATTTCATACTTCTACAATATATTCAGTTATATCCCTCTGATAGTAAATAGTAGATATCTAGCTCAACTTCCAAAAAATTATATATTATATATTAGATGATAATAATTCACTATACCTGTTTACGCCTTTCCGTTTGAAGCATTCTAGTCAACGCTTCCTAATTATTTTTAAATTATTAGAATACATCATATCGATGCCACATTATAGCACCCCTAAATTAACCCATTATTTGCATAAGTAACACAAAGTCTCTTACCCTAAATACTATTCTTAAATCTGAAGCAAGTACATAGAGAGAAGAAGCAGGAGGCCACCAAGCCATGGAATTCTAAATGATGTACGTATGAATTTAAAATGGCAAACAATTTTTACCGAATAAAATGTATATTGAATCTTCCGTTCCGCCTTAAATTACTAAAGAAAAACAAATGCTGTACGTAACGTTATAACACTGTATTGGAAATATCAATCATACTTCCGTAACAATAGCCTTGAGACCCCTGACAATTGCCAAATGCAAGTTTGTAGGCGCTGTTGGCAGCAAACATTGCTCAATATATTGTATACTCAAGCTCTTTGTGCGGAAACTAGCCAAAAAGACATCGCTAATAATTTGTATTTCCAGAGTACTTGCACTTCCAGTACTACTTCCAATAATTCGTCCAAAGGGTTTTTGTGGATTAAGAAACATTTGCTAAAGGAATAAAATTAATAATTATTTGTAATTGAGTGTGTCGCTGTCAGCTATATCATGAAATGTAGTGCAAATTAAAATAAATGACAGAGAAAAACCTTTAGATCAGTGATAATCTTTGCAGCAGCAAGAATTATATTAGCTTTGACATCAGCATCTAAATAATTTACAATTTTACACAAATCAGCACAAGCAATAGCTGCCCCTTCCGCTAACTGTTTGTTTCCAGCCAAGGACTTCTGTAAGTTTGAGAAAAATGAGACCTATATAGTCAAATAATAAAAACTACTCAATTGGAAATGTGGGTATATTTGTACAAGAATAAAATGATAATTTCATTCATTCCTTGAACAACATGAACTACAACACTTTCATGATTTGTATTTAAATCCACGTACGTATTTTCTACTAGCTTTCAATTTTGTATTTTCTATTACGGCGTCCTAAATCAATTTGAAGAAGAAGTAATATTAACGATTGAGATATAAAGATTCTCTACAATGTGAAATACATACTGAGCCTTTTCAATTCGGAAAAGCTTACTGATAGGTAGATTACTATAACAGTTTGCATCATACTGTATACTGTACATACAGGGGCAAGTGCCAAGAGTAAGGTCTGTAGCGGCCAAACAACTATTTTTTTCTTTATACTGTCAGCATATTCCTCCATTTTATCAAATAGAACTAAAGATACATCTACAAGATAGAGTAGATTTATTCGAAAAAAATTCATTCTCTATATTTTGATAATCATAAATGTTATTGTACCTGCAAGTTCCGGATTTCTATCTCGGTACAACTGTGAAAATTCTTTCGGATTATTTCTCAGCCAATTCCAGACGCCCTAAATTAATTAAGTGATTTAGTATCCTCACTTGTAAAATAGTATGTTTCAGATGATACCAAAACGAGTAATGGTTTATAGCACTTCAGCAGAGATGCATAGTTTACATGACCTTTACAAGCGAATATGAATTTACTTAGACATCTAATAAAACTACTAGTCCTTCATTACAAATAATTTTTTGATAGACCGTGCAGTAAACAACCAAATGACTTTCAGTACCTTACTAATGGAGTCCGATAACACTTGCTGTGGAGTTCTTTTCAATGACATAAAACAGCGAGACTCTACAATAAACATATATTGCAGACCTAAAATTTATACTAACAAGCTACCTTGTATGATAAACAATAAAGCTATGGCAGTCGGTAAAAATCAAACCTTTAAAAAGTAAAATTATTCTAGTAATCGAAAGAGATAAATATTGTGTTAATTCGATTCCACAAGTGTCTGCATGATCGTCTGTTCCTCGTGATAGCCATTGGATACTAAAAAACGATCGATAAGACATTAATGCGAAATTAACTAAATTAAAGCATATGGAACGAAACACTACAACAATATCATACCTGGAAGAAACGTGTTTAAAAACCGTTGTCCAATATTTGTTGCTTATTTGTAAAATAATGCGACCTGCAGCCTCGCGGGAACTTGGCTTGGAATCTCGCGATCTCGCCGTAATCTATGTAATTTTAAATAGTATTGGCAAATAAGTATGAAGGCTCAGATATCAATATCCACTTGAACTTTCGAAGTAATAAGAGATTAAATTATTGACCAGTTACTTGTAAAACACTGCTTGATGTCTCAATAAACCTGTAACAACAAGTACCTGAGCAAGAGTTTGTAATAATGCTTCGATAAGTTCCCTGTCAAGAGTTGAATCTTGATTCTATTTTATGTCAGAAATTCATTTAAGAAATCCAGCAATTTATAGCACAACTGTATATACTAAGCCGATTATTATATTTATCGTAGAGCATTTTTCATAACTTAGACTATCTTACTGTATCTAAAATAAATTTTATTTAAGTTCGACAGTCTTCTCACCACTTTGAAGCATTCTTCCAATGTATTGAGAGTTATCGATTTAGATTCATTAATATCTTCTAAGTCAATGTTACTGTTAGGATTCTCTTTCTTTAAATTAGTAACATTTAGAGAAAATTAACTATTTGTAAATTCTTATAAATTTTTATAAATATTCGGTTCATTTATGCTCAAAACACTCTATGATGCATCAGCTACTATACAATATTTATGTTTTCGTAATCTGCAATCTAGTTATATTATAACTTAACAGGACTTGATTCCAACGCAGAATCATAGCGTAATAGTATTATAATGATATTCTATAAGGCATCAGTAACCGATTTAAATACGTGTATAACACGTAAAATATGCGATTTTAGGATTTAATAGACTTACCACTATCTCGCTATTAAGCAATATATTCCGTAGGGTTGTTGTTAAACCTGATATTACACGCTTTAGTTCATTACGGCTTACAGTCAGCAAGCATCGCCTATTTTGCTCAGCGCTTATTTTAGCTTGACTGTTCACCTTACCAACGTTGTAAGGCAACTAAAAAATATCATAGCCATTAAATTAGTTCAGAAAGATAAATCAATACATTTTATATGAATGTGTATGCGTTCACTGTATACGGATCCTATGCATTAGTGAAAAGTAGCAAATCGGAATTTGAATGTATAGTGACGTATTTTATACCATTTCTGAGTGAACTACCCATAAATTGAATCGTTGCATTCTTAAGATATAATATACCATGGATTATAGCTATCGCTTCGGAATAACACCCATTGCAATTGACCGACACACTAACATGTATGTATAGCAATTTTGCACTTAATAAAGACAGAAACATATATCCTAAATTTGATCAAATCGGTCTTGTAATACGTATTTATTATAAATATGTTTGTAAATACTACGTACCAGAGACCTACAGTAATTAATAAACATATACGTATATTACTTGAATAGCAAGTTCTTTATGATAATGCTGGTCAAAATGCTTCGCAGCTAGTGTTCGTGAATTAGATATTGCAATATTTGCTTTGAGATGTGTTTGTATTGTAATCCTTTGTTGCATAATGTAACGGGGGAAAATGAGTCAATTTTAGGATCTAGACAACATCAAGACCGAGCAATACGCGTATTTGATTGATAGAGGTACTGTTTTGTCTCTAGGGTTTCACCCAACTAATACGACTTACATAAATAAAAATTATTATAGTTATACAATCCCGTGGGATAGATATATATTATCATACAAAGGATATTCACCTGTGCCGGATGCTCAAATGACTGATGTACGTACTCTACTGGACATTGGTAGTCCGCTGAATGTTAATACACATACGCAATGATTCCTGTAGCGCGTAGTCATGCAATCGTTAAGCGTAATAGACGAGTACAGTACATTGATGACTGTACTGTGCTGTACTTTGTCATCGACAACGAGATGCACAATGAACTAAATGAGAATGATAAAACACCTAAGAATCAATATTACATATTACTCATAATCGTAAATATCTACTATACACTATACAGTACTGTACGCTATACGCGTATTTCTTCAATCGACATAGTGTCAGGAAAGCACATTATTAAATAAAGTCTAAACGTGTAACACTAAATAATAGCTCTTAAATAAATTGATTATAAAAGTTAACTATCTTATAGGGTCTTTAGTTAAGCCCAATGAAATAATAACGTACGTAGAAATAATGTACTGCACTATTATTGATGAGTAAGGGTAATTCATTTATTGTTACTTAACAATAGTATGGATATAAAAATATACTCGTATTACCGACACAGATTTAAGCAACTCTGCTACTCTATTCGGAAACAGATTAAAAAAAAATAATTAAATAAAGAATATTTTTGGTTGATTTAGTAACATGACAATGATGATAGAATAGTTTTATGCCTTTATAGTTAAAGGTACAAACGCACATTAGAATATGGATGAGTCAACGTGCCAGTAGTTACAATAGATAAATTATGATGACAAAAACTTGCTTCTAAAACTGATTGTCTGATCTGATTTGGCAACGTTAAACGGCACTTGAATAGCGTCACCGTACAGAATATTACTTACCTATGCACTTATACATAGTATTTCAATCGTACTTTATAATGAGTTCACCAGCACCCCAATGTCAAAATGTAGAAGTGCAAAGTGAATGAAAACTTAAATTTCTAGTAATTGAAATTAATCTTGTAACCGTAATATTAAACAGATCCTGCACACCAAGTTGAGCATTGTCAGTGAAAGTACATTGAACATGAATTCGAGTTTTTCTTAAAATTTTTATTGTTAGTATTAGTCGATTTGTGTGCAACCGTAAACTAGGCATAACTGCTCACAATAAAACCTATTTATCAACACTGCGGTATCTAGAGGCCAATCTACTGCAGCAAGTTGGCGACACTATTACAAGACCATGCGTCAATGGTGTATCACTTACGAAAGCATAAAATTGAGTAGTTTTGCTCTTTGAACAAAGTAGAAGAAAGTACGTGCATTACAAAAACGTAATACAGTATAGCGAAAATTCTCTCGACACTCCAAAGACATCATCTGATTTATTATAATATTACATATTGTGAGAGTTTTAGCATCGTAAAGTAGTAGTAGTACAGGCTATAAGGGGTACTAATAAATTTTTTTTTCTTAAAAGCTAAGTTTGTACATTCACTTGCGGCATAAGGTACTGCAACACACTCACTCATTTACCTCATAACTATAACATCATATACAGTAACTAAAAAATGAGGATTGACACTCACATCCCTTATGTACACATTTGTAAACGAATTTAATTTTTATAACAGAAACGGCATGCAGAGCACGATGTTATTCTATCAAACACTGTACTGTACGGTAGACAATAATACCGTAATTACAACATAATAATAGCCAGCAAGTTCGTAATCCTGCAACTCTACTTTGTCAGTGGATGTTCGATATCTTTTTAGATGAAGTAAATTCAGCCAATCACACATTCACTCTGTAAGCAATTCAAAGCTTCACAGTTTGTGAGGTAATAATTATATTATTGTTGTTGTACGATGCATAGTAACATGCACACCGAAATATACAAGCACAAAGTGAATCTAGAGTTCCATACGGTATCAAAGTTTAAATTAATTAAATGTAAGTTTATCACCTCTAAAACTAACAGGGAAGACCACTTTACCTCGGATGAGGGAAAAACAAACTAATTATCTTGCAGTAATAGTAAATTAACTGTGATAATGTAAATTATCCAATCTTAATCTGTTAATTAATCTGTTATTTCTGCAAAACCCAACCATAGGTAGCTTAAGTTAGTTAAAATCCTGAATGTCTGATTATAATAAAATAATAATTAATGCTTAATATCGGTCATACATGAACAAGAACGGTTAGTGTACAGTAGTAGTGTACCTTTTGGGGATTGTTTTGATAAGCTAGATTTAAGGATTAGGCAAAATTGTAGGAATAGATAAACATAGGATACTGTTTCGAATATTCGTAATGATATACAGTATATGTTATATATATATATATATCTATAATATATACGTATATAACAAAACTTTCTTAGTCAGCAGAATTGAACTGATTAAATCATCCAGTAACTGTAACTGTATTGAATAGCATTTCATTTAACTATGCCATACAGTGCAAAATATGACTTTCTACACCGTAATTCATCAATTATTACTGATAAAATATGATAGTATCATTAATCAATAAAAATATTCCGAAATAAATGCACAATCCAGTCTTTACCTGTTTATCAAATCGGTCGATTATTGCCTGAACCCATTCGTTACACTGAGGTATGATCGCCATGGATGTCCGATGACATGAAATGGTAATCTCTCTCTTATGTTAGGCAGATATCGTAGTACGTACAGTAGTAGATATATCCTCTACTTTATAGTTTCATCCACTTAATCATAAGAGTTGATGGCTTCTAGAACGCCGGATATAAGGCGATTTCAGTCTAATTTACTCGTATACGTAAAGTATCTGCCCTCTAAACCATTCACTAAATTATTACTCAGTAAAGCAAGGTATCGTACAGTACTACGTAGAATGATTGGTTAGTTAATTAAGTTACCGTAAGACCAAAGCATCTTTTACAATGTATTTGAAGGGTACAGCAATTGTCCAAAATTACTCATTACTTTCTTATATTAATACTGTCAAACTGTTATTCCACCATTCACCAGTAACGGCAGCAAGTCACACAACATACAACACAATATCCTGATTATAATTATCATTAATGATTTGCAAGCTGCTTATTTCGACACGGTTTTGTTTTTACTGTATCAATTATACAATATACAGTACTGTCTGTGCTAATACGGTACAGTACTTACTATAATTATTACAGTACGATACCGCGGACTAACAACCATTCGAAAGACGTCATACTCAGTTGATATACAGTAGGTATTGTACTGAACAGTACACTACTGTACACTGTACAGTATAATAAAAAAAGAAAGAAAAAACTTTTATCTTTTTACCAGATCAAAGACTACTGTACAGTACAGCATGCTCCTTGCACGATCTCTACAGTACTGTACTGTACATCATAATACAATACAGTAGTACTATACACAGTACAGTATAGCGCACAGTACTGTACTGTACATTGGGATCCGATTTCTTCAATGCGTTTGAATAGTAAAAACTAAAAACTATAGGTAAAACGCTTAAAAACGATTAATCGTTATGAACCTTCCTATACAGATAGATCTCTTATTATATATTAAAATCATACATTTGCGATCATTTTTGTACAAATTGATGCAGAAATTGTAATATCGAATCCATCGGATCACGTCGTGCATACAGTACAGTATTACGACACAGTGCAATAACCAAATCCATACTGTACTGTACTGTACTGTACACTGTACAGCATTCAGTGTCGTCAATCTTTCTTTTCAGCTTAAACAGTAATTCTCCAGAATTTACTGAAAAATTTTTTAAATTGGACATTTTACTGGACAGTGGCCCGGCAGGGCATTATCTTTTTCTGATTTATTAACAGATTATTTCTATTATTGAGGAATTTTTACTTCTGTACTAACTCAAATCGTTTAACATTAAACCGGAACCTGATCCAGTGATGCATTACATACGGTACTGTAGTAATTGTAATAGTGTGTACTATACTGTACACTTGAAATATCTTTTACCGTGCGACTGTACTCTACTGTACCGTCTGTACGGTAAGAGTATGATTGCAGCTGGTTCGTCTGTGGTTACGAATTTACTGTACGTAATTGCTAGCGAATCTGACATGGAGGAATACGAATTCTTCCACCCCACTATCTTTAAACCGCAAGGAACAGTTTTTAGCGGAAAAATACAGATAATTATTCACATATCTCTTGATTTTAAGAGTTGGGGGCATATTACTGACCACACGCCCAGAAATCTATAAATAGCCATACACGCTACAGTATACAGTGTACAGTTCGTCGTACAAAATTTTAAAATACTGTAATCTTCGTACTGTACTGTACTGTACTGTACTGTAGTGCTCAATAGAGACCCTACAGTACTGTACAGTACAGTGCTGTACTTTATACTGTACTGTACAGTACTGTACAGTATTCACTATTCAGTACCGTTCCGTAGTACTGTACAGTACTGTACTGTACTGTACTGTAAAAGAAATCTCGATACAGCACAGTACTGTACATTAAAGCGTATAGCAGAGTTCTGACTAGTGAGCATTAGTGTTAGGATTGCTTTCATTTTGTCTGCATGTCTACAGTACTGTACAGTACTGTACATCCCTCTGTAATACTGTACTGTACTGTATAGTACTATACAGTCTATACTATACAGTGTACAAATGTGTTTTGCTGGTGTAACAAATGCAACCAATCAACGATCGATATTTCCAGAGTGGGGGTGGCAACGTAAAGAATGTGTGAAAAATTTCTTTAATTTTTATAGTAATATAAAAGTTATGTTATTATCGGTTGCAGCTCACATAACTTCGGTTCTGAAAACGTTCCAAGATTTGACATAACGGCTAAAAAAGTGCTCCAAACGTTCGTGTGTCCACCTGAATGTACGTACTTATCACTTGTCTCTTCTATTTTCCTAGATGAATTCAAAATTTCGTATACGTACTGTAAGTACAGTGTTATTAACCTTAACCTGGTCTTCTAAAACTAGATCCTGCTATCATATCAGAATAACTCTTACAGCCTCGATTTGCTAGAACTTGCAGATTGAACCCTTGGTTAGCAAGACCTACGAATACAGTACGCAATTATTGTAAATAACACGTAACTAATGATAATTGTTAATCGCCATAGTTGCAGCGACTTCACCTTTCAGATCAACTCGATCCCACATTTCTTACCGTAACACCAAAAGTACAGTACAGTATTCGTAATCATGATTTACACCAATTTTCAACCATGTTAGGGTAGCTTTTAGTATACTAAAGTAATGCTGTAGCACAACTTTATTAGGATCGTATATAATAGCTATTCTGCCGTTTTCTACTTCTACTTACCTTAAAATTTTGAAATTATGAAACTTAGATCAATTCTATCCAAAGTTAACAGGATCCACAATGGGTCGAAAACTACTTAAATCTGGTAGGTTGAAAGTCTCCTAATGACGATGTATCTTATTATAATTATAATTGTAATCAATAATCCGCTGTAACAATTACTAATCATAAGTATCGATCATTGCGCTAATACTTCTGTAGTTCTATGGCTTATTCAGTTAAATTATTTCGAAGCATCTACGTAGATCTTTCGATGTATAAATCTAGGATATTTTTATTACTTGTGTTACATTGCAATTTGCACGGTATATGAACTGTTAACAGCACACATCTCAGTATCGCTAAGAACTGTAGCTCGCTCGGGCTTGATGCCTTCGTATCAAATCATTATACTGTATCAAAAAGTGGTTAAAAGTTTAAAGTAGTACCATGGTAGTTTGTCTGCGAAGCGACTGGAAGTTAAGCCACCGATCGATTAATTTGTATTATAAACGCGTGTTGAAGTGTACAATGTCAATGTACAGACCGCTTAAATCTATTATGTTAGGATAATTTTGTCCGTGTGTGTGTATACTTTTCAGTACATAATAACGCGAGTAGTAACTACTTAAAAGGTCTTCTTTTAAACGAAGACTGTAATGTAGTACGCTTGCATAGTACTAGGAAGTTACAGTCATCTGAAGTGATCCCAAATTTAAGATGCTAAAGAAATACGAAATTCTTGACGCAGTAACTTTAATGCTGGTAGTTACTAACAGTAGTTAAGTAATTGATTAATATTCTACTATATTGCAGTTCTGGATATCTATAAATCAAAACGTAAATAGTGGCTACGCAGATCTTGTATTCTCTAAAAGTGTACCGATGGTTATTGTACTGCAATTTTGCTTATGTAACTTAGAAATTTTTATAAGTATCTGCAGTAACAATTATAATTGCTCATACTCATTTAGAAAATAAAAAACTGCCTTTAAAAGCCAACGGAGAAGCCCTTAAAAGGTACAATATTTGTTCGTGACGCATACGGAAGTAGATTTTCAGTAACGAGTATGCATCAGTTCTGCACTTTAGACGTGTTGTATACAGCAGCTGATTCCCTACATTCACCACTGTAAAGGTACCGAGATATTTTATACGCATCTCTGCAGATTTACTGTTGACACTAAACTAGCTTTAAATAGTTTCTTGAATAACGTTGTGCTATCTCTTCAATGGAAATTTTTATTCTACAATATACTGATAGATAGAATAAGATCATTGAGAACATTCTCTGTATTAATTAGTAATCCACTGCTATATATTGTCAATACCACTCAAGCAAGGCGCGTACGTAAATTCTCCCTTTAGAATAATGGTAAAAAACATTAGATTTCAAGAAATTGTTACCTCTATTCGACAGTGCCATAATATCTGCGATTTAGAGTACTGTACCTATCATAACTAACTAACATGATCTTGCAATGCTATATCACTCTGAAAATAATTAATCACATCAAGTCAAATATTATTGTATTATTAATTCGGTTATGCGAGTATATGAGCGATCGACGTGGATATTAAATCATACGCTGCATAAATGACAAGAATCTTCTAATCTGTTTATGCTTCTACTGTACTATTGTGTTCTCACGCTGTCATCGATTTATCTTTCATACTTGCAATATGTACGTGTCTTATCGTTTTAATAAATCCTCTCTTTGTCATAGTACTCTTTAATAGATTACAGTACACTAGGTTCTCGTATCTTATGGCAGGTATACTAATAAAATTTACGTAAACAAATATAAAAGAATGCTACCGACACGAGCAGGACTAAATAAACTATAAACCTACAGTACTTGAAGAACAGATTTTAAAAGCTTACTGTACTTTCATTAAGCTATGTAGGAAACCTTTCGCACTTGCAATCTTTAAATCATAACGTACTGCTTCTTTCAAAATGAATTTAAAGACACTGTTATTGTCAATTTTGCAGAAGTCACCCATCAGTTCCACCACTACAAACAAAAATCACAGATTTATTTCCTGTACGACGTAGTACAAGAAAATGCAAATCGGATTTAAAGAACGCAGAAGAAGCTTTCATGATACAATACATTCTCACTAATAAAGAAGATGGAATACAGGTACATTAAATTGATTACATACTTAAAGCAATTTAAAAGTAGCGTTTCATCGATGCAGGCGTCATCTAGTCGCACGATGCGACAAATTTTCTATTTAAATTATTTCAAATTTAGTAATAATAGATCAAATCACGTTTACAATATATAGATGATTTATACTGAAGGCAAAGGTAGGGGTATTGTAACGACAAAACCCTTCAAGAAAGGTGATTTCCTATGTGAGTATGCAGGAGAATTAATCTCTCGAAAAGAAGCTTTACAACGCGAAGTTAGCTATGGTAAAGATCCAAACATTGGAAATTATATGTACTTTTTCTCATATAAAGGTTCTGATTTTTGGTAAGAAACGAAAGCTACCTAACTAATTAATAAATATGCTATTTCTGAGATAATACTATTTTGTGTAAGTTTACAATAGAAACATTCGAAAACGTACGTATATTAATCATTACGGTAAATTTCTCTAGTGTCGACGCAACGAAAGAAACTGATCGACTAGGGCGCCTTGTTAACCACAGCAGGAAGAACTATAATTCTATCAGCAGGCTCATACCTATAAACGGTAACCCTCACCTTGTATTGATAGCGTATAGGGATATTGGAATAGGTGAAGAATTATTATATGATTATGGTGATCATAGCAAAAAATCTATTGAAGCTCATCCATGGTTGGAATTATAAATTTAGAATTGTATTTGTATAGAATATTCAGAGTATCTTCTTTTATCTTACAGTGCAACGAACACTGAAAATCCTCTGTAAATTTTCTTATATACTATAATTATACTAAGTTATTAATTCTAAATAGCGCTCAAATAGTCCGTCTATCCGTAATAATTTTACTTAAAATGTAACGGTATATATATATGTCATATACAAACTATAGATTGTGACACGAAACTCTAATGAGAATCGTTACAAGTTATAAGCTGTATTATTTCATGAGTAAAGTGTTTTAATATTATTCTGTACAGTAAGTAGCAATCGCATATGTAAATTGTACAGTATGCTTTAGAATCTGTTTGATATACAGTACTATACTTCTTTCTGAATATGCTATGCACTCTGTGCAGCATATGGCACAAGGAATAAATAACTCCTTGTATTGCTATAGTCTACAATTATGTTACTGTACATTTCTTTTTAATATTCTACTACTATACAGTTTATATAATTTTTCTGCATATGTGTTAATATGCTATTTAAAGCGACTGTTCATAAATTCTTGAACATTAAATTTTGACGCAATAAATTAAAATTTTTTTAATGCACACCACTATTTTCATTAGATCTTATTTATCGCATGAGGTATAGTATGATGTAAAGTAAAAAAGGACATAAAACTATAGATATTTCTCTCTTTCATCTACGGATAAAATCTTAGAACTCACTAGATATTGCAAAAGTAAAAAAATTTAGTAAAAATTTTTCCCAATAATTTAAGTTCACAGACTCACTGTACTGTACAATACAGTACAGTAAGCTACAACGAACAATAGGATTGTATGGAGCACTGCGTATGATGCAAGTAACGTGCTGTACAGTACTATAGTGTACAGTACAGAAAAGTAGTGTCTTGTACTGTACACTGTACAGTATGTAATTGAAAAATTGAAAAAAATTTATGACTGGTCCGCATGGGGCTCGAACCCACGACCTTCGCGTTATCAGCACGACGCTCTGCCGACTGAGCTAACGGACCACTCCGACAATGTACATTCTACAATACCATTAAAAACAAGATGTAGCGCTCAAACCTCACAAATTTCACCGGGATCGTAAAGACACGATTCATTCAATGAGTCACAGTATCGTACTGTAACTGTAAAACATTTAGCAACACTTAATATTTTTACGTATTACATCATAATGTACAGTATAGTACCGTGCAGTACTATACTGTAGTGTGCTGTACTGTACAGTATGGACCGTGACATACTGTACAATACAGTACTGTATACTGTATATTTATTTATAAACATTACTGTACTGTATAATATGGACGGTTTGTATTATATGCTGTATAATAACTTCTATATTTGCTGACTGTAATTGATTCAGCAAAACATAGACCTTAAAGACATTAAAGCATCGAAGCTTCAAATCCTAGAGCAGATACGTATATGTATATTTCTAAAGCGTTTGTTCTTTCCGCTGACTGTCGTTGATTCAGCGAAATCTCCACTGTCCAGAACTTTCTAGAATATCGGGCGAAGTGCTTATATACTGAACTCTCGGCGCTGACATTTACACTTACGATTTTACTCCGTTTCCTGTTTGGTCTCTGGAAAGACTTTCATTCATCAAATTTAAGCTTTTCAAGTATCCCCGTGTTCATCCGCAATGTCTCTTATCGTTAAAGCTTATAGTGACGACGAAATCCGTCGATTCGCATTGGACCAGAACGTAACAACTAGTTACAACTATCTTTATCAAAAGATTGGCACTCTTTTTCCAAATTTACTAAGAGATTCCTATGTACTAAAGTGGTGTGGTAAGCACTTATAGCGTATTTAGCCTGATTAAGCATAGCTTTACAATATTTTTAATCATTCGATTAATCAAACTCAGGATATGAAATTTAAAATTTTTGCTACTTCATGTATTGTATTGTGCTACATGCTCTGCGTATACCTTTACGCTCTTCATTGATACGGAACCGATAGTTGAAAATTGAAAATGATGTTAAGAATTTTTCTTGACAAGGATACAGTCCTTAATCCTTCACATATTTAGGTTCTAGACACAGTAAAGATTGCTTGACTATCTTATCTCACTTTGTGTGGACTCTACTGTACTTACAAAATATATCCGCTTAAAAGAGTTATAATGTAAAAGCAACATCTACTTTGCTATGCTGCATCGTGCAGTAATTGGCTCTTAAGGACCATATACATTGTATAGGTGATAATCACTTCCATCGGTCACTTATCGTAATTTCGTTTCAAAATCGTATTTACAATTGCAGATACCGATGGCGACCTTATCACTTTTTCGTCTGATGATGAATTGATTGATGCTCTAAGTAACAGGAATGATGAAATCTTCCGCGTATACATCAAAGGTAAACCTAAGTGTGACACTTCTTGTTTTATAGTAATTATATGATAAGTCATAGACACAATGGATGGAAATTTCGGATATGTTAGTCTGGTCCGAAATTCCTTCGTCATTGTCAGTAAACACTGAAGGCACTTGGCTTATTTATTATCTTATACAAGTGATTAAAGATCGGCCGTAACAGTAACGATTCAGCGGTTATAAATCTTTTTAAAATTAATTAATATCATATTAAATTTAATATATAGACAGGCCGAAAGCTCCTTTCCCTCAAGCAGAATATCCACCTCATTGCAAGGCTTGGTGGTGGGGATACCCTGGTCAGAAACCACGCTGTGGTGGAAGGCCGGAAGGGTCTTGTAGATGGCGTAATGGCTCTCGTAGATGGCAATCATGGATGGAGGAAGCCCAACGTTGGAAAGATCACAAAGAACAGAATTCGTCATTAAATGAAAACACTAACGAATCTTCTGAGAATGAAAATTCTGGAAACGTTTTCAATGCGTTTTGTCCTCAACAAATCAACCCCGAATTTATTAACTCTTTTGCTGCTAATATGCTAAGATCATTTGGCGTTGATCTGTCAGGATTTTGTCACACATCAAACGAGAGTAAGCCGGATCAACAAAATAGAGAAAGTGATAAGGGTTGTGACAGAAAGGACGAAGAGACGAATTCTAAATTAGCCGATGGTGCTTGCGCAAGCGCTACAACTGCTGAATCTTCTGCAAATTCTAAACCATCACAGCAAATCAATCAAGATCATAATCCTGATATAAATGAGAACATCCAACAAGCCATAACTCAAATGGAAGCCATGGGATTCGACAATCAAGGAGGATGGCTTACTCGATTACTTGAGGCTAAAAACGGTAATATAAGCCGAGCATTGGAAGCTATTTATCCCAACAGATCTAAAGATTCGGGTCTTCAATAATAGCTCTGTAGAGTATGCTTTATAACAATTTGGCATTATTAAATCATTTTAACCTATCATATTCGTCTCCATAACCTGGCTTGTACATTTATGATTATTGATCCTACATAATATTAAGCAATCTAATTTATTCCTAAACTAAATGTATGTAAAATGCATTTTGTGGAAAAAAATTACGTAATTTATCGAAAATCCATAGCATTATTGATTAGAAGCTTTTAATTGTGTCCTCACTATTTGTTTCGGGTGTTTATATAATCTTTTCCATAATAGCTTTAATTCTAAGTGTTGAGAGTTTTATCTTTCTAGATATAATAAGATTATTCACGTATCTATTGCACCCTATTGATGCTAATTACAAGAAACCCTACATGTTATGGATACTAACTATATCGTTGTATAGAATTTACTGCTATTAGTTAGATAATAAATAATTATGTCAATGCATAAACAACTGTTACATATCAATTACTATCGAAATTTAGAGATTTTCATAAAATAAACTTTTAATATCAAGACTTTGGCAGTTTTAAAGTCGATGGCAAACTTCTCGCATGGGAATCTACTTATATTAAAGCAATTTTTTGCTGATGATTCCTTTCAGCTTTGATTCTATAGCCGTCATATACACAAACCTTCTCTTTTTGGTTATTTTACAAAGTAACCAATTACTTTGTAAAAGCCCTATATTTCTTAAAGTAACCGTGACATACATAAAGGATATGGACATTCCAGTAGTAGATCAGTTTTTTTTTCAGTTTTATAGAATATTACGGTATCATTGTTACTCCCGTACTTATGATCACGGACTCCTATTTTGGATAATATTTCCTAATATTGTATACTTTCCGCAATTACACTGAGTCTGAGAAAGAAGGCTATAAAATAAGATATGCTATCTGATTCACTGTAAAGCACAGTATGCAAATTCGCCTGACTATTATACATGAAATATTCGGTTCTTCACTAAGTATAATAAAACTAAGAATCATTTCTTTGTAGGTATTTACTATAGAATAACTACTCATGTTAAAAATGCATCATACAGTATACAGTATTCATAGTGTGTATTATGTATAATATATATACTATAATCAGTCGATCTAATATCTACCATTAACAGCAATTACTGAAACCCTTCTTAAGTCGTAAATACGTATTCGTATATATGATCGAAAATTTATCGGTATCGTCTCTGGTATCGGCTAAATGTTCTCCATGCATAAAACTTATTATTCTGTTACAATCAATAGGTGTCTAACAGTAAACAAATTAATTAATTAAATATTATTCAGTGCGAATAGCTGACTATGAAACAGCGACCTTCTAAATACATGCCATCATACGAAATTAAAATTAGATACGCAGAGATCAATTATATCCATTCTTATTTTTAAGCCCCATCATACCAGTAAAGAATTAGATATGATTTACTGAATAAAAAATGCCTTAGCACTGCAATTTGACCAAAATATAACACGAAATATTAGTGAATGCATGATCTTTTAAGTAAGCGTACTACAAATACCCTTTAGTTTAAATTTTAGTCCCTAAATGGTCCCATACTATCTACTAGACATACCTTTAGTAATCCATGACATTACTGTAAGTAAATTCACTCTCTCCAGTACCGTACAGATGTAATTCGACAACGACGCTTTTGTCTTAGTTTTCGTCTTAGACTACAATTTTACTCGTTATTATTTGATTGCGAATCATACTCTAGGCTCCGTGATTATGCAATATCATTGTAAAAATTAATTTATTAACGAAATCACATTTACTGATGGACACAACCTTACTATCAACAGTTCCAGTAAACCTTTGCAGCTTAAAATTTAAGAGTTCTAATTTAAATTTTTACAGTATACTGTACTGCACAAAGACCAAGATCTGGTGTGTTCTTGAAAGTGAGATCAAATTAATGTTAATGACGAAACCTGATATTATCATTACGAATAATTGCATGATTGTTCGGCATTGAATAAGCTCAACTTCAAATAGCCAAGTATTTCTCAAATAAGCTGTTATGAAGCACGGTATTTCATAAGCCATTATCGCTACTTCCATAAAGTCCTTAAGAAACATTAAATTAAATTAATAGTATCAATATCGCACCTATAAGAAACCAAGTGCAAGTAAAAAGTAATTTCAGCCATTAAATCTACTCTTTCTCAAGCATTTTTAATCCGTGATCTTAATTTCAACAAATCAGGTTTGCGTTTTAGAGCATTAACTTAATGGCTCAATAGTCTATCAGGGACACTTCGCTCTCGTATCTTTTTCATTGCTCTTGTCTTTCTTATCCTTATCCAATAATTTATATAATGAAATATCTTCCTCATCTTCTCTGATATCATGCATGTTCAACGTACTATATTCATTATTAGATCCTCTAATATAATGAAAATAGAGCATATACAAATATTACGAGAATACCGTGATATCAGTTACATTATAGAACAAAGTGCTGAAGCATTAATCAACTCATTCTAACAGTAAACTTTTCGATATGCCTTACAGCAAGCAGTTTCTTTTCGACTACGGTATATTAAATAAATAATTAGGAGCAGAGCCTATTAAATCGTAAGTCAAGAGTTCGACTTTAGAACATAATGATATTATCAATCGCAAACTCGAAAATGATAATGACCCGTATTAAGTTCCTTACAATTGTATTTAAATGAAATTGATAACTCACATGTGAAATAGCTATAAATCCTAAAAATCTATTAAAATTGTAATAAAAAAAGATTAATATCGTTGTACATTTAATTTCCTTAAAAGTATTTAGCACCAATAAAATAATTCCTTAACAAGAATAATAAAGGACCATAAAAGGTAGCACCGATTCAAGCACTTTGACATCGATTAAAGTAACAGAATATACTTGTAGGTCTTAATGTATTATTTTAGATCGGTAATTGCAAACAGCTTCAATGGATCAATTATTTCAAGTACGGTACCTACCGATGATCCCAACAAAAGTTAAGAGATGACAAAGAAGCTAAGAAACTGCCGAATGTAGGTCCAGTAATTAATACTAGGCAACTTTGGTAAAATCCGAGCCAAATAATAAGACGACAAATCAGATACTGTACTAGTGCAATTTAATGTCTCATACTAACTAATAAATAGCATTCTCATTACAAATAGCGTGTAACAAGTAACTTACCCGATGCAACGTGATAAGGTAAGCAAAGAAGATGCAACCGAGTAGACAGCTATATTATCACCAACATTTTCGTCTCTGAATCAGTTTTAAAAAATTTTAAATCAACGATACAACAATGTATAACGAACTCATGAACTAATGTGTTTTATTCATTTTTAACTATATGGCAAATTATGTCTTAAGTCAACCTTAACCATTAGCGGCTATATTAGCAGTGATGATTTCCTCGTCTACTATACCACGATTATCACGTATTACTGTACTCAATAGCTAGAAAAAAAATGACGGAAAATAGTAACGATATAAGCAATGACCTATAGTATTGTAAGAAAATTTTAGTATACCCACATCCATATCTTATATTTTCAGTGATATCATATCAATTCAAGATTGAATTACAATTAAATAATCTTATAATCTTTCACATCTTCTTTTAGGTAAACAATGCTGTACCTGGCTGAAGAAAGTAAATCCGCAAAAACTGGAATATAAACGAAATTCATAGCTGTACCAAGAATAATCATTGAGACTATAATGATCGACAGTTTCCTAAATTAAAATACCATAGCAGGTACCATAATAAGGTATAAATATACGCTTACCAAATAATAAATGAATACATAAAATCATGGTATTGCATTTAATTAATTAATGGATCTATTTAGGAACACTTCAAATAGTAAATCTTACTCCCTTTTATAACTGTAATCTAAGTAAAGCTAAAGAATAATCTGTTATATGCTATATCTGATAAACTTTCTAGGCCATTAGAGACAAATTCCTTACAATTTTAAGTGAAAATATGGGGATGGAGCGATTAGTTGCAATGATATCCCTAGTAATATTAATCCTATAATTATAAATGGTTTATGTCCCTATAAAAATAGCAAACAATTTCAATTTTCCTTTAGGGTTTGATTTCAATTCAATCGCAATAATTTTCAAATTAGATAAATATCAAAAGAGTATTTACAGACCAATTTATCGGCTAAAACACCAACTACAACTCCTAAAATCACATATACGCCAACCGGAATCGAAATAACGCTGGCAATCTGAACTGCATTCATATGAAGCTATTTGATTTGATTTGTGAGGAAGAAATATAGGCAGATCTTTATTTAAAACATACAGTATTTAATATCCTCTAGTTGACTCTTTGCGGTATATTAGTGTTATGCTATAACGTATGACAATATGTACTATTATAGGTACCTATATTGTGTTAAGAAAATAAACTAAAAAATGCAAATGTGCACTATTCTACGCATCCTATTAATAATTAGAAAGCACTAAAATTTAAAACTATTAAAGTACTGGTATAATTTGAAACAACTCAATTCATTTCTGCGCGCAGTGTAGTCTATTGCCTTGAATAGTACGTAAATTTTATATCCGTAAGACTCGTTTCAATCAATAATGAATAACGTAACTAATATGTCTTTAGCTGCTGAATAAGATGACTAAGTACATTTACTAACAATCTAATATCACTTATCATATCAACTTTATGCTACTTGTTTGTATAACGTTAATTGATTGCTAATTTACCATATCTGATGCAATGCATTTAGATATTCAGACATCCTACTGAAAGGGTATTATCATGTAAATAATTTATCGAATTCTTTAAAATTGTGACGATCAAAAACATTTGATTAACAATCAGTGTCAATAAGTGGTGTGATACGAACAATGATTACATTCACAGACCTCGATTGTTTAAAACCAATGGCTAAAATCTCGAAAAGAATAATATGTAATAAAATTCATGATCAAATGATAGAATAGTTGAAATCAGGAGCTAATTTGAATTGGTAATTTCGGAAGATCGTAGCTGATATTTTAATTGGTTCGCTTTAATATTAATGATCGTACAAAAATTTTATAGATAATAAGTTATTCATCCCTACCATTTCATGATATTATATTAATGGCCAGTTATTTCTATCTTGTGAAAGATAAGTAATTTTTAAAGTTTTAATTAATATTATCACTTGTACACTATATATTTTTATACGTGTCACCTTCGCTATTTAATGTATAAAATATTAAGGTGGCAATCATGCGACATTTAAATGTAAACGTTATAACTACGCTAATGCTAATTAATATTCTCCTTATGCAGCCCTACCTCGATATGTTAATCGAGTAGATTTATACTTGACAACATACGGTATAATACAAGATTATTATTTGTACATGAAAATTACAGCAACAGGTAAGGTTAAAGGTGTGAGTTATTTTTAGTGGTCTGTAGTACTTGTAATCTAATTCGCTGGTATAAAATCAAGAATATCAACTATGTTTCGTCTATTACTTGCCTTTTATTAAGTACATCAAAATATAAACTAGTATGCAAAGATACAGTAGGATCATTCGTAATATTATGGATTTATATAAAATAGATTTTGTGGTGAATTCCCAAGACTCCTTAAATACAATTTCTAATTAAGTTAAAGTATAAAGGATATCCTTAATCGGTTGTGTTCTCAAATGTTTATAGTGCGTATGCACCTACGAACGCATAATTATAGCTGGTCGATTTTATAACGTAAAGCTAGAGTATAACATGTTAATAATTTACGACACTACCTCTTCACGTAGTAAAATTTTTTATTTTACTTATCACTTCCCTACAAATGTGTCTCTATCAGTCCATACGAAATATTATATTAGCATTACTATATTCTGCTGCAATGAAACCATAACTAAACGAAACAGCTTAGTTTTTTCACGGTACTCGATAAATCTTAATAAACAATCGATCTGTTTAGGTAGATAAATTTTAACTGGCTATCTTTGCACATATTATATTGAGAATTGGACTTGAAAGAAAATTATTATGATATCATTTCCCTAGATTTGAAATTCCATTCTGAAATTTATAAAAATTACAATTTACAGAAACATATATTATACGTGAAGTGAGGGGCAAGAGTTATCGTCTGCAATAACTTAAATTGCATCTATACATACTAACATATGCAAAATTTCTGATTCTAATTTAGGTATCAACTCTATGTAAGCCTACTTTTTGCACATGATACTCTCAACTATGAACGAAAGGATGCCGCTGAATTAAGGGACGTATAAAGCAAGCAATAAAATTTATCAAATTAAATTTAATATAGCTTATACATTAAATGAAGTCTTAAAATAAGTACTAATAATTATCCATTGTGTTGTTAGTTATGCATTTATAATTGCAGATAGAATATGAGTATTAAGGAAAGATCTTACTACAATCTCGTGATTATGTAATAATGCTATGACGCGAGAGGTATCTTTGAATCACAGTTAAATTTCTTAAAATATTCACTTCTAAAGGTGCTAGCACTTTAATCGGCATAGAATTAATTAGGGCATACGTGAATTGAATAGGCATATAGGGTACGGTTAAGAAGTTACGAACAATGATTTTTATATTATTATTACAATTTAATTTAATAAATTTATCCTTTTAAAGTTGCCTTTTGCATGTATAAGGAAATAGCTTAACGATTTTGTTGAGGTAAAACGTGGCACCGTATATCGGTGAAGCTGTGTTATGCATAAACCTAATTAAGTAGCATGTATACGAATATAAGTATATGGCCGGTCAGTCGCGAAAGGTGCAAGCGCATCAGAATGATATAGGTATACCTAATGACAGCTACCAGAGTAAATATACTAGAATGAATTAGCCGCAGTAGTATAAAAAATATGAACGTATTTATTTTGTATGTTTTACATTCACATGATAACCATGTATTAGTAGGACTATAGGCCTATGATCATTTTAATTAGTAAAATTATTTATTTACTTCAGATCACCTACGGATTATCCTTTATCACTGTTAAGATGAATTTTATATTTGCAAATTATCACCAACTCAGTATCCTACGCGATTATATGCTATAAAAATATACATCTTGTTAATATTTAAAAGTGTGACAATGTTGTTCCTGTGGCTAGCTGTATCAAGTAGGCACAATTATATTTATTAGTTAGTTTTGTCATAGCGCCTTTATTAATTCTTTTAGCTATAACTGTTCATTCAGCATCATTAGCTGAACAAGTTGTGGAAGCAAAGGCACAACCATCATACTCTTTAAGTAGATGATAGTCTAAATCTCCATTGTTGCTATTTTTACTAGACTCGAAACTTGAAGGGCCTTTGGTTCGAATACAGGCACATCGTTTAAATTTGCCATTCTCGTAAAACAGTTTTCGCGGAACACCAACCCAATCTCTTTCAATGCCCCCACTATATTAAGAAATGAAATTGCCATAATGAGAGGGTAACGATAATTTAAGAATCCATATCACACAGAAAGTTAATATAAGCATTTTTAATAAATGACTATAATTATGTACTTTTGTATACCTGGATGAGATATAATGAATATATACGTAACTGTATCATGGCTATCCTGAATGTTAGTATAGTTTTACTAAATAGATACAACTTTGTCTATACCTCTTTTTTTCGCACCAATAAACTGTCCCCTCTTCTTTAGTCCAATGTGTATTACATCCTGGCATTTTAAAATTCTCATTTTCGGCTTCTTTCCGTAATGCGTATGCTTTACTTAGCCTGGTTTTGATTTTAGACAAAATTGGAGCAGGTTCGCCTTTTGCATTATAAAATCTCCCTATCAATTTGCCGACATAAGAATAATCTATGAAAAGTAAACATAATTCTTAGTTGAAATCAGGCCTTTAATAATTAATTTAATTACGGCTTTTCATTTTAAGATACTAGGACGACGCCTAGGACATGTGCTGCCCAGGACTTTGTATCAGGTTAATGACAAACTAAATGCAATGCATCAATAAATAAGTTGCTACATATTACCTTTGTGATAGAAATCGATCCATTCTTTAATACCTATGAAGTTCTCATGAGATAACCCTTTAATTTCATCATTTAGACCTAAAATAATTATATAACTTAAATATAAGAAAAAACAAATACTATTTTACCCGCATTCTAGATTAATCTGGTACAGCACTGCATTTCCTTTGAATTGTAGCCAATACAATATCGACATTTAGCCAACTTAGCCGTAGATCGTGATAATATATCGCACTGTTAGCTGGTATTGAGTGTTTATTGATGAAATAATTACGATTATTACTCTACTAAATATATAATTAATAAATAGTAAGGTATTCATACTGTTATGACTGCGATAGGAGATGGAATAGGTTTATGAGTTTTACCTTTCTCACTAAAATCTCCAGTTACGAAAGCTCTTGTGCCATCACGACCGGAAAAAAAATTATATCCACCACCTTTACCGTAATGTTCCTTTCCTTTGGTTACATCAAATACTTGGCCCAAAACAGCTAAATAGATTGGCTTCTGTGGATCATCACCGTTATATTGTTTTAGATCAGAAGCTGTAAATATCTGACCATCGGGCGCAATGACATTGCTGAGATCTGTACTAGATCCAGAACCAGTTCCGACAGCCGGTCGTTTAGATTCATCCTTATATTTATTTTGATAGCTTTCGGCTGTATTCGCTAGTAAATCAACATCTTGTTTATAAGCGAATACACCTGCAGCAATCGCTGCTGCTAAGATAAAGATAGGAACTAATTTTGATCCTTTGGAATTACTTTCTTGGTTAGTTTCTTCTGGTTTCTCTATCTTATCAGTTTTGGAGTCATCTGATTTGGCTGCTTTTCGTCTAGTTACAGCCATTTCTATAATTCTTTACAGATCAAAATTTAGTAATCCAATTATGGTAAGGGCCCCTCTGCAACTAGGTATGACTGTGATCAAGCATAAAAAGATATTTGATTTGTTAGTTGCTCGTTCCTTTTTGCGATCGAAATGCACCGGTAGAGTGAAACACTGTCCAAGTACAGTACAGTACTGTACTGTACTGTACAGTTACGATACTGTACTGTACTGTACTGTAGGTTTACTGTACTGTACACTGTACTGTACAGTGCTGCTTTACAGTACGCCCATAGGCCACAGTCCAATGGTACAGTTTATGGACTACAGTACTAAAGTTTACAGTACTGCAACAGCAACCAGAAGAGCCAGAAGGGACTACGTAGATTACACTTGCGCAGATAATTTCATTTAGCGCTTTAGACTTATTAAACAAGGAGTGAGTTGTGGTGCTGACCATTTTTTGTTCGTTTACACTGCATTGTACAGCTACACAAACCTTTCTTTTGTTCTCATTTGGGTTCTTTTCGTTCATGTTTTATTTATATTGCAGTTTTCCACTGCTTTTAAAACTGATATCGTAAGAAGAAATTCCAAGATCATGGCACTGACAGAGCTACAGCATGAATTGCTCACTGCGTTGCTCGACAGTGGTGTCAGTAAAGCAACGTTGATACAGGTTCTGACTATGCCAGAGCATTCGAATAGCATCTCACGGGATTATTCATATATTGGAAATGGTGATGTTGCCTTTGGGACCTTTCATCAAGTTGGTTAATAATTGTAATTATATATGTATAACATATACAATATATTATAAATAATTATTCGTTTCGCAAATTAGCATTGAACCATACTGACCTATTATTTACTTGCGTTTTTTTAAATTTTCATGCGCTTAAGTGCTGGTCTTGCTGTATTACATGATACATAAGGTGCACTATAGTACTACACTACGTATAATTAATTAATACAACATCACTATAGAAATGATCATGATCACATTTCACAGCCGTCAACGACACAGTAGAAATATTCGTGTGGTATATATTTGTTTTCACGACTATATTAGTTGATAACATACAAAGTATATACAGTAGTACTGGTATCATTTATTTAATATGCTACTATGGATTCCATTTTTACTTCCAGTCAATATTTATGGCTAGTCTACTTGATCTTATTACAGTACTGTAACTATAAACAGCACATCGGCTCGGCGGGAAAGTGTTTTACATGGTTGTAATACGGATAAAATCCATAGTAAAGGAACGGGGTCGATATATTGGTTACTAATATCAATATTAGTAGGGTCAAGGCAGAATTGTGCGATAATGCATTTGAATGTGATTGCTAGCTCTCGAAGCTGCAAAGGAATACTTCATCTATTTCAATATACTGTAAAGTATAGCACGGACAGTATAACACAGAAATACCAATCCAAGCAGAGAAGTCGAACACAGCCAATGTACGTACATACTGTACAATAGTGTGCAATACTTAACCGTAGGCTGCTGCTTGTGTCAGGTAACGAGTATTAATCTGTGGCTGCACATTTTGAAGAGCGCGCTGGAATCGTTTCAACGTGTTTTAAATAGTTCGTAACCCATATAGTAATCCCTACAACGTTTATTGCATTTATATTCCTAATAACTCACGCAGTATTTTAAAAATTTATCAATACATAATACTAGATCAGTCTATTAAATATCTTTCAAGTTCTTCAAATAAAATTAGAGTCAGTTGAACATATATTTATATACAAAATTGAATGCGTCAACAGCTGTGAAATGTCTCTAGTATAGGGTCGTAAACGCTTGCAAGGCACATGGTAATATATAAACGTGCACAATCGTAATACGAAACAAAAGCGTAGTATAGGGCGGTAGCAACCCTTGCATAGGAGATCCGCCTTATCCGCAATATGCAATGGCAGATAGTGGCAAAAGCGAACAAAATCGTAAGGAGTACCGGTACTACGAGACGACTGTGAGTCTATAGTACTGTTTATGCAGGAGACTGGTACATACTGTACAGCACACTGTAGGGTGTATCGCTATCTACAGATTTCTTGGCCGAGTGATCAGTAATACCTATGCCCCAACTCTTGAAACCAAGAGATATGTAAATAATTATAATCATCTGTATCTTTCCGCTAAAAGCTGTCCCTTGCGGTTTAAAATAAAGATGGTATGCAAATCGTTAATTTGCGATACACCCTACAGTGTACACTGTACAGTACAGTACTGTAAACATCGCGACTTGCTCTACTGTACAGTACTGTATTTCTGAGATATTTGAACAAGAAAAATCAATGATTCTTTCTTTTTATCCTGCTTAAATTATACATCAATCGGTAGAGAAAGAGCTAAACAACCGTAGTTCATCAATTAAAATTTGCGTGCGACGTCGATTGTACATCACAGAGCATACTGTCATTAGAGAACACATACAGTACAGTACAGTACGGTAACACAGCTAAACTTGACCGTGCTAGAGAATGAAAATACTACACATTTAATAATTATATATAAGTATATACGCCTATAATAATTATTCCATAACGAACAATTAATTAATGGTTATAAAGCTGCTTAAATAGCCGATCTTAAAACTAGTTACCTTAAATGTTGTTCTCGTTCATATCCAGAATATATTAGCTTATTTTAATGTTGACAAAATAATAGTTCGATACGAAAGGCTATTACAAAGCGGCTGGGATGTAACCATAATTAGCCAGTTAATTTACACAGATATACGTGTAGATGGAGGTCTGTGTTGACTGCCGAGACATGGATGCGACCAGGAATTCAGGAGACCAGGATTACTTAAAATACGCGTAGACCCTAATCATGCTGTTTGGAGTAATGCAATACTGTACAATTCCTTATTACGAAATCTACCGTTATGGTTCTTAAGCGGAGCTTATGACTAAGATTGCCATCTTTGAGTTTTATATAATTACTGTTATTTATTATTTAATTATATTATATAACTATTGATACCTAATATCATCATTCGTAATTTATTAAATGTAAATACAATAATTTTCTTGGTTCATTATACTCATTTCGATCATGCGATAAACGTTATTAAAATATTATAATATATACAACGTTATGATGTCGATTATATGGCGATATTATACAATGTGACGATTAATATTCTGTACACGAGCGCATCTACATAAATACTGAAGGAATAGAATTTTATTAACATGAATGACTTCGACATTGTCTTTCATAAATAAAGTTCTGTAGTTATATATCAAATGAAGGTTTGCATGCGTTGAACTGTTTAAGACCCGATTAATCTATTTAATGTACAGTATTTGCGGTTTATAGGGTGTTCGCAGTGTTGTAATTGTTTTATATCCATATTAAGCATGCTTTAATTTAAAATTGCGGTACTGGTGATACTGTATTTACTCTTTACTCTATGATATTGTAGAGTTCGCGTACAATGCAGACAGCACAGACGGCTTGATTGCTAACGTGTGGATCTCGAATAAAGCAGAAATGCTTGATATCTTCTCTTATATAAAAGCCCAATCGCTTTATAATTTTCATTACTGGATGTATTTAGCGTTAATCCATCTCTTACCTTTTATATTACAGTTAGATTCAACGTATCCGACTAATAATGATGCCATAGATCTTATAACTGATGCGAACGTGACTGATATTGTAAAAGTTCTAAAGGATAGAGGACCTCTGGCAGCTGTTGAACGTTTACTAAGGTAAAGCGATATAATATTTTTATGCTCCAAGCTGATAATGAAACACCTTTTTCCGGTATAGGCACGGCAGAACGTACAGTAATTCGACTTATGTAATCGTGAGATAATTTGTAAGCTCTCTAATTTAAATGCGCGTTCTATTATGTACAATAATACTATTGTAATCACCCCGACCGTTTCGATTGTAATTATCGCTCTGTCCCTAACCATTGCACCACTTCAATATTTTGCACAGTGTTGTTCTAGTCAGCTCTCAAGTTTTTATTCGGTATCGAAAATTATACGGTACAGTTATGCGGTATTCCGAACGCTTGTTGATGAAGTTGTATTGCTTCAATTATCAGTTATAACGAAGAGCATACTTAATAACAGCTATTGTCTTATTAGATATGCCAGAAACTACATTTCTAGTTAAATCTTACTTTTTTAGGGAATCTACATTTTTAAAATCATTGTACATATTAAATTGGAACAAATATCTTTCTGTTATGACATTTAAATAATGGAGAGTTATTAAATACGAAAGTGCACAACTATAACCAAAATTAACCTGTATTATATAGCTGCTTTCTATCTTCTGATAGCTAGTAAGGCATTACATAGAGATAAATCCTTAAAAGTTTTGATTCTTCATATCAACGAAATTTAACCATTCATATCAGTATTTATTGCACTCAGCTAAAAATTTAGTTGAAACTCAGGTTACTGTGTATCAGTTATCCTGTAATGATCTAAATTTTATGCTATCTGCCCACTGCCTAATTTCGATTGTAAGTAAATATGATAACGGTATTATTTGAGTGTGCTTTGGTGTTGTTGTTTATTAGTTATACTGTACTTACTTCTGTGATAGTATTAGCATGTCATTTTCAATAATCTGCTCTACATTAGCTGTTAAGGCTAAAAGCCAATTTTTATACTGACTTAAAATATATCATACTTCAGCAGGGATTGACAAAAATACAATGTTTAATTACAATTTACAGTAGTGACCCATACAAAGTTGCCAAAATGATCAAGACTTTTATGCAGCAGCATAGCGTATCTCAGCGTGAAGTCGTTGAATCTACATCGCTGAATCAAAGTCATTTATCACAACATCTAAACAGAGGTACAGCAATGAAAACACGTAAAAGATCTGCGCTTTACTTGTGGTATGTGAAGAGAATTATGTTACTACAAAGACGTAAGTTACTATTACACTTTACTTTTTGATATTCTCTCATTTTGGCTTCTATTTCTATTCATATAGTTTAGTTTTGTATATATCTGTATGGTAATGAATTGTCTATCTTTATAAAATCGTTAATAGACGAAAGCGATATAGAAGATGATACTACAGTAAACTTAACTATAGATGATCTACCGAGTAGCCCTCCTTCCCCCAAGCGACAACGCCGTAGTCGATTTAAATGGGGTTCAGCTAGCAAACGTATTTTATATGATTCCTATGCTAACAATACAAATCCTTCAAAGGAGGAACGTGATATGTTAGTTGATGCTTGCAATCATGCTGAGTGTGTTCAACGCGGCTTGCTGCCAAATCATGAGAGTGCTTTAGGTTCTAGCTTGGTTACTGAAGTTCGGGTATACAATTGGTTTGCCAACCGCCGCAAGGAGGATACTTTCAAGATAAAATATCGTAATAGTAAGTATGAAGAATATAATAATAATTCTCCAAACCATACTTTCAAATAGAAATACTAGCGAACATGATTTATTTGACGTTACTAAATATTTTACTTTGTGTGATTAATTAGACCCAACTAGTCTTAACCCTTCGATGGAATCGACTCATCTAGATAACAACACTACCGACGGTTCTACGCTTTTAGAGTGTAACGGAGGTAGTGCATTTACCCAGCAATTACAGGGGTTGACTGGTTCTCCTACTGGTACTTCTTGCGCGCTTTCAATGAGTCGTATTCCTCCAAGGGGTAGAAATTTAGTCAGTATGAGCATACCAGAACAAAATCTTGCAACTTCCGATTTTATGCAAGTTTCTCAGAATAACACGAAAAGGAACGATACTGATATACAGCCTAACAGCTCAAATATGCAGCAAGTAATGCTGCCTGGAATATCACATTTTAGATTAAATATAAGGAAGAACGACTTATCAATTAATCAAACTGAAGGATCTGAAGCTATTATTACTGCTTCTAATCTTGCCACCGCAATTAATAATCGCCAATTGAATACATTATCGAGTATTAAATCACAAGTTAACAACGAACAGTTACGGCAAGGATGTTTACCTGAAGAAAGTCAGCCTTTGTTCGAAACTAGTAACAACCCTAGTTTACCAGTGTTATCTCAGTCTCAAATGCCACATTTAAATAGTATTTCTCATTGAATAGTCCAGCTACCGTATTGACTTAATTATAACATAACGGTCACGTGCATCATAATTTTTATTTAAATTAACTTTGTCAAGATAGTTTACTTAAAGGAAACAAATCTGGCAAAATTTCTGCATATCTGTATGATGCATCATTTTTTTTAAGTTTAATTTACTATTTGTGAATGATTTAAGCAGAAACTGATCAAACCGAATTTTAATACTTTAATGCTGGTGTTATTGTACTGTTAGATATAATATTATTAAATTTTTGAAAGAAAATTTGTTATACTTGTATCATGACCACAGAAATTTTATGCAAACTATTCATCAGAGAAATATAGATTTTACTATCATAAATATGGAAATACAACGTTAAAAATCTGATTAGTAATTAATACTATTTGTCAGATTATATTCTGCCTCTATGTCAATGTTGTACACTGTTATAAATCAAATATGTTGCCTGTTTTTAAGAAGGAAACAATAGAGATAAATTTTGCTTAAGTTCACCTTCAAATATTTTCTATTGCAACTCTAAAAATTTAGTCAAGAAATTCTTTCTTTTTACTATGTTCTCTATCACAGTGTTATCTGTCTGATTAAAATCTTTGAGCTGTTACAGTTTTTTTTAATTAGGCGCATTACCAGGAGATTCTGATGTATGATTTGATTCTTGCGATGAAATTTGACAATTGCCCCTAAAGCTTAATTTTTATCTTACATATTGAAGCAATGGTCAGTAAGATGATACGTTTAACTGATTAATTCAACAATTGGTTTGTAGACATAATAGCATTTTTGATGAACTAAAGGATGGCTCTGTTGTGGCATCCATTGGCAATATTGAATCCTGTCACAATTGTATATGTATTACAATCTTTCTATAATTTATAGTATCAATTTCGAACTTTATTAAGTCATATTCAGTAATAATAATAATTGATCCGAAAAGTACTTTGAAATTATTTATGCTTTGATCAGTAGCGCATATTTACAAAATAATTTTTAATATTTTATTATCAATATTTGAATTGTATAATATAAGAAAACATAGATCATATGCGAAGACATTGATCCACCTGGGTCCGCAGTTATCCCTTCCTGTATACCTTCCGGTATTTTATACTCTACGCTATCGGTTATAAATTACCGACCTTGACGTTGCATTGGCCATAAGCAGAAAGATTATACTGTAGTTATGAGTATAAAAATATATAGTGCTACGTTTATGGCATCCTGTATTCAACTGCGACGCAATTAGGGTACTGCCCATCGCATTCGTTGTGATTGATGCATAATAATATGTGGTTATGTTTGAATTAAGATTTCTATCGTCTTTTACCGTCGTATAAAACAATATTGTCGATACGATTTGTTCTCTATACTTTTAATTTCAGCAAAGAAAACAAGCTTGATTTAGTCCATGTTATTTATTACAACCGACCTATTTGTAATTTCTACTAAGTTACAAATGTAGCTTCTTATTTAATTATTCTATGCAATGATTAGCACTGAGCTATTAGTAAAGCATAAATGAGTAAGTTGTACTGTATTACATTGGTATTAAACTGTCAAAAAATGTATAGTTATGTTTTTTTATTGTACAGAACTGTTTTATGAAGTATTAAAAAGTATATTCAAGAAATTTCCATTAAAAATAATTTACCCTATCGTGAATTGCAGATGATAATACGCTAATTAAATGTCGATAAGTACAGTACTTAGTACTATTTATGAGTGGTTTAGTTATTGTACGTAACTGTTGTAGTATAAATCATCCGGAAGCCTATGGAGGCCCTACATCTATAATAAAAAAATAATTTTAAGACTCATACTGTGGCAGCATTCATTACGGGGTATAGCACGACATAAAATTCAAGTACGACGAGCAAATACATAAATGATTATGAATACAGTACATAGAGTACGTTCACGCTGTATTTTATAGTTCATCTGCGGGACAGCTATCAGATTGGGATATGAAATTTAGATTCGAAAATTTACATTAATTTATAGCCTAAACTGTGTCTTTGTATTATACCGTTTATAATTTAATCTTAGAATATCGAGCTTTAAATCGAGTCACACGGAACTAAAAATTATAAAGAAGTCAAACGTAAGTTTAGTGCTTAGCATCACCGTATGATCGCTATCGTTTTAAAAATGTATAACACAGATTACAGTATAAGAGATACGTTACAACATTCATCAGCAATCGAGATTTAAACATCTATTGCGATAATACTTTAATGGAGAGGTATGCTTTAAGCAATATAACTTACTTTATTTCAATGATTTACTAAATAGTTCAAAGAACATTAATTTTACAGTCCGTTCACATAGATCTCATTTAAATATTTTAATTTAGTGTGAATAATATTACTGTTCGAATATTGATTATCACATAGCTAAATAATGCCTTGTAGACAGCTCTAGCACTATCTCATCCACCCTGATTTATCTATTAAATTTACATTATTAAATATTAAAATGAAGTGCATGTATGAGTAGTTTTCTGGAACAACCTTTAAATACGTAACGTAACCTGCAATTACATAAGCATCCGAGACGAATCAGTTAAAATCCTTAACTGTCTCGTCTTTACTTAGAGATCACTTTTCTAATAAAGATAGTTCTAACGCAACACGCAATTCCTCTTCCTCTTTAATACGTCTACTACTATCTTCATTAGCTACTTGAGTAGATAGCTGCATAGCCATTTTCAATTGATCGTCGAAATTGTTAGCTGTGACAAAAGTATCCATTACTGGGTCAGCCATTTCTGGATCTTGAACATTAACATTAGCATCGTTGGTTCGAGTAGCTCGAAGACTCTCTTCAATTGCCCTGTTATCAATACATTACAACGGTAATTAAGTTAGATATAGGTGTCTAACAGGTATCTTTCATCAAGATTAAAAAGAATAGAATATTACCATGATAATTCAGCATCATTGTTTTCGTTCATTTCATACCGATACGGTCTATATACAAACTCATCTCCTATTGCCTATTATAAGTCCGGATAAAATGACTACTGAGGAAATACTAATTGGATCAGACGAGTAGCTACATAGTAGATTTATTGATAGTAAGTTATTTATAAATACGGTAGTTGTTTACACTAACTGTAGTTTCTGAGCTTTCTTCTAATTGCCGATCGCTTAAGCTTTTCTGCAAAGCATATTGCAATAGCATATCTTCCTCATCAGCTCCGAAGTTATTGCTTTCTCTTTGCAGTACTTTAGAGTAACTGCTCGGAATGTCAAAGCAAGAATCATCAATTAAATAGTTCTTTTGCTTAACGTCATCGGTAGTGTCTAGCTTAGCTTCCAACGGAGATAGTCCTTGGACGGCCTCGTTTTCGCCGTTCAGGTTCGCGAAAGTTATGCGCGCATTAAGGATATGATACAGAGGGATTTCTGTTTTAAATATCAATAACATGAAGAGTTAACTTTCAGAAACATTCCACTTTGTTGTTCTAGGAAAATGGACTTTTAAACTAATTAATATTACATATTAACTATAATTGGGATATGTAAGAATTCTTATAATTACCAATCTTGATAGGAAATCCAGATGGAAGTTGCATAGAGATAAAATCGCGTAATTTTTGAAAGTGAGGATTACTGATTGCCTGTTATAATTAATCGAAATGGACATGATAATCCATAGTTGAAGATCTTAAAGGAATTTCATATGAAGGTAGTATTTAATTTTATGTTAAAGATTTTAAAGATTACAGGCTGTCAGAATTGTAATAAATGTTAGGTTTACCATCAAATTTATAATTGGTAACACTTGCTCTTGTAATGATAAATAATAGTCATCACAAAGCCATAAAGATGCTTTAAGTCGCTGTTCTTTTACAGACATCTCCTTTGGACGACCAATATCTAGGGAGAAATTGACCAAGATTTTTACGTACTAATACATTGACAAGAAGTGCGGTTACAGTGAATCAACGAGTAACGATATTTACATAAGACTTTCTATATAGGGTGGACATGGGAATAAAATGAGATTTAAGCTAATGAACCTTGCTTTTTAGTTTCTTCTGTAGGGTAAAAATAATCTTGAGATGATAACGATTTCAGATCCGCCTGTTCGATTTCAGAACTATCCTCTCGTTTATCTTGCTGACAGATATCAGCATTAGACAATTACTGTTACTAAGTGTATGGTCTATATACATTGTGTATGCGTATGCAGCACATATTTTGAATAGAAATCATGATTCAATTAAATTAGCTTATTCTAAACCTGAATCGTTTCCGGAACTGCATCAGTCTTATCTTTCTCGTTCGAGTGTTGTTCAATGGCACCCATCAAGGAATGAAAAAACGATCGACCTTATACAACCAGAATTAATAAAACATTCGAGTTTACCTTTCCTTGCGACTTGACGAATATCTATTATTGCCTTGACAAGTAATAAGAAGCAAACCTTCAGTTTTATTGCGTTCTTTATCTTCTTCAGAAAGGTGTTCATATCGGGTCCTAGCGATAACGACTACGTTTGAAACATTGTATACCTATCAAATGATACAAAAATTAACTTTGTATTTATGCAATCCAATATCTTGATGCTAAAATATACTAATAAGAGACAATACTCGTATGATAAAACAATTAAAATATTAGGCTAATATTAGAAATCAGTATCACTACATTATGCATAGCGATAACTTTTATTGAATTTACACGAAAAACATCTTACTTTAATTGTGTCATGCCTGGCGTATGTATACTTTATTCTATAGCAACAGATACTTACTTTTGCTTCATAATTGTTAACAGCTTCAGTTCTGTCCGTTCTCCATCCCCAAATTCCACTTTTTTGCCTATTGAATGTGTTTTTCAGATATGCTATAATATTCCATGACAGATTCAACATACAGTAATAGCCTAGTTACCTTGAGAATTCAATGTTATCAATATTGATGATAGTAGATGTGACAGGCATCCTCAATCGTTCAAATACTAGCTCCGATGAGGGTTCCGATCCTAAACGTCTACCAATTTCGCTATAATTGAAATAATTCCAAAATTTTAAAATTCAGATTATTATATTTAGGAAAATCAAAAACATCCTAAAAGGCATACGTACTCAAGACTGATTGTTTCCGAACAAGCTTTACGCTTTTCATGATCTACTTCTATGATTTCAGCACCATTATCTGTCAAAAATGCATTATTATTATCTGAGATAATACTATCGATTAGTATTCGTGATTTACTGTAAATAATTCTCTCCAACTGGTCACAGTTCCTTTATAAAATGATGATACACTTCTGTAAGATAATATCAAACAAACTCACCAGCGGCTTTAAAAATAATACTTCTATTTCCTGTTTTACCAATATTTTCGTCTAGGCTTAGCAACGTTGTATCTACTCGAAGAAACGCACCTGGAAAGAATACAATTAGGTACTATTGTTACATTATTAAGGAAAAACTGATAAACCAGATACTAATTAGATCTTTAGATCTGTTACAAACACAAAAACATGATCAATTTGTAATCAGAGTCTGCGCATGAATAGTACGAATATAAGAACAACTTTCGCGGTCTAACGTATCAGTAACAAGTGACCATTTGTTTTAGGTAGATCGCTGTCTTTGCATGATAGTACCTTTTTTCCAAATCTTGCATACATCGTTTGGAAAGGCTCTAGAAATCAGGGGAACTAAAATTAATAGATACTGTTAAGTATCAGTATAATACTTGTTTGCATAACTTTTATCTACTATATAAATAAAGATCATATTCAACTGACTCCAACTTGTAAATTCCCATTTCATCTCAATATAAAAATCTCTGGTCTAATTTAAATTAAAAGCAACTGTAAATATAATGATTAATTCGGTCTAATATAGTATGAAAGTAGATAAAACTATAAACATAATACTTACAGTCTGCAACATATCTAGTAACTCTGGGATTGCAGCTACCCTACTAGAAATTTGTTGTCGATCACGGTACTTAAGCACCATTTTCAAGATATTGGGTTTACCCAGACAAACCGCTTCTTGTAGTGCTAACGTAAAGAAACGATAATTGTGCTGAATTACTGGTCCTTTTAAATAGTCAATTAAGACTAGATAATATCTGTTTCTGTGCTATTATATTATGACTGCAATATTACATATTACCCGTCCATTTCATAGCATTGAGGGCACTGGCGCTACAATTAGCTTCGAGTAATACGCGCACGCAATCTTCATGACCTAATGCAATTGCAAGATGTAATGGTGTTCGCCCATGTTTGTCGAGTTTTTCATGTTCATGCTAATGACCAAAACAAATAAGAAAAACGTTGACTTAATTAAATATTCTTATGCACGTACAATACTGTACTGTATAGTATACATTACATATATACTTATACAGCATGTCAATTTTGTAAAATTAATTGATTACAATACAAATTCTGCATGGTGCAGACTGCTGAGTGACTTTAGCACCAAGTCTGCACGCCATTACGTCATTCCTTGAAAATACAAGCATACGTACAGTATAATATTTTCACATTTTTACAATACTGTACAGTACAGTACAGTACGGCTCAGTTCAGCACCAAAAAATGGCAGCAAACACTGCCTAAAATTTTTATGTAGAGAAGCAGAAATTGCGGCTTACAGTAGGTTTATCATGTAATATAATGATAGACTTCTTTCTGAACTTAAGTAATATAATAATGTTAGTTCATCTTTCTTACAATTTAAAAATTATATCATAAGGACTGATTGTACTGTACTAGTGTATAGAATTATTAACTAGAAATTAAATTGGACTACACTAATCGTACAGTCAAAATTTAGACATGTTTTTACTTTGCAAATTTACATAGAAATGAACTCGGATGAAAATCATACTGTAATAAAATCAGTTTAGCAGTATAAAAAATGCTAGATCCAAGGAAGGAGGATCCTTAATAAAAGTTTATGGTTGTGCTACAGCTGTGTATATTAGTAGCAAATAGAACAGTCAGTAGCTGTGAACGTATCATTTATCAGCTAACGATAAAGATAAATGTAGTACTGTCCAGTACTGTAAAGCGTACTGTCCCGTACTACTCGTACGTCTACTAAGGGTATTTGAATATTGTGTACTATATTTACTGTACTGTATTAACTACTAACCTCTCCTTTGCATAACATTTCTTGTAATTCAGCTACACGATTATTCCAAATGAGCCAATGTAATGGGAATTCCTTACTGGCCTTTTCACAGTTTTGAGCCATCAGTGATGACGCCGGTGGGTCAGATTCTGGAGATGTACACACACTAATACGCTATTACTATATACTATAAATAATAATAAACACTCTAATATTTGGGCTCGTATCTTTACAGGATAGTACTGATTTACAATAAACGATCATAATCTTAATTATCAGTTAATAATGTCATTCTACAGATACATAATGATATCCATGCTGTCTGCTATAGCGTAACTGGATGATATTTGGAGTGTTTAAGGAGAAATCTCTAACATCAGAGCAAGGGATGAACTTGAAAAAAATTTGTGAATGTCAAACTGCGGAATACTTTGTGAATGGTCAAACTGCGGAATACTGTACAGTGTACAGTACAATACTAACTACAGTACATACTGTACACTGTACAGTACAGTACTGAAAAAAGCATTCGCTATTATCGTCATCGACGGTAGCCACGATACGACAGTCTCACTCGTTGCAGTTTGTATGAGTCACAGTATGCCTTTTGCCTACCCGTTACGGTACTCTTGTTCGGCGTGCAGATTACTACGGTGGCCCATTACTGTACAGATTGCTGTACAGTACAGTGTACAGTACAACAAGTACAATACTGTACTGTAAGCTGTACAGTACAGTACAATAAGTACAATACAATGTACTGTACAATGTACAGTGTACAGTACAGCACTCGATATGGCTACCTGATCCTTGCTTGGATCATCATAGCGTAAAAAACCTACAGTACTGTACTGTACTGTACTGTACTGTACTGTACTGTACTGTACACCTGAAATTTCCATTAGCGTGATTAATTATTGTACTGTACAGTGTACACTGTAGAAGAGCACCGGTGGTAAAGTAAGATCCATAAAATTACAATTTCATCAATACAAGTTCTAATGATAATACGGTGACTTTTATCTGATAGACTTGAAATCATCGAAGTCTAAGATTTTAAAACTGTTTCAGCTGCATACTGCAGTAAATAAACCTGGTCCAGTCGAACTGTGCAGAACACATACTGTACTGTATAAAGGCACAATTTTTGTTAATAAACTGGCCAGTACGGATGCCGAATCAACTTTAAGTTCATAGTCTTTACTTACTATATACTGCATGTGGTATGGCTACGCAAACAGCTCAGCTCCGGACTCGTGTTCAATTGGAAGAATACCAAGTTAAAAATGTTAGATACTGAACTTATATATCAAAGTGTTAATTAAGATCATCTTTGTATCTGGAACTACGTGTATTAATAGATTTCCTGTAATTTATTACGCCTCTCATTACTTGTTACCGTTATTTCACTTTCTACTTATAACGTGTATAGTTCTTGTAACACATACATTATATGCGAATGTAGTAATGGCAATGCATACCAGAATGCAATGATTTCTAGTTTACAAATGCTCAATAATAATTTACAGATAGCAAGAAATAAATGGTAGATGTCAATGAATTCAGAGTAGTTTACATCTTGTTCCGACGAACCTTATCATTCGATTGTAGTGGTTAGCTTACACATTTAGAGTATTATATAAATTAAATAATCTACTTATTTGATTTAACGGATGCCAATTTTCTAGACACACACCGTTGATTTTCCCGGTGCATTTCACGGTTATGACGATGCCTGGAGTCTCAATAGCTTTAGAAAGGTCCGTATCAATAAATAATTTTGATGAAAACTTCTAGCCAAATCGTATGCATATGCGTTCTACAAACTAATAAGAATCCTATTTACGTTACTTTACTGAAATTATTATTTCAGATAGCTTGTCAGTTAAAGTTCTCATCAGTTATATACAGTGTAACTATGAATATATATATGTGTATATAATTACGTATTATTATTAACTATTATTATAATTAGAACTTCAAGATTGAAATCATAAAGGTAGACAATGAAGAAATGGAATTTGACATGATAGGCATTGATGCATCGATTGCCAATGCTTATAGAAGAATTATGCTTTCTGAGGTAGTTACATACGTACATGTTTCAAAAGTAACTTAATCTCACTGTACCCCAAGATAATCTTAAAATCTAACTTTTATACTGAACAAAATAAATTGCTTTAGAGCTCTAAATCATACCTTTATATTAGGTTCCCGCAATGGCAATAGAAAAGGTCGTTATCCATAATAATACATCAATTATACAAGATGAGGTATAACGCTCTCAATTCTTCATTTTTGGCATGTTCTGTGATTAGATGAAATGTGTTTACAAAAAAGCGATTCGTGTCACAAAAGTGTAATAATAAAATTTTGTAAAATTTACATCTAATATAATTCGTCATCACATGGCATTGTATGCAGCGAATTTATAATGTTTATAAACATCATGTTGTATAACAATTTCTGAATATTTGTTTCAATCTTTAAGGTATTAGCCCATAGATTAGGTCTGATTCCTATCGCAGCTGATCCAAAGCTATTTGATAACTTTAATCCAGGTACAATAAATTAGTAAAAATAAATTCTACAGTTCAGATTATTTCTATTTAGGTTAAAATATATTAATTAACTAATCAATATCAACGGCAGTCCTTCATACTGCACCCATTATCGTATTGGGCGCGATAGTAATTCAAATTGAAACTTTAATTATTGTTCTAAGACACGAATTGGATATTGATATCTATTTGATATTCTTTTTTGGCAAGTCTTACATATGAAAATCTATCAATTAATACCTATACCATCCTTTCAGTGAAAATAACAAAAATTATTACTTGAATGTATTCAATGCCTATGCACTTAGTTACTACCATATAGAGCATTCATAGGTTAATAGCATACTTTGTAATATGGCTTCTGAGTAATGATTAAGGTTTATTAATAGTGTTTATATATTTCAGGGGATACGCCGACGAACAAGAACAGTATAACTTTCACATTACAAATTAAGTGTATCAGAAATCGCTCGGCACATTCAGATGCAACTGATCCAGAAGAATTATATATTAATTCTAAAGGTATACTAGTATTAGCAATCACGTAGTCTATATCCTATGATGAATAAGTCTACATCGTTTTCGGTTGACCTTACTATACAGAATATGTTCTTATAGCACACAGTTAAAATGTGCATACTAGCTACTTTAAATTTCTATTACTTTACTTAACTGCTATTCTTACTACAATAAGTAACCACCAAGGATTTAAAATTGAAATACAATGAAGATCAAGACAATGCGGTAAGTCAAAATATTGAGGACGTTATTATATTACTAGCTACGTTACAGATAGATGTTACATCTATTCACACAAATTTTGTTTTTTTGTATGACAGATTCCTAACAAGGACATACGTCCCGTCCATGAGGATATCCTCATAGCAAAATTACGACCTGGTCAGGTAATAGAAATTGGTTGTGCCTAGATCATATGCTGCATTTCATCAGTAATTTTAATGACTCGTGATTCAATGTAGGAAATTGACTTGGAGATGATATGTGTTAAAGGAACTGGTGCCGATCATGCTAAATTTTCTCCAGTTGGTAATAATTTATATCTATTAGTATGGTGATCAAGTTATTCACTTTTATCGTATGCAATGCATGTATAATAGTATCCAAGCACTGCAGGACCTCATCTAGAATTATCTCTTTTCAGCTACGGCCTCATATAGGTTAATGCCAGAGATTATCCTAAAACAAGCAGTTACTGGTAAGCGAGCTAAAAGACTAGCAAAATGTTTTCCTGAAGGTGTTATTGGAATTAAAGAAATCAAAGGTAACATATGTATTTATAGTTATCGTATTTTAAATCCATATAAGTATTTTGGATTGTCTGCATCGTAACAGCCATTATTTCTTCTCTACTTCAAACAAAAGGTATAAAGACTGCCTACATAGATAAACCTCGTCTCGATACTTGCAGTAGGCAGGTATTACGTGATCCGGAATTAAAAGAACATGTAATATTGAATAAAATTCGTGATCATTTCATATGTAAGCTACAATGACATTCGAATTGATAAATTGAACGATGTTAAATTGCGCGCTTTGCTAATTTTCATGATTTATTATTTCTTAGTTTGTATTGAATCTACGGGCTCCATCCCTCCTGCTGATATCTTTCGTGAATCTGTGAAAATCTTAAGGCAAAAATGCCATAAATTTTTAGAAGAAGTAAACCGTAATGCTATCTCGGATGACACCTAAACTGAACGGTATTTGATGGCGGTATTTGTAATGTATTGTTCTAAATACATACTAACTGTATACACTGCTTTCTGTTAACTCATTCATTTGACAAGACACCCTTCGGACATGCACTGCAAAGAGTTTCATAATTATTAGATATTTCTATGTTACATCCTTCAGATATAGTGTACATTGTATACAAATAGCTATCACTATGTGTATACATATGCCGGTATACTGTATAAATCGCTTTACAAGAATACTCGGTAGGGTGTGATATACCGATTTTACCTGATATTAAATATTTGATTGCAATGATCGCTTATATGACACCATCCGCCGTGCCAACAAAGGTTTATTACTGTACTTTATATGGCTAGTTTTTTGTATGAACTTATAACATATTTCTTGATTGTGTTATGTTTATGAGCGAAAATAAATGAAGTAAATGTATAAACACCGCACGATGTACGGTATTAAATTGACAACGTCTCTGATTCAAGGAGTCAAATGATAGAACGCCTGACCATATCGAAGTAGAGAATACTCGTCTACGTACAATACATAGTATCACCTTTAAGTTAGCCTATTCTACTGTACTGTACAGTACTGTACATCAAATGTACAGAATGTACAGAACACATTGTACGGTACAGTAGGGATAGTATGGACTGTCATTGCTGTCATGGCTTGCCAGAAAATGATTTTTGAAGTTTTTAATAGTCCGTGATACTATCTACTTTACGTACAGTAAACCAGTGAAACTTAACTGGTCTATTGTACAGTATTTGTACTATATAGCCAGCAGAGTATGACATCAAAGATGAAGATACAGTACACTACAGTACAGTATGTGTAAACTTGATATTAATGATATGAAAACTAGTACTGTAGCATTTATTTTCGAGAAGATATCCTGATTTACTTTGTAGCGATCAAAATGATTGCTAAATAGTCAGATATCCATATTAAGTTAAGATAATATAGTATTCATTTATCATTAGTGATTGATATTACATGGACTTTGCAAGTTGATCAACTAAAACAAGCCAGGGACCTCTAGCCATTTACGCATACTGATAATTTAAAATTTTTTTACTTGAGAGGTCACTGTACTGTACACATAGTGACAGCGCTGTACAGTACTGTATGAAGCCTGGCCTGGAGTACCGTACTATCAGTAGAACACTAACTAGTTTTAAGTTTTACTAGTACAAACTCCCGTCGCTATGCTGACGGATTACTTTGTTATAATATTACAAACTCCCGTCGCTTTGCTGACGGATTATGTTCTTATAATATTATACTTCTAGAATATTATTTTACAATAATACTTCAAAAGTGGCTCGGCCTTGCATCGCTATGCTGGCGGATTACGTTGTTATAATATTACAAACTCCCGTCGCTTTGCTGACGGATTATGTTCTTATAATATTATACTTCTAGAATATTATTTTACAATAATACTTCAAAAGTGACTCGGCCTTGCATCGCTATGCTGGCGGATTACGTTGTTATAATATTACAAACTCCCGTCGCTTTGCTGACGGATTATGTTCTTATAATATTATACTTCTAGAATATTATTTTACAATAATACTTCAAAAGTGACTCGGCCTTGCATCGCTATGCTGGCGGATTACGTTGTTATAATATTACAAACTTCCGTCGCTTTGCTAACGGATTATGTTCTTATAATATTATACTGTACTTCTAGAATATTATTTTAAAATAATACTTCAGGCGTGACTCGGTCTTGTCCTCATTTACTATACAGTACAGTACGTAGCTAACATGTGATACAGTATCACTTACCGGCGTTTTTTTATCATTTGTACAGTACAGTACTGTACTGTAGATACTGTAGATAAAAAAAAATGTTATGCTCTTGATTTTTAATAAAGTGGCAGTTAGCGCGCACGCGTAGGGCGGAAAATTTAAAAATATGCTGTGGTCACTCAACATGCACAGTACAGTAATTTCAATTTGAAATTTAATTTCTGTTACAGTGTACAGTACAGTACAGCATGTTACATTTATGATGACAGACTAGTCTCTGTCGTTAAGTAGCTGGTGACGACTGTCGAAGCCATAGCGAATCTGGAATCGTGAAGAACGACCGTTAATAGTTTACGCTACATTTTCTATCATTCACAGTAAAATTGACGGTCTGAAAAGCGATCTAAAAGGTAAGTTAAATGTCAAACTCTATCATGTATGATCCTCCAACCTATAAACATGAGTAATAGCTGATTTTTAAGCTTAATCCTTAAATTTAAAAAATTTTGAATGCAATACATACAGTATAGTAGACAGTAATATGGATTTACAGTAAATATCAGTCGTCAGTTGAAAACAGCAACCTACGCAAGCAAGCAAAATAGGCTGTAATTAGGCTAGCTTTCTCGTCTACATTACTGACAACATTAGAACTGGACAAACTAAATAATTTACTTATTGCTCTATCGTATCCTCTCCCACTATACATACACTACATTAGACGTGTACAGTACTGTACAGTATATCTATCCTCTTCTGTGTAACGTTATTTAGATGCATATACTGTACGTATATGGTGTTGAAAATTAATAATTCTCGAATTAATTCCTAACACTCATATACTCAAATACGGTACAGTACTTTTAGTAAAACTGCACAAAGAATATAAGTGAATGTACTTATTAGGTCTCAGCGCACCGATATCTTAATCATTAACAACATGGTGTTTAGTTTAGTGTTAGTGAAACTTCTGTCTAGAGTTTTCCAGGGGTAGCATGCATGTTAAAAAAAATTGAATCGTAACCTTAGGATTCATTTAATAATTTTTTAAAAGGGAACTTTGCAATCGTCTATTATAGGTATAATTCATCGTACGAATTTTAGCTGGAGGTGACAGACCAAACTAAAAAATCAATCCTTATTGATTGTTGATATTATAGCCGAGGGATAAAAAGCTGTCTAGAGATGAGTTCAAGTGCTTCGCCGAAGGAAAATAGTGAAAATAACGAGTGGGAGGTTTGTAAGGAGAACATTCAGCCCTTAAAGCAAGGGAGAATCATGTCCAATCTCCAAGCTGCCTTATCAACGGAATCATCTACAGAACGAAAGAAGTTGCTTGATGAAAAAGAGTGAGTCTTTTCTTACATAAGCTTCATAAAAATCTTCTAATCTTTAAAATGATCTAGTAAGGTTTTCGCTCATTATTACGTTAGACAGGGTAATTGGCCTAATCATGGTATTATTAATATTCAAACAAAATATAGATTATTCGAAAAAAAGATCATTGCCATCGATTATGACAACGATGATGATCCTTTTGATATATGGTTCCGGTATGTAAGGAGTATCTTTAGATCCATATACATACACTCTGCTAAAGAATTATATTTCCGTAAACTCTAGTATATTTATGCAACTTACTTACACTGTATCACTCTTGTCGCTATACCGTGGTACAACTACAGTGTACGATGTAATCGTATTTGTAAGAGATCAAGCATTAACGCACTGTTTAATTAGGCTAATCAATACAGTATACTGTATTCCCGGTAACAGAGCAATATGGCTAATACATATTTATGTAGATCTGCTGATATTTTACAATTTTCTATTCTCCTGTTTAAAATGATGATGAAATACGACAAGAGACAATCCTGCAACAACATTTTCACGAAAGTGTCTCAATTTAGAATTCACTTGCATTAATTCTATTAAACTAAAATTTACTTAGCTGATCTTAATATTGGCTAAATCGTTATCGTTATTTGTCTCACCCAATATAAGATTCACTTATTTTATTCGTCATAATATCAGTGCTCTAATCTGCAGTTGTTGTTATTGTAGGTATATTGTTTGGGCTGAACAAAGTTTCAGAAACGCTGGAGAAGCCGGATTTTCCACTTTACTCAAGCGATGTTTAAGAAAATTTAAAGATGAACCTCGATATTATAACGACATACGATTTCTGTCCATTTGGATTAAAGCTGTATGTTATCATTCTTAGTTGCACGAGAATATAATTTCGCCTAAAGTATCTGTTCTCTAGTACATTATTCAGTAGCATAAAATTGCGTACTGCAGATAAATAAAAATACTGTATACAGATAAAATTATCAATGTGGATAGATACAGCATAGTGATACTTTTTGTAACATCGGTTAGTTTTCAACATCAAATAATTTGTATGAACAATTCAGCTTCATCTAGTTAAGTTCTAAATCGAAGTAGAAGTTAACTGTACCCATAAACCATTAACATGATACATTGTAATAATAGGCTAATGCCTGTAAAGATCCTCGAGATATTTACAATTTTCTCCATGATCGAGGAATTGGTAAATATGACGCATTGTTATACGAATGTTGGGCAAAGGTGCTCGATACGATGGGTTCATATAAAAAGGCTGACTGGGTCTATAGAATCGGTTTAGAGAATAAAGCCCAACCTTTGAAGAGATTGCAAAGACATTACCAGTAAGTCGACATGATTTCTTGGTCAATAACTAAAATCTGAAGTGCTATAGATTGCTTTATATAAATGCAGTATTTTGTGACTGTGCTCGGTGCTTAGGTAAGCAGTTATTAGTATATTTAAAGTGGTTTAGGTAGTACTCCTATGCTACATATGTATATATTGATCATTGAAAGGGATTGTCGATTACTGTACTAATACATATTTAAACTATACAAAGGGAATTCTTAGCAAGATCAGCTAATCGACCAAAGGAAGGCGGTACAAACACGGGAATATCATCAAATCCTCGTGCTCCTTTAGGTCAGTTACAAAATGCAGATCGAGTGACGGGAAAGGTGAATATTGTTCGTAAAAGCAAAGTCCCTGAAGGTATGTTACCTATATATACATAGCGGTAATGTAACCTTATCTTGCGAGTTATACCTATCATTTCATTTTGGCTGACAATAAGGTAGGTTAATTTAATAAAAGCACCATTTTGACGTTACAGCTTTGGATGAGGCGGATTCCTTGAAGGCCACTAATTCAACCAGTCAATCATTCAAGATTTTTGTAGATGAAAACCCTAGCAAGTTGTCATCTGCATCTAAACAAATGCAAGAATGGAAGAGTTTGCCCAACAGTAACAAAGCTGTAAAAGAGAATTCAAAAGGTCTTTCAAAGTGGAATCAGCAACAAGTAAAACATAATACTGAATAAAAGCAAAATGGCAACCACTTTTCTATGTATGGTAATATGCATGTAAATCTTTGATTTAGAGAAGATATTCTGTTATTCATGTTACTATAGATAACCGACGTTAGTAGTAACATAGTGAAAATTGAGGCATCATCACAAAAAGTGAAATCTGGAATTACAATTTACCAAGACGAAAATGTCCCAGCAACTAGGTAAGAAAAATTTAAAAATCATGCATTAATTGTCAATTAAAACAAGATTTACCGGAAATATTTACTTACCGTGCTTATAAATTGACAATGCATAGTACGGCCATTACCGAAATCCAATCAAGGCAGGTGCTCACAAAGTAAGTATGTTAGATCAAATTTTATTATAACTATACTAAGTTCAATTTCTTAAACTGCGATAAATTTTTTGATAAAACAATTTATGCGAAAAAGATCCGAAAGATCTGATGATTCTAATCATCCTCTAAACGTATTGAAAGATGATGACAATGTTAGGGTATGTCGGATATACTCGTATAAAATTAAATCCTCATAGATACTATGTCATGTATCCTAGTGAAGATGTATTACCTGATCACTGTTTCCTATGTTACTTAGTTTACTGTGGTAAATGGAAAAAAGTATGTTGCCGGGTACTGCAAGGAGATAATTTACAACGGCACACAGGAATTTTCTTTTGAAGAACTTAGAGCAATTCGTTACCGGGCAAAGCATCACGTATCTGTTAATGTGAATGATAATAATCTCTCAAATACTGAAGAAATGAATATTATTCAACCAAAAGAATTGCATAACAAATCTGCTAGTATTACATCGGTACCATCAGTAAGTCAGACGCCAACGATGACTATGGCTAGTAAAGAAGCTAAGCGGTTTGTCGATCTATTGTTCAAAGATGATATTGATCCGGATGATACTTGTTCAGGTTATTTGGAGTAGTTGATATTTTGTATAGTTTTGACTTTACTTATACGATTGCTTTTTCTCTAATAGTCCTGTATTATTAAATTATTTACCAAATTTAGTACTGTTGCCTTTTTACTAATCGAAAGTGCACTTCATTAACTTAATAGTAAACAACAATTCCCCGATCGAGAATATTAAATCAAATTTTATCATATATGATGACCATACTCCTAACAACTTAGCTGCAAAAGTAGCTGATTCAGAATATAATTCAGATCAAGAAAATAGGTACAGTACTTGAGTATTATCCTACTCCTGTTTATGTTTGCAAATTTAACGCCATTACTGGACATTCCATAATTCGATTATCGATCGTTAATTCATTAAGGCCACCAGAATCTTGTAGTCCACCTCCTAAGAGACGTAATGTTCTTGGTGTTCTAACTAATGCAGTTGGATTTGAACTGGATCAAACTAAACCGGAGTGTAACGAGGTTGATCATTCAAATATTTAAGAATTAAGAGTAGTTTGGAAGATATTTTCAATAAAATTATAAGATTAAAAGTATCGTGCTATCTCTATAATTGGATATTATGTATTATAATGAAATAAATTTTATTTTATAGGAAGATTTTGTTTATAAAGATTATGATGAATTAAAAGCTAGCGAATCGGAGGATAAACCAATTCCTGGAGACACTCAAAATTTTTCAATCGCAACACATGTAACTTCTACTCCTGCATGTGATCAGGTTAATATCAATGGGCGTCAAAGCAGCATTAAAGGATATGGCCAAGATAATATTTACGAGAAAGGGACTTTTACTCACGATATATATTCTGATGAGGCTGAAGATCATGATACAAATTTTAACAGGCCACAACTCAGTGATATCATCGAAGCTAGCAATGAGGCATCAAGCAAAGCATCTTCCTGTACATCTTCGACTGGCAGTAGGGCTAATATTGGATTCAGTACGCCATCAGATCAAAGAGTTGATATTGTAAGTTTAAAAATAATCACTCGCACAGAAAGTGAAGATGGAGAAGACGTGAGAGACAGCAAAGTTATCGATCCTTTTTGCGAAGACTTAAAAAAGGATCTGTTATCAAGAGATGATGTAAAAGATATATTATATTCCGACCCAACATTGTTTTATGTAGGCACTGTAGCTGCTCCGAAGCCTGTTATTAATGATAGACTTGATCTAGGTTCGTCTATTGCCCACTAATGGTCTACCCAAAGTGATACTTGCTGTTTGTTCTATAAAAGGACTTTACAATTTAATAAGTGCAGTTTTATTCATAATACCTATAGGGAACTCTGATTATAATTGCAATAAGATTATTGGTCGTGGTAACTTCGGTACAGTTTACCTGATAAATTCCGGTGGTGACAGTTTGGGATCTGTAACTGATGAATGCGAACTTGCTTTGAAGGTAAAATCTATAATGTTATTTGTAGTATACTTTAGCAATTTAGAGGTAAAATGTGAGATACTTAAAATTCTACCATGGCATTATATTCAACTGTAATTTTTTGTGAAAGGCGGTTAAATGATGATAGTGCAGGGGTCCAGACCATAGCTAGATATGAGGGCTATTCATATTCAAAAAGTATAGTGTCCGCAGCCTAAAGCTGCGGGACCAATATACTTTTTGTTTATGCGAAATTGCAATTTCTGATCTCTGCCAAGTGTAAAGATAACATAATATTTTATCTTCTTCTTGTATGTAATTGATCAGTTACCGGGTACAAAAGTAAACTTTTTTTCTTTAAACTATATTCCATCAAATTCAATCTTGCCCATATTTCAATATAAATGATAGTATTTCCTCTTTCTAAGATTCAGCAACCAGTAAGCTTGTGGGAATTTTATATCTGCCAACAAATTCATCGTAGACTGGATGAATTACCATTGGATATTGACCTAGTAAATATCATTTTTTGTAGTTAGTTCGCCATTGCTTTGATAAACTAAAGCGTTATACTTTTGCTTGCCTGCACAGCACACAGCGTTATTAAGGATTAATTCAGCTTACATCTACAAAGATGCTGTTTGTCTACTATCTTCATACTGCTCCTCTGGTACCTTACTGGTAAGCTCATTGCCTTTATCTACTGTTACTTTAGCTTATTTGTAAAAGTGATAATATTGACGGACTGAATGTGTATCCATTGTTATACTATATAGGATCTTGTAAATATTTACAAGACATTTCATGAATCTATAGATCAGTATGTTGCAATGTTTTACACGATTGCAATGCTCAGAGTTGTTGAAGTACTGCATCGATGTGATATTATACATGGAGATGTAAAGCCTGATAACTTTCTTCTTCAAGATATGTATGTTACTACCATTAGATTTATCTTTTGGTTTTGCTAATAAATTGCTCTTACGCAACTCCTATTGTACATTAGCTAAGCGATAATATTCCCTTTCAGTACGGACCTTGACAACATAGTCAGAAATGATGTCGGTAAATTCCGAAAATGCTACACTTCACTCAAGTTAATCGACTTCGGATGTGGTATAGATCGACGATTATTTCCGGTTGGCACACAATTTAAATCACTATTCGCGACGAAAGAATTTCAGTGCATAGAGGAAAAGACAGATATGCCTTGGACAGTACAGGTACCTTATACCCTAAATTATTTCCTTGACGAAGTAGTTACCGTCCCATATTTTTGCTCTTAACGTCTGCTATATCTTTTGATTTTTAGATTGATTTGTATGGACTACTTGGAACAATTCACTGCCTAATTTTTCAAGATTATATGAAAGTATATAAAAATAAAGATGGAATGTGGCAAATAACTAAGGCATTCAAACGGTATTATATCGTGTTTAGCATCGTTATACGGCTATAATAGGATACTCTTCCTGAATATTATATGATTGATGGCTTATTTTAGCAGCTAATAGTTCGAAACTGAATCATTTTATAAATGTTATACTCTTTGATTCTAAATTTATCCTAGATGGTGGAAGAAAACCCTCTGGGAGGATTTATTTATAACGTTGCTTAATGCTGCTCCCAGCCAGGCCTTACAAAAACTTGCCGAGATTAGGACTAGATTCGAAGAGGCCTTTACTACAGGCATTGAAAATTTTATCGTAATGAAACGAAATGAAGATAAAATGATTTTTAATTATAGTTTATCTCACTAATAGCCACCCTCACAGTACTGCGGTTGCTTGTGACCTGCTTGTGCTAAAGTTATTACGTTAACGATTTATTTAGATTATAAAGCATATACGTAAAGTTTTATAATGCCTGTTTTTGATTTTTACTTAATTCTAGATAATCATATAGGCTGTTAATGTCATAAATTGCACTCTGTAAATAAAATAAAATATATATATATATATTTGTAAATATAGAATGCGCTCACGGCGGCTCACCGTCGCAAGAGCATTATGGTATTACTGAAATTGTGGTAAGCCGTGGCATTAGTAAAATATTCCTTAGATCTTCGTACGTAATTTTCGAATATATGAGTACTTGCATAACGCGGACTGTATGCTATGGAATGTGCTTATATCTTCTGTATTAATGTTAATACACGTATTATTACTATGCTCTTGGATTGTAATCTTAATTTTAACAATAAAGCTCTTGGCTATATTCCATCTAGAAAATTAAGAAGCAATGTACAGTACTGTATTAGAGCTACGAACTACAGTACCTGCACTAATATACAATTCGTGGGTAGGAAAGAACAATATTTGCGTTTGAGCTCAAGAACTTTATTACTTTATAGTATACCCGCAGCATTAATATTATCTCATTCGCACGGCTTGGTATTTTAACCTTAATCAATACTGTACTGTACAGTGTACAGTACAACATATAGCTTTGAGTTGAAAGTACTTAAAATTCTTACTGATTTAGATGCTGACTAAGATACAAATTTAAATCGAACCTCAGACGCTGAATGATTGATTACATAATATTAATTAATTATTACTGGATCAGTACTCCTGATTTTGGAGAAGTTGTAAAATTACGGGTATCGACACCCAAATAAACGAACGGTAAGGAACTGTACTGTACACAGTGTACAGGAACAGAAAGGTTATCTTCTGTATGGTACTGTACTGTACACTGTACAGTACAGCTTGTTAACTTAATGATACTGCACTGTGCAGTATCATTGTACAGTACCGTGGCGATACGCAGTACAGTACAATACAGTATACTGTACTGTATTATACGAACTCGAATTATTTCACCAACTTAAATAAGTAAATTAAATACGTTCCTACTTAAATATTTTTCAAATGTACGGCACCAGAATCTAATATGATCAGTAAAATGTCGATCACGCTTTTTGATTATAATACCTTTCATACGTGAATTCCATAGCACATTATAATACTTCTAGGACAATCTTATGATCGGATATTTTTGCAAGTGAAAGAACATGATTTTATAACGTGAACAAAATCTAGTGATCTTGGAAGCTTCTTTACTATCGATAGATTCGAAAGTGTAACGTCGGTTTAATCATCGTATACAACTTTAGTAACCAAAGACAGCACGCTTTTGGTGAGCCGTCAATAATTATAACTAACAAGATGCAAGAGAAACAATTCAGTTGGTAAGTAGAATCTTTATATCAAAATAGCAATGTTGCAATAAAATGTTTTTAATTTCTTATATTTACTTTGGCAAATTGATACCCCTACGCACTATACTACTTTGTAAACTTTGATGCCTTTCCATTTTTGCTTATAGGATGCAATATTTTGCGGATACCAGCCTGATCCTACCTTGTATCATCTCAGTCTCCTTGATAGCTTACGGAAGCATGAAGTACGGTATTATAGACTATGCTCAATTGCTCATGCAGTAATAGACGTTAAAAAATATATCTCTTTATCAACAACTAATTGTTTATCTGCACATTGAATTATCCTAATTGTATAGCATACAGTGTATAGTAATATATCGACCTATACTGTACTAAGCGGCTAACGCTAAGTGTAGAACACTGGTATCTACTAATGATATACATTTGGTATCCGGATAATTCCCCCATACACTTGCCCTCCAGATAGTTGTACATAAGTACATTGGTAATTCAACCCATTACATGTTTAATGTCAAAGGGAATGGCTTGAATAACTCTTTCATCAAGAATTAGCTTTTGTAAAGCTGATTCTGTTCCGCCATATCGCAAACGCGTTTAGTTTTTGGAGGGTAGTTGCCCGGGGGAATTGTCCTTGAACCTGATAATCTATCGATTCAATGAATAAAATCTACAGCATTCTAGATTGTAAGGCCACAGCTGATCTACACGACGTCCAATATATCAATTAATAATGTTTTGAATTCAGTTTAGTTTAATAAATACAATTATAGATATAAAAGTATATTTATTACATACAATCAGAATTATTGATGAATCGCTTACATCAAATCTCAGATTGATGCAATGATTTCTGATGGAGGACACTCTTTATCTAGAGATTGAAGCGAAGAAAAATTCTTAATCAGATAATGACACAATATGAACGTTATATCCCCTAAAAGTACAAATCTAATGAAAGTAGAAAATTTTAACGCTCTATAGCTAGATATGCATTAAATATAACTATGCAATGATCAAGTTTTAAATCATAAGCTTGCTTTTTGGTGCTAATATTGGAATAAGATCGTTAGTACCTCAGTACACGTAGTCTGATTTACAACCTTAAGCTTTGCTATTAATATTTTACAGATACAAGTACAGTAGTATGCTGTACTGCAGTGATACGAGTACATACATAGGACTACCATATCATTAAGTTACGTTAGATAAATTTGATTTAAAATTCATTATATCACAAAGAATGACTAACCACACCGAACACAAACAGCAAAATGAATATTTTTCATAAGTTATTCATTCATAATTTGCTGAACGTATGTTAAAGTTACACAATAAGTATAACGCACATCAGTAATATACTACATTATCGGTATGATGAAAACATTTGCATAAATTGCCCGTAGACTTACTGTTTGTAACTCTATAGTGCTATTTTGATAGAGCCTGAAAAATGAATACATCTTAAGGTGTTTGCATATCAAGATAGCACATTACGATTTATGAATAGATATAAAGATAATGTACAAATTTATTTTATATCTTTTCACAACCCTGTTGAGAATAAAGATTTTATATCGTAAGAATAATCTATAATCTGGATCCTTTATTTTGAGAACTAACCTGTGTTAAATTACTCGCAAATTAGATCTCTAGCTTTCGATATTAGCAATTCAGAAGAAAATAAAGATTATTCTGGTAAGTCTCTTTCCTCTCTGTACTCCAAAAAAAAACGGAATTGAATTTTGATATTAAAAACTCGTACTGTATATGGTACAGTAATAGGCAATAAAAGTGATAATAGTTTTATTTATTGATCTAACGAGTCCTCGCATTCAATTTAAAACGGAGTACAAACATTTTAAAATACTGTAAGTAAGCAATTAAACCATCGTTTGTATGCTCTAGTATAGTAAAAAGTTCGATATAGTGTAGACCACATCACGTTGTATCATTAAAGAATTAATATTTTCCTTGGAGATTTAGCTATTCTCTGCCTGTATAGGTAGTTCTAAAGCAGCATCAAAAGTACAATATTTATGAATTTTGCCTAAAAATAGTAACATTAACTTGCATATTCGTACTTACATACATATACGTACATAAAATCTCGTAAATTTTATCTTTTTTACCACCTTTCAATTCGGCCATGTAGATAAAGTTCAAATTATCGACAGCAGTCAAGCTATTTATCTTCCTATTGGGTCATCTATCTTTTTACTATGCATGTTCTTCTTTTCTAGTTTTTTCCAATTTATTCTCATCCTTATTACTGCCGGTACGTAATGATTATACCTCTCAATCATTTGTTGCCAATAATCACCTACGTCTCGTGTATATATTTATATATAGAGAGAAATATTATATTACAGTAATTGTCATAATCTTTTAAGTATTTGTAAAAATTTCAGGTATCACAGTCATGGCGTTCGATTTTGTACTTTTTTCTTTCTGGAAAACTTGCATCCAAAGAATTTTTTGTAAAAGAAATTTGTAAGGGTTGAAGAATTTTGACTCAAAATAAACTCATAGTAATTTGATACTATGATTATGCGGATATTACCGTTGATAACTTAAAAAACCTTTCTTCAGCATTGACAACAAATATCACCGGTGTTGCAACTATTCGTGTACCGAAATTTGGTCTCTGTTCTTCGCAGTTATGATGGTCTTCTTATGGCTGCTTACTGGACACTGGCTAGTAATTGACGGTACGAATAATTAAGTCATGATTTATTTGATCTCACTTCCGCGTCGCTTTTACTTACCAAAAGCACTGCTCTTAACAATCATATTGTGGCACTTATCTTGCCATAGTGATAGGGATGGTGCTGTGCACCGCGGTCATAACGTATGTAAGGTTACCTAATCTTCAAGTATCTACATATCTTCTTTGCGGGTTGTTAATCTACGATGTTTTCTGGGTTAGTAAAAAACTTAGATGAAAGAGACTATAGTTATAACATGACAGATCACATGCAGTAATAATAAAATATATTAATTTTAACACTGTTAATATTTTACATAGGTCTATTTCTCTGAAAGAATCTTTAGATCTAATGTTATGATTGACGTAGCAATGAGCACAGCAAGAAATCCGGTATAATTTATCTTATAAACTCTGTAATTTCTCTCTAAATCATCGATTCTCCTGAGTAATTAAAGTTATAAAAATCTGCAATATTTTATTATCACTTTATAATATTTAACAATATTTGTGAAGATTAATGTAGCCGCTGAAAAGATCAATATAGCCAATTCTGCAAGTTCTTTATTGCGATATCTTCCTCAGCATATTCAGCTGCCCGGCAAATTGATTTTTCCAAGGTCAAAATTATACTTCGCGAATCACTTTGATATCACATTTTCACTTCTTTATCAATTTTGTAACTTCTTACGAATATCTCCATTTCGATTTATTTCAGCTTTCATCACAGAGGTTATTATGTAGTACTTGGCTTGGGAGATATTGTAAATAACGATTAATTCGTAGTGAAATTTACTAAAATTTAACTGAATTAATGTAGTACTACGGGATACACTTTAGGTTATTCCGGGATTGTTAACAAGCTTCGCTCTAAGATTTGACAATTTCAAAAGTAAACAAAGTGACTTATTAAACAAGTCCCGCCTTATGACTGTAAATTACTTCCGTTGTTGCCTTATTGGTTATGCATTCGGTGAGGAAATGGAATACATTACGCTATGAAGCTATTTTTCATTTCAATGCGGCATACGAGAAACTGAAATACTTACTGCTTTCATAGGACTATTCCTAGCTGGTGTATTTGCCACCATATTGAATGCTCCTCAACCGGCATTGTTATTTTTAGTTCCTTCAACATTGCTGCCTCTGTGGTTGCTGGCATACAAGAAGGTAAAGATTTGATTTTAATCGCTAATAATATAAACTCTTGTATATATGGTAGTTGTTATTATATACTCGTATTTTAATATCTGTAGCTCGTATAGCTTAATTAAGGTATTTCCTGTAATACTCAATTGGTAACAACTTATTAAATGACCATAGCTTCAATTCGATAAACTGTATTTCGTTACAATGTGAGTTGAATAATATTCTTTACTGGAATTATTACGAAAATTTATACCGCTTCATTGTCTATCTCGATTCAGATGGTGTTATAACCCTACGATTATAATAATTAAGACACACGGTAGATGTAGACATGAGTCACGGGACACATAAAATAGCCATCGTTTTTTTAATTAATAAAGCCAGTAGGAGTAGTATTAGTCAGCTTTTACATAGTTTCATATATCTACACTACTTTTGATTACTTGTATAAATTCTTCCTGCTATACTGCACTAGTTAAAGAGCAGTACGAACCGTCCATATGGTTGCCACAGTAGTATTAGCCAAAGGTCGTGATACATAACAGCCTGATACTATACTATGCTATGCAAAGAATTAGATTATACTAGTTTATACTGACGATTTCAATAAATTGAACTTAATCTCTTTACTTAGTCATTTATAATACTCATGTTGCAGCCTTAAAATATATGCAATGAAACGTAGCAAATTAGCAACGATAGAATTAAATTATGTAGTTAGCAGTTGTGGGAAATTATCACAATATACTGAATGGTGAGCGTGTCATGAATAAGCCATTGGACCAATGTATTAGATACTAGCATTTCTCTCATAGTAGTCTCTAGTGCTCGTATGTCGAAATAACACTTCTCTGTGGTATCTAGTGCACGGTCTAACCTTTTCCCAGAGTTACAAGACAATGTTATTCTACTATTAGTTCTTTATATCTACGGTATAATGCAATATACAGCATTACCTAAATATTAGATCTAGTTAGACAGTTCAGACTGCTCTGAGTTATGATTTAAAGAAGATTCCGTTGACTTCTTTCAGAGTCTACCCCGAATTTAAAAGTAAAGTAAATCACATCTTAAGATATATTCCGCACGCAATAGCTAGTCAATATTTTGGTAATCAGATGTTACTAATTTAGTCATCTCCCTTAACTAATCTCACTCACATGGACGTATTCATGTAAACCATTGCCTATTATATCTATAATAATTATTTGAGTTAGTTCATTCTAATTACTGCGACAGATTTAAAACATTTTTCTATTTTATTTACAGAATGATATAGGGTATATGTGGTCCGGGTCTTTTAACGAAATTAAAATTAAGCGGGAAGTTAATATTATATAACAAATTGTCGAGCAATAAATATTGCTTACATTGCGATATAGGGTTAATTCTAATTGCTTAAAAATTTTCTCTGATAGAATACTATAGTGCTATTATGATTATCAAAAATTCTCATAAATTTTATTTCTCGGAAGCAGTAATTATAATCATTCTTTTTAAAATAGTATTTACTTAAGCTTACTGAGCTAGCCATCAAGCTAAATATTACGAAAGTTATAACCGACATGGTAACATTAATACGATCTTATGGGCATATTTTTAAAGTTACGTATAGCTATACAGTTTCCAATCTATTTTATTCAATCAAGAATCCTAGAACTATACGTGAAAATGGATATGCTACTAATAGTAAACGAACATCCTACTTACATCTATATTCGCATAATAGTAAAATTAGTTATTTAATAATCACTCGTAAGACATTGTAACCTACAAACTGAAAAAGGGGATATATCGCCAATTAAATGTAGAGGCACTTCTAATCTGCTTAAGTCTCAGCATTCAATGTCTTATATTATTTACAAGAAAATGTATCGTCTGCTGATAATTATAATATACTTAGTCTTTGATAAGTTCTATACCGATAATAAAGATGTGCAATTACTTGCATGATTATTAATAAGTTTCAATGACTTGCGGAGTTTGAGGTCTTGGAAAGCGCCTAAACCAAATATCCTTCGCTTTTACGATACTCTACAAAATCTGAAGATAAACCCTTGCATATTTTTCAACCAAACATTGGAAATGTTAAATAAGGATTCTCGAAAATTGAATTATATCATGATATAAATCCCGTTAGAATATCTATAAATCTATCATTACAATTTGATTTATTTATTTAAAGCTCACATCTTCTATAATTATAGTGGGTCGGTTATTTACAAATTTTATTATATAAACGGATGCGTTTTTAACTTCTACAGTTCTTTCTAAATCTTTCGTTGTAAGCAATAAAGTCATGTAAGATTATTTAAATAAAATTGAATTAAAAGGTAACATAGAATTAATATCATATATCTTCATGACATTATCTTCCTATCTTGTACATCCTGGACTACCGCATTAAATTTCAATAAAACACATTAAAATTTGTAACTGTGATTACAAAGAATTAAGTTAAACGTCCCAATGTGTATTTTAAACTGTTTAATAAATTATTCTAATACCCTGATACCCAATATTGAATAACTCTATCATTAAGACACTTATTAATTATGCTTCCATAGTTGCATATTAATTTTTGTAAAGCAACTTTAAGGCGTTTTAAATTAGGCCTACTTACGACCGTACCGACCTATACAGTACAATAAAAATTTAAAAGAACAAAATATATGGTAGTAAACTAGAGATTTATCATCATTGCTATGGATAGATCTTTAATAATATCAAATAGATATAATTACGCTTTCTGATAAAATAAATTGTAGGTAAAAACTATCAAAATAAAGAAATAATGTAAGCTTCCTCATTTAAAAGCCATATCACTTCAACGTGCTGCATTTAATTAGAAATTGAAAAGTGATAATAGCAAATGTATCCTTTATCGTTTCGTGCTTCCTTCCAAGATTATTTCAAATCCCATTGAATTACGTATTATTATTCTGTATAGGGAAAAAATAATCGCTTTGAATGATTTCATAATGGCATTTATTGATACAGGCTTGTTAACATAACAATAGCTACTTGTTTACACTCTTTTATTAAATTTGATTTATTTCTTTATCATTTTAATGTTATTGAGTTATCGCTATCCTGATAAAATGTAATGCAGTTGCGTCAATCAGTTCATTTTGACCGTAAAGAATTTGAAAAGAAAAGAGTACTACGGAGCGATAGAAGAAGGAAGAAATATTTCTGTAAAGATAGTTACTTGTTGATCATGAATAAAATTTAAGGAAAGTATGGCAAAAGAATTATTTCGTTGTCTATGGTGTTTGCTTCCAGATACATTTAAGGAAAAAGTTCAAAAATCAAGTAGAAAGGATGCATCGAGGGAAGTTCTATACTTAGGTAAGAGAGATGTTGAATCAGAATTTGGTGCCGATACAACTAAAGAAGCAATATCATCTCTGTGGTCGGATGGCAAACCAAATTTAAAAGAATTGCGAATATCATTTACTTGGTTGGGGCTACATATGGAAGATCTTGAAACAAATCGTGTACGCGTATATCCAATTGAAAGAATTTCATATGCCATCGTTGATAGTGTTTTCGATCGCGTATTAAGTGTTATTATCAAGACAAATGATTTGTTAGAATGTTACTGTTTTTTATTCTCTAAGCCATCTGAAGCCAAGGGCATGCTACGCAATTTCGAAAAGTCATTAACCGATGCTGCAAATTTGTATCTTTCAAAAGCATTCGAAAATGATGGTAAACTAGGCTTTGAAAATTTGGCTTACGATGATCAGACAGTTAATTATAATAACTTTTCTTCTAGTGCTTCGTACGATAGTCGATCGCGTGCGAATACGAATTGAAAAATTCTGTGCAAACACCATAATATTCAATTAATAACACTAGAAATAGTGATTCATCAACTATTTTTGTTTGAGTAACGTAGCCTAATACGATTTTCGATAAAATCACAGATTCTGATTCGTCATGATCGATTGAAATCGATTATATCCGAAAAGACATAACATTGATATACTTAATATACGATATGGTTTTACTTTTGATTCAATTAAGATATCTTTAATCTAACTTTTTTATGATGTCTTATCTGAAAAGATCTACGTTAAATTAAATAACTATGTAATGTACCGTATATGCACTCCAGTAATTTCTATGATTATATATCTCTATATATTTATTGTACATAATTGAGATCTTAAATCAAGTATTAGGTAATTAAAATAGGAAACCCTCTACAATCATTATTTAACTGCGGTTATTTAGGAATCATACTATTCTATTTAAAATATAATCTGTAACTTAAAATCTATCCTATTGCTTCCGTCTTAGCAACTGCTGCTTGCATCGCACCTACTTGTTACATTTGTTTCGTATTTTTATAGATCTGGTGCTTTTATTTTCATCAAATATAATGTCATACGTGTATTAATCGGTGATATTTCACTAACACCTTCAGCGCTTAAAAAAACTATTTCAATGCGATGTATATCTGTAGTACCAGTACTATGCGCTATACACTGAACATAGAAATGTTCTGGCCATTCCAGTGCATATTAATAATTAATTTAGGAACATTTATTTATTTTGTATACTTTTGAAGTCATAGATAATGAATAAAATCTACAGCTACAGCCGAAATACTAGACCATTCTCATATTTACTCGCTTTAAATGAAATCATTAAAGTACGATTGTGTTCGTATATAGTAAATATTGCCGGTAGGGGAAATTCTTATGCATGATACTTAAAGAATTGAAGATAGTAGGATTATAGAACTAATAACAATCCTATATTGCAAAATATCGTTAATTTTTAATTTCGCTGTTTTTATAACTACCTCAATTTCATTTACCATAATTTAAAATTTATCTATCATTGCCATTGGGAAACCGCAGATGTTGCTCACTTGTTACTTATAATTAATTATTAATAATTAGCAAAGATGACTCTGTCTATATTCGGAGATAGGCACTGTTATTTCTGAAATATACTTTATTCTTTTCAGTAATACCAATACATTGAATTACTGATGAATGTGGTTTTATTGTATGCTTAGAACATGCCTAAAGCTCATTAAAAATATATCTACGTTATCTCGTTATTTTTGCATATTCTGAATTACTACTGTAGGGGTTTATAATCATTACAAACGGTTGTGTAATATTTCGTGTCATCTTATAAATTTATCTATACTTTATGATGAGATAAAAAATTTAATTATGAAAATGACAACAACAGAAATCATATTTACTAGTCTATTTGATTAAAACCAATAAAGAAAAGTTATAACAATTGCTAATACGCGTATGTCCCTGTTAGCCTTCATACTTTACCAGTGAATAACAAATTAAAAGTAATCTATGGTAAAATTTATTTTTAATACGTAAAGCTGCTATAACCTAGCCAGGTTCATGTTAACACGAACTATTTAATATATTATCCGCGAGTTTACTTGATCGATAGAATCATTGTATATAATTTTAATTATCAATTTTAGGTCCTTTACTTTCCATAACTTATTTTTATATGCATATAACTTGAAAAATCCTTTTAATTTAGTTCTTTTTTCTGAACTGATATCATAGCATGCCTGGATAAACAACATTTAATCGAAATAACTACTACAGTTCCTATTGCAGTCTTTCAGTTAACCTAATAAATGCAAGTATTGCTTAAATAAACAAGTGATCTGATAATGTGAAGATCAACACTCGCACAGTATGTACATCTTTTATCCTAGTGGATCAAGGAGCTCATGAGAAATAACTATTCCAAATATTATAATTGAGAAAAGCGGATTATATGCACGTATACGTTATCAAATCTTACCAACACACAAATAGTGAATCATTTGAAGTAAATTTTGTACTTTACTTCATAATACTGCCGTACTTAAAATGAGTAACTGTTAACCGAATGTCCTTGTAAAACCGATTTTACGTTGTTTTAAAGTACTTTAGACTTTCAAACTGAGTCTTACAGACGATAGTCTGGCATCAAATCATCTCTAAGCTTGATTATAGTCTCTTACTCAGTTGATTTTGGATAATTGCCCTAGTACAGACACTGCGATAATAAGTTAACAAATATGCCTCGCTGTAAGGTTCACTGGACTACAGTGGAGGGATTTCTCCTAGTAGCAGTCCATGACGAGGCGTACGCCATGATATACTGTACACGTACAGTTAAGAAGGATTCCGTACACATAGTGTATAGCATTCGTAGTGTATAATTAGTATCGTACAAGGAGTGGTACTCAAGCGGGAGATTCTCGAAGCACGACATTGCATGCAAGTTGTAGGTATCCAAGAAACCAAACAGATGACGTTATCGCGCGCAGTCGCAATGATGAATTAGTTACCATGGCAACGACTCTCCGTCGCTTAATTAACGAAGCAACCAACAGGAACTATAGTAAATAGTACCTTCGAACTGGTTATCCTACGTAATGAGTAATAATATATAGAGATTTAAAGTTTCTGCAAGTAATAATTTCCACTGCTAATAACGTTAGATTAAACTCGATGACATGAAATAGCAGCAGTAATCCAGAGTTGCTGGTACTATCAACTAATTTTATACAAGTATTGTTCTGTTTCATCAAATAGTTTTACATCAGTACAGTACAGTACTGTACCTTAAAGAATTTTTCTTTATAAACCATTACCCTAAAATTTAAAGTAAATCAGTCCAGAAATCTTTTCATAATGGATGACGTTAGAATAGAATGGATGAAGAATAAGGTATACCTTGGTCTGGGGATTGACGATCCATTGGTATTTGAAGACTTATTAACTCGAGATGATAGTCAAAAGGAAGATGAGATCAAAAGTTTTCTTAATGTTACCCCCAACGAAAATACATCTGCTTTGATATTTTATACGATAACTCGTGTAGAGGAAATTGAAGTCGAAGTTGAAATTGGTAACCAAGCGTAGCAAATAAATCGAAAAGTTGTTTATTTTATTAGTTTTAGGGCTTGCTCTTTTTCGATAAACGTATAATAATAAGTAAATGGCTCTGCATCATAATAATTACAACCTTTGCGCAGTAGTCCAACATAATCAGAATTGCTGAGTAGAAAGTATGCAACATTTTGCAGAATTTAAAAAAAGTAAGAGCGCTAACAAATGCTTCTATTTATTCTAGAACCAGAGATTGTTGAAGCGCCAAACGACGACGAAAAGCTATTAGCTGAAGCCACAGTCGATGAACCTACCTTAGAACAGCCTGTGGAACCGGAAGCTTCACCGAAACGAGAACCTGGCTCACCCAAAAAAGGTAAAGTTAAATAGATACTGAACTACTGATATATCATTATCTCATAAGTACATATAATTGACATTAAGTAATGCAGTATCAACAATTTTATGACTGTAATCATAATTGTACGAACATTCGCAACATTTAAATTATGGAATTCAGAACACAAAAAGGGGGATAAGAAAAAGACTAAAAAAAGCAAAAAAGACAAGGATAAAAAGGATAAACAAAAAGATAAAGAGAAAGAAGCTGCAGCAAATGCTGCTGAAGAAGAGGCAAGAAAAGCAGCTGAAGAGGAACGAAAGCGATTAGAGGAATTAGCAGCACAAGAAGCGAGCTTGCAAGAAGAAGCTGAAAAACAGATTGTGGAAACGGTATGTATCAATGAAATAATCTTTACCATATACATATATAAAATGTATCGCTAATGCCTTTACTTACACACTGAATTCATTAAGTAAATTCCGAATCTAAGAAATAGAATTGTTTAGCATCCAATTCTGCTGTACCTATTATAATTTTTATCAATGTTGCTTTTTATAAAGAAAATAATTATTCAAAAAGTTCAGAGGAAAGTGTTATACACATGTCGAAAACAGCTACCTCCAGAACTAATAAATGTCGATTGCTTCTACTTTTTACGCTATGGTCATGATTCTGTGGTTGTTCCGAGCGATTTAAATGAAGCTAATGCATTGTTACCAGCTTATTTCGAATATGGCCGCATGACAAGCAATGTCTTATTGATGTTAGAACAAGTTTTACGGCATATATATATGCCATTGCTATCTTGTAATGGACAACAAAACAAAGTCTACATGACTCAGAACGCCAATGGTAATGATGACGTGTCGCTAGCTCAAAATCAACCACAAAACGATCAAGCAGAGAATTTTCAGCTTAAGCAAATCCATCAACGAGCGGTTCTGCGAGATGAATTTCTAATCAATATGGAGAAGTTTACTTCACACGTCAATCACACTATTCAGCAATTGGAAAGCGAAATTCGCTTAGATATTCCAGATATTCCGCTCAGTAACGATGTCCAAACTACTATTAAAGATAAAGATATGCTAAATAAATTAGAAGGGACACTCGATTCATGGGAGAAAGCAATCTCAACTATAATCGAAAACGAGCTCAAAAAGGTACCAAGAGGCTCTGGTCCGTTGGCTGAAATCGACTTTTGGCGTCAGCGCAATTCGACATTAAGCGCTTTATCTGAGCAGCTACAATTGCCTTATGTTAAAAAAGTTATTGAAATTTTAACTGAAGCTAACAGTCATGCTTTATCAAGCTTTGAATATAATCGCTCAGAGATGATTAAATATTACACTGAAGCAAAAGATAATGTACGATTTTTGTCTACATTAGAAAGACATTTCAAGAATCTTACGCATGGATCAGGTTTTAGTGTCGTGATCGATACAATACCATCAATGATGAATGCATTACGCATGGTGTGGATTATATCTCGCCATTACAATCGAGATGAACGAATGATACCATTGATGGAGAGAATTGCGTGGGAACTTGCAGAGAGAGCATCTCGCGTTATTAATGTGAAAACGATATTAAGGTAAAGAACGTAAAATTTTTTAACAGGCTGAAGTGCTGTACTGTATTGAATATATATTATTTACACATTAGCTTACGGTAGTACCGTAACCATTAACTATATCACGATTTAAGCGTGCATAGCACTTTAGAAGAAGTGAAAAGATGTACTATGAAATGCTTAGGCTTCAATACACCCTAAATGTAGAATGATGAGCATGTTTTATTTTTATTAGCACTACAGGGTTCACAGACGATTAGCAATCTCTAAGTTTCTAACTTTATGTTTATCAATTATTTGACAAAATATAACAGAGAAAGTCCAGGACAAGTTAAAATCAAAACTGTTGAGGCAAAAAAGATGTTAGAAATGTGGAAGGACACTTATTTTGAAGTTCGAGCCAAGATTGAAGCTTCTGGACGTGATTCTCGATGGGAGTTTGATAGAAAACGACTTTTTGAGAAGACAGATTATATGGCGAGTATATGTCGAAGCCTATACGATGTGGCACAGGTACGAATGCAATAGAAACCCTTTAATGTAATTCTATGCTATAGAGCAGAGTAATCTGATAAGTAGCGATCCATTTTGTTGGATTATTTCTAAATTAGATAATTACATTTCAATATATTGAAATAATCAAGAGTAAATTATCTTAGGTTCTTGAAGAATTTAAGAATATCTTTGGGCCAGAACTGAAAGCAGTTACTGGTGATCCTAAGCGAATCGATGACGTCCTTAAGCGCGTTAACGGCTTAATAACACCTATCGAACAAGTTCAGTTTGATCCATTCAGCTTGCGCCATCAAATCAGTTGGAGAGAAGTTATGGATAGTTTCCACCGTGAAGTTCTGTTAATTGAAGACGAAGCTAAAAATTTTATTGATGATTCTTTTAAAACTCTTCGATCTGCCGAAGGTGCCTTCGATATGCTGCTTAACTTTAGACATATTCGTTCGCGCGATGCAATCAATTCACAAATGATGAGAAAATTCAATGACATATTAGTCCAATTCGAGAAAGAGGTAAACATTTATGTTAACTGAAAGATGTTTGTACGAATGCTATGAAGTATATTAATAAATCATGCCCCAAAAATTTCTGTACCAATTATGTTTTGGGGCCTGCAATAGACATGATACAAAAAGATTCTAATTAATTAGTCCTTATTATATTATGTGTCAGATATACCGTGCTTTAGATATTTCACCCTAAATTATGAATCGGATTTTATACGAAATCACAACGAAATTCCTATTTCGTATAATAGTTATTCTATATACATTTGTAGCCGATGTGTAATAGTAATAGTGGTGTAATTAGGTGCCATAAAAAGTATCGTACCTTGAGGCTCTTTATTAACATCATTTAGTACTATTAAAGTGAAGTACTTTAGAGATTGTTATTTATTAAGGACATTGCATCATATAATTGATATTTTCCTTATGATTGGATATCTCCTAGGTCGAAACATCGAATTCATTATTTAAAACGTTCGCTGAAAAACCGCCACTGCATAAGAATCAGCCCCCGGTAGCTGGAGCAATCGCTTGGGAGCGATCACTATTTCATCGTATGAAACAAACTGTTCTCAAATTGCAGACTATGGAAGCTTTGTGGAACAGTGATCAAGGAAAAGCGGTAACAAACAAATACCTATTATAATATAAATTATTTAACTCTCAACCCAAGAGTAAAATTGTTTGAAAATGATTAAATTTAATACTATGATAGGCATCAAAAAAATATTTAACAGTTGCAAGGAGTATGAAAGAGTATGAAGATAAAAAATTTGCGGCCTGGAAGGAAATGGTAGAATCGGCTTTACCTGCTTACTTAAAAAGAAATCTATTGACAAGAATCTCTAGTGGATCATTTGTCGATGATTACGACGAAATAAATGGTTATTTACCTCAAGTTAATGTTCCAGGCTTCAGTAAGGAAACAGATTTATCAATCGTTAATAAATGAAATCTTTTTAAAGACGTTATTGTCGAAGCATATTTAAAATCATGTAATAAATATTTTAAAAGGATGTTGAAAAGTATAAATGCAAAATATGGTCACTAATAGAATTCCTTCGTTTATGAAAATTTTAATTACAGCACATTTTCTGTTCCATACTGTAGTAGTCTTTCACGTTAGTTATTTAATAATTTTTAGAAGTGTATTAGCCTATAAATTATAAGTACTGGAATCTAAACTTTAGACATACACTTATTTATATCATAATTAGGAGATTTACACATACAATATAATGTCGATTTCGCCCAAGAGATGTCAGAGATAATTTCAGAAACAAGATACATGGAACAATTAAATTTTTCATTACCTGAAATTGCACGGAATGTCTCATTACAAGAGGAAAAGTATATTCGCTACGTTAATGGTTTAAAGCAAATGTTGAAGCGTTATAACAGCATCGTAGCTAATCTAAATCATGCTGAGGTAATTTAAAAATTAATACATATTGGTCATTAAGGTTATTAATTTCTTATTTAATCATATAAATTTTGATATTACCCTGCAACATTTGAATACACATTAAAATTAAAATTTAGTTTCAATGGTTTCAGAGAATTACGAATAGAAAATAATGTTAAATTTTTAACCATTTTAGTGTATATCATATACGCTTAGCAGCTATCTACCTTATACTTTTGATAGAAAGAAATTAAGTAGATGTGAAAATATAATGATGTAGAGAGTTATGCGTAAGCAATATCATTATTCTGTAATTTTTAAATTCAAGAATTTCTTTACTATCAATATTCTTTCTCTTTCGTCAAAATTCTGATATAATGCACCAAACATAGGTATACATTGTCCGCATTGGCTGATTTCTAGGGCTTAAACTGTTGTCTAAACGTAATATTATACATATTTTGTACGATGATTATAGCTATAACACTAAATTGATAGATATGTACGGTCTAAGAGTGGGTGCAGTGTTGTAATTAATAATCATAAAATGACTGGAAAAAGTAAATTCGGATGAACCTATCATATATTGAAACAACTGCGTTTCTAAAGGTTCATAATCCTCTTGTGCTTTTTTACGTAGTAAAAATTTATCGCAGAAAGACAATTCATATGCTGCACGCATAGGTTGATAACTAAATATTATCATTATTATAGCTTCAATTATTAGAAGGTCACATTAAAGAGCTGCAACGTGTCCTGAAACCGGGTGAAAAGCGCTTGAACTGGAATTCTCTTGGTATCAATGATTTCATCACAAAGTGTGTTCAGGTTAGAGTACTATTTGTTAATAAATATCTTATTAAGAAAGAAGGCGTAATCAGTAGGTGATATAATAATTAGATGATAAAATTATGTTTATCCAAAATTACTAGATCTCAAAATTTCGAATATGATTTCCCTTTCTAGGCTATCAGTAAGTTCGAGTCATTGGTCCATCAAATTCAGAAAAATGCTCAAGACATTAGTAGTAGATTACATATGATCGAAAATGTTAAACTATTTAAATCTTACCCCGTACAACCAGATAATTCACTTCCTGAAGCCAAGGTAATAATATTTTATTATTTCTGTTCATTTTATAATTGTTAAGGCGTTTAAATTGATTCTTGAATTGCTAAATATGGTGCCCTTATTCTGACTTTTTAGGAATATTTTGATTTCTTGGAGAAATCTAGAACACGAGAGATTGAACACTTAGTAGCAAAATATCAAGATATTGGTCCATTACTGATCAAGATCGAAGGGAATGTAGTAAATACTAACACTGGTAAATCACCAAGACTACAATCTTATTACTTTTATTGGGAAAATAAAGTTTATGATGCATTAACAAAGGTAAATTCCTATAGAACTAGAATTCGAGTGATTTTTTTCCCTAAGTGTAACAAATACGTGCATAATGTTAACGTAGATTTGTATCATTCACACAAATAAACGCATCTTTAACAGTGCAAACGTTACGATAAGCGATCCGCATCATGATCGTGTAGTGTACAGCGTCGCATATATTCCATAATATATAATTAAAAGTGTAAAATTATTTTAAATGATTATGAAGTCGATTTTGCCAATAAGAAATGTAATCCCTGCTATTAATCCATTCATTAGATGGTTATCAATAATCTAAGGGCTTTTAATGCATGCTTATCCGGTAAAACTCCATTGTTTCAAATTGACGCTATATTGTCCGCTCCTGAAATCGTTCTATCCCCTCCCGCTAACGACATTCATAAATTAATGGTTCAAGCCGTGCGTGATGTCGTCGAAAGGTATCCTGTACACTAGGATCGGTTTAAACTGGTCATAAACAAATAAACTATAAAATAAGCTAACTATCAAAAAAATTTTTGTAAAGTATACTTATGCATTTGTGAACGTAAACCTATGCCTTTTATCAAACTACTGTAATTTAAAGCAAATTTATTTACTTTAGCACAAAACAGTTCGTACGATGGATGGATGGCACTGCTCTTGAAACACCACCTCGACGTGTTGAAGGAGAGGACGAACCAATCATCTTCAGTTTTTTCTCGGATATAACTCAAAATCCTTTGGTGTCAGACCTGTATCTAAATATTTCACAAAATATCCAAAAAACGTTACTTAATGCTATGAAATTACTTAATCGATGGAAGCGCTACCGGCCGTTGTGGCAAGCTGATAAGGTAATTTCCTTAATTTAGATTATTAAAATTATTAGCATATTATTGAAATATGAAGATGTACCGTAGTCTATGTATTCGATGTACGTGATTTGGTAAGCTTTTTTACGTTATGGTAATCAATACAGAGAAACATCTTAGAAAAATTTGCATCAAGGAAGCCATCTTGCGTGTCATATGACGAAAAGTTACAATTTTACAGTAACTTGGCTTTGGAAATTAGCAATCAAGCATTAATTAAAGATAATGAATTTGTGCGAACCCAGTTACACCAGTTAGCAGGAACTGTTAAAGCGCACGCATTATCCTGGGTTGAAGCCGTTGGTAAATTATTAAACGAATCTGCCCGCGAAAGTATTACCATATTAAAGCATAAATTAGAGGTTCGAATGACTGTTCGTTTATTTCAATTTAATAAAGAATTACATGAATCGATATAAATTATATAATATAATCAAATGAATCTACATGATAACTAATGTCTCTAATCTATTTTATTTAGCGCTTACATCGGGAATTACAGCAACCTCCTGATACCCTCGACGCATTGAAATTTGTTCTTGGCACAATAACCGATATTCGTGATATGTCGTTAGATGTTGAAATGCAATATGTCGATATACAAGAACGTTATAGAACTCTATCCATGTATAGCCTACCGGTAAGGAAGAATTCAACTGCGATAAAAGTCTCTTAAATGAAATTGTTCTGTTTAGTAATGGCCAATGAATCTCTAAATTTAATTGCATTTAAATTGTCATTCTTTTAATTTCGTAATCGGTTGAGACATATATTACTACTTTTAATTTGTGTTTTTGCGTCCCCATGATATTATAATTAGGTACCTGATGAAGAATTAGAGACAGTTAAAAATGTTGGCAAAATGTGGGATGACCTTGTTTATGAGTCTGCTCGAATCGATCATAGCCTCGTGGCAGTTAAAAAGAAATTCACAGAGGTATTTCTGACAATAGCTCTTCGTTAGCATTTATCAGTCTTGTAACAATCATGTTACGACAACAATTTGAATTTTCATTTTTAAAGTACTTTATCTCTATAGCTATCCATTAACAGATATTGACTATAATACTTGGTAGACTCAAATTCTTATAACCCACAATCAATAGATTACAAAGGATGATGTGAAAGATTTTAGTGGCAAAATTCTCGATATTCAGCAAAGATTTAAATTAGAAGGTCCAAGCAGCGTAGGAACTGACCTCGACAAAGGTTACAATTACAAAATTTTGATATTTTTATTGTACCCCTTTTATATTAATAAACTAATTAGAAGTTACTATATTCTGATTATGCCATCGATTAAATCTTGATATTTATTCTTACACAAATACTTCTACTTTACTACACTTAGGCTTAGAAGTACTGCAAAATTTTAAACGCGAATTGGATGTCATCGAAAAATATAGACAAGAACTATCTAATGCAGAAAGGCTTTTCAACCTACAAATAACTACTTATCCGGAATTAATGGCCCTAGAAAAGGAACTAAAAGGCTTAGAACAAATCTATACGCTATATGAAAATCAAAAGGTATGCTAAAAAAGTAGAAAGCTTCCAGATTTTTTATCGAGTATCTAAGCTCAAAATATTCAGTCACTTACACATGCAATGTGTGCACTTTAGCTCTAAGGTTAAATCAAAAGTGAATATTACCAGATTTTTATAATACCTTATCAATAATTGTCACGTCTTGTCCTTGTAATTCTTCTTAGTTGCAATATCTTCATAATATATACTTATCCGTTATTAGATAATATACTCGAAAGAAATTATTACGTGAACGTCTGTGATATAATTCGGTTTTAAATCTTTTAAACATCAAAGCACTTCATTAATTTTTTGTACTTGTTATTTGGTACGTTAAGGTGGCAATGGAGGAATGGTCAGAAATGTTATGGAGCGAACTTAATGTAAATGTTTTATCCGATGGGATCGAAAATTTTATCCGTCAACAGCGCAGATTACCGAAAGATGTTAAAACCTTACCTGTATATCGAATACTGGAAGAAAAGATGAAGGAATTTAAAGATTCCATTCCTCTCTTTCAAGATTTAAAAAATGAAGCACTGCGGTCTAGGTATTTTGTCTTGATAATTTAAAAACAATAAAATTTCTAAATAGAATTTCAGTTATTACGATAATTAGCTAGAACTAGAAACAAATATGATATTAACTAAAATGAGGATATTTTCAAGAAGTTAAAATTTTACAAATGGCTCAAATACCTATAATTGATTTATTAATAGACACTGGAAAAAACTAATGGAACTAACTGGAAAGAACTTTGATATGAATCCTGAAACATTTACGTTAAAAAATCTCTTCGCGATGGAATTGCATAATTATTCTGACGTTATTGCTGATATAACCTCGAGTGCAATGAAGGAGCTTAGTATAGAGAAAAGTGTTAATGATGTCATCGATACGTGGAGTAATACTAAATTTAGTGTACAGAAATTCATGAAAGGATCACAGGATAGGGGTTATATAATAGGTACGATGAAATATACCAATATTATATGCAACGTAGACGTTTGTTTGAATATAATTGAGCGTTATCCTCATAATAGGACATACAATAGTAATGCCATTGAGAAAATATCGAATCACCTTACAGATTTAGTCTACAGAACTACATAACCAATCATACTACGCGATAAATTTTAGTTTCTTATTTGCGATAGTTTCCATTGTTACGTTATTAAAGCATAGAATTAAAAATTTTTACCAATTGAGAGAGTAGAAGCAATATACCCATAATAATATTTTTATATCGTAGCACATAAATATAGCTTCAATTAAGTAGATAGAAAGCAATGAAAGCATCATATTAGTCAGTTCATTTTATTGTAAAGCTGTGAATTAATATAAATGGCTTTTGTGATTGCATGTTATAACACTTTTTATTACTAAAATTTAGTCTAGCAACGACTTAGAAAAACTATTGATGACTCTAAATATGTCGAGAAATGTGATCCTATCCGCGCACATTCGTTTTAAATTCTGTCTATCAATTTCATTCTGTTATCCAGTATCTTGCTATAAATATATACGCTGTGCATTTACAGGCTCGGTCGATGAAATCTTGCAAATGCTGGACGATAATGCTATGACTTTGCAAAGCATGTCCGCTTCTAGATTTATTGGCCCTTTTAGAGATTCGGTACAAGAATGGGAGAAAAAGCTATCCCATATCTCTGAAGTTGTTGATGTAAGTAGTGCAGTAAAATAAAGTAAATATAGGTAATAAATTCAAACTTGTTAAAGATCAAAGCTCTATCATGTTTAGTTCATTAATTAATGTTATCGATTACAATTATCTAAGTTGCCAATACTTTATCAACTAAAAAAAATTTAAATAAATAGGCAACTGCTATCGTAGCCGTTAATTGCAATTAATTTGTTATGTTTTGTGCAAAATTAGGTATGGATGTTAGTTCAACGAAAATGGATATATTTAGAGAGTATTTTTATCGGCGGTGATATCCGTATGCAATTACCTGAAGAAGCTAAGCGCTTTGATTTAATTGATAAATCTTTTAAAAAGGTAATATTTATACATTTTCATTACCTATGATTATTTTAAGCTTTACGATAAGAGGATCAAATCTCGAATATCTACGTGTACTAACACTAGTTCTTTTTATCGCTAAATGCAGAAGAAGTATCATCTTTATATCTATTTGATATTTATATCCTATATAGATTATGTCTGAGACGGCAAAACGCAGTAATGTCTTGGAAGCTTGTCATATTGAAAATAGATTACAAGAATTAGAGAAATATAGTAACGAATTAGAAAAGTGTCAAAAGAGTCTCAATGATTATTTAGACTCGAAGAGGAACGCTTTCCCACGATTTTTCTTTTTATCTGATGACGAACTACTATCTATTCTTGGTAGTCATGAACCTTCATGCGTACAAGAGCATATGATTAAGGTATAGTACGTTATAAAGGGACTAAATTAATTTGATAAATTTATGAAGAAATGAATTTAAATTGATTGTAATCAGATCACCTACAATCTCATAGCGTTTGTTTTATTTTATTTGCTGTACAGATGTTTGATAATATTGCAAGCTTGGTCTTTCAAGCTGGACAAGGCAAAGAACAATTTGTTACCGCCATGGTATCGAGTGAAAGCGAAAAGATGGATTTTAAAGAATACGTTGTGACGGAAGGTAGAGTTGAGGATTGGATGACAAAAGTGCAGGGTGAAATGAAAAGAACCAATAAATTTATTACTAAAAAAGCTATATTTACATACTGTGAATCATCCACCAGGTTAGAACTATTTATATATATACTGCGATAATTTTGTTTTATTTACTACAATTTATTCGCTAACTACTATGCTTTAATTTGAAATCCTATTGACTATGACAATTATTGTACTTAAAAGAATTGACTGGATGCATAATTACCAAGGAATGGTCGTTTTAGCTGGAAATCAAATCTGGTGGACATGGGAAGTAGAGGATGTTTTCCGGAAAATCAAGAAAGGCGATAAAATGGCGATGAAAAATTATAGTGCTAAACAACACTTACAGATAAATGATCTTGTTGTTAAGGTAGCTAAAAATTAAAATACGCTTACTTCTCCGTTAGCTACATTTCATCTCAAAATACCAGATACAAGTGATTTAAAAATTACTACAATTATATCACCATTCATCGATATCTGAATATGCCAAGTAATATCCGATACTCAGTTATGCATTACTACCCATCATTTCCCGTATATATATATAAATTTAACACGTTTAATAAGAGTAGTCAGAAGTATTGAGGTGCAAGGAAATGTTTACCAAAAGTTAAGATTCTTTCGTAGATACATCCGAATGCCTAAGGCTATTATGTGATTGCCTTTCAATTTAGGTTCGGGGACAGCTTACAAAAAATGAAAGGAAGAAATTGAACACTGTTTTAATCATTGACGTTCACGCCAGAGATATTGTAGATGCTTTTGTAAGAGATAGTATTATGGAAGCGAGAGAGTTTGAATGGGAAAGCCAACTAAGATTCTATTGGGAGAAAGAATCTGATGATATGTGCATTAGGCAATGTACCGGTGAATTTTCGTACGGTTATGAATATATGGGACTAAATGGCCGATTAGTTATTACTCCATTGACCGATAGAATATACTTAACACTAACACAAGCTCTTGCCATGTATCTTGGAGGTGCTCCTGCCGGTCCTGCTGGTACAGGCAAGACGGAAACTACTAAAGATTTGGCTAAAGCACTAGGTCTTCTATGCGTTGTTACCAACTGTGGCGAAGGAATGGACTTTAAGGCTGTTGGAAAGATATTCTCCGGTCTTGCACAATGTGGTGCTTGGGGGTGCTTCGATGAATTTAATCGTATTGATATATCAGTATTATCAGTAATTTCCTCTCAAATTAAAACAATTCAAAACGCGTTAGCAATGAACCTAAAAAAGTTTCAGTTTGAAGGGAATGAAATTACTTTGGATAAAAAAATGGGAATATTTATTACCATGAATCCAGGCTACGCCGGTAGAACGGAATTACCAGAAAGTGTTAAAGCCCTTTTTAGACCTGTTGTCGTTATTGTGCCTGATATGGAAATGATATGCGAAATTATGTTATTTTCAGAAGGCTTTATCCAAGCGAAGGTAATATCACAAAGCATAGCATTTTAGCATAGTGATTAGCTCGAGTAATTATGTAATCATAGTTTTATAATTTTTATTGAAAAAAGAGTAGCCGCAAGTATTAATATGTAACAATGATTGATTATCATCCTATATTTCAGTTATGAAAGTCGCTCACTTTAATGCTGCTATTTTGACTTAAATTTATAAACAGAATTTAGCAAAGAAAATGACTGTCTTATATAAACTAGCGTCTGAACAGCTATCTAAGCAATATCATTACGATTTTGGATTGCGTGCGCTTAAAGCCGTATTAGTTATGGCAGGCGAACTGAAGCGTGGTTCCCCTGATTTAGCAGAAGACGTTGTCCTTATGCGAGCGCTTAGGGATATGAACTTACCAAAATTTGTCTTTGAGGATTCGCCCTTGTTTCTGGGATTGATTTCCGATTTATTTCCTGGATTAGATTGTCCTCGTGTACGCTATCCCAACTTTAATGATGCCGTGGAGAACATCCTGAAAGAACATGACTACATTTTACTTCCTCAACAGGTCACGATTATTAAGTATTACATCAGCTGTTTTTATGTAAATTTTAAAATTTTAGAACCAAATTACAAATTTTATTACTAACAACACTATCTTTACGACAATTTTTTATCAGGTGGATAAAGTAGTTCAAATGTACGAGACCATGCTAACACGTCATACTACCATGGTAATAGGTCCAACTGGTGGTGGTAAATCTGTTGTAATTAATACTTTATCTCAAGCGCAAACAAAGTACGTTACTAGTTGAAATAGCTATATTTTTTACAAAATTGCAATCGAACATTACTATCAAGCTACAGTATTACTGATTTAAGTAACTTCAAAAATATATTCTTTATAAATTCTATCTGCTTTGGCTTCGTTATTTGATGCTTTAGTCTTAAATATAAGTTGTGAAATTGGAAATAATTTAGTATTTTAATACTAGCAAAAATGCAAACTGAGTGTGTTTTAATATAATTTGACAGACTTGGGTTACCTACTCGCATGCATATTATGAATCCAAAAGCTGTGACAGTTAATGAGTTATATGGTATATTAGATCCTTACACTCGGGATTGGACTGATGGCCTGCTATCCAGCATCTTTCGTGAAATTAATCGTCCTACCGATAAAAATGAACGCAAATACATTGTCTTCGACGGGGATGTAGACGCTTTATGGGTAGAAAACATGAATTCTGTGATGGACGATAATCGCTTACTAACATTGGCAAATGGTGAACGTATTCGTTTACAAAAGCATTGCGCTCTACTGTTTGAGGTGGGTATCTAGTACTTCTCAGTATTTGTGAGGTTTTATTTTTACTCTGTTTATTAACTTACCTAATTCTTTTCTGATTGCCTAAAATCAATATGGCTAATATAAATTAACAGGTTTCCAATCTACAATACGCATCTCCAGCTACTGTTTCCCGTTGCGGAATGGTCTATGTCGATCCGAAGAATTTAGGTTACGAACCCTACTGGCAAAAATGGTGTGGCGGGCGAACCAAAATTGAGAAAGAACATCTACGCCAATTATTTGCCAAGTATGTTCCTAGTTGTATCGAGTTGATTACCGATGGAGATGCAGACGGCCGCCAGCAAAAGCGACTAAAAACTATCATACCTTTAACAACGTTGAATTTTGTGCACCAGTTAACAGTTTTATTGGATGCATTGCTACCATTGCCTGAAACGAATACCATTTTAGATTCACGAGTTCTCGAAAGCCTTTTTATCAATAGCTTAGTATGGTCGTTAGGGGCTGGCCTAGAAGAGGACAGTCGTGAAAAATTTGATCAATATGTCAAGTACATATCAGGTTTACAAACTATTGAGGAAGAAGGTGTAGTAGTTGGCCCGGGTGAATTACCTGGTGCTATGCCAACATTGTATGATTATTATTTTGATGCGAATAAGAAAAAATGGATATCTTGGAACAGCATTGTACCTCAATATGAACATAAACCAGAAGTTCGGTTTAATGATATTCTAGTACCAACTATGGATACAATACGTAATACTTGGTTGCTAGAACAGATGCGAAAAGTAAAGCAACCGGTATTATTTGTAGGCGAAACCGGTACATCAAAATCAGCTACAATACATCATTTTCTGCGCCAACTTGATCAAGACAGCATATTTGTATTAAATATTAACTTTTCTTCGAGAACGACATCTTTGGATGTTCAACGTAATTTGGAAGCAAATATAGAAAAGCGAGCTAAAGATACATATGGTCCTCCATCAGGCAAAAAGTTATTACTCTTTATGGACGATATGAATATGCCTCAAATTGATACTTATGGTACCCAACAGCCAATTGCTCTATTAAAATTATTATTAGAACGAGGCGGTATGTATGATCGTGGCAAAGATTTAAATTGGAAGTATATTAAAGATATTAGCTACATTGCTGCTATGGGTAAGCCTGGTGGCGGCCGACATGAAGTTGATCCGCGCTTTATCTCTTTATTTAGTATATTTAATATAACGTTTCCAAGTGATGAATCACTAGATAAAATATTTTCGTCAATATTGCGCGGCCACCTCGAGGGATTTTCATCAACAATACAAGATCTCGTCCCTGATATTGCTGCAGCGACTTTGACCATTTATAAGCAAGTTGTCAAGACGTTGCTACCAACGCCATCCAAATTTCATTACATCTTTAATTTGCGTGATCTGTCGCGTGTCTATCAAGGTTTATGTATGACGGTACCCGAAAAATTTGACAATCCTAAGCAATTTATACGTGTATGGAGGAATGAATGTTTACGTGTATTCCATGATCGATTGATATCGGAAGACGATAAAACTACTGTGCAGAATTTTATAGGCGAAATCATTAACGATAAAATGTCACAATATAATGAATATGTTATGAAAAATCCAATATTATTTGGTGATTTGCGTACAACGTTTAGTTCAACGGAAGCACGATTATACGAAGATCTCGAAAGTTATCAAATTGTTCAAAGTATTGGCAATGAAATATTAGAAGAATATAACTTCAAGAACACTACCATGAGATTGGTGCTATTTGAAGATGCTATCGAACATTTAGTACGCATCCATCGCATTTTACGCATGGATCAAGGGCATGCATTATTAGTCGGTGTTGGCGGTAGCGGCAAGCAATCACTAACACGTCTTGCAGCATATACCGCAAATTACCGTGTTTTTGAGATAACTTTATTTCGCGGTTATGCTGAGTATGACTTCCGTGAAGATTTAAAATCATTGTATCATCTCTTAGGTATTGAAAACAGAAAGGTTGTTTTCCTATTTTCGGATGCTCATGTTGTTCAAGAGGGATTTCTCGAACTAATCAATAACATGTTAACTTCGGGTATGGTACCGGCACTTTTTGCTGAAGATGAGCGAGAGACTATTATTGGCCAAATGCGTGATGAAGCGTTTTCTGCAGGTTATCCTCCTGCTAAAGAAAGTGTTTGGCAATACTTTATTAATAAATGTGCCAATAACTTACATATTATATTATCTATGTCGCCTGTTGGTGATACATTAAGAAACCGTTGTCGTCATTTCCTAGGGTTGGTAAATAATGCTAGTATTGACTGGTACATGGCATGGCCTCGACAAGCTTTATTTGCCGTTGCTTCCGTCTTTTTAGGCGAAGGCCATAACAAGAGCGTACCGGATGAACATCGTCAACAAATAATTGAACATGTAGTATATGTTCACAAATCAGTGCAAGAGTACAGTCGTGAATTTTTGCAAAAGTTGAGACGTATAAATTATGTAACGCCTAAAAACTACTTAGACTTTATAAACACATATACAAGGTTGTTAGAAGAGAAAGATCAATCCTTACACGAACAGTGCCAACGATTAGAAGGTGGTCTCACGAAGTTAATCGAAGCTAGTGAAGCACTAAAAGAATTAAATCAAAAATTGGAAATACAAAAAGTAGCTGTAACGCAGAAAACTATCGCATGTGAAAGATTGCTAGAAGAAATCAGTACCCGTACACAGGAGGTAACTGAAAAGAAAGAATTAGCCATTGCTAAAAGTATCGATATTGAAGAGCAACATAAGATCATACAAGTAGAAAAGGCAGCGGCTGAAACAGCTTTAAATGAAGCGTTACCAGCATTAGAAGAAGCTCGACTAGCATTACAAGATATTGATCGTTCTGATGTCACTGAATTTCGTTCATTTGCTTCTCCGCCTAAAGCTGTTCGAACTGTCTCCGAATGTATCGTTGTTTTACACGGTATAAAAGAGGTATCATGGAAGACGGCTAAATCAATCATGTCGGATGTTAACTTTCTGCGATCGCTTCAAAATATTAACGCTGATAAACTATCCTCAACACAAGTTAAGACCGTTAAAACTTTTTTGAAAGAATTAGATATAACACCTGAACGCATGAGTGATATTAGTCGCGCTGGTTCTGGTTTATTACGGTTTGTCTTGGCAGTTATAGGTTATTGCGACGTTGCAAGGGAAATTAAACCAAAACGCGAAAAGGTAGCTCGGCTTGAGAAAAACTGTAACACTAGTAAGCGTGAACTAGATCGCATTCAGCGAGAAGTTGCTTCACTAGAAGCTGAATTAAAAGAATTGACCGATCGTCATCAACAAACAACGATCGATCGTGGACGTTTACAGGAAGAGACCGAAATTATGGAACGCCGCTTAATTGCTGCTGATAAACTAATAACAGGTCTAGGATCGGAGAAAGTGCGCTGGAAAGTTGATCTTGATCAATTAAAAGAAAAACGTGTTCGTTTATTAGGTGATTGTTTATTGTCATCTGCGTTTTTATGCTATATGGGAGCCTTTAGTTGGGATTTCAGAAAAGAAATGATCAACAATAACTGGGAACAAGATTTATTAAAACGAGAAATACCATTAAGTCAACCGTATAAATGTGAAGATTTATTGACTGACGATGTCGAAATTAGTCGTTGGACATCAGAGTCTTTACCACCTGATGAATTATCTATTCAAAATGGCATCTTGACAACGCGTTGCAGCCGTTTTCCATTATGTATTGACCCTCAACAACAAGCATTTAATTGGATTCTAAAGAAAGAGAGTCAATCTAATTTGAAGATCACAACCTTTAATGACAGCGACTTTTTAAAACAATTAGAATTAGCTATTAAGTACGGCTTCCCAATATTGTTTAAAGATATCGATGAATATATTGACCCTGTAATTGAAAATGTTTTAACTAAAAACATCCAAGGTGAAAGCGGTCGCCAATATATCTTATTGGGGGATAAAGAAATTGATTATGATCCTCATTTTAGGCTTTATCTTAATACCAAGTTGGCTAATCCAAAATATACGCCAGGAGTATTTGGTAAAGCTATGATCATTAATTACACCGTTACTTTGGAAGGTTTAGAAGATCAGTTATTAAGTGTTATTGTTAAGTTTGAGCGTCGTGAGTTAGAAGAACAACGAGAGCGTTTAATACAACAAACAAGTGATAATAAACGTTTATTAAAAGATCTTGAGGATACATTACTGCGTGAACTAGCTACATCAACGGGTAATATGTTGGATAATTCTGAATTAGTGCAAACATTAGAAAATACCAAGACTAAAGCTACCGAAGTTTCCGATAAATTGAGTCTGGCAGAAAAAAATTCAGCCGATATTGATAAATTACGCGATGGATATCGACCAGCAGCCAAATTAGGCGCCGTTCTCTTTTTTGTCCTATCAGATATGGCAGTTATTAACAATATGTATCAGTATTCATTGGCTTCATTTTTAGATGTTTTTGAATTTTCCTTACGTAAAAGCATGCCCGATTCCATATTATCAAAGCGGTTGAAAAATATTATGGAAACTATGAAACAAAATATTTACAATTATGCTTGTACTGGCTTATTCGAAAAGCACAAATTGTTATTATCATTTCAAATGACTATAAAATTAATGCAATCACAACAAAAATTATCACAGGATGAATTGGATTTCTTTATTAAAGGTAGTATTGCATTGGAAAAAAATCCATTACCGCGACCTGAATGGATACCAGAACAAGGTTGGGAAGATTTACAGCAGTTATGTCAGCAATTTCCTCAACGGTATGAACATTTATTTGATGACATTGTTCAACACGAATCCAAATGGAAGGAATGGTTTGATCATGATACTCCTGAAGTATTGCCGTTACCACTCCAATATGAAAATCAATGCAGTTCGTTTCAGAAGTTATGCTTGTTGAGATGCTTTCGTGTGGATCGTTGCTATCGAGCTATGACCCATTTTGTAGCTCAGCAAATGGGGGAAAAATTTGTTACACCTCCAGTTATCAGTTACGAAGCAATATTTGAACAATCAACACCATATTCACCAATTGTATTTATTTTAAGTCCAGGATCTGATCCAGCTGGTGATCTTGTCAAATTAGCTGAGCGTTCTGGTTTCGGAGGTAATCGTTTAAAATTTCTTGCGATGGGTCAAGGACAAGAAACCGCAGCAATTCAATTATTGGAAACGGCGTTAAGTCGTGGCCAGTGGTTAATGTTGCAAAATTGTCATTTATTAGTTAAATGGTTATATCAGTTAGAGAAGGTGCTAGAACGTATAAGTAAACCTCATCCTGATTTCCGTTTATGGTTGACGACAGCACCAATACAAGATTTCCCTATTGGTATATTGCAGCGATCATTGAAAGTAGTTACTGAACCGCCTAATGGTTTAAAACTAAACTTGCGTAATACATATCACAAAATATCTAATAATGCATTAATTGAGTGTCCACACGAGGCATTCCCAACATTGGTATTCGCATTAAGTTTTTTTCATGCTGTAGTTCAAGAGCGACGCAAATATGGTAAAATTGGTTGGAATATACCATATGATTTTAATGAATCTGATTTTCGCGTCTCAATGAACATTTTACGAACATATTTGATCAAGGCTTTCGATCAACATGATGTAAAGATACCATGGGGTAGCTTAAAGTACTTAATCGGCGAAGTTATGTATGGTGGCCGTGTAATTGATAGCTTTGATCGACGTGTCTTAATCACATATATGGATGAATACATGGGTGATTTTATATTTGATACGTTTCAACCATTCCATTTTTATTATCAAGACCAACATACCGATTATCATATTCCTACAGCTGCTGGTACATCACGCGATAAGTGCCTGGACTACATTGAATCATTACCTCTTGATAATACTCCTGAGGTATTTGGCTTGCATCCGAATGCTGAGATTGGTTACTACACCGAAGCAGCGAAAGATATCTGGTCACAGTTAGTCGAATTACAACCACAGACAAGTATATCCACCACTGGGATAAGCCGTGACAATTTTATTAGCAGTATAACAAGTGACATTCAATCTAAAATCCCCAAACAATTTGATATTGATGCCGTAAAAAAGCAGCTTGGTAAAGAGATATCGCCAACAGCAGTTGTTTTGCTACAGGAAATAGAACGGTTTAATAAATTAATTGAAAAAATGACTCGGTCACTGAGCGAATTGCAAAAGGCATTTATGGGAGAGATTGGTATGAGTCACGAGCTGGATGATGTTGCATCTGCGTTATATAATGGCAGAATACCACAGGTTTGGAGAAATTTAGCTCCAGCAACATTAAAATCGCTGGGTAATTGGATTATACACTTTATGCAACGACATAAGCAATATGAGGATTGGATACAGGAAGAACCTATCGTACTATGGTTACCTGGTCTACATGTACCAGAATCTTATTTAACAGCTTTAATACAAGCAACATGCCGAAAAAATGGTTGGCCACTAGATAAGTCTACTCTGTACACGGTTGTTACGAAATGGAATAGTCCTGATATTGTCACCGAAAAGCCTCACAGCGGATGTTATATAAGTGGCCTTTACTTGGAAGGTGCAGCATGGAACACTGCCAAGAGTTGTTTAATCAAGCAGAAACCTAAGCAACTGATTCAAAAATTACCGATATTGAAAGTGACACCTATAGAATCTAATCGACTAAAATTGCAGGTAAGATTGCTTTTCCGTGTTATCATAATAGTTCCATCCCATGTTCAACTTGCGATATTAATCAATACTATGATTTACATTAGAATACTTCATTGCATTACTTCTTATAAATCAAGAATTTACAATTCCTGTATTTAAATAATTCATTTCTGCTAATATGAATCAGCTACAATTTTCATATAGATTTTACATACCCGTTTGTTTTGTAAATACAAATAGTACAACATTTCTACTATATTATGACGTGCGCATATACGCATATTGGTTTATGTCAATTTGCTCTCAGCACGGATACGTTTGCGCTTGATAGTCAAAAAATCAGTAGGGCATAGTTTAGTCATAAGAACGCAATAGAATAACAGAGTCAAGTTTGTAAATTTTATAAGATCTAGTTAATGTAGTCTTAAAATTTTCTGATATATTTGATCTTCGTGCTCGATCAGAACACTTTTAGAGCGCCTGTTTACACTACCTCACAACGACGAAATAGCATGGGTAAAGGATTAGTTTTTGAAGCCGATCTTGCAACTGGAGAACATAGCTCGCATTGGGTACTGCAGGGTGTCTGTTTAACTTTAAATTCAGATTAAATAACTTCTACTAAAAATAGTTTCCTAGTGATTCACTTCTTTGTATTTGCCTATTTAAGTTTCAATAGCAGAAATTTTTATTGATGTACTTATACTCTGTACGTTCTATACCGCTATCATCGTTTATAAACTTTATTAATAATATTTCACTTTAAATCAAAACGTACGTTAGCCATTATAAAGAAAACTTACTATTAATTGTAGTAATTTAGACATTAACAATTTTATCATTAGCAACCATGTAGGAGTGCTAAGGTTTTTTATATGTAATACTTTCTAATTTTTAAACTACAGCAGTATCCTATAATTATTGTCGCTAATTCTTACAACTTGCTATCATAATCTTATGTACATACTCTCATATATAATTTCTTTATACCACACAATGCTCTAAGTTTTTATCTGGAACGCCAATGTCACATATGCAGTTCTTGGATCTCATTGATTACCACTTATTTATCGTACTTCGATTTTATTTTTATAAATTCTACGCAATACATATATTATTAAGATCGATGCCAAATATCAATTATTAAATTAATTCTTTCAACTCCATTTGTACTTTGAATAAAATAATAAACTGTTATGATAAGATAATCCCTTCGCTTAAGCTATGCTAAAGAGTTTCATGTTACACTTTTCTATTACATTTTTTATTATCGTAAATTATCGTAAGTCATATGTAGCAAATTTGCTGTGCAGGAAACTATTAGAATGAACTCGTTACTGTCTGATAATGACGTCAATGAAAGAAATATGAACTAAAGCAAAGTTTTTGCAAGTTCTTAATTTTTTCATCTAATTAGCTTTTCAGAACGATGGGAGATTTAGGATTTGAGGAGACTCCTATTGATGTAGTAGTTCAAACGGAAACTTGCTTTTGTATTTATTTATTTATTTAACTAGATATCATTAAATGAATATTCTTTAAATGAAAAGACATAATATGGCAATAGATTATACCATAGTATTCATTGCGCAATGGCGGTTCTCTGTTGCCATAGAAACCATCTAATCAGTAAGATAGAAAATAATCACTGCATACTGTACTTGCCTGCGTTAATAATTATATATATTCTATGTAGTTTCGTGAGATACCGTAAGCCATTACTAAGATTAATATTAGGAGGACATATTGACAAATACGGATGACACTCGCTGAAGAATTTTAATAAAGAAGAATAGATTAGTAAATTGCCGTCCTGTTGTGTTACAGTTCAAAACTTGCTTTTCCGTGATAATACTGATGTAAAGTATACCCTATTTCAAGGTGATTTAGATTCATAAACATCTAGGTCGATTTTTGTTAAAGGTTAGTAGTATATTTTCGAAGAGTTTTTATAAAACACTTAAATACAATCTACTTTCGATAACTTATCCTTTAGTTTTGTATTTTAATCCAATCAGGAATAGCATTGCATCTTTCTCTATTGGTAGCAAATTAATGACGATGTGTAATTTAATTAAATTTCAGCGTACTTGTTTGCCAAAGTTGTTTATCACAAGGCTAACTTAGATTTTATTTCCATCACTAGGATTGATCAAGTATTGGTTAGGAGAGATCACTATACGCGTATTTAATTTAGGCAGCGTATTGGTAAACGCAGCCAATTAGGTTATCTTCACACCACAACTGCTGTGCTTCACCATTCTAGCCATATTTTTGATGGTTATAAGCAGTCCGTTATTGTGAAATTACCATATCGAATAGAGCGATATAATATAACTACGATATTAAATAGGAAAAGTCTCAATGTCACGAAGTTATAATTTACCTCCCTTGGTAAATGCGCCTTCCTGGTCCCGATCGCGGCTCGAGCGTCATAAAATTCCGCGATCGGTAAATCGTGATAATATAACTCCATCATCCACCATAGTCGATCCAGTTATTCAAATGGATGGCAAGTTGTTGCCCGTACCAGATGGGGCGAATCCTGAACAGAGGATACGACATTTAGATAAAAGCATTGAATTTTTAAAAGAACAACATGCCGATATATTAAAGGGATTGCATAAGGAAATAGAAGGATTGCAATCAGAAAATAAAGGTAGCGTAAGAAATACACCTCCTATAACAAATATGACTTACAGTATATCTTACTGAAATATAGTGCTCAGTTCTATAATTTGTTCTACAAGTTATAAACGGTAATTTCTTTGGCTGAACGATATCTATTGATGTCTTATTACGTTAAATATTCAACATACGAGCATAATTTCATTTATTAGTGTTAAAGCAAGGATTATAATACTAACAGCCGATCTTAAAAGTATTGGAGCTCTTTTTTTATAATTATGGTAGTGATAGACGCATCGGGTTTACCTTTATTCATAATACCATTTTGTGATACCTGCATCTTTAATGCCAGATACTGTTATATCGGCAGCTATTGAAATTGAAGGTGGTAAAACCATATCTTTAGAATACCATATCTATGAAAATTTTTGATTGTAGTTCTGCTAGCTTCGATAGCAGTTCTTGTATCATATATTGTATAAATATCATAAATTTATTTACATATTGTTGCTCTCTGACCATTCTTCTATCATGATCGTAATGCACCGTATTCTAAAATAGTAAATAAACTCGTAATATCCGTATAAAATCTAGTACAGTTTACTCTTATGATACTTTAATGCATGTCGTACTAAATCACGCTGTATTTTTTACTTATTTTTATGCCTTGATTTATCAGTTAGGCTGAATTAGCATCGTTTTGTTATTGCTGCTTAATTACTATTTATATACATACGAGTACATACGCCCATCTGTTACTTTCTTGTAACTGCATACATTCTCACTAAGTTTCATGAATGTAACTGCTCTTTCAGTGATCGCTTTCCATTAGCGTAACTAGTACGATATTTTTTGTATTTCTTGCACTTAGCATACCGATCGATTCAATATTTCTAATTATAACTATTACCTTTTACTTATCTCATACTATTCTTCAAAATTTCATTAGCTCTGTATTGCTTTTGGTATTTTTAGTTATTATGTTTTATAAACGTTACGACAATGATGAAATGTAAATCGTAAGATTTAGTGATCTCGACTTTCTTTCCGACTTCTCACGCAATATAATGACCATCATTGTGAATACTGTAATGTCATCATTCATTATTTGTCAGCATCGTATATTATACTAGACTGAGAGTATTACTGTAGTATTACTGTAGTATTTACTGTTGTAATGGAAATGCTGTTTTCTATAATAATTCGCAACGACATACTATAGTTCTGTTATTTTCTCTTATGCTAAAACATAATACAAACGTAGATGATAGCCTAAAAGTTTACTGAATCGAAATGTAGATCGATTTTCGCTATAACATGGAATAAATTCTCTTTTATTCAAACAGAATTACAACTGAAAGTCATAATAAATCAAAGACTGTCGACTAAGCCAGGTAATATGTAATTGTATGAGGACTTAGGCTTTTAAGCTGGAATATTTTAATCAGTATGCTTTCAATTATTTCAGCTACAACAATTACTAATCTAATTTATAACTTTTACTGATTTCATTTTCATGTACACATCAATGATGTAAATATTGAGCTTATCGAACGTTAAATTTTTAAATTCCAGGCTCTATTTCAGATAATAATTCTAGCCAAGGCTCAAGAAATGGCTCAAGTGTCAGCATGAGTTCCAGTATGCATCTGTACAGCTGTGATAATAAATCTAATAGTTTCATTTTCTGTATAGTAACACTGGTGTAAAAAAATCTATAGATATTAAGTAGAAAAGAAAATTTGACGAATTCATTTAATGAAAATTTTATATCTAATGTATTAATTTAACATATTATAACGCTAGCTCATGGATCTAAGATTAATGAAATGAAAATAGCATCATTAACAGCAGAGATTAAAGGCCTTCATGAAGAGTTATCCGAGTCACAAAAAATGAACTCAAATCTTTTTAAACTGTTAGAAGATAAAGAAAAGTATGTCATTTCTATCAATACACAGTATTTGTTTTTTTGTATCAAGTCATTTACAATATCTAATGCAATGTTTGTACATGTTGCAATTGTTTTCAGATTGCTAGCAATGTCGTTAAATGATACAAAAAAAGATGAATTGATAGATGAGAAACAACTTGATGTCATTGGCTTGGCGACGGCTGAAGAGTTACCATCTTCCTTATCTGAATGCCAAGCGGTTATTAAATACTTAAAGTTGAAAAGTTTTCAAGATCAGACAGAGGTAAGAAGAAAATTCTATTGCATCAACTTTCAATTTGAAAAAGACCTTTTGACTGCTTGTATGAGCGAAAGCTTTTGATTGTAAATACCAAAATAGCTTCGGATAAATTTTTATTTCGCGTATTATTATCTTAATATTAAGTTGCAACGCCTAAAAAATAATCTAAGAGAAGCACTTTACTCCGATAAATGGACACCAGATGCATTCTTAATGGCTAAGGCTTATATCCACGAAAATGATTCTTCTAGGGAAGTGTAAGTAAAAAATTTGAGCTGCTAGCAATATATTCGTATTTGCTGTATTTATTGTATATTGTTATAGTGAACGTCGATCGTATCTAAGTCGAGATTCTTATAAGTACAGTGCAATATCATGTTTCTATATATCCTTACTGGGCCACTATTTGTCGCATCATGAAGTATATGGTTAAGTAGTTGATGGTTATTTATCTTTTACTACATGTTAACTAAAAGGAGGACTTCATTTTCATCACTGAATAGCTCTCTCTAAAATTGAATCGATATCTACAGTATTTCCATAGGCGTTATTTTGCTTTAGCCAATAAGTGTCTTTTATGATCGCTTTATATTGCAATGACAGCAATACTGTAATTTTGAAAATTCCGTAACTGATAGATGTTCATTGTTCAATGATTTGCTGTAGATACATAAATGTTATAATGTGTAATGATTATATATTGATTACAAGTACGTTGGACTGAATCGATATCATGATATCAAAACGAACTTTTGCAGGAACATAAAGCACATGTAATTGCAGTACGCGTCCGTTAGTAATACATAAGGACATAATCGTATCCATCATTTATTAGAAGAGATCTTGTTATAACACTTTAAATAGCTTTATGATCGTGTAGACTTTCTTGAAATGATTCTGTAGTATTTTCTGATTACGATTTTGGGTTAATTCACAAATAATGGTAGCCCATAAGACTGCAAAACTAACTGAAACTAAATTTTTTCACTTTACTTTTCTAATACTAAAGTAGTAAAACTGTATTATTAATTCCCTTTAAACACTGTGTTTGGTTGAAAAAGGTAACTGAGGCGCTTAAATTTGTGCTAATATTACTTATACATTTATTCATTGCAAGGGCACACTTTCTAATAATACGAACACAAGTTGATCTAATAATCATAAAATGATAAATCCTAATTTGATCATACGAGCTATATTACGTAGATTAACTGAGGTCTTACGAATTTCATATTGAAATTTGCAGCATAACAAACTCTAATCTGCCATTAATTCACGAACGAAAGCCGTAAGTATTTAAAAATATAACTTCCTAATCATTTACATATCAAGTATGTATTTTCATAGTAATTTCGATATAGCGAGTTATTAGCATATTTAGCTAATACATCAAATAATTTTTTCGTAGAATTATACTTTATACAGATAATGTATGTAAAAAGAGTAACGTGGTGTTTGAGATTACATATTTATACTGTTCAATTAATCCATTTTAATTGGCATTTTGTATAGCCAAGGTTTTTTATATGTTGATCCATCATCTGTTCCACCAATGAAACCCAAGGCGGCAAGCCGTGCAGTCATTCAATACAAGAGAACGCAAGCAGCTCAAAAAGCGAGATTAAGGAAAGAGGTTCTTCAATGAAAACAGCTACTCCATTCCATTATTCTATGCTCATCGTATTCGGTTTATCAATCTACTTCATATTCATCGTATAGATAACACTTGTACCTTATTTCAGCTGTATTAACTACTGGTTATATACTATTTCTATTATTTGCATTTTTAGAGTGCTATTGACTACGATGATAGATAATCCAGTATTTCTATAACTACAGCTATTTCGTGTATATATATTCATACCGTTTCCTTAGCTTGCCTTATCAATTGCAAAGGAGTTTTTTTATGCAGAAATTGAAGTAGAAACATTATCTTAATGTTATGAAATGTACAAAAAATATCTTTGATTGAAATATTCAATCTGCTCGCGAAGCACGAATTATATAAGGTTTTTGTTTGTTGCCCTATTAACCTCTTATTATAACTGGAATGCAATATTATATTAATATATATGTAAAGTCTACGAGTATCCAATATTTAAAATCGCACATAGCAGTAAGCATATTAAATTTGAAACAGTTGTAATTTATCTTGTGTTTAACATCACGATAGTACGATTTGGATTTCTCTCATTCATTATAATGAATAATAAAAGCCGCCATTTACTACTTTTATTATAATCGTTCTACATAAGACAAACGGTATTAAATGAAGCGATAATGGTTACTATGAAATCTATTTATAATATCGTTATCAATAAAAAGGTAAGTTCACTAAGATTATTTACAATTCGTATTATAAGCTAAATTCTACGATAATGAAGGATCCTGTTTTGCACATGAATGAAGGAGATCAATGTTTTACCAAAGTCTCCGTTGAACTGCAAGCTCAACGGTACAAAAGCGCAGGATTTAAAATTTTATCAAGCGGCATCTAGCGATTAATCTAAACTTTATTCTTTTCCGCACTATGATATCCGTGCGCTTACGTGATTTCTTATTAATGATATATTAACGGATCAATGTGTTTACGCAAATCTGAAGGAGTTTTGTTATCTGGATAAGTAATTATTGAATTAATTAATGTGATTTATATATCTAATGAGATCATAAATGCATTACGTCTTTTGAGCATTACGGTTGACTATTACGGCTATATTGCAAATTTGATACAAAAAAGGGCATATTATTATGAAATTAATTATCGGTAATTATTCGAATCGTAATTCTTTTGACGATGTGAATTTAAATTTACCATTCTGCAAACCTTTCAGTAATTGCGACCCTCTATACATGTAAGAAATATTGCATAATGTCGAAGTCAAATGGAAGATTTTTATTACTAACATTATTCTTTACAAAAATGAATTTATAAATGGTTGAGGACGACAATATAAATCTAATTCTCATTTATTCTACTTACAAAGCATAAAATTTTATGCCATGCAAGAATTGTCTCTATCATTTCATTATACTTAATTACTATACTAATTTATTACATGTCTTTTAGTCATTCGAGATATCTTCGTATAGCAGGGAATAGAAAAGAAAAATAATTGATATCAAACTAAGATAGAGATTACAATTCTAAGCGAGGAAACTTTGTCTTCAGTAAAGGGTCTATAACTTTTTTCCATTGCTTAACTGTCCAATTTGATTGACCGATCACTCTGATACCGTTTATAAAAAAACTCGGTGTTCCTGTTACGCCACCTGTAGTGTATCAACAATAATAATAATGTATTATTGTAAGTTGAATCCACACTATCTACAGTTTACTATATAAAAAGAACTTATAGGATGTGTATGTCAGTGATATGTATCCATGGGCATATCAAAATTTACATCAGCTTTGGGCAGTGAGCATGATTATTATGTATAGGTAGATGTAAGAAAGTTTTTAACTAAACTATGTCGTTTTGACAACTAATTGTATAATTGTATTTTATGGTATATGCTAGTTATACTTACGTTCCCAAGCCAGTTTGCTACTCAGCCTTGTGGTATGATCAATGCCACTATTTTGCAAGGCATTTGCGAATTTCATAGCACTTATTCCGGCAGCTTTATGAGCTAATTTTGCGTAGGCCCTAGTGTATAAGAAGTCCAAATTAGTAATACATTTAATAATATGGCTACAATAGAGCATACCCATTAAAGTTCATAACTATATTTTTATATGTTGTTGATCAGCATAATATAATTCTGTAGAGGAAATAAATAGCTTACTGTATAACTTGTAGCCCTGACATTTTCAAAGTTGGTTTGTTATAAAATTCAGACTGGTTTTTAAACACAGCATCCATGTAGTTAAACAAATCATGTACTGATACATTCGCTGCGACAAGTGCGCGAACACCCTATTGAAATAGAATTAGTTTACGACATTTTAATAGTGGCTAAATATCATTGTATTTTACGTTGAGAATACGATAAATTTGTATAAGTTAATTGTTACTCGAGAATTCATTTTTTAAATTCGATATGTAATTAAATATACTGTATATAGTAAGGAATTGTATAAAATATTTTGTTTGGAAGTTTTTGTTAATATAAAATTAGCGTGTAAGATGACTTCCGGTACTTGAGTCAATTAATGTTCATTTTTCTATTTTCAACGCTAATAGAATATTTATGCACTGTATCACTTAATTATAATTGTAGTAATAACTTAATTTAATTAATTGTATGCCAATTTAAATCGGATATTACTTTCCATTATAAAAGGAGTTTAAATCACATAAATTTATTAAATGCTGCTTTGAAACTGTTTCATAATCTGCAGTGCTGTGGTGTACAATAACAACACGGACAAATAACTTGATTCGATAATCTAGTCTTACGTGTTCTTATATATCACTAATTTATTTTAGAGTTTAAAGCGATTTATTCTGTCATCATTGAAAGTTAACGGGAATGTAGTTTACCATAGCTGCGTAATAGGCTTGTCTATGATAAACTAGGGGATTAATGTGAAATGTCATGCGTAATTTATTTGGGCCATAGCTGTCTGCCAGTTTTTTAAGTATAGGCCAGGCGGTTTTACAATCTGGACAAGCAAGATCGATAAAAGCTTCCATATGGATAGGAGCTTCCGGACTCCCATTATGATAAACATATCCATCTGGTCGAGGCAAAATTGGTGCCTGACTGTAGATTACTGGAATGAGTGCAAAGAGAACTATAATATTTGCAGTTGGTTTCATTTTAAAGCCGATTGTAATACCAAAAACCCAAAAGATATCTTTTCGCTTTCACAATGTGCAGTAAAGTGCAGTACGGCAATGATGACGGTGCTGATATTTTACACTTTACAGTACAATACATACTTTTGTACTGCTTTACCGTACGCTTACCTAGGCATGCAGGCATTATTGACTCATCACTTCGATAGTCTAAACAAAATACACTACATTATAGAGTACAAGTTGTTGTGAAACAGGCACGAGATCAGTGGATACAAAATACTGTGCCACGGACTGCTAGACATTAGACAATAGACAAAATCTTAGTTTGTAGTACTGTTATATTATTAATAATAATATCATAATTATCATAGATTATGTTTTGTATAGTGTTGGCTAGTATGACTCCATTAAATAGTTTGCGGCTGAGTGAAGTGGTCATCGTAGTTTGAAATGATTTCTATAAACAGATTTCTACGTACACTGTGACTGTACTACGGTAGACTCTGTTGCAACTTGCAGGAGGAGTACGATATAAAGGTCTCTAGTGTACACTATACAGTATACTGTACAGTACAGTATATCAGTGCCGACATAAATTTAACAAATAGTTTTTTCTATCCTGTAAAAAAGGACACTGCCGTAAGTTAATTTACTCGCAAGCAACAATTGTATCGTGGTTCCAGTTAAGCTCACAGTGCTTCCTAATTATTAATTAATTAATGGATGAATTAGGTAAGAAAACTTTTAAACTTACTGTACGATTACAATTGTTGCTGTCTTCGTTATTTCTCTAAATTTTGTTAATAATTCATATACGAAATCAAAGTGGTAGCGTTTGATTACTCGTTGCTAAACTACTATCGCATAGTTTTCCCGCAGGTTATTGTAAATTTTAGTTTTGTCGATGGGATATCAATATTTGTATTACTGTTTAGGCTTATAATTCAGCGCTGATATTCTTCAATACTGCCAATCGTAGGCTACTAGAAGGAGATGATCCATAGGACAAAAACTTTCGTAATTTTTATCTTTCTGTATTAGCTCATAAAGTTTACGGTACGCATCAGAAGTTGGGCAATGTAGGTTTACGCGCACAGCACGATTAGACTGTTTATTTGAACATTGTTCATTCAATTTTAATTTGATTTGATATCTCAATACTATTTGGTCTGCGATCGATCGAATGGCTTGATAACATAATTATCGTTGTAATTGTAATATGATATAATTTCATGATTTCTTTTTTTATCTCTATTACGCATGTAGTTTGTGATGTCAACAGAGTGAAGTACGAAACATACAATATACTTGTACTGTACTAGTACGTGTGTTATCATAATGATTGCAATTAAATCTTTTTAGAACTCCTACAAAAACCTAATACATGTACTTAACGATACTTTACAGCATAACAGCTTTGTAAGACTCTAATGTATCGTATCGTACTTACTTTATATGTTATTAAATACAGTACACTTCAAAAATTCTTAATCGATCTTAATCTGACAAGCAATAGCTAGCCTGTACTGTAAGGTATAGTACAGGCTAGCTATTGCTTGTACCATCTTACTTAAACCGAACCATGAACAGGAGTATCTACAAACCCAATAATTACTAATAATCATGATAATAATGTGATAATGATTAGTCGTGAAAATCTGCTCATACTCGCGTATTGCTGTATCTTTCATTACAAATAATGTGCACCCGTAGGCCGTAGCCTGCTTTATGAATAATACAGACAACTCATTAAAACTGAACAAGTACGCGTACATATAATAATATCATTAAGTTAATAACACCCACTCACATCATTACGTTAACGATTGCAAATAATAGATTCACTATTGGCTGAGTTGCAAGCAGCTAAACCGATAACCTCAAATAAGAATGAAAATCAAGATGATCTTCGTAATGAGCCCAATATAGAATATCCGCCGCCGAAATCATATCAATTAGTGCAATCCTATCAAGAGCACCAAAGAGAATCTTCATCAGTAAACAAGGAAGTTACCGCTGATAATAGTGAGCAATGAAGACATTTCTAATGTCTTTGTTTTTCTGTAATAATAGATCTGAATCTTTTAAACATGATCAAACACCTTATTAAATTTATATGCATTATACAGGAACAGTAACAATGCTAGGCTATTGCTACGTTTACCTAATTTATTGTAACACCTTATTATACAGTTAAACAACAAATTGATGTTAACAAGAATGCAGATACATCGGAATTAGACAAGTTATTACAGGAATTAGAACATGGAAATAAATCAGGCCTACAACAAGACTTAAGTGAGTTGATAAAAGCTATGTTGTAACATTTCTGATAGTATCTTTATAGGGTTGATCTGCCAATTATCAACACGTATATCTGTATTTAGCAAACTTAGGAGCTTGATCTTAAACCTTATTGAGTCAATGATCATCCTTGTTTTCACTAGAAAATGGAAATGAAGTGCGAGATAAAGTTCATAAACCGCCGAAAACTGCATTATTGAATAAAAACTTGATAAGCAATGATTTAACTAAATCAGAAGTAAATAAAATAATCGATTACTTCTTATTTTCTTAAATTCATTGCATCAAATATTGTATTGATCTAATGGACAGAAATTTTTGAATGTTTTATAGAACTGACTTGCTAAAGCTTGATCTATTTTTTAGGATAAACATGATAACAATAGTCTAACATCAGCAACAAAAGAGCTTGACGATTTAATGGAGTCCTTAACAACGATGAAGACAAGGAGCATACGAAATTCAAAATCTGCTAGCGCTCAAAAAGATCAACAAGATATACCGAGTAAAATCGCTAATGATAATAAAAACTTAAGCAAACACATAGACGTCGACCGTGAAGAGGATAATGCAAAAAAGTTAGATTCACTGATGGGCGGGCTGCAATCGGATTTAAATAAGCAAGGTATTGATTTACCATATTATACATACAGTTTAAACATATAATAATTGTGACGATAACTAGATTATATCGATACTATCAAAGTTTTTAAATAGTAGGCTTTGTTAATTTTCTAATGCAATTACTTAATCTTGAATAGGGATTAATGTTGAATCAAAAGGCATGTGTGCAGGGTGCCATAGGATGATTGTTGGTCAAATTTTAACTGCTTTAGATCAATCATGGCATCCCCAGCACTTTACTTGCGCGGAGTGTGGATCTTCTCTAGCTAGTAAGACATTTTACGAATGGGAATCGAAACCTTATTGTGAAAAAGATTATTTTGATCTATTTGCACCAAAGTGCGCTGGTTGCAATGAATCTATAACCACGGTAAATGATCTTATTGCCATAGACAAGATTTTTTGTAATATTTTTACATTGAGGTTGGATAAATCTCAATTTGACATTTTAATTGTGCTTGCTGAAAGTGCATATATGCTATATATGCATTACTTCCTAAAGGAACTAATTCATTTGATAGTTGCTTTGCTCTAAATGGGTATAAACTAACTTATCTTAAACTTACTGTTTTAGGAGTGCTTGACAGCAATGGATCAGAAGTGGCATCCGGAGCATTTTATATGTACCATTTGTAAAAAGCCCTTAGTTGATGAAAAATTTCATGTTGTTGATGATAAGCCTTATTGTTCCAATTGCTTTAATGAATTACATGCTCCAAATTGTAATGCATGTAATAAAAAAATTACTGAAGAATTTGTCTCGGCCCTGAATTGCCAATGGCACCCAGAGTGTTTCGTGTGCATGGTAAGAAAATCGTTACTTTCTTATTATATAAATAAATAAATATAGTAATTAGCGCTGTAATACTATTTATATCACGATTTATATTTCACCTTCTTTAGCAATATCTTCGGTGAAAATTTTGCTCTGATGTTATATATATTTATTTGCAGGAATGCAAGAAACCGTTCATTGATGGAGTGTTTATGAATTATGAAGGCTTACCGTATTGCAAATTGCATTATTACACTAAAATTGGTTCCATTTGTTGCCACTGTGAAGAGCCAATTGCTGGCCGATGTATAATTGTAGCAAAGAGAAAGTATCATCCTGAACATTTTCTTTGTTCATTTTGTCAAAAACAGCTCAGCAAAGGCACATTTAAAGAACGCAGCGATAAGCCGTATTGTGTGCCATGTTATGCCAAATTATTTGGATAATTCGTTCAGTATCATGTTGCCATTTGATTCCACACTGGCGGTCACGGTCTACTACCTAACCTCTTGTTTATGCTATATCAATTCCAATGAATTTCACGAAAGTATCCGAGATCTTACAAAAATTGATTTGGGTTATGATTAAATATTGCAATTTCTCTTATTTATATTATACAATATACTCATATGCGCGTAATTTAAATTCAATGAAAAATAATTTTGTGTATAATTGTGCTCATACAAAAATTTCTACGTCAAGATTTATAGATACATTGACAGAAGTATTCTTTAATTCCTAATAATTAATTACGATACATTGGCAGAAGTATTCTTTGATTCTAATAATTAATTACGCACTTTAATAAGTAAAGTTTAAGAGTGGTTGTACTCCGTTATTGAAGGTACAACCACTATTTTTGCAAAGAAGAATAATCCAGATAAAAATTTTATATTGGAGATATAATAATAATTCAGATAGATGATTTTGAATACAAATTTTTAAAATACTTAAATATTTTAATGTAGTCCTGTGTAAAGCCGAAAATTAGAGCCAGTAAATTTTTATAAATACCTCTATAATCAATTTCGTTAATTCAAGTAAATATTATGGACTAGCGCGAAGATTATAATTTCATGGAAATCTCGATCTTACTTGATGCTGATGGCATGTTATTCAACTTTAAATATGCACATTGAACACCTTTATGTTTAACTGTTTATCCGTACTGATTAATGAATTTCTGTTTTCATCAATAATGGAGTGATGGGCTGGAGATTGCGACAATAATTACTAATTGTTTATTATCTATTTTTGAAACATAATACAGTACTCTCATTTCTCATTGCGAATTCGCAATGAGAACTTGAGAAGTAGTAATACGCGCTAAGCTAAGGATGGCATCAATTAATTATTATTAATTACACCGTATAACCGTATGATCTATGAATATCGTATACCACTGCTTCACTTTACAGTTAACAGCTTTTGCTATAACATATTTATTACCGTATTTACAGGTGCTTGTCAAGAAAAGTTGGTAAAGAAGATATATAAATTTACAGCTTTAATTTACAAAATTGACTTTTGTATAAGTCCTTTTATGATACAATAAATAACATTAGTATGAAAACTTTGGAATGATAAAAAACTGATCTACAATGCCGGGAATACACTCGTAAGGCATATTACTGTCATTCCCAAAGCAAGTATAACACTTTAACAAGTCATTTTCTTACTTTCGGTGCTATAGTTCTAATTGTCCAAGTATGACATAAAAAGTCATTTAAAGTTGGTATACTATTAGGCAATTAAGAATTGCTGTTAACTCAGTAATACATAATTGCTAATAGCATAGCATCTCTTAATTCCTTGGTTACTAGATAATTATTACAATAATATTTTCATGCAATGATTAAAATCAAATATTTTACATTAATCCTTAATTCTAGTCACGCAGCTGAATTTACTGCAGCAAAGATGTGTTATACTCATAGTTCTTAAAGACGATTACTGTATTTTCTATCAATTTACGTATACACGTATATGATTAATAAAACGTGAAACTTCTTATGCGAATATTCACACTACGAACATCTTGCTCAATGAATCATAACAGTTTCTAACTCAACGAGGAATCATTGTGCGCATCCATCTAGAGTTATTACAGTAGCACGTTAGCGTTAGTGCAAGCGGTAGTATGACCTGATGTGCATACTGCATACGTAAAGGAAGAATTATTACTTGTATAAAACGGACGGAGCTGTTTAGACTTAGAGTGAGTAGGTAACTAGTACCTAACTAGGAGCGATATTCAATAGCAAAATATGTTTCCCACGAATATAATTAAGTGTACAGATCAAAATCAATTCTCTTCGATGTGTAGTAAAGAGAATCTTCTGTCTCGGCCCTACGAGCAAAAACCCCATCTGGAAAATAACCTTGATTTGTCCAATCAAGCATTTGTGCGCTACTGTATGGTCCAAAGACCTCTGCATCTTCTTCATCTTTCCATTTATAGAACCAATTAACCGTGTCATTGTTTTCATCTTTCGATTTTTCGCTTAGTAAGCTAATTTGATGATTGATATATTCTAAGTTTTCATGATAGATGTTTGTCCTGTCATTGTGAAGCAAGAGATCTGTTATTTCAGTTATGCGTTCGCACTTTTTTCGATTGTCCTCTTCCTTTTCAGTATTTGCAGTACCTGCAATATCTGCAGGCTGAAATCTTTCTTTCTTTAACTTCCATTTTTGACTAGCTGAGCTACCCTTGTTTCCGCCGAAACGACGAATAGCTCGTATCGGAGTTTCTTTAGGTAGCAAGAAAGCAGCCAATTCCTTTAGAGCATTCAAGATACCGTCAGGTGGAAGCTTGTCTACTTTTTCACTTTGAGCACTATCTTCCTGCTCGATTTTATTTGATTGATTTTTAATTTTGTTCCAGTCGACAGCTTGCAACCAGTTATCACTCACATCATCATCCTTGTTTGCAAAATAGTTACCTTCAGCGTCAAAATAGCCTTCCTCTAATTCTTCCTTCAAATTAAAAGGTGTAATTTTCATTCCGTCATCCGTATACGTTTCTGTTTCGTCTTCTTGTCCTTCAATATCGTCTTCATTTAGTTTATCAACTTGCTTTCGATCATCTTCCTCATCGCTGTCCAGTGAATGCTTACTTTTGAAACGTTTAACGTCATCGCTAGCTAATGCTTGCAAATTTTCTTCATCAAATCGAACTCCCTTGCGCTTCGACATATTGCACTCTTCAATCGTCTACAGGTACTGCTGCTGTACCGTTGCAATAACGAATTCATCGATTTGAACCAGCTTAACATAAAAAAAGAAAGCGCAATACCGTACAGTACTGATTCAATGCGTGCTGAAGTCTACTACAGTAGTGCAACAGTAGAGGTAACCAGTGCTCTATACAATCCTCTTATTGATTGATTAGTTCTACTACTAGTCTACAGTACGTACAGTACAGACGGACACTAGTAGACTCTACAGTACAGTACTGTACTGTACAGTACTGTACAGTACTGTACATTGCACACTTCAAGATTCGTACTGTACTGTACAGTACTGTAATAAATGCAACTTGAGGTAACCAGTGTTCCATACAATCCTCCTTATTGATGGATTAGTTCTACTAGTCTACAGTACGTACAGTACAGACGGACACCAGTAGACTCTACAGTACATTGCACACTTCAAGATTCGTACTGTACAGTACGTAATAAATGCAACTTGAGGTAACCAGTGCTCCATACACAATCCTCTTATTGATTGATTAGTTCTACTAGTCTACAGTACGTGTACAGTACTACAGTACATTGCACACTTCAAGATTCGTACTGTAATAAATGCAACTTGCTACTTTTTTGACCCGCTGCCGTAGTTCATTCATATCAATTGCACATACGGTATGTATCTCTAAAAAGCTGTGGTTATTTCCTTACTTATAAATTATGTTAAATTAATGTTGTTATTGCTAAATGACTGCTGCATCTCTTTGATTACTGTAGTACAGTATAATACGTTCTGCATAATACGTACACGTATTGTAATAATATAATACATTAAGACGTAAACTAATTTACATTTATATTATGTAAATTTATCGTTTAGTTTGATCCTGTACATGTCTATCAGGCGTTCAGCTCTGTATTCGTAACGAAGTAGCCTTCATCTTTTGTGCCTATTTTTAGCCATTATTTAAGACCTGAAGCTTGTGATGCTGTTATGACCAAATGTGGATATTTGAATACATTCTTGTCACTCAGAAAGTCACTTTACCGAGTCAGTTCTTATCGTCAGTTATCCAATTTTGCAGGAGCGTACGGTATGGAGTTGCAAGAAGTAGTAGTTAAACTGGAAAGGTTTGGTCCAAATTCTTTAGCTGAGAAATGGGATAATGTTGGATTGCTTGTTGAGCCAAGTAAACCTCATTTAGTGAGAAAATTAATGATTACAAATGATTTAACCGAAGCTGTCTTAAAAGAATCTATTGCCGAAAAAGCAGATATGATCTTATCGTATCATCCGCCTATATTTGCTCCGTTAAAGAAGTTGACCAACTCTTCTGTGAAAGAGAGGATATTAGTTAGTGCAATTGAAAACAGGATTGCTGTTTATTCTCCTCATACGATATATGATTCATTAAAAGGTATGTACCTTGTAAAATATGTATACGTACGGTAACCGACCTGGATTGAACGGTGTACTCGCAAGCTTATGTCTAGCGACTAGTAAGGGAACTTGGGTAGTCCCCGATATAACTTACAGTAATTGCGAAATACTTATTCTTAGACGATAAATACTAAAATTTCTGAACTATTATACATGAAGAGCCTTAATTTAAAATGAGGGCATATTACTGTATAGTGTATACTTGCAGATATTTGTGCAGACTTTAGGTCTAAAATTGGCTCGACTTAAAACAACAACTTTGTTAGCTTGTTTAAATGTACTACGGGTGATAATCTTAGGAACTGACCTAATTATATAAGCCACATCGTTACAATTAAAAGGTTTATCTTTGATTAGGCGGGGTTACGGACTGGTTAGCATCGTGCCTAGGGGAATATACTACACAACCAGTCATTCCTTTCTTTGACGAGAGTGCCAGTGGATATTACAAGCTAGAAATGTATATTAGCAAAGATAAGCAACACAATTGGTCAGAAGTACTAAATAATTACAATAAAGAAAACTCAGTTCAGGACATAATTGTATCTGATCTTGTGTGAGTGTAGATTTTCTGTTCATCAAATGATACAGCACTCCTAAACATCTTTTAATTTTACTTTAATTACTTAGAGATCCTAAAGGTTGCGTTAAATATGGAATTACGTGTTCCAGATCTGGGATGTTTCAGATTCTAGATTCGTACCATGAAATGTTTGATAGAAATGATAACCTACAAATTACTAAGCTTTCTAGTGTAAGTTAATCTTCTGATTTCGTACAATTAATACAATTCATGTTTTAAGGTCTACTTATTTAATTATTACTTACAATGTGTTACCGTATACTGCTGTTGTTTAGAAACCAATTCTAGGTACTGGATCTGGACGTATTTGTCGTTTGGTAGAGCCTGTATCTTTACAAATATTGATAGCTCAAGTAAAGAAGCATTTGAACTTATCATCATTGAGGCTTGCTGCAGATTTTTATAAACCTTTAAGCGTAATGGAAATCTCGGTATTTTAAGAAAAGTCGTTTCTTATTAATACGGTAACTAGAAGGACAGAATACTTTATTTAAATATTAAAATTGCGCTTATTTGTTAGGAAAGACAAGAGCATATCGCAAAGAAGTTAATCCGAACGGTAGCCGTGGTTGCTGGAGCAGGTGGTTCCTTGCTAAAAGGTGTAAAAGCTGATCTTTATCTAACGGGAGAGATGTCTCATCATGATGTTTTAGCTGCTGTCGCAAGTGGGACGTGTGTCTTGCTATGTGACCACACTAATACTGAACGTGGTTACCTCTTTAATAAGTTAAAATTGGACTTAGGATCACTACTAGATAATAGAATCGAAATTATTACTTCTAAAGTCGATGGAGACCCTTTGGCCGTGATATAAGGAAACGATTTTAACTGCATGTCTACCGTTTTATTTTAAATCCGACAATAATTATATGCTGGAGATCATTATCCCTAACGTGCAAATCGAGTCATTTATTGAAAACTACGGTAATAACAGTCAATATTCGCATTTATAACAACGATGCACCTATTCCGATTTCATTTGCTTTGATTCAACGTCTTCGATATATTTTTCAACAAGGAAGAAAGAACATGAAAATTGATAAACTCAGTATGACAATGACAAATGTTTTGGCTAATCTTTCTACTTAGTGTTCATTATTAATTTGTTTGGTTCCGATAATAGTAAATTAGCCCACGTATACATTTTAGCATTACTGACTTGAGTACTACTAGTGGCAGATTGTTTCATTTCAAAGTTTTAGGATATTTTAATATGCAAGCTACCTGTAGTTGCAAATTCGTGTAGAGTTTGAATATCGGATGCTTGCATTCTAATAAAGCGTGTAATGCGCTTCAATCATTGTACTGAGGTACTCAATAAAGTATATACTACACTGACAGTTTCTGCTACTAACATAACTATTCACTCCAGCAACTATGCCTGTTCAGTGCTCAGGGACACTTCCGTCTGCATAATACTATAGCAAGTAATAGTAATGTAACAGGTAGGCTTTGCGAACCTTATGCAACATGGTACATCTTAAAGTTAGACATTTGTTACAGTTTTTCACCTGTTGCCTGTCCATCTCAGTCTATCAATTACGAATGAGTTTCTTTTTATTATTAGTTAGTTAAGTGATAAACTGACATAATATTTATTTTGTTAGTACAGTAGTTATACAATGATATCTAATTACTGTTCTAATTAATATATGAGCTCAGAACTTCTTGTTACATAAATATTATGTAACATAATGCAACACGTTACTTTAGTACTGTACAGTACTGTATTAACAGATGTAAATGCAAATATACACTGTACTGTACAGTAGCCCTAACCATTTTGCATAAATTACTTTGAACACTTCGTTTAAGCTGTCCTACCGTTACATTAGACGCGAGATGGACGATTTCTTGATTTTTTTTAGATATGTCAATACATGTGCACAGTGCTCAGTACTCAGTGACCTTATTTTGTTGTACATGATCTCGAAAATCCTTGCACATAAAGCGTATCCAATATTATTTGTAAGTACAGATATATAAACATCTCCATAATTTAAAACCAAGTATTTTTCTTGTATTTAGGATATACGTATATCATACACGTTGAAGCTAGCAAAACGCTATTCTTAAAATTTTTGACCATGATCAGTACATTAATCAAGTATAATAGAACATCAAATTTTATTATCATTTTTCACGTTTCTTCCGTTGCCTGTTTAAGGTTGTTATTTACATATATTCTTTTCAAAAAAATTTTTTAATTCTCTACTACATCACTCTTGCCACTTGGCTTGTATAAATTCAAATTAATACGATTCATAATTTCTGGGATCCATATAAATAGATTACCGTAGTACCTTGATAACGATACGGGTGCTTACGGCACATGATTGACCTTTACTCACAATATCTGCACTCTGCAATCACGTAGATGATACAGGGACTTCATTTGTTAATTTCTTTAGTGAAAGAAATGATGCAATTCTTAAATCTTAACGGGCAAATAATCTTGTTATATAAACGAATTACACTTTTAAGTATCATACGAGGCCATACTCCATAAATTATAATGTCTCTATTTTCCTGCAATCATTGCAGCATTCATCAAATAAATTTTATTATAATTATTCTCCTTCCGATTATTGAATACATTATAGTAATCACTAGATGGTTTCACGGGGGTTGTTGTTGAATAACTATGAAATCTTATGTGGGGTGTGTCCCTCAATAAAGATAGTTTAATAATATATATAATAACTATTAAATTAATCGTAGCGTAAAATAATAAAAATTTGCATATTTTTTAGTTTACAGTTAGTCAGAGCTACTTAAACATTTTCAATACGCCATACGTATCTATGATCCGGCTTATACGTATTTCCAGTTAATTGAAAGTACATACTGTATATCATCACATCTAGAATTGATACACAAAAAAAAGTCGATCGGAATGAGAATGAAGTTATCTTAGTCATCTGAGATAAAGTCTGACTTATCGATATAAATATGAAATATCTACCATACAAGACATGCTTCAAGCTTATAAATCTTGTTTATTTTGTCAGATAACTAAGTAATTTACGGTCGTATCCGCTATCCAAGAATCACTTGTCATAAATAGAGGGTTGCACTATCAAGCACAAACCCAATCCTAACATTAGTCGCAAACGCTATATAAGCATAGTGTAGTAAACACTTTCATGCATTTTTGCAAATGTAATTCAGAATATTACATATCTATTCAGAGCATTATGAACTTCGATTATATCGGCAACGTTTAAATAACTACTATTTAAAAATTTAAAAGCCATTACAAATCTCGATATGCATAATATACTCAAAACTGATATTTATTATTTATGAATAATATAAATGCTCTTTGTATGAACTTTTTGCGATTTCACTTTGGCGTATTGCATTATTTAGCTTTTAAAATTTACAGTTTTGAGCTATCAGATTGTACATTTTGCCATTCTAGGTAAGGTACTTTATGACCATCGATAGAAAAATTTTCTGGTAATACTTCCACGCGATAGGTGGTTACATAGTTAGACTTATCCCGTTTTTCATATTCTACACGATTTACTCTTTCGGATGATATTCTCAATTCAGAGATACTCTTATTCGAAGTGATGCGTCGATTACTTTCTTGCTGTTCGTCTTCTGGATATAAAGAGTCACCAGGCAGCAACGACTATTTATTAAATTAACGCAGTGAGGTAAGGGCTATCCGCAAAATACTCTTCGGTAGACTTATGGAAAAATAATGATTGCGGCAGTATAGTTACAAAATAAATAAAATTACGCTATATAAATACTTACAAGGAGTCCATCCTTGCATTGATAGTGAATAGGAAGATATTGTTTCGTTGGAAAATTCATGGCCCTATGTCTAGCAAACTGCAAAATTTCTGGTACAGTGTGGAAGCTATATCCGTAAGGTAGAAGAAAGTACTCACTAAACAATTGTAGGAACAATATACGCTATAGTTTATCAAGAGTGAAATTTCAGAATTATCGAAAATCTACCATCCGGTCTAGCTAAGCTTAGTTAATTTAAAAGAACAGGCTATCTACTACGTAAGACACTTAAGATTTCGCTTCACCTCCTACATAAAAACAATTCTAAAATGCGACACTGCATACATTGTTTAATTAAATTCATTTACTTGCATAATCTGCTCAATTCATATGTTTGAGGTGGAGCCAGAAAGATCTTTTTGATTGCATGACTCTTTAGTGCTTCTTCTGGAGTTGTCCACTAATTTTAGTTTAGCGATGGTAAGTTGTAATTAGACAAAATTATTTATAGAATTATTTATCAGGTATATGGAACCACTAAAAATTGAAGGATGCGAAGTATGCTAAAGTATTAAAATAAGCTGATTCTCGCTTTAAATCGTTGCAGCGTATCTTATACTAGCATAGAAATATATGTCCTATAATACGAGAAGTACAGTATATAGAGCTCTTCCAAGACTTATTTGCATGATAGCGAGACTAATATGAGAAGAAGTAAAGTACTTACATGCAAATAGGTTATTTCCGCCTGATCCTGTGATGCATTAATTTCACCTTCTGCACAGCATATAAAAAATGCAGTGTCGAATCGCTTGGGATAAGTTCTCGGAGTTAACCAGTTAGACCATTCATATAATGACCAAATATCTGGCAATGAATTGAAGTGTCTGTATTTAAAAAGTGATAATTGTTGTATTAAAAATGTGTAATAAATACAATGGTTATGAACTATAAGTGATTTATGAGGTTTACAATTATTTGAATTTCGTCTTCTGGCTATAAAACGATGCATAGTTACCTGCATAACTTGAGAAAATTGGAAGAATCTTCATTGACTAGGCGCCTCCAGTACTGGAGTTGCTGAATTGGCAAGTTATGAGCACTTCCAATGTTACCATGTGATCCGTCTACGGGTAAGCGATTGTGTCTAAAGTTGCGAAGTAATAGAACTCCAGATTCTTCAAATGTTTCCCTTATTGCACAAATGCGTAATCCAATGTCAGCTGGAATACACGATTGCCTTAGCTTGTTGTAGCAATCGCAACGAGGTAGACAGCTTTTAGGCAAGCTCTGCAAAATTTCTTGCCAATCGAAATGTTGGCAAAACAGATCACGCCACTGCTCACTAAAATCTGTATCTTCAACCTTTCCACCGGGGAAAACACAGGCATTTGGCTGAAATTACGATTAAGATATTGGTTATATATCATTACCGGACGTACAGCACAAGATTTAGTATTGTGCCTTCAGCACTAATGATTTTGCAGTACAACATTGATATATCGATTTAACTAGATGTTATTCAAATCAGGCTTTGAATGCTGATAAAAGTAAATTAGATTGTAGGGTCGGGCACCGAAGCAAATTCTCCTAATTATAATTACTAGTATGTACGTAAGTAATATGCGAGTATACAGTATACTGGACACGGCAGAATTTCATAACAAATGATTAACAGAATAAAAAGACTGGCCAGTCCAGGCCAGGAACGTACTGTACTGTTTGCAGACTTATAAAGATCTAACCGCAGTAGAACTCTCGTGTGTCAAATAATTTAATTTACCATGAAAGAACTTTTACTACTTCGTTTCAGTAATAGTGTCTCGTACTGAGAATGTGGTTTGCCATTAGAAGGAGAAATTAGAATCAATGTAGAAGCATCACTAGGGTTACTTTTCTTCATCTTACTTGCGTATGGGCACTTAACCCAATCTTACTACTGCTGAATTATAAAACTACTGTACAGTATAATTAATTAATTATTAACGCCAATCTTCCTTGTTGGTAACATGGACCACAAGTGTCCACAACCCTGGAGATATACCTTGAATACGCGTGCGTGGTCGGGCCTAGTGTTAAGTGTATAATTTATTTATTTATATAGACAGTAAGCTCACAAAAATCCTGTACTCTAAAAATACTTCTTGTATAAAGCTTCTGTATTTTGCGATTAACATCTCTTAATCGCAATCGACAAAGACGTATTTTTGATATGCAAAACTTTAATGCAACCTGAATTGATACTATAAACTGCAAATTCCGTAATGAACATTGTGTGATAAGCAGTAGTATTGATGAATTCTGAATACACAGTCCTAACGATTTAGTATTTTGTACTTTTATTTCTTTATCATCCTCGTATTTGTAAAGTCATGGACTAACTAGAAGAAGACCAGTTCTTCTTCTAGTAGTCCGTAGTAAAGTAAAGGCTCATATTACGTCCAATAAAGTATATATGTTGGAAATTTTGAGTGAGCAAGAATAATTTCCAGTAGCCAATCAGCGTAGTAAATACTGATAGATTCGGTGTTGATGAAAGTAACGCTACTTATTGTATAGGTGTATATTATTAAGAATTCAACTCTATAAGTACGTATCATAGTTAGCCAGGTATGACGCACTGCACGATGACTCAAACATACCTTTTCTAGAATGCTTAATTATACTGTATTTTGGAAAGCACTGATTACAGCCATATACTATCGTGCCATCCATTTTGCGTTTCCAATAATTAATAAATTAAATATCTTCGATGATCATTTTATCCGATACAAAGTATGAAACCCAGTTTTTATGCAAGAATAAGCAAGATAAAACATGAAAACTAAATTCGAATAATGCTAGTAAGACGCTAGGACCTATATAACATTTTATGTGTATATTCTTAATAATTCCATCAAAATAATTGCGGCGGTTTATGGCCGTCAGCAGTATTGATATTGCAATACAGAGTTGACCATGTATCATGACTTGGGTTAACTGTATTAGAATATTCTTCATGAAAGACGCAACGATACATATTTTCGGAGGAGCTGTTAACCTGCTCAATTGTCTCACTGTTCCTATTTATAAGTACAGCGTCTTCTCCAGGAGCTTCTCCTTCGTAATTTTGCAGAGAAAGTAAATCCAAAGGATACAGTGAATCTCCCGGCATTACGGTCTGAGAATTTTGAAAAAGCATCATTAAAATTATTACAGTATGTCAATTTATTGCCCTGGCTAGGGATTTAATAAAAGAACTTCGTATGTCTAGCATAAAACATAAATTAACAATAAACTCTGCAGTGAATACTCTTCTTAGGTAAATCATCAATATGAGTTAAACACTATGTTTATAACAACAACGATATTATCTTATGAGTATTTATCAAACGATGATAAAGGTCAATGAAAGAAAATATTATAGCCCGTATATTAACAGTGAATAAATATATTACATACCATATTGCCATCTTTGCATTTGACAAGTATCGGCAGATGCAGCAATGTCGGATGGTTACGAGCCCGGTTATACGAAAACTTCAAGACTTCTTCAACTGAACTAAAGCTAATTGAAACTGAAGATGAGATTGCAATGTATACTACACTTAGAATAATTAATTTTGAATGTATGCATTCTTAAGTGTGATGGCGCTATTGTACTGTAATTTATACAAAAGGTTTTACGTTCCTTGTAAAATTTATGCTGAGAGAAAAGCACAATTGTTAAGTTTACAAATATATACTTAAGCAATCTCGAGAGCTCCACGTTTTGAGGAGGAAATAGTAGTAGCTTCTTGCTTGCAAACTGTTGGAGTACGCCTAGTGGAGGAGTCCACTAGAGTATAAGATTAAATTAAATATCGTTAATTGGAATGCAATCCTACATTGAGTTAATATATTAGGTGATCTGAATTTGATAATATGAGTCTATATTACTCCAATCCAATTATATACACAAGTAAGCAGTAGCAAGCACTAGATCTACGCTTTCTGGTACATATTTATTATTGCATACACTAGATATACTCGTACATATTACAGCTAGATACCAATAGCTTTATATTATCAATAGAAATTTTAAAATTATCGACCATTTTGTTTCTATCATAGCTAGAGTTGAGGTATTTATACTTATTACTCACGAAGGTTTTCGTGACTTCCCTAGCATCCTCAGACACATCATCCATTTGTTCAGTGCAACAAACAAAAAAACTAGTATTGAAGCGTTTCTTAAAACCTGGAGGTGTGAACCAGTTATTCCATTCATATAACGACCAAATATCTGGTAAAGCTTGCAATTCTCTAAATCATAGTACATGTAATTGTACAGTATGAGTACTATTACTAGTACATAAAATATTATAACTAAACCGTTGTAGATTATAAAAATTCAGTTGTACATTAAAACGATTTTACAGGTTTGATAGCATTAAATGCCTAATATACAGTACAGTACTAAGATAATATTAAATCATAAAAGTAAAGAAACCATAGATGTGCAGTGGATTATTACTAGATTTAACCAGTAATCCATAGATTTGCCTTTACCTACATAAATCCATAAACCTGGTAGCATTCTCACGTACCATAACCCTCCATTTATTAAGCTCTTCACTAGATATATTTATTGTACTAGCAAAGGTACCTCCGGAATTACTTTCAGGTAGACCGTCAGTCAAGCTCCGTAATAGCAGTATTCCACTCTCTTCAAAAGTCTCGCGAATAGCAGAAATACGTAGTCCGATATCAGCCGTTAAACTCGAATCTCTCGACCTAGTATACAAGGACGTACGAGGATCACAGGTTTTTGGTAAGCTTTCAATTAAGTTGAGCCAATCTACTTCTTTCTGATAAATGTTTTTCCAGTCATCACTAAAATCAGCTTTATCGATCATTCCTCCAGGAAATACCGCAGCTCGAGGCTAAAATTAATAGAAAATACAATATCTATCGTTAAATTCTTAATAACTATGGGACGTATGCTTGATTAAGTCGTGAATTACCCAATCTTTCAGTGCAACAAGATATGACTAACAGCAAGTAACATCAAAATTCAACTATGCTATGGGATATAACATGCTAGTTAGCTACGTGATTTACTATTTATCAGGTTTTAATCAGGCAATATATGACGCAAGTACTGTACTGTATATGTATTGACACTGTCTGTAATAATCTAACAGTAAGTAATCTTCAGATTAGGTTGTACCATGAATGAACTACGGCTGCTTCTTTCCACCATAAGCACCTGAAGATTATTTGCAGATTTTGATGCTCGCTGACTGCTACGAGCTAACAGAATAAGCGTTGCTGCTTCATAAATCGCACTTTTGTTCCGGCTCATGACGATCGTAAACCTTGATATTTAGATTAGCTAATTAGACTAGAACAAAATTATATTATATTATGATGTTATATTTGACTCTCAATGAAGCACTCCTCTGTCAACGCCCAACTGCAAGTGCTGAGAGCCTTATTATCATAGGCATAGAGGTAAGATTACAGTACTTCTGTTACAGTGTACGTACTGTACACTGTACTGTACACTGTGTACAGTAAAGATTTGATTCAAATTTGTAACCTCTGACAGGTCTAGTTCAGACAGCGAGGAAAAAGATAGTTTTTGCCATGATGCAAGCATCTCAGTATCACGAATTATTCTAAAGTCAATATGCTGAGCAACACGTATTTACTACATTCTTATTGACGTATTTATAAGAGGTGATACTATAGTATGGCAAAGATTAATTATTAATTAATTATTAAAAATTCTCCAAATTCATTATTCAATGACACGAAAGAAGAGCTTATTCTACGAGGCTGCAACTTTGATACTGGTTGCTCATGGCGATGCTACTAATAAATTTCAGGATATTACACGTAATGTAATTAAGAGGTCTGCCCCGAAAGTTTTAATGGTACAACGCAGCAGTCAAAGTTCTTTCATGGTACGAATACTAATTCGAGATTGTAATTTAGATATTTGCAGTCGCTGTGTCGATCATACGATATTTCATTATAGCATATCCATACACACGTAGATAAACTGCGAAATACGAGTACGTAATCTTGCAGTAGTCACGAATTTTTTACTTTTCTTTAGATCATAGATTTCGTTTTTTTTATGGGTAGAGGCCAGACTAGAGTTTCTACCTACAATACTTTTTGTATAGCTCTACTGTAGATTAGAGCTCTTATCTAAAATCAATATCTACTAATGATTTTATTTTAATTTAATTAATTATTAATTTATTTTATTTATAAAGCCGAGTGCGGGCGTGTTTCCTGGTGGTAGGACTGACAAGGTCGATTTCAGTCCTGAATGGAAGGACATATACACCCAAAAGGTTAGCTGGCAATCAATTTTGGACAGTTTACCGAAAAGCTGCGATCCCCGACCACCTATATACACTAGAGTGATAAAAGACGTAATTTTGCCTTCCGACATTGGATTTCGTATTTGTGCTATCCGAGAAACGTTCGAAGAAAGTGGATTACTGTTATTAAGAAATAATCCAGATGGCGCATTCATAAATAATCCTGCAGCACAATATGCTAGCTGCATTACGTTGACACTATCCGAGTTACAGAAATGGCGAAAGATTATTCGACAAGATGCATCGCAGTTTCTAAGGTTATGCAGGTACGTTTGCTCAAATTGCTGTAATACGTATGTATTGTATCGAATAATAATATCTAAAATTTCGCCAGATCTCTAAGTAGTTTCTGCAGTACGATGATATAGAGAAAGCATCCATAACGATGAATTTACAATTATGAAGTCATATTTGTAATGCAGGAATTTTTGACTATAACTCTCGGTAGAGAATTAGAGGCTGTGCCTGATATTTGGTCGCTACATGATTGGAGTAACTGGTTCACGCCTGCCGGGTACTCCAAACGCTTTGACACGGCTTTTTTTCTATGCTGCCTAAAAAATACGAAGGACCTAATAAATGATTCGGATTCTGAAGTCAGGAAATCATTCGTATGTTGTTACTATAGTTTTCAATAACATTATAATCTAACATTTAAAACTAGATAGCAAATGATTAATTTAAGCTGATTATATATAATTATATTATTAATCGAGGGGATAAATAATTATCTCTAGACAATCTTATATGTACTCGTTTACATGTAATTAGAAATTCCAAAAGACGAGAAATTTTAATCTTAATCTTGTTAGCTAAACGTTAGTCTCGCGATGAGCAAGGTGTCGTCACGAGTACGTATAAGATAGTCTAGAAATGATTATTTACCCTCTTGATGCAAACATTTACTATAAAAACAAGAAGTAGATATCTGAAGTATAGTATTATTCTTTTAAAGGTATTTAAATTCTGCGAATTAATTGTTCTTCGGAATTCTTGGAAAATATTTTTAAATGGTTTAGTGGAGTAAACCTTCGGAAGTACTACGATACCATGTAAACAAAGAATTATTTCTGTATCCTCCACAGATTCATGAGCTATCGAGGTTGCTTAAGTAAGTGTATAGTTGTCACTGATTAACTCCTTAAAATCATGACGGTACCCTTACGGGTCCGTAAAGATAATAACAATACTAATTGTTAGACTGTCCTATACAGATATTAATGAAATAACTTTTACTTCTATCATATACTCATGAACAGATTTTATTCTAGACATTATATTAATTGCAGCATTGAAAGTGAAAGATTTGCAATCCTATAAAGCAATGTAGTACTAATAGCTGTTACAATACCTGTGTGAGCTTATTACCTCGTGAAGATTGTTGTATTATTGTTAATGCTAATCATGCCGTAATACTGTACTCAGTTTTTGTAGTATCATCTTACAGTATCTAACATTGAAATTGCAGAATCTGGCGGTATTTTGCTTAGAATCTAAATACGTAAGCTTGAAACTTAGCAATCTCATTATTTGGCTTGTTTGTGTATTTACAGCTTTGAAACCGTGCAAGAATTATTGTCATTTTCTCATCATCGACCTAGAAATCATAGTACTTTGCAATATTTGACGGTACCAATCAAATGCAAGAACGGCACTATTGTAAGTATATCTGCATATACAAACTTCATAAATATCTGATAAGTTCGTACGTATTTGCAATTCATCTTATTGCACTGGTGTTGATATAGAAGATACCGAATTTCAGTAATACTATCAAAGATTTATTTACTATTCACACCGTTGTAATCGAATTCTTTACTGTAGAAAATAGTAGCAAATAGACTCTTGGATAAAATAAATACATCATTTCTCATTCTTAGCTTACAGGCTAACAGTTATTAATACCAATATGCATACATAAAAGTAATCATATCGACATTGTATGTATTCAACCAATATCACAGACTGTTTTAAGTGGCGATTCGCTATATCCTATGGATAAGCGACCAATTAGAGAAAATATTTTGGTACCAGAAGATGAAATTTGGTATGGAGAATTGATAAATAGAGAAGAAGATACGATTGAACAACTGAATGCCTCCAGTACACATTTGCATCGATACGTTTTTCCTAACTTCATGGAACCATTCTCTAAACTTAAAGAAAGTTCGGTATCTATTGTTCCTTATGCAAATACCCGTCTATTAGATGGTCACAAGCCATTGCAATTATCTTGGCTATAACCGAAACAAAAACAAATTTAATTAATTAAATATCCGTCACTTCTTTTTAAATGTATACAACATGCACTATTCTTACTATGTTATAACTCAAAATTTACGAGCTAGACTCGTTGTTTATATCTTATTTTTAATAAAGCTCAGCATCTATAGCAGTATTAACAATATTAAATAACAAAATGGTAAAAGCAATAATTAAGGGTACGTAATTGCGCTGACTATGAATTTGGTAAGCTTATTCATCGGACACTATTCTAATTTCGTTTTGATTAATAAATTAATAGCATACATATTCATCTCAGATCGATATTGATAATTAACTGAAGATCTAATGTAGTAGATAAAGAATTGCCTCTTGTACTAAATGGCTAGCTGCTCAGATATACTAGCTATTTTCAAATGCTGCATTAAAGATCTCACTAAGCAATCTGAAATTTCTCCATTGAAGTTTTTGGTGCTTATAAAATGCAACTACTTTATGATAGAATAATGATAAGTCATTTCTTGTATTATATGAATCTGTCAAATTTAGTATTTCAATTGAAGTTATTAGTTTACAATACTTTATTCGATTAAAATTTCGTGTCAATGCGATAATTATATTGTAAGCTGCTAAATTTCATCAGTGCCAAAGCATATAAGTTGTTCTATAGCCCTTCGTGAGAAATAATTGCTTTATTAGACAAGGTTATATAAACGTATAATTATTATTCAATTGTTATAAAAGTACCGTATCAAAAAATAATATTTATGATGACGGTAATATTGGTAAGTACGCGTAACTAAACCTGATAATACGATAACTAGTATAGCAAATCACCTTCCTGAAATTGTTATGTAGAATGGTAGTAATTTACATGCAAGCATATGAACACAGTTGTTAGTGTTCAGTTACAGTTACGTCACTTTTCTTGCGGATATAATAGTATTAACTATTAACAAAAGCTGCAAGAGATTATCGTTACCTTATTTCCTGTAAGCACAGCAAATAAATCGTAGAGTGCAATCGCTGATGGCTCAAACTTTTAACAACGCACCTCTAGTTAAGAATTAATAGGATACTAACTGCCTATTATACAATGAAAAGGATAGATCTCACTATATAACATATGTAATATTTATCTTGCTTTCAATTTTATAACAGCACGATTAACTAACAATTTATTTGCCTCGATTGTTAAAAACAATATGGATTTTTGATCTTGCTGGTTCTAGATACTTGGCTTTATTTGAGCATCCGGTGATGAAGTTTAAGAATGTTAGTATGATAGTGTAAATTAAAATTGCCCTGGTATTCTACCACAGCGAGCAAAAACAATTAGAAAAGATTTTAGTTCCAATGGCCAATAGCAATATTTCTCTATATAAAGTAAATACAATACCGTAGTATATGAGCTATTATATCTTGCAATCAAAGAATACACAATATTATACAGTACCTTGTACGTCAGAATAAATCCTATAATAGGTAGAGATACCATATGATTTATCATCAACTAAATACATATGTTGGATTTACAGTAATAAAATAGGTACGGTACCTATGATTCGATACTACAGTACACAAGCAACCGTAAAAGTTGGTCCATTACATATAGAAAATTAATTATTCAGAATGATATAAGGTGTCAGATAGACAATAGAGCAAAAAGTGATAAAATATTTTTAGAATCGTTTTTACTTAGTTTTCATTAATGCTGCTAACGGATCTGACTAAGAAAGACAGATAGATCTATCTAAGGACTACGCTAGAAGTTACAATACTGTACACGTACGCGTACATGTAGTTGTAGTGCAGTATTAAATTGATTAAAGGAGATTTATAAATAGATAGTAGGTACAATATATGTATATATATATACCTTCATATGTACTACAGCAACAAATCCATCTCCATTTATTAAAAATTTAAACAATAAATCATAGTGTCCACTTAGCAATAAACTTCTTCAGGTTTATTTTAAAATTAAGATCATATGACATAGTTCAGTACAGTAGTAGTGTTATTATGTCAGAGCAACACCAAGATGAACCTCATAGTCCGGTAACTAAAAGTTCTGCGGCTGATGGTGAGCGTCAAGTTGGTATAATAAAACTAGCTGCTATTCAAATTAAAACGGAAGCAAGTAGTGTTTATGAAAAGACAGATGGTATACATTGCTACGATGCCATGCAGGATGGTAATAAATCACCTTCTCAGGTAAATCGATGAATATCAACTTTAGCACTGATTCACTGTGACCGCAAAGCTATTTTAGAAGTAAGATTGATATCCTTTTTGAACGTGGTATTATTGATAGCAATAGTAGTTAATGCGATTATTTACTCTAAGCAACTACGAAAACCTAGATATGCTAGTTTAGTAACTTAGCATTGTGCTTAAAATATTTGAAATTAAGAATGATGACTAGCGAAACCAGAATAATGTAATCTAAGGTGCGATTAGTAGAAGTACATTGATGGTATTCCCTTATTATAACATTATTAATCAGTTTCGTCGATTTAAACGTTAACCAGCTTCTAGATTTGGTGATATCAATTTTTACTATTATTACGATGGTTAAAATTGCTCTTTCAATTCAACAGATGTATGGATATACTAAATTATTTCAGTAAGAGTTAGTTTAGTATACGTAAAATAGTGAACAGCCCAATTTTAGTACACTTTTGGTGAAAGAGAGTGGGTGCTTTCTAATTGCTCTATACTAATCAGTAATTTGCATTAAGTGCGGTGGAAGCACAGTTTTAAAACTAAGTAACTGTAGTCTAATGGAAAGTAGCACTAAAATAGTTGAAATTGATTAAATAGTTATCATCAATCTTAATTGAACAATCGCTATCTAATGTAATCATCTCAAACTAAGTAGTTCTCTTCATATGAAATGATTCGCACTTAGCTTACTTCAATCGAAATTACGCTATTTTTTGTTTCTAATATTATTGGCAATTGTGTAAAGGGGAACGAAGACTGTCATGATAATTTATCGCCAGAAGATCCTTTAAAACATTCCGATTCTAATCTGTAAGTTTCTTTTTATACATATAAGCACATACGATGTATAATGTATTACTCTACCCAAAACTAATCAATTCATACAATATATGATATGTTACTGTAGGATTCTTTGATATTTTAGTAGCAAGGCTGAGTATTGAATCATCATAGTTGCTCATCAAATAAGTAACTGTTTTGCTACAATACTGCAGATCGGAAATAATTTATGTCGGTAATTGAATACACACCACGCATCCATAAATTTTTGGTGGTTATATGCCTATACAGTAGCGAATCGGTATAGTCTAATAATCTATGTGCGTGTAATCGATCTTTGCACACTTCTTGATTAAATACTTTAGATCTGACGAGCTAGAAGTCGATCAAAACAGCTTCAGGTAAACGGAATGTGTCGAATCTGCTATCAGCTTTAAGTCTTCTTACATATGATCTCTTCGTTCTTCTTTTTAAGAATCTTTATTTAAATCGTCAGACTATCTTTTCGAGAACTTCGTTTATTTTTATACAAATATGTATATTTATATACGAACATTGATTAACATTTTCAATATTTCTAAATTATCAGTAATCTTTTTAAGCATCCTTACATAAGGAAGCAGTGGCGGTCGATCGCTTTAGCGGGCGTATTGCTATTGGCTGGATTTAGTAAGTCACCTTATCACCTACGTAAAGATCATATAATATATTCATAAAAGCGAAAGTGCGAACTATTCTTCGACTTAGCTATGAAAATCATAATAGTTGATTGTATGGTATCACACTACTCATATGATTACTATGGCAATAACGTACGAATACTTTAGTTATTACACATTAATGATAAAGACCTGTGTTACAGTGTAAGTTCAACACAGTTAGTACGGTAATCTGTTTAGATTTATTTTTTTAACATTTTAAGCGTGCTTATGTTACTTGTAGGTTTCTTGATGACCGGAGTTATATTAATAATCAATCACAGTAGTGGTGAGCAAACACTACGTTATCTATTATACCATAAAAGAGATTAATTGAAATTGTTTTGAATCTAGTTTTTATTTATTTACTTGAGCAGACACTAAAAGCCTGGTTTTCTTCCTATGTTCGGCCTTATGCTTATTGCCTAGCGGTAAGATAATAATCTATGCTTTTAAACTTTAATGACAGATTTATGAACATAATTTCGCTCTTTTCTTGCAGTTTATCAAATAGGAATCACTTTTTCTGCCATAAGGCAAAGGAAAGATTATAATTTACAGACTTATTCATTAGATTAGCATATTAATTTGCCCTCTTACTTCGAAGTTAGTTTAGCTATGCAAAATTACTGTATACGAACAGACACAAGAATATGTAAACTCGATTAAATGCTATGTTCTTGGAAGATTCATTTTATTTCCTATAATATGTATTAGGATATGAAGATCATTAAAAGATAGCTAAATGTTAAATAAGTAATTTTAGATTGTATCAGGCGTCTGAGTTTAAGTCTCCACGTTCTTTAGTTAGATATGGTAATCGAATCAAGAAATATTAATGCAAAGTTATTTCAACGATACCTCAACGATATCGAAATATCTAAATTTTCCTTCTTTAATATTAATTAGAATAACGGCAATCTTGTTATAAGTTAAACCTTCAGCGTGTTACGTATAATTATTGTAATTTTATAACTCCAGATCAAAAGTTGAACATAGATTATATAGCGTCATGTGTGTAATAATGCATAAATTTTCTCAATCTCATAAAATGAATACGATAAATGTACCTGTATATAGTCAATAAATTTTAATGTTTACAGCTTAAATACTGAAGCAAAGAATTCACATATCGATGCGAATACAATTTAAATAAATAGTAAGACTAGCGTTTGATTTTATAGAATTGCATATACGTCACGTTAAAGTTATTAATAGAGCAAATCCTAGTTGCGTAAGTATTTTATTAATTGATATTTTCAAAAACGAGCCCCAAAAATTACATTAACAACTTAACGTGAATGGTGTAGTTTTCGGCGTGTACGTATATTTTTATGAGGGCTTTATAATAGTATCCGAGAGGAAATTGGAACTCCGTATCAAATACTTAGGTATCAACTGCAGATGTTTTTCATGATATGCTACATTCTCTTGCAAATTAATGACAAGCTTACAATTAACTACCCATTGCTTATATGTTACCTAAAATATACTTTCAGAATAATCAAATATATTAGCTATAACGTTGTATTCTAAATTGAAAAAATTTTTATGTTTCCTATAATTTCTTAGCTGACTTTATAGGAAGCATTTTTACCGTATACAGCGTAATAATTTTAAATTTGCGAAGGTATACATATCTGACCATTAACAATTTTCTAAAATTTTATTATTAATTTTTTATTTTGATCTTTATAAATATGTAAGGGGGCAATAAAGATGAAAGTGTTTTATCAGCTTTAGTTTACGCTATGAGTAGAAAGACTGCCATCCATTAAATCAAACAGCTTCAACTGATAATTTCACTACGTCTGAAAAAGTAACAAATTTAATACTTGACAAAGTAAATAATGATAAGATGGCTGATTTAATGTTATGTACATCATCTCATTGGATGTAAAGTTGATCCTTCTCGGATTACTGATTATCTTGATTATCGATTTCATTACAGACTTGTTCGTATAGTTGCCTAGCATTGTCATTCCTAGTTGCAGCTTTGCCATACCATTCCTTTGCTTTTCTGATGTCCTTATTTACACCGATGCCATTATAGTACATATTGGCCAGATTAACCTAATTTCAATAATGAATTACTTAGTAAACATTTGTTAGAGTTGATATCAAGCACTATATTATTCATCTATTTGTAAAAATATTACATGGCCTATAGCCTTAACTGTTAAATCTTTATGCACTTTCATATACGAATTCTATATTTAAACAATATTCCTTGAATTCATATAGAACAATAAATTTACGAGAAGCTGTATTACGTCAATATATCACTATCACGTTCAGTGCAAAAGTGCAAAAGTGTTAAGTGCCTAACACCTGTGCATATGGAAAGCCCTGCTCTGCTGCTGCAGTAAAATATTCGGCAGCCATTTTGAAGTCTGCTGTGACACCATTTCCAGAAAAATAGTGAGTTCCAACATTATATAGTGCCATGACGTTTCCTAAGACAGAATATATTAAAGAATTGTATCACAAGGATATAGCACATTAGAGTAGTACTAGAGTATCCAAATTGGTTAAAGATTCGGATCCGAAGTAACATTACAGTTATTAGCAAGTACCTTGTGAAGCTGCAATTTCATAGTGTTTGAATGCATGTTCGTGAGATTGATCTACTCCTAATCCATGTGAATAACAATAAGCTAATGATATGTGGGCATCAACATCATGTCTCTGCGCTGCTTCCTTATAATAACTGATAGATTTCGGTAGATCCTGATCTACACCCAGGCCCTGTCGGTATATGTGACCTTTTCCGTTCAATACAGGTAACGATCAGATCAAGAGTAAAATTTTGAAATTATATGACAATGGTATAGTAGATTTCGAAACTGAAAATAGAGTAAATAGTTGTTCACATCAGTTATGAATGAAGGTATTATATGCTTACCGAGCATTGTGCCTGCTGCTGCGATTCCATTCATTTTACTAGTCTAAAGGTAATTCTAGAATTTAATGATAATATACGTATAGCCTTGTATGTACAAATTAAGCATCAAATTTAGTTTTTTTCCATACATTATATAAATCATGAGCAATGTCATAGTCTTGCTTTACACCGTTACCCTTGAGATACATTCCTGCAAGCGCATACTAAATGATAAAAACGTAATATTGATGTATTAATTAGCGTCCAAGAATCAACCTTGAAGTGCGTTGTGATCTATAGTTTGAGGTACTGTTTCCAAGGAAGTTTTACTGCATGTAATTACCGGATATACGAGCTGTACTGATCTATAGTATATAGACTAATTGTGCCAGGTAATGGCATTAATTTAATGTAAATCAGATTCAGAAATCCTATTTTGGTTGGGATGATAAATATTTAGAGATGTTTGAGTTACACCATAGAATCTAGATTTAAAGATAAAAACCTGTGCATATGGATGACCCTTTGAAGATAGTTCAGTCATCATTGCAGCTGCTTCTGGTAAATCTGCAGCAATACCTTGTCCTTCAACATAAAATAAGGTAAAACAATGCGTACAGTGTTGAAATAAAATAGTTCGAAGTGTCTAACATATATAAATTACCTGTTCTCAATAACTGAGCATAGCTATATTTCGCTTGAATGTTACCCCTCATTGCAGCTGATCGAAGGAGTTGAGCAGCAACCTTGATAGACTCTTCTCCGACTGAAATAGAAAGCTCTTATGTCGAGAAATATTGTTAAAATTCGAATTTTGATACTAATATTAACCTTCAGTTTCTGTTTCGTAGGTTAAAATTGCAAGCTCTACCAACTCTTCCGGACTGACTGTATACAATGCATGCGACGTATCGGTTAATTGCTACGATATTGTGAATTTTGAAGCTTCGTAAGAAACTGGTAAATCCAGTTTTACAATGAACTTATACGCGGATATCCTACCTTTTATGGCGTCCTGGTCAAGGTAAGTTGCACCAATCTCACCATCAGCTACTGAGAATGCAATCTCTAAAATACTTAATTGCTTTTTTATTAATTCTTCGTCTCGTTTTTCTTTCTTCCGTAAATTTTTCTTAACAAGTCTTGCGATATCTACCTGTTCCACTATGAAAGTAGTGACGTTAACGTTACTAGAATGTTTGGTAGAAGAAATGCTTCATGCCGCGTAGATCAAATCTCTGCAATAAGCCAATCCCTTAACTAAGCTAATCGGATTACCCGTACCAATATTAACCATTAAATGTAAACTATTGCGTGAAAGTCTGCTAAAGCAACCAACTAGAATTAATTTTGGTAAACGTGTGTTCGTTTAAGTACGTTTATGCAACAATATCCTATGTGCGGTAGGGTGCCCACTGCACAGCTACTACTATATTACAAGAGGATACAGTATTCGTACTGCATATGATCCCTGACCTGAGAGAAATTTCTTCCGTTTTGAATCAGGTGAAGATTGTTGATCAGAATATAGTCTGGATAGGACTTGTACATTGCTGCATCTTATCTGTATTGCATCTTTCATAGACGTTACTAGTGTGAAAGAGTTACAAGCATAATAAGAATATAAATATTTTGATCGACGAATCCAACCGGACGACAACACATTACGATCGATCTGCATAGCACTATACTGCCTGCAATGAGTCAAAGCAAAGTTTGTTAGGCACCGTCTGCCAACCGGAGAAAAGTAACAACGAAGCATTATCGCCATTCCTCTATACAGTATATTAGGGTAAAAAGTTTTTGCAATGGTGCAATCCCTACTCGGTACACATTCGAGTGCCTTACTCACACAATGAGATTTATTAATAACGATTGTAGTATTTTGTTACGTTATTTTTAATTACTGTACTACTATCGTTATCCTGGAGACTGGAGCCTTGTGTCAGACTGTACAGTGTACAGTATGCAATAATGTACTAGCAGTAGAGTACCACTCAGCGTACAGTTCTGAACACCGAACAATAATAATACGCATGTTGCTCTTTGCACTGCTGCCACTTTTCTTTCATTATCCCTGTTGCACTGAGCTATGGAGCTATTAGTTATTTCATACATTAGTTTGGTCTTTAGACTTCTAGATCTAGAAGTCCATGGTTCGCTATTACTGTACAATGTACATTGTATAGTGCATATATATGACATGCTGTACGCTGTACAGTATATAATAACATATGCGCGTAGCAAATAAAATACGAGTACTGTACACATGCAAACGAACCTACTGTACTTACTCAAGTTATTAGCGATCAATACTTTTATAATTTACTTTACTCCTTAGTATTGTTGTGTATTACTATCTAGAGCTGATACTAACAACCGTATTGAAGGTTCGTATTATTCTCAATTAGCATGGAGACAAGAAATTGAACGCGTAGTTAAAGTTATTGTAAAACTAACTACTAGCTCCTACTCTCTTTATTGTATTAAAAAAAACGGCGGCTTATATACGTGACCGTTTACATTTACAACGCAATATAATTGCAAGTTTGTTTAATACTTAATTCATTAGTGTGGGCAGTACAATCTACAATTAACACGTAGAATTAACAAGTGTAGAAAAACAAATTTTTAGAATACTATAAATAATAAAATATAATCATCACGATTATTATTATGTAACCTGTGACAATAGCAAATTTGTAACATACTAAATTAAGGTAATGTCGAATTAACGCAAACACACAATAGCAATCTTAAATGTACCATAACCGATTAATCCTGTATATAGTAATCCATCGTATTAAACGTACAATTCAATAAATATAGCGTAGTATACAATAGGTATCATTACAGACTGAGATACCGTATCTATGGATATTAGGCTAAGGGCTTTAAGATGAACGATGCATCACACCCTTAAGGGTATTTTTAAATACTTACAATGGAGAAACAGCATCTACTCGTATTTTCTTGTATGTAAGCTGTCATATGCTGTAGAATACTTGTAAATCTCATGATGGCAATCAAGCCTTGTTAAAGAGTCAATGGACATAAAAATTTATGTTCGACTTTATTCTTGCAAAGTAGCTCACTTTTCAAACTTACGAGGTAAATACTGAACATGTACACAGTATATAAGCAGTGTTTACTGTATTACTGTATACATTACACACGTAGTACTGTACAAGCATGACAGGTGGTAACATAAAGGCACAATATATAAAATATTATCAGCTATGTTTCTTCTTTTAATTCTTTTAAATTACAAATCGCGTAACTATTAAGGAATACGTATGAGTACATAATAAATCTAAAATCTAAAATCCAATTCCCCTTATTAATAAAATTGTTTATTAATACATATTTACTAGAAGTACTAAGATTAATTAGAGCGTCATTTAGAGGTAAAATTGAAATTTAGATCTTGCCAAAAAATTTTCGGTTCCTCCTCCTAATCAATAAGAAATAATTCCCGCAGGGGAGAAGGAAAAGGAATACAGTTACGGTATTGCTACTCTTGAAGAGAATTAGATAGTTTTGTAAAATATAGTCAAACGCCTCATATGATAAACAGTAGAAACATCGCTTGAATAAGAAAATGTACATGACATATCAAATATAAAGTTAACATATCAGAAGTTCCCGGATGTGAAGCTCTAGCGTTGTCAGAATTTAGTTAAATGTAATTTAACAAGTAAAATGGAAAATTCGCACTAAAGATATATTAAAATCTCATAATTTAAACGAATTTAAAGAATCGGAAGAAAGTATCAATTACTATTAGAACTTTATTTATACAATACAGAATAAAAAATGAACATAGATAGTCCGGTAATCGACGAATGATTAACTTAACGTTCTAAGGATACTGGTTCCAGTGATGGTCTTATCGTTTGATCGAAAGTTTCACTAAGGATAAATCTCAAAGCGGCTTTAAATGTGACAACACTGTAACTATATAAAAAGCAAGAAAGAGTAGAGTTTATCCTTATAGAACGACAACTCTTCCCTAAGAAACGTATATTTCTCATACTTATTTTCAGAATTTGGAAATTCTGTCCAATGAAAAGTTTCAATGAACTTTATATGACTTGGTAGACTCTCTATAATAAATTGAATAGTACAATAAAATATACGTTTTTTTTTAATTAATATAAAGATAAGGTGAAAGTATCCAATCTTACCATACGAGGAGCGGATAATCACGACAACCTAGATATCAAGATAAAAAGAATAAGGGAAATTCTGGCAGTAAGAATTACAAGTAACTCTTTGTTTTACGCAAATACCAATAGCGAAATAAGTTCATCTGATGTTACTGTTACTCCTTCCTTATGTTGCCCTTCGCGAAAGACTAATAATAATAAAAATTGTGAGTCCATTAAAAAAATAAAATTTTAAGAGCTACAAAGTAATTATATGTAAATCAGATGATATCTGATACCGAAATTTTAAAACATGTAACTAGATTACAGCATCAGCTGATATCACTACTTCTTACCAAGTAATCCGTCATCCTTTACACGACGATGTGCATTTACGTCAGCTATAACTGTATCCTAATTATAACAAGTTTACTAAGATTTATTTTATTCTTAGTATCTTAGTTCAGCTCATATATAAGCTATGCCCGTCTACGAAACTCTTACAATAATTTTCTTTAAGCAGCCAGACTTTTGTAAGGGAGTACTGCAGGTATCCAGATGTCTTATGGCCTTGATCTGGAAACATTTTAACAGTGTTGACATTATTAATTTTCATTTACTAACACATGTTAAAATATCAGCTAATACGGAGGTAGCATACCGCTGAGTTAAGTGGGCAACAGAATTTAGGATCTAGTCTCAAAGCTTTGCCATCAATATTCGGGTTGCCTTCACATTTTTTAATTACTTGGGCACATTCATTTTTGCAAGCCTTACTGACAACTTTAAATAGTTGGTCGTGCACTTGATTTAAAATGTAGCTGAGAAATTCAGAATTAAACTATTAGATTTCCTAATCATAAATAACTACGATATTGCTAATACAAGTATTTATTGTTCTACACATTAAAGTTTAATAACTTTTAAGTTTATAATAAATAACCTTTCAAGTGATATCCTAAGTTTATCATTTAATCTTCTATCTATAGCTAGTTGATGATTTCTTTCAAGAATTTGCTGACATAGTGAGACAAAGGAAGAAGCTGTTATTACTTGCATATATTTACTTTCTCCCTAAATGCAATCAGTTTGCTAAACCTTTTCGCAATTTTCAGCTAGAGATCTCAATTTTTTGGCCGCATGGTCCAAGTAGCCAACAACCACTACATAGCTTGTAAGAAATGTATAAATACCTTTATCAAGCTCCAGCATTGCCTATGGAATAAAACGTATATTATTGCCTATTTTTCGTAGAAAAATAATTAAAGAGTACTTTATTTTACCTCTTTATGCTCAGAAAATTCGAATAAAAAATCATAGCATCTACAAATCGACAGACATAAGTGAAATGCTTTAGTAAGGCTAGTAGATAGATAGAATAATTTATTTTGACTAACTCTTTCAGCGTTTCAACAGGCTTTAATTTATCTAATATTGAATCTTGATCACCATTGCTTGAAGATATCTACAGTATAATTAAACAATTAAATCAAAAATGCGTTTTCGCATTGCTAATGTGCGTAAAGGATTTCATTAATACAGCTTTTTTGAATAGATTATTTACTCTCTTAATACTTGTACTACCTTAAAGTTCGGATCAAGTGGCTGTTCGATCAGCAGGAATCGATATTGCTCAAATTTCTACGGTACAGTAATATTCAATGATAAAATAATCAGAGATATGCATTTACAGACTACCAGCAAGAACTAATAAAATTTGAAAATACTTGAAGAGAACGATTCGGTAATTTTACCTTATTGTACCCTAGTTCTTCACCAATAATCTGTGTCTCGAAACCTTTCTGAAAACCAGATATAACCTGGATCGTGTTTAATTTTATATTAAATATAATCTTGTTAGATCCGTCCGTAGCATAATATTGCCTATCGTATTAAATTGAAAAAGAATTAAAAAATACGCTGAATCTCGGATAAGTTAATAGTATTTGTTATACGTAAATCTACGTAAACCAAGTAGAATCTTTAATGCTCTATTTATACTTACCCTTGCACGTAAGGAGAGGGTTTTAAAATATGTAGATCTATAATTGTAAAATAGTAGAATTTTTACTGTGGTAAACATAGTATAGAAACTTTCGAGTAATCATATCGTATAAAATATTTCGTAATGAAATAAAGCTAGGCTATTCCATATACAGTAAGTAAGGTACATTCGAGACCCGATTTTTATAGAAAAATTTTGAAATACTCGTATACATGTATAGATAGCGCTAAGTATCTGTTGAAGATTAAGGTGAACATATTGTTTTAGGCTATATTTAATGCTATTTTTACAACGTATAGTATAACACTACTGAACTAGTACTATAATATATAATTGGTATAATTAACGGATATAATCTTTCAATACATCGATTACACAATATACTACAAAATATCATAGCGTATGACAGGGGAAGATGCACTGGAAACCAGCTATGTCAACTGCTATTGATATATTTTACGCTTAATTTATAAGTTTACTTAGAAAAGAATGAATAGTTATCTAATTTTTGTATAAGTAAGTTGTGATTATTTTCGACGTACAAAATTTATATACTAGGTCCACGGTGACATTACATTTAGTATTGGCTACAATGCTCAGCTAGTAACAGTATAGTAAGTAGGATCAACTGGTTTTAATAATTAAGAAGAAATAATATTAAATAAACAAAAATATTGCTTAACCTGGGTACAGTAGTTATATCTCGTCAAATGGTGAACGTTTGCATTTACAGTACTATACATAACACTATAATCTATTTATAAGGTATATCTCACCAACAAATGCTTTGCTAAACTTCGTAGTTTGGCCGAGTGAATTGCTACAAGGTATACATATGGTGAAACACTTTTCTTGAGCTGCAGATAGTTGATTGAAGAATTGATTCTGTATTAAGACGGGAATGCAGTAAGACGTGACTTAAATTATGCAATCATTAGTATCATATCATTGTCCGAGAGTACTCTCTCATTCCGCTAACATTATACAGCAGTATGCACTTATGAGGGATAGTAACAGTACAGTAAAGCATCACCAGTGCATTGTACTTTTAGATGTACCTGACTTTACATTGGTAAAATGTCCCATAGGCCATAAAATGCTGTAATCTACTGCATCTCACTATACTGCACTCGTTTCAAGTTGAACTTATGCATACGTTATTTTATATTTACGTGGCGTAAAATGTACTATACTGTATTCATTCCTAAACATTCTGCATAATCCTGTAATCGTAGATCTACTGTGTTTCACTTGTTTTTTACTTTTTTATAGCAATGTCGCCTTCCGTAGTAAACTTGATCAAAACTCCATCAGTCTGCCTTAAGTAGGCTCATAATACGGTAGAAGCCTATTTGAAACCTTCAGAATTACTGCATAAATTGATCCATAGCAAGTTAGGGATCAATAACGATTGCAAGTTAGAAATAATCAATAACCTCGGTTTCATCTATGACGCAAGTCCTCTATGCTGTACGGAAATATTATACTGTATTTTGCCTTTAAGCCAAAAGGGTTCTCAATACCGGCCGTACAGTACAAGACAAGTACTGTACAACAGACTGTAATATCACCTAGTATAATATGTTATTCGTTGATCTTATAGATATATTGCACCTGTAGCGCCTGATAAAACGGATTAAATTCTAGATCTTCGCTCGCCATGTTAAGTATTCTGTCATCTTCTTAATAATTTTTAGTTCCTCTAGTTGGGTTCGATTCGAAACCAACGAAGCTATAGTACTGTACTGTATACGGTAGAGTACAGTACGGTACTGTACGCAAGCAGGGATTTCTTGAGAACTCCTACAGTATGGAATCACTAAAACGGAGCCTACAGTACAGTACAGTAAGACTTTTCTTTACAGTATTGTACTGTACTGAACTGTACTGTACTGTACTGTACAGTACTGTACAGCAGCAGAATTGTGCTCGCTCAAGTACGGTACAGTACAGTACAGTACGTTCAAGCGCTTATCGATTCTCGAATCTAACTAAAACTCGCCATGCAATTTTTGTGATATACGAGTACTAAGATCTAAGTGTAGATTTGGTAAAATGGCTAGGCAGATTGGTATGGTATTTTTGCGTCCGTCTAGATTGCGTATAGGTTTTCTTTTACTGAAGCCTAACATCCTCTTCAGTCAAGAAATTCGACTAGTTAATACAAGTACTAATGGCCAAAGCATGATCAGTAAATACATGGACAGAGCTCGCAATGTTTTCAATGAGCCTTTCGTTAAAATATCATTGATGGCTCTAGCTGCGGTTATGTCAGCTACAGCTCTATATGAATATTTATATCATGGCCCAGCTAAAAAGAAGAATAAGTTAGGAATTCAAATTTTACCAGCTTCACCAAATCATTTCTGTATCGAGGTATTTGCGTAAAAGTTTATAAACTGCTTTAGCAAATTTATCTGCGAGTACAGTACAGTATTCGCAAATGATACGTTGTATACGCAAGAAATAATAGACATGTCTTTCCTAAATTCCATATCATGATTATGCTCATAATCAAGTTATACTGTTGATTCGCTGTTCGTTTGGCTCAGATATTGTATATTTATAAATTGAACTAGATGAGTAGCTGTATTGTTGATGTACAGTGCCCTTAGGCCCCCTTACAGTATACGAGTAGGAATGATGAAGTCCAAGTAGTGATTGCCCCGAGACATTCATACGCATTTTGTCTCTTTCACCTTTCTGATCTCCGACAACAATTTGTAGAACTTAGTAATTAAAAAATGCTATCTACCAATCCTGAAAAATCGTCAAAGCTGCAAATAATGCTAAAATTCTATACTATACGGTACATTGTAAAGAGCATCCCTGTTGCTTCTCATATTACCGTACGAGTATTAGCAGTGTAAGATTGAAAACTACAGTATATAAGCACCCGTATACAGTAAGCTACGTGCATCTTCTCAGGTAAATACGCTTTTACAGGAATTGGAGCATTTCTGTTTAAGAATGGAGGGTTCATATATGCATTTAAAAATTTCGTATAAAACTAGTTGTGGTTTAAATTTCGTATACTTATGTTCTTATGATTAGCAGATATGCCTAGAATTTGCATGCATACATCAGTAACGTAAATCTATTATTATATTATTTGTCCAATCATTTAGAGAAACGAATATATTTCACACTTGGAAAGCGAGTGTGGAAGTCTTCTTCGCTCGCTCTTCTTTAAGGATATAAAAACGATATTTCTAACTGGCCTAACAGCAAGTGGGAAAAGTCAGATTGCTAGATTCTATGCTGAGAAGTATTCTAAGAAATTTAGGTTTCCAGTAATAAAGCCTCCGGTTATTGGTAAATATGACATGACTATGATTCAATTTAAATCAAAGTATCTCAATAAGTTTCTATCGAAACATGGTCTGATGTAATAAAAATTGCATTTAAATTTATGTCTGTAATATTACTCTACTATATTCTAGCAACTCTTTCTGGTAATAGTATAGAAGATTACTTATCATCAATAAGATCATTAGCAATTGAATTGGGATCTACGCCCTCAGAATGGTCACGAGAATCTGACAATGGTATTTTATTCTCAAACCTTCCCGTTCCGCGTCAAATAGAAATTCTTGTGGAAGAAGTTTCTCAGAAGTTAAAAATGGCTGGTAGATGGTTATTAATTATTGATGATCTAAAGTCTGATTGTGGTATAAAGCAAGCGTGGTGGCCACAACCCGACCAAGATAATATTTGGGGTAAAGGTTGCGTTTTAATAACATGTGAAGAAGCATTAACGCCTAAGGTTATCGAACAGACTTACAAAGCATCAAGAATTCTGAATGTAGACAAAAAGTAGGAATTATGTTGTTTGAATTATTTAGCCTTGTAGTGATACACAAAAAAATACAGCTTTTTGATTTTTGGCGTACATTTCGTTCTCATGTGAATTGTTATATTTTAGGTTAACGGAGTCGGAGGCACTGTCCTTATTACATCAAATGAATGAAGATAAAGTTTCTGCCAACGCGGCTACGTTAGTGAATGAATTGCTGTATTCGCCTTTAGCTATATCTCTTGCTGCCAGTTACATAAAATCCAAAAATGAAAACACAGCACAAGATAGTATATATGACTGCAGCAATTTTATTGAGGAATTTAAAGCGATAAAATCCGATATTTTACGACACTGGAACAGTGATCGGCTCGAAAATAACGCATCTTTTACTGATAAAATTGTTGCTAGTATGTGCCTTCAGCAATATGGTAAAGCTGATTCACAGATGCACTCCACATTTGATATTTTGGGTGCGCTAGAACCTAGAAGACCCATTCCAATGGCTATGGTAGAAACTTTCATAAGAGACAATGAAGTTCTGAACTTTAGGCTTAAGTCACGTACAACTAAATTAGATACCACTAATAGTGACCTTAAGTCATTAGAAGTTACCCCACCAGGAGAACAAATATCGAGTATTGAAAATATAGATAATTCAGAAAATGAAGACTCAGACGACTCTGGTGTAATTCGTACTTTCATTACTAAAGGGAAGGAAATTTATCGTACTTATTTCTCAAATCCATCTTCAAATAACGGAGATAAGAACCCAAAAGAGATTCAAGATGACAGTAGTCCTATTTATCGGTGTCCTTTACTCTCATGTAACTTAAATGGCGACATTAAAACGGTATCTATTCATCCTGTAATACACTCTGTTATGCAAAAATGGTATTTTCTAATGACTATACCAATAATGGAAAAACTATATGTATCTGAACAAAGAGTTGAAAGTAAAAGTTCGTGGTTTGGCCAAATTAAAAAATTTGATGAAACTGCGTGCCTAGAAGGGTATCGTGGAAGATTATGCGATCAATTCAATTTAAAATTAGAACCATCTAATTATGACGAACTTCGTAATGTGACTGATCAAACTAATTTAATACATAAATTAGTAACAGCATCGAACATGTTGCACACACCTTATAGCAAAGCACAACAGTATTCTCTGCTACGTCGTATCGGTAAATCTGCTATAACTGTCACGAAAAATCGCCGTTCGGAAATTGTATATCGTAAATCATGTAAGTTACTTCTTCCACATTTCGCTTATCTGATGAGACATCTACAGGTGGTCGATTTAAAGAATTTCTCAGAATTGTTAGATATAGTAGCTATGATTCATTCAGATGTATTAAGTGAGGACTTACGCAGCGTTGAAATGTTTAAAAATTCATTACTTATAAAAAGGAAAATACATGGAGATAAACATTACGAAACTGCTCACACTTTAACTCTTTTAGGAATAGTTCTGAATTCCCTTAATAGATTGGATGATAGCAAAACAACTTTGGAAGAAGCTTTATCAATCTACAATTCGTTACCCACCAAAAAGATGCCGGACCCACAACATGTCCGAAACCTTGCTACTACTCTATCTACGCTAGGTGTCGTTTGTAGCAATTTAGGAGAACATAAGCGCAGTCGTGACTTACTAGAACGTGCTCTATCCTTAATGCAATCCATTCAACCCCAGAATGCACTCGGTTTGGCAAACGACGAAATATTTAATCATGCCGCTGATGTAGCGACAATGTTAACAGATATTGGCCATTCATACTTACTTAATGGTGAAACAAGCTATGGCCATCGACTGTTGCAATTTGCACTAAATATTCATCAAAATATCCATGGCGAAGAACATTATGAAGTAGTTCGAACCTTAACGGTCCTAAGTATAGCTCAAATGATCCAAGGGTTTCATGAAGATAGCAGAAAATCTCGTGATCGTGCAGGGGCTATTCGAGGATCTTTGAATGCTAACGTTTTAGTCTAAGAACAAGTTTGTTATCGCATCGATGTTCCTCTTACTATGACAGCTTTTAATAATTTTTGCTATTGTTTATCGAATTATCATATCGTTGTTATACTGTAACAGCTAAAATAATAACACTTTAAAAAGTAAACCACATATCGATCGGTATATTGCCACATAATATAATACGTTCTCAGTTTTATCTTACCTTTCGGATCTGTATGCATGTTTTCATAACAGCGCTTCATAATGTCTAGAATGTACTATTAAATTTTATCTCTACTGCTCGTAAGAGACAGTTTTGATTTAAAATAATGAAAATTATTTTAATAACATGGGCTATATCTTGATTTGGCTGCAAGAGAATAAAAGTTTTATTTATACAAAATATGGTAATAGCCCAAAGTGTTGATGTTGTAAAATATTTCATTATTTGATCAATCAGAATCTTTAGTATAATTAGCTATTAAGCGACTTATTATCAGCTCTATTTGTACATATGTTTTAGTAGCTATGGTAATATTTTGTTTAACAATTAACAAAGCATTGTACTGTATACATTGTAAGTTACATTAACTTTACTGTGGCATAATTGAGCTTGATGAAGTGTGTTACATTTACAATGTACATGTACAGACCAGACTAAGGACATATCTACTTATCCAATGATGATTAAATAAGCCGTTATATCCCAGCATAATTTTCATTTATTTACCATTCAAAGTAAATATCTAAATTTTCTTGAGTATGAGTATATTGTATGCATTTTATAAATTTGCAACCTAACAACACGCTAAAATCTCTTACTTACTATTTTGTCTATACAGTCTAGGGTCGTTTAAAATTAGCTAAAGTCATGTTTTTAATTTATTGCGTCGATATTCTAATATTCAGAGCATTAGACATTATACCCGCGAAGTCTGTATCTTGTGTACTAATGTCGTCAGAAGGATAAAATAGTAAGTTAAAAGCGTGACTTTAGCCAGTTGTAAACGGCAGCGCTGTACGCAGGTATTCGTTTATCTGATGGTAGTAGATTACGATTGTAGTGATCAGCGCTATGTTCATATAACTCCCAGAAATCCTATGAATCGTTTCTAATTATAGAAATCTGTAGCCTGTAGCTACCTTGTTTAGGTAAAAATTGTATATTTTTGACTTTGACATTATGCTAATTTTATTATATCCTATTACAGTATTTGACGGATAAAAAATCTACCAATATTCTTACTTACTACAGTACAGTATAATGACTTTAAAAACAAATGTATAGCGTCAAAGTTCGGAGTGGCATGTAACTCCGATGCAATGCACTACCGCATAGTAAGACAAAGCTAACAATCTCTATTTTGCTCCTTGTTGTTTAATCCTACACAGACTTAATATTTGTAAACTTACATGTGTGATACGAAATGATATTATAATTTATTCATTACACAGTAAACATTTACATATTAGGAAGAAATAAAATTTTAACGCTAATCTAAACTCAATAACAGTTTATAGTGACATTAATGTAACAATTCTGTGGTAGAGCTAAAAAACAGTAGCAACTATTATTGTACAATAATACAGATTTACGTACAACGATTCAAGCAAAAATTTAAATATCCTGATATACAGGTATCCGGGTAACTACTATTTGTAACTATTAAAATTCAGCAAAAAAGTGCCGTGCAGAAGAACCGTTGCCCGTCTACAGTACGGACTACTTGTCTATGGGCACATAATTACTATACCGATAAAACATTGAACTAATACCCTAGTAAGGATTCATAAAATAAACCCATGTGAGGTATGGTAAGCATAACAAGCCGTCCAACATAAGCATCAAAGTACAAGGGAGAAAGGAAAAATTATCTAATTACAATTATACACATTGAATGGTATATATTCGAGTTTTACATTGTTCAAAAATCCACCAATTCATCTTTCACTATAAAACTGTAGGCTTCCATGGTGAGACTTTCTTTTAAACAACTTATGGTACAAAATAATTATCGCAAGTTGGTTACAACTGTTCGAATATAAATAAATACAAAACACGAAAAGCGTAATAGATAGCAAGAAAAATTTCCGTTTGTTTAATAAATACTACGGATTTGTACAATGCTGTACCTGCTTACTATATAATGACCTGTATAGCATAATCTCCCTACTGAACACTGCATCATTTACAAACTCATTTAAGAAACCGGCTGTCGATAGGGCAAACCTAAATTCATAAAATTTCATATTGTAACCTTCAACAATAAATTACTATATTTGTTGTCTTCCAGTGTACACCACAGTATTTGACATTATCAAATGGTGTTTTAATTAACTTTGGTATCAAGAAACCTCCACTAGCAGTTTGGATATCGTGTTATAACTTCATTGCCACTGAGGAACACTTTGTGCCAACCGACGCATTCGTCTATTAAAAGTTGTTATGCATATGAATATATTAAAATTTTTAACCTGAACGGTACTATACTACAACCGAATGAACGTTTTATCATGATACTGTTCACTGAGATTAATTATTAAGCTAATATATCCAAATGTACCGAGTATTCCTGTCCTGATCACGAATTTTCTTTTCCATCTCAGCATCTGTGAGTGTTTCCAATACCGGGGACCAGTGATCGACTTCAGTCACCGGACGAATAGCGTACTCTAGTTGAGGTAATTGAGTTTCGCTGAAGGCGTAAGTCTTCATGTGCCAAGCGATCTAATCCGATTGTTCACATAAAGTGAAGGAATTAATAGTCAAAATAATCTAAATTGTGACTATACTGCCATGTGCTACGCTGTATTAATCTTACCTGCCCCCGAATGCTATAGGCGATAGCGGTTACAAATTCTCCGCCCAATCCAAGGTCTTTACACAGATTTAATGCGAATTCTTCCGGCGTATTATCAGAGTTCGATATGTCCCATTCGAACTGGTCCACCAAAGATACATTTCCAATGTTGATATTTAACTGTAATACACGTATTTATTCGTGATCAGCAGGAATAAGTATGTACAGTATATCGGCTTGTAACCTTACAAACAAGATCCTTGATAACCGTATACTAGTAAGTATTACATTATAAATAATTATTAATAGAATATGCATACTTTGATAACTACTCTTTGATCTGTTGCATAATCTTCCAGAGGAAGATTTGAATTTTGTTCTAATTGGTTTTTAATCGAGGTGGCAATGGCAGGAACAAAGGCAGGTGAAGGTAGCTCCAGGTCATCACATAAAACTTCGGCGAATTGCTCCGGTTGAATAAGTTTTTCTTCAATGGTAGCAAAAGAATGAAATTAAGAAATCGCTTTACCTAAAAGTTAGCTTTAACGAGTTACCATTTTTATTCCAAACAAAGAAATCTCGCAGTCGCTGCCCTTCAACATCTAGATCTATCCTAACTGGTACCAGATCTTCAGAGTCATTAGCAGCTTCGAATAAAGACGATGGGAAGTAATCGGTATACCTATTAAAGAGAAATAGGAATTCTATACAGATAAATATTTATTTATATACCAAATATAGTTAAAGATGGGTAATAATGATCTCCTATGTTGCGTCATAAGTCTAAGAATAATTAATTAATGAAGTCATTAATTTTCTCTACATCTAAAACAAACGATGCGTACAAGATTGGGAAGCTCTTGGTTTTCCTAGCAGTAGATCTGGGTCGAATAATAGGGGTCGATAAAGCTACAGCATCCAAATGTGAAGTTGCAGGTAGCTGAGGGGTCCAGGCTGTGGTAGAACTTCTACTTGAACGAGCTGGCTTCGGCGGAACAGAATTTACGGTCGAATTTGATTCTGTAGGTGACATTTTAAATTTTTCGTCGTTTCCCTCGAGGATATCTTCTACTTCTGTCTGTTTTATCAATGTTACATTAGTAGCAACCAAAGTGTGATCTAGTTCAAATATTAAACCAAAGAGAAATTTATCAGATCAAGAATTGTTAATCCATGTCGACAAATAGGTATCTCATGATACAAACTCCAAGATAGCTAATCATTAGGATTGCATTGTTCGGGTATCTATACTATTTTTACAGTTAAGTTAGTACTGTATAGTAATGTGTCAGAAAATCAAGACATATATTGCACTCAGGTAACTGAGTGCCGCTAACGTCGTGCAGAGTACAGGTAAATAGAACCTTATAAATTGCGTATTGAGCATAATATATTGCTATGATAATTATAATTGCTGTTGGGCACTAGGGATAATTTCAGTTAAATTATTCGTATACGATCTCATATGTATTGTACTTTGATCTAGTAATTTCATATTAGCAGCTATATTCAAATTATAACATTTATAGTATACTGTACATAAGCGTACAGCCAATAGCAATTAACAAAATGAGAAAACCAGTAAAATTATTGTTCAGCACGTCAACAGACTCACGTGTTTAAAATTTCTAGCAATGGGAATATTAGAACATTACAAGGGAATTTGAAAAACTGAAGTTACTAAACGGTTTATCATATGCAGCATGCAGTAAATACTGTATGTCTTGCAGCTGATACTGCAATTAGCAGACGTGCAGAGCTAGTTATTTACTTGTTGCATAATAAATAATGTTGTATAGAACGCTGTATATGACATTTCACGACATAAAATAAGTACTGCCACTTCGTATGCGCATGGTATGCGCAAGAATATTTTAATTACGCCGGTGGTACGATGAGTGACCAAACATGGCATCATTATTAATTAGGACCAGTCATGTACGGTAGTGTTTAGAATGTTGATGCTGACAAATTTCTGCTGAGTAAAGAATGATTAAGACCACTACAATTACTAACTAATTTCCGGAGGCGTACAGTAGCGGCGGAGTATAACATTTAAATAATAGTGAGTATTCATATAAAATAGTGCTATAAACTGTATAGTTATCACCTGAGTTTACAGTTAGCCTTTAAGAAATTAAGGTATTCAACATTTGTAATTAGCTACATCTAACATCCAACTCTCAGATCTTATTCAATCTCTTGACATAGGTAACTTCAGGTACAAGATAGATGCTATCTGTGATGGCGAATATAAGTAAAAATCTTATGAAAGGAAACCTATTCAACTGCTACAAATATCGACAAGCATCAAAGCATCATTGATTTCGAAAACTACTTACAAGTAATCAAGCATACGATTGTAAAATCTGTACTTTGCGCCTTTCTACTTTCAATTGTACAGTACTGTACTATACTATACTATACTATAAGTACTACACTGCACATCAAGAAAAATTATCTATCCCTACTTATTACCCTTACTTGGTGCTGGTTATATGATAACAAGAAACCTGCGCTCATAGGGCTGATTCCCACTCAGCAAAAGATAACTAGGAACATACAGTACTTCAGTGGCAATTAGGCCAATGAGCGCACATTTCCAGTTGGCATTTATCCAGCACCGTACTAAAGTCGCACCTTTTAAATTACAGTATACTGTAGTGTGCATCGATATCTATCAATAAAATGTCTAGCATGGGACCTTATTGTGTAAAGTGCTGGATTTGCTTTATTTATTGTAACATACTTCTGTTGCAGCTATCTCAGGTCTTCACTGTAAATGCTTACTATGTCATTGCCAATAACGGCTAGCACTATATTTAATGATAGTATGCAAGTATACAGCGAAACAAGTAAAATAATCATTTCTATCCAAAAAATACATATTTAAAACTTCGGCGTTTGTGACATGGTAGTCTATCTACTGTGCCATCGAGTTACATTTAATCTATTACTAATGACTACAGTATACCGTACATAAATATGTGTTGTCAGCAGTCCTTGAACGTAAACATCTACTGTATTCTAGTGTGGCATGCATACAGTACAGTACTCGTAGAGTAACAGCAATATTGCTAGAACTTACATCTTTAAATCAAAATTAATGCACGGATACCGTCACTTAATAGCTGTATTTGATTTACTGTTGTATCCTATACTTACAGTATCTTAAGATTAAGAGGATTGTAAAGTCGATGACAAAAAACTCAATTTACTGGACACACTTTAGCATCCCTATCTCACTAACACTGTACTGTACAATACTGTACAATGTACATTAAAGAGAACATAAGTACAGTGTACTGTATAGTATATATAAAGAAAGAATGCTACTACAGTTGGTAGTATCGTAGACTTTTAGATTTTTGGTAAAATCGAAAAGTCCGTGGTAGCATAAGCGAGTTTCCTAGTACAGTAATGGTAATGTTAGCTGTGCACAGTGCGAACAAAGAAACAAAGTGAACAGTGATTAGCAAGGGTCAAAATAGCGCGAAATACCGAAGCCAATCTTTTTCCTCTCTTCGAAAGTTGCTACGCGACGCCACAGTCCCGGATATTTCTTGTACAAAGAACCCCGAAATAATCGTAAATACGTTCCAACTTCCGAACCAATCATATAATATTCTCCATCATCAGTCAACTGGAATGCTCGTGGCTTGCTGCCATAGGTTTTTGGCAGAGCCATGTTTTATTCAGCTAGAAATGGAAACGAGCTATTACGCTACATTGCCTTACAGTATAATGCTTTACAGTACAGTACAGTACTGTACTGTAAAGTTTTAACTATACAGTACTGTACTGTACTGTACAGTACAGTACAGTACCGTACGATCCTTCTGGCTCTTTTCTGTACTGTACAGTACAGTACAGTGGCAGTTCTGTGTTGTACTGTACCCTGTACTGTACAGTACAGTACTTCACACTCATACTGTACAATAGCAGTTCTGTATTGTAGTACTGTACTGTATGACTGTAAATGTTGAACTCCGTTTGTTATACTGAAGAAGTGTTTCATTCTTGTACTGCGATTTCTCTACTACGTATCCTGAGTGATTGCGTGGAATGTTCTTTAATTAATTGATATACAGTACAGTATACTGTACTGTATTACCCGTACATCCACAATGTCAAGAAAGATTGCAGATGTTCCTCCTTTAATATATGGCTGATTTACGACCTTACATAACTGTTTCTAGGCAGAATTTTTTAGTAACAGACAATAAGATTCAATTACTTAATTTAGAATGAATCAGTCAGAATTGACCGCCTGCATTACGAAGTGTTTGGCACAATATTTTGACGAGATGTGACCGGAAATGTCTGTCCTTCCAAGGGAGATCAGTCCAGGTCTTCTTCTGGTAATGAGAATGGAGAGAGGTTTCAAAAAACTGAACTAATGTACTGTACTGTACAGTACATACTGTGGTACTGTCAGTGCTTGCCGTAGTACTGTGCCCTGTACACTGAGTGTACACTGTACACTGTACAGTATAGTAGATTTTTTGCAGTTCTTACAGATTCGTAAAGTGCAGTACTTTGTCATACTCACTCTACTATAAATTACTAAAGTTTCGGTACCATATCAGTACAGTATGTAACATGGACTACTAGAATTCCTCTTCATAGTCCATATGTAATACATGAATACTCGTATACTGTACTGTACAGTAGTAAAATTCAAAAATGAGATTGAAGGATATCTTTTTAAGAAGTAGCTAGTCGAACTAGAGACTACTCGACTCATTTCGAATTCACTCGGATCCACGCTCGTTATATTGTATTTTACGCACTGTATATACTTGCACTTTTTACTCTACAATGTAATCGTATAAAGAGATCATCGAAAACTTTCTGCCATGCACAATATTTTATTGTTCCAGATTAGAGCTAGTGTTTCCCGTGCAAGCTACTTTATAATTTCATCACACGAACAATCTAGGTACTGTACGGCATTATAACTCCAAAACCTGTAAACTGGTTGATTAGAATGGCTTCGAAAGATTCTACAACTGTATCCTTTACTTCCTTCGAATCTCCTAAAATGGTGGACTTGCCTTACCACTCTATATATGGTAATTGCCGAAATATAACCGAATTCGATAAATTAAACCGAATTGGTGAAGGTAGCTACGGAGTTGTCTATCGAGCTCGTGACTTAGATTCTAAAGAGATTGTGGCGATAAAAAAGATTCGAATGGAAAATGAGAGGGATGGAATTCCAGTTAGCAGTCTTAGAGAAATTACGCTCCTTGTCAACTTAAAGCATATCAACATTGTAAATTTAAAAGATGTTGTTGTGGGAAAACAATTAGATAGTATTTTTTTAGTTATGGAGTACTGCGAACAGGATCTGAGTAGTTTGTTGTACGATAACATGAAAGCTCCTTTCACTGAACCACAGGTTGGCTTATACTCGCTTTGATTGGTTTATTATTAATTCTTGATAATGAACTCTATTATCGATATGTTTTAGGTCAAATGCTTATCGCTACAATTAATTCATGGAGTACAATATCTGCATCATAATTTTGTCATACATAGAGATTTAAAGGTTTCAAATCTATTATTGACCGATAAAGGCATTCTTAAGGTTGCTGATTTTGGACTGGCCAGAAATTATGGTCTTCCTGCTGCTGTAAGTGTTAATATTTAACATTTGTTTTACTAGTGTTCAGAGAGATTTGTGATAATTTGATCTCTGCAAACAGATCCTACGATTCCGCATAATTTCTGTTAGCATTAACCAAATTAATTTCGTGCACGCGTTTTTATCATTTAGCCAATGACACCCACTATTGTATCTCTATGGTATCGTGCTCCTGAAGTATTGTTAGGGTGTACCAAACATACCCTAGCAGTTGATATGTGGTCGGTTGGATGCATTATAGCGGAATTATTTGATCATAATGTATTTTTAAAAGGTAAATCAGAAAAAGATCAGTTAGATCTGATGTGTCAAATGCTTGGAACTCCGAATGAGGCTATTTGGGAAGATATTCGTGACATGCCTCTATATGGAAAGATTATCTTAAGGCAGCAACCATATAATAATTTAAAGCACAAATTCTCTTGGTTGTCAGCTGCTGGCCTAAACTTGCTTAATAGTTTGTTAACGTATGATCCAGGTCGACGAATAACAGCTGATGAAACTTTAAAGCTTTCGTACTTTCGGGAGTCTCCATTACCTATAGAACCAGAGATGATGCCAACTTTCCCTCAACGTCGCAACCGATCATCGAAAGAGTAGTCTAATAAAATAAAACTAAATGCATGTTGCTTACTATCAAGCACGAATTTTACAAAGATAAATATCGTTTATGAATACCTACAGTATAATGCAGGCATTGATAGTAAAGCTATAATTGACGTACGATACTAAGTTTGAATTTATTAATTACAGATTACTTTCTATACTGTACAATACTCAGCGTATGAGCTTGTAAATGTTTATATGATTCAGTGGTTAACAAGGAAAGATTTATGATACTTTTGATATGTTACTATTAATGTACTGATGCGAATTGTGAATCATTCTGTACGTGTACGTAGAGTATACTTCATAATAGTATTCAATATTCTGGACTCGATTAGGATTGTTTAAACCAGTCGTGATACAATCGTCCATATAGTCTTAAGAAGATCGTTGTTCTAAATATTTTGAAAGAGAAATACAGTAACCATAATTTGATATTGTACACGTCCAGTTAATCATAAATCTCTTTAAGTTATTAATTTGCTAATCTTCATATTGTAATTTTCATTAATATGAGAAATAAGCGCACTTAAATACTCTCTCATATGGCGTGTTTCATGTATACAAACTTAAAAATTAGTTCCAGATAGTCGCACATTAAGCAGCGTAAGGTCACTAAGTTTAACTGACTATTTTATCTACCAAGTATAAAAAATAATATAATATTGTTAGCTATTCTGAGACTAGGGTCTTGAACACATAAAGCTGATTGTAATGTTTTGAAATTGTGTAACTGATGGAAATTCGATACATTCAGACACAAACTTTTATATTAAAAACATGCTGTTACAACTGATAGACTATATGAATTAGTTTAGACTTATCATAACTGGCATATTATAGAATCTCTTTAATAATTAAAATTAATTAATTGACCAACTCTCCAATATAGGATATAGCATTTTAGAAAACCACTTGTTTTCCCTCGTACGCGTATGTATGCGATTGTTGTAGATGTAAATGTGCTCGAACTCAACCAGTTTGATGCCGCATCTGTTGTAATTATTACGGTCGCGTCATAACTTAGTATTGGACCAACAGATTCCATTCATGGGCAATGCTTTCTTTCACAATGTGTCAAATTTCACTGCTCAGATCGGTTCGAGTTGGCGTAACTGTTATGATAGCGTAAATACGAAATACGAAATATTACGCTGTTTGACGATAGGATAGGTAAATACGTGTGTATAGTACTGTACTCCTATGCAATATGATTTATGTTACACACCCACTAATAAATGAAATGATCACAGAATGAAACTTAAACTTTGGAAGATTTAAAGGTTGATAGCGTGTAAAGGAGATTATTTGATATACGGTAGTACCAAGTACTGTACTTGTAAAGTATAAAGAGTAGTTGTACAAATTTTGTTTAGGAGATATATTATAGGCGGTAATAAATTATAATTAATATAATTAATAGGCGTACTACTTTTTTTATTAGTAAATATTTAAAAAATTACAAGGACGAGCCAAACAGAATTGTTCTCCTTTAAATATATGTGCATATTAATGTACTCTTAATTGTCAAGATTTCCAAATTTAATTAACCAAAGTTCAGATGTTACTCTGTAAAGAATCTAGAGGACGATCATTCTGCGGCTTTACAAACAAAGAGTTGAAATATTGTGAGATACCCAATCGTTCTGATTGTAATAGTCCCTATTTACATATGCGTATGAATGCACGTGTATACAAATATATTAGTTATGATACCTTGTTTCACGTGCGTAATTGGCTGGCAAAGTCAGTAAAATTAGTAAGCGAGGTTATAAATGTGTATGATAATATGGAATTACTGTAATTTCAGCAAACTAATTATCCTTTCATAGTAGGCAATTCGATATACTATACACGACTGTGAATTCATATAATCCATTACAATAGATTAAAAAATTTGGCTTCACTTAAAAAAAATTGAGTGCTTCGAAGCTAAGAATATACACTTCAACAACCGTTCAGTGAATCTATTACAATCTGCCTAGGCTGATACACTGTCTCTTTAATAACAAATCAAATATCATTAGATCTCATGACTCTTAAGACTCATTACACTGATTGCAGTGTAGTAGCCAAAGGTAAAATAAAATTATAATTAAGCCAACTAAAATTATGAGTAGGAGGAGGGATGTGTTAAAAAACTAAAATTGTATACTCCTAATTCCACTATATAAAATTTACATATATTCTGAAGCCATCGCAAATAATGATTAACATATAAGTATTTACTTAATGATGCATCGTGATACTAGTCCAATCCTTATGTGTGATGCTTAAAATCTTTGCAACGTACAATATTCGTATGTTACTGATTGCAATATCCTTAATTCTCCATGTAGCTTCAATAAGTCCGTACTAAAAACTTCGTATATATCATATCAGATTTTAACTTTATCAAGGAATTAAGTTTTCGAAGAACTATATCACCTTTATCAATGTCCTCGTATGTACCTATGATTAATGAGAAATCTATTGCCCTTGCAAAGGATGATAGCTCAAGTCATATCAACCCAATATTCATAGCAAAACAACAACAGAATAATCGCTAATAGATTGGAGAAACTATAGGTGTATACTGACACAACTAGGGTGAATCATTTATTTTCTTTTAAAAACTAGCTCTAGTATGACTAGAGCAAACAGGTAATCAAGCTGACAAACTCCACCGCATACCAAAATCTATTTATTAAGAGGCTACCGGCATAAATTGTAGGCAACATTTCTGTAGCAACTCCAGATATCTTGTAATATTGTAGCTACTGTCAATGACGAAGGTACGATAATAAAATACATGTTTTCTATATACCCTTTCAATTGTAACATACATCAACAGCCAATTTAATTAAAGTGTAAAAGCCAATATGTGTTATATTCGAGGTCACTGTCACTAGATACAACCTGTAGCATCTGCAAGAGGTAAGTTAATGCAGTCTATTTCTGATATCTTTGTCTCAAACATTGTACTTCAAGAATCGATTTTATACGTGAATATGGACTTTGCTCCTTACATTCATCAGTGTTAGTTATCACATTAAGATAAAAGGCGGTATGCATATTTAACCTTCTTTAAAAATACAATGTAAAGGTACATACGCACGAGTCAATATTTATTGTGCGATTCCGTTGCAGAATAATGGATGAGTTCATGTCTCATCAGATTGCGTCTGTTCGGGTTCAGTAAGGCATTTTCTGAATATAACATTCCAAAAGCTCCAAAACAATTTTTATCTCACCAGACAATTTTTGGAGTAAGCGCTAAAAATTGACAAGTTTACGACTAAACTCTATTAAACGCGTAGCATTCCTTTTCAGATTAGAACTAAAGTAAAGGTGGATAAAATTATTTGCTGCAATAATGTTTGCTGACAACATTTATCGTCGAATTATATAATTACTGCAATTAAAATTAATTAATTATCAAGTATATAAAAGTTATCTCGCTAATGCTGATTTTTTCGCCTGATGTTTCAGTTTTTGCAGCTATCTTTCTAAAATGGAAAACGAACTCGCACGCAAATGGAAATTGGATCATAGTGAAAACTTTGAAGAATACATGGTGAAATTGGGCAAGTGAATATAAGTATTTAAAAAGCAGATCTTTCAAATGATCTTAAACTAGTTTAAATCTCGCTCTTTACGATTCTATGGACTGTAACAAAATGCCACGTTCAAAAATTATTGCTGATGATTCTTAATTACAACGATATAAACATCATTTTGTTGATACTACAACGAGATTAAATTGAGAAATGATAATAATGCTTGAACCAAACTGCTGCATAAGTCTTTATCAGTGCTGTAACAGCAAACATTGTAACAGATTACTCATTGAATCACCTTTAAGCATTTCGTTCAGACTGTTCTTAGTCTACAGATCAGAAGTTTCAGCAATATAGCCGCAACATTGTTATTTATGCAATACTCGTATATTTTTCTGTAGTGCAGAAGTTTAGCGTCTTAATGTTATTAATAGTTAAAAGATCGACATTCCAGAATTACTGGTAAAATTACTCATAAAAAGATCCAGTCTGTTCAATAAAATTACGGTGTCGTTGTAAAAAATAATATTTCAACTAACTGCAAGTATGAACTGCGAGTTAATGTTAAACAAGATATCACTATGCGTATGTCGTCATGCACGATACTTTGTACGTTTATAATTTAGTATAAGTAAGTTTTCAGAATTTTTATTCAAAATTGTTTATTGTTTGTATGTGATATGCTTCTAGGCGTTAACTTCGTCAAACGCAAGCTTGCTAAAGCAACCACGAATGTAGTGCAAACCATTACTATCGATGGCGACAACATTAGAATTGTTATGACCTCTCCAGTAACTACAAAAGATACTACATTCATCGTTGGTCAACCAGTCGAGGAGACGACTTTGCATGGAGAAAAAGTGAAGGTACTGTATTTAATTATGCTCTTAATCTTTAACATCTGTTATACCTGCTGTTAAAGTACCCCAATGACTAAAGTTTTATTAAATTTATTAGGATAATTTCCGAGTTTTGGCTGTATTAGCTATAGCGTTTTGTTGCTATATATTAGTATTTCAATAAGATGTGCTGTAGACAACGCTGATCTTATTAAAATTGTAGATAAATAATTCTTTCTTTAATTTTTAATTTAAGCCTTACGATACAGTCAGAAATTATGTATTAAATTTTAATCTCATTTAAAAAAATTTCATCATAGTCTACATCTCAACTGCAGATATTTATTCGAATCTTTTATTAACAGTAAAATTTTTCACTAAAAATATTTACGTAGACTACCATAAGATGGGAAGGTGATAAGTTAGTAGCAGAATCAACTGAATGCAAACAACCACTAACCAATACGAGACATGTAGAAAATGGCATGATGGTCAATGTAAGTCTTAAATAAACTCTACAACTATGTTACTTGATTAGATTATGAATTTTAGAACGAAGGAAAGTTCTATACAGTACTATAAAAGCGGTTAATGAAATGCTTCAACTATTATCTGGTTTTCGTAGACTCTAACTGTTGCTGATGTGACGTGCCGAAGATTCTATAAGAGCTCATAAGAATTCATTATATACGGATATATTGGTTTTAGTAGTATTATCAATAGGAAAAATTTTTAATCAAAATCATATTTTACATTCGAAGGGCAGTAACTAGCCTTTTTGAAATTGCTGTAAGTTGTAAATTGACCAATATCCGGTAACAGTAGAAGATTTCGCATAATGTAATGTTCACTAGTAAAAATGTAACATGTTTAGGATCAAATTCGAGGAATCTGCTTTGCTCATCATTTATAACTTTTCTAATAGTATGCTCATTTTTCAAATGTTTCGCCATACAAAGGTTAACAATCCTATTCGCATTGAGTGCAGCTATTACGAATTATTTCTTGAAAGCTGAATCGCGTAGTTAAGTTGAGTGGTATCTGCAGCTATAAAGAAGTTTCAAGATTTTTACAAGTATGATAATAAAGCCAGCTGCTATATGATACTGTTACAGTCGCATTTATCTGACAATAAAAGATGATTGGTAAAAAGTGAGCTTTTCCTTGTTAAATAAAAATATTTAGTGAATAGTATATTATGTGATGATGCAACATACTATAAGTATCATCACTAGTCTATGGTGCCAAAGTGCCATGCCGTACATGATATCAAGATGACATCTTTAAAATTAATATATCATGTATCACATATACTGTAATATGCACTTCAGTTTCGCCTTCCGTAATGGCCTTCAGGAAATCGTCGTGAAAATATAATTATAGCCTGCTATACTAATGATTTTGGGAATACCATACAAATGTGTACGAGAATGGCATCTGACAGGCTTTTAATGTTAAAACCGTGAGTATGTGAAAATTGATTTAATCTTATTTCGAACATCGAGGTATCGAAATAACTAGAAGATATCTACCAGTATTTAGTTATAATCCCAATTAAATAAAAAGGAATCTACAATATTTGGATACAGCTTCTAAAATTTAACTTTGACATTGACTAACGACTACCTTGCAACAAGCCTTTGATTGATTGATGAAATCATCTGTGTTTACGTTACAGTAACCGATAAATTTACACTATTAAAATAGGCATCAATGATAAAAATTATACTTTCCCTGTTCGCACTGATATTATATATAGAGAGAGACAGTATATGTCTAACCCATTTTTTATAAAGTGGAAAAAGATAAAAAAATAATGTAAACATTGTTAACAAATCATTTTATTGGCATATGTTCATAATTAGTCTATGGAATACAAAAATGTGGGATGCATTAATGTATAGATTACTAAATATTAACCAAGTACAGGAATACCCTTTTTAAATCGAATAAAAATATAAAACAGTTTTTAATCAAAACGTCAGATTTCCCCGAAAGATTTATTTCTAACTTTATCAGCTATGAAATCACACACGCAATGTCCGCTTGTTGGGACCTGGAAATTAGATCATACGGAGAACTATGATTGTTATTTGAAACAGTTAGGTATACGCAGGAAACAATAAAATACCGAAGTGTCATTTGCATTTCGCTATATTAATTAATATTGCATATCTTTTCCAGATAATTATATCACTTCATGTAGCAGTAAAGTTCATTTCTACTCCTCTAATATTTTAGGGGTAAACTCAGTTAAGCGACACTTGGCTATGGTGACAACTAACATCCAAGAAGAAATCCGCCAAATTGATTTGCAAACATTTGTATGTAAAATTTGGTCACCCGTTCTTACAAAACAGACCACTTATAAACTTGATCAAGAACTATCTGAGAATACTTTGGTTGGCGAAAGAGTCAAGGTAAAATACGAAGGTTTAGTAAAAACCGATCACTTGCCGGTAATTTGGATTTCTTTCAAAGCAGTAATTTTAACTTTGCCTATACTATAATCCGGCTAAGTTTTAAACTTCACATATTAAGAATGAGTTATGGCAAAAGATTGTCTGTAAAAGTAAAACAATTCAATAAAAATTTAAAACAGAAATCAAATTACACGCGAACATTTGAGATAGAGTACTTTTCCATTATATTGGTATATTTTCAAACGATACTGTAGTACATTAAAAATCCTATACTTATTATTAATAAACTTACCACTACTGGAATTCAACTATCAGAAACGATATTTTTGATAAGAATTTACTATAACAATTCTTCTTTCCTTTCAGTATACCTCTCATAAATACCATGTTACATATTTAGTTACCAACTTTAAATCATTAATGCTTAGTTTTGTAAGTATGTGTATTAGTGGATCACGAATACTATGTTTTGAATGTAGCCTTTGACATTTTTTGCATATGTAGAGTATTATGAGTTGGGAAGAAGAGAAACTCTTTATTCGATGTACAGAATCGCGACAGCCGCAGCATGATGTCAGATACCTCGATGACGGATATATGATACATGTAAGAAGTTACTTACAGAGATGCGATTAAATTTAGTTCTATGATTCTTTATCACCTGATATCGGTTATTAAGTAATAACCTTAATCCTTTGAACAATAGGAATATGTCGTTAATAACGTTCCCACAAAGCATTTCTACTTAAGGGTTAAATAGGAGACCCGTAGCAAATTTTCTACTGGTAAATCTTTTACTCGTACTACAAAATTAGGCTGGCTTTAAACCTGGCAAATTCTTAGCTTATACATCTACACTGAAGAACCGAACTAATTTGATAATGCTACTAAATTCTTTTATCGTATTCAATTATAGATACTACATACTATTAGGCAGCATTATAATTCGATACAGATAAATCAGTTTAATGACTGATTAAAAGCCAGATAACGTATTGTATCTGCCACCCTAAACAGACGTCACGCACCACGGTCCGACTAAATATACTGGATCCCCTTAACGATTAGACTACTTACAAGTTGAAATGTAACCAACTGCTACCAGGAAATGTTGATGGATATTAATAATGTTTACATGCTATAATTGATATCCTTTTAAGTATCAGTTCATACTTAACAAGTGATTATAATATTTCCTCGGCATCCGATTTACAGTATTTTAAAGTTATGCCTAAGACGAATTATGACATCTACTATTCTGTTTGTTCATGGGACGAAGATTAATTTATTACAGATAAGAATAATCAGTAAATGAATTGCTGCATGCCAAAGCATATACATTAATTCTATTCGATCGAGCGATAATGAAAGCATTTCATTTGATCACCGTTTACATTGCTGCCTTAAAGGCTCCTATAGTATAGCGATCGGTAATGGATAGAAAATTATCAGTTTTACACTACTGTAAAAGCCGGCTATCGTATGTAACAAGTTAAAAATAGCTTAAAATTCATTCTAGAATTATGTGTACTAAATACCTACATATTTGAACAGTAAACAGCAGAAAATTGAACTGAGTACGCGTATTTATATACGCTAGAGTACATTAGTTATTGACTAAATAATTAAGCATTGGAGATTATAATTTTAACTTTCATTCCGTTAATATAGAACTATAATTTCAAAAATTTAAAGAGACTTCAATTACATTTTTTATATTAAGGCAATTATTTTAAATTTACGTTATCGTATGAGAATATAATCGCGTGATGTTACATTATGTACAAGGTGGGTGAAAAGTAAAATTATTAGATTACTAACATTTTATCCCCGTTTAAAATTAGCGGGAAACTATTTTTTTCTAACTTATGGTCGCTAAATCTATTCACAATAGATTGTAGAATTACGTAGAGTACAATTTAACTGCTGCGTACAACTAAGTAAACGGGAATTGCTATACATATGTATATTTGTTGACTGTCGACCAATGCGTATGTTTAGCTATAGATATCTATACTTATATCTAGCTGCTCTTTAGCTAGAATTCGCCAGCTCTCTAATAGCTGCTAATGCTATATTACTGTTTATATCGTTGACAATAAACGCTAAAAATGAATTCACAAAGTTTAGTTTCATATGCACAACCATTTACTTCCTTGACACCTTTAATGGCTTATTATCTAGTTAGATATCATAGTCATTCCATTTAACGCCATCACTTGTAATTAGAAGTCATCACATATACTGAAATCGTGGCACAGTATCTCTGTCACGAAGTGACAGGACGTTAAGCTAGTGCTTCTAAAAAATAACTGTGTTTTGCAATTGGTTTACTAGCTTAGTGAAATTATAAGTGCTGTATCGCTCTTCATATTATGTGATGATATGAAATTTTTAAAGTTTGATTTTAGAGGATTGTAGTCGCGCACCCATACGTGATTATACGGATAGCTATATTTGATATAATTAGGTTGCCTTGAATAGATATTACCGTGAAGCTAATATTAGGTGATTACTGACTACTATATTAGAAATTGTTGTTGACTAATAGCAGCCAGTCGACTAATTATGGTACAAGATTTACGTAGCTAGAAACACTGTAGTTGCTAAGATGCCCTTCGGAGAAAGGGCCTAGACGTTAATAGAAGAGTAGTGACATCTTAAGTAGAATGATTTAGATCGTAGAAAATAATGATGTGCTGTTAGAGAAAAGTATTTTGTTTGATGACTCATGTCTGATTGTAGATTAATCAAGTTGTCATAAATGGATTTGACGAAATATTTATAAGAACTGCAGAGATGAGCTCACCGAGGAGAAGCGACTTCACTTCGCTTTGAGCTCGGAATACTTTAGATTTTAGACTAGATTCTTCTAGTGATTAATTATTTCTCTACTATTCCTAAAACCTTGTAATAAAAGCCTTTTTAGAAAATAGTATTTGACAAAGATAGTTACTGTGAGACGCATTTATTTTAAGGATCTATTAATCTTAAGTGAGGCTATTGTGCATGAACAATTAGCGTTCTTACAGTTATATGAATAAACTTTATCGAATAATTAACTTTTAATTAAAGATTTCTACTTTGTATGAAAGGTTAAGATTTCCTTAATTAGATCACTAGATTTATTGCTGCTTATGTAAATCTAAAGATATTTTATATCTTTAAATTTAGTTAGATATAAAAAAGCATCATGTACGCTATAATTTAAAATAGCTTTTATCTCTATTACATTAGAAAGATATTACGATTACTATGTTCATTCTATGATACCTGACCATAAATGAGACATCTTATAAGTGATTTAGACTAAGAATGCTTACAGGATTTCGAGTATAAAAATAAACTAGTGAATTTCTACTTTTAAAGAGTAGAACTAAGGAAGAGTTAATATTCATAGCTTATATCTAATAGATTTATAAATATAGAACTAAATGTATTGTGCTTTAAACATTTTAACTCTAACGCCGCATGCGGCATATTACTGAAGTCAAACGTTAGGCACATAATCAAAATAGTCAGAAATGGCAGAGTGTAAACTCCACTTATAATCTAAGTACGGCATTTTATCCGGCACAGTGTACCATCACTGTAAAAACAAAAATAAATGATTTTGTCTAATTTACTACTTTGACAGCGCAATTGCACAAAGATAACTTTCGAGTTATTGCAAGAATGAAATATCAAAATTTTTTCTGTAGGATAGTGAAATAATTGCCAATTCTTAGTAACAAGACTTTAAGGATGATAATTGTTAGATTCGTTCTACGATGTCATCACTCCTAAAATTAGTAAGCTGTGCTTTGTAAATCTAGATATTCCAGAGGAATGCGCCTGCCAAATGAAATTAGTAAGTCTGTAATTAATTGATATAATATTACCTATCGCTGCTGATTAGTAATTGGCATTGTGTATATAAAATTAAGTATTGATACCATAAACAAATATACTGTACAATAGCCAAAGCGGATCTAGTAGAACGTTAAAGCTACGTTTATAGGTAATATAGGTTCGATTTATTTCCGTGTTGAATAATTGACTTGTTTGCTAAATCACTTTCAAATTCCTTTAAAGTTGAATTATAGCTAGTAACAATCTTCAGTAACTGGGAGGTTATACGATATGAGCATATGTTACAATATTTATATTTTGTCAATTGAATTACACAAATCTTCTCAAGTGAGATATTAATGAAAATGTTATGTACACAACAGCCACATGTATTACACTCGTAATCTCAGATACAACACCATTACTACGTCAGTCTTTAAACTTCCTTTTGATTGCGTACTATTAATATATTGGTTCCGGTAATTGTTTTCCTGATATTCCTTTTACTGGTTTAAAATAAAGTGAACGCATTGTAGCAATATGATATTGTACATATAACACATATTACAAATATGAATTATTTTACTGGAATTATTATATGCTAATTATTTGCCAATTACGGAGTAGCTACCCGAAAAAAATTTGTGGCCTGAATTTCCTCAGAACTTTTCAAGGATTTTTTAAGTTTCTATAGGTTCCATACAGTACGGTATGAGCCTTACCGTTGAAGTTAAAGCAATAACCAAAAAGTTGCTACGTAATCTTATTTCGATTGCAGTTCATAAAGCATTTCGAAAATTAATAAGATTTCATTATTCAATGACGAAATCTATGGTTAAATTACCTTTAGAATTCAAAGTGATACCTCTGATCCAGGAGGTTATTTATACGGTAATTCCAATACTACGGGTAATTCCTTCTAGGCAAACATGACCTTAATGATGATTGTGCTAAAGTATGCGCGTCTGCCTACAGATACCGTTATTAAGTAAACGGATATACGTATCTCTTGTTTAGCTTAATAGTGCTTAAAATATCAGTATGTACGTATACAAAGTACTGTTAATGTACTGCATAAAGTAAAGACAAAAATGTAGAATAAAGCAAAGGCGCATATTAAACGCCATATGCGATATGCAAGATAGTATATAAACGAAACATATGTGACTGGATCGTGCATTCTCCTTGGAAGAGCTAGGGTGTTCGTCTCGAATGTGAAAAAATGGCGACCTTCAGTAGCGATAATCCCATATGCGGCAAGTGGAAACTTGACCATAGTGAAAATTTTGAAGAATACTTGAAAGCTGCAGGTTTGTCTATATGCTATATCCAGTAACCCTGCATGATGGAAAATCATTACCTTAATGAGTCAAAAGAGATTCAATTTTTTCTCACTAAAAGGACAATATATTATCATAAATTTTACCTTTAGGACTAAGACCATGCTTTTATTGATATCGAAAGAATCAGGAAGTGTAGTCAAAATAAAAAATTTTTCATTCGCTTTTATAATACTACTGCTGTTATAAAACCCTGCAATTATTAGAATTCATTGTCAACTTCGAATCTATGCTAAAAAGACGATTCGATCTTCCAGTAACCCTTGAAGAAGCTGTAAATTTTTCTTTGAACGTATCAGAATTAACATTTGCTCTCTTTTAGTTAAATCGATGCTACCTTCATGCCCACTTTTCTTCCCACTAACATAGCCGTAAACATACTTTCTTAGACTTTAATTTCAGATAGAAAATTAAGTTAACGTCTAACTGTTTAAGGACCGTTAAATATGCAAGTATATTGCGATATTTCTATAGCTTTAATTACAAAAAAAGGAAAAAATTACTTAGGAGTAAAAGAATGAAAATTCAATAATTCTATTATCGGAGTATATCTATCATAGCCTGTAATTTTTAAATTTCTCGTTTTTATGAAAAATTTTTAGTATGCTTTCGTTAAGCTTTTTCTGTAAGATTCATCAGCCTGCTTCTCAGATTTCGATGGTATTACGATCTTACGTCATATACTTTACGACGCGCTTAAACAAAGACACAAAGCTAAATTATGAATCTGTAGGCTAAATTTAATTGATAACTATAATAGGTATATTTTCTATAAGAAAGTAGACTGTAACGTGAGCATCGATATCAATCAGTCAAATCCTATGTAGTAACGTTAAGATTACGATACAATTTTAGAATAGCTGTAGCTAAAGAACCAATTTAATGTCTATAGGTGTTGGCGCTATTAAGAGGCAACTAGCCAAACGGACCTCCCACATTGAGCAAACCATTAAATGCCTAGATGGTAATAAGGTCGCTATTAAAATTTGGTCACGTGTACTTACCAAGGAAGATACTTATGTAATTGATGAAGCGATTGATGAAGAAACCTTGGAAGGCGAGAAAGTGAAGGTAAAAGTTTTTAGTACATTATAATAACGGATGATTTCGGATCTTTATATTGTAATACTTGATATGATATAATTAATGCTAATGTTATTGGTAAAGTATCTACATTTCTATTTTAATGAGTGTATGACATACCTATAAAGATTTAATTAATTAATAGCAATTACTATTTAGAGATTTTTTTATATTTATCCATTATATCTCTACTATAAATGTATGCTAAGCCCAATATTCGAACAAATTTCGATCGTGGGAGGCTGTTCTATCTTCATACGTAATGCCAATCGGAAATATATATCGCATTTCAACAAGTTAAATTATATAATTACTGGAGATTAAAACAATTTCTAGTTTCTCAATAATACCATTTGTTACGGTTTTCAAATGCACTACGGCATTTTTACAACAGTATCTGAATCATTCGAGTTACTATTCATGATCATTAGAAAGTACTCGGTGTATAATACCATTAAAATTATTAAGTGTAACGAGATGCTCCTAGACCATACTTTTAACAGTGCAGCATTCATCTCCTTCTTTAATACGTGATATACTCTAAATTTTAAGCATTAGGAATATTATATTATTTCTGATTAAAGTTTGTTTGCGGAACTTTTTTGTTAATTAGCTTGTATTAAGACAAACCACTCCAATGCATAATTTATTTCTGTTAATAACGCATAGATTATTTAGTAGCATAAGTATGTACAAATACACATTTACTAATGTGCTATTCCAGTACTAGACTATGCGAGTGTTACTACATTGTAAGACAATTTGAGAGTTCTTCGAAGTATCGTAACTGCATAATTCGATATCGGTCTATTCTATTACTCTGCAATTTAAACTGACTTAAAATGATAATAACTGTACACGATGTTATGTCATTAATACCAAATACGATATCCTTTGTGAATGCTTAAGTATATGCATATCTGTTCATACAAGAATAATAAAATATACCACATTCATCTCTATTTGTAAGATTAGATGGAATTGATGCACCTTAAAATTTCTAAAGTGGTACTAGCTGACTTTAGAAATCATGTATTATAATATTTGAAAGTTAACATAAATTGGTCCATAAAGGGCTTCCTATAAGCATTTGTAAACTGTATTTCGAAGGCGTCTTCAATGATCGCTAAAGTCTTTATTAAGTTCCGAAAGAATAAGAGTAATTTTCTAATTTGCTAGGGTACTATGACATTTGATGGAACCAAATTGACCAACACTATGGCGGGAACTAAAAAGAGCCCAGCTTATACTATCAGATACATAGAGGGAGACAACCTCGTACATGTGAGTAGCTCTGTGATAAGCATTCCATATTCAATGACACTAGCTTAAAGTTTAGAAAGCTATTCCAGGCGTTTTAAAATAATTTGTGACATTTAACCTATTCATATTCGAAGAAAATATCGAAAATGTTTCATTTATTTATTCTGTTATACTTAATTCATTAGGAATTTCATTATTCCGGTACAACCTGCAAACGTTTTTACAACAGAATGGAATAAAGTATTTTATACAGCTTTAACAATATCTTGATTCCACGAATTACATAATTGTAGTTTTAAAAAATTAGGAAAGTAGTAAGTAGGTAGGACTACTAATATTTATTGAGGATAGAACCTTGATGAGTGAAGTTCTTAGTAAAGTTTATGTCATTTCGAGGTTTCTATCCTCTTTAGCCTTGATATTGTTATTTATTTAACTGTTGCTGTTAGTGTGTGCTACTGATGTTGTGATTATTGTTGTGGTCTGGATAGTAGAGGATTTACTATCATTAAAGTCTAACCTTAAACTTTCTTATTTCGATCTTCTGCTTTATCTATTATGGACTTCACTAGTATTTTTATTCATTGTCGTTGCAATGCTATTCATTCTTAATCCCAGCTTCGAATAGCCTTTTCTATTGGTATTGCGAGTGTTTTAATTAATTTTGGTATGGTATATCTTATATTAGCTTCGAGTGATTGAACAGCAACTTTGTTAGGAGTAGAATAATACTAAATCGGTTTAAAAGACGAATAAACTATATTATCACCAAATTTCTTATACTGTTTTTAGCAATTCATAATTCGTAATTAGTTTGAACATTTAATAGATGATCATTATTTTAAATACTAATCGATACTATACCCAATTATTGAAAATATCATTTACTAAAATATGCGTCAATTAATATCTCAAAACTTTTAAAGTTTGAGAATAAGACCGTACTATAAGTAGACTGGTAGATTGATTATCGGCATGAAAGGAACCATGAGTAGTATGAATTGTTATAGACATAAAATGTGATAACGTCGTCCTTAATTGCATAGGTGACAAATATGAAGCACATATCCTAGAGAAATCCTATCAAATTATAGATTTATTATCAATAAACTGTAATAGATTTTTCATCTAAATCATTCTTCTTCTTAAAGATTCAATATGCGTGCTGCGCATATGATTATCTTCATTATGAACTGGTTCAATATAAATACGCGTATCAAGTATAATTTATACAGTGCGTTTGCGCTTTCGTTTCTTAATTGACAGCTATTGAAGGCGCACTTCATCACTAATATCACGTTAAAGGCATCATCCAATCTAAGAAAAGTCTTGCTGTTACATTACTGAGCTAGGGACATACGCATGCTATAACCTAGGACTTCAAGAAAGTCATGAATGTCAATTATACATTTGATAATAAAATACGGAGAAATCTATGTACTGAAATTTCTGTATTACCCATTGGTATATAGTACAACATTTTAGTTCATGTAAATTGCCCAATGTTAAATTTAAAGAAGTGAGTGAATAGCAAAGCTGGTACGTAAATCCTTAAATTACTTTTAAGTAACTGTAATGATGCTTATTTTTGTAGTATCCAGTACAATGGAGATGTTTTAGCACCATCAGATGCTAATTTAATAAAATTAGTATTTTTAAAACGTAAATGTTGCATTCACGCGTTTAATTGCTAAATGAACTCATTAAATTATCGCTAATCTTTTGATTACGCACAATCACAGTTGCATGTAACTGTATTATATGTACCTATTACTTTCTAATAAGCTCAAAGTAGTCCGGTATAAATATAAAAGAACGAAAAACTTAAATTTTATAATAAATGGATTATAATCTTAGGTATTCATACATTATTCTGGATTCCTATCGTTGAACCGTTTATTTCAATTAAATCCCTAAGGTCTGACGTATGGAATAAATTCAAACTTGCAGTAGTCTTTGCTAAAAGGGACTGCTCAGTTAGTGTTTTATCAATATTTTGCTAAGAACTGAGATTAGCGGTACCGATAGATTAATTGCGGGATGTTTCTTTAACGAAGAGTATTTTTGATAGCGAACATATGTACTACATTTTCTATACATTAAAGATTCAGTTTCAGAAGAGATAACACCCTAAATTGTGATAGCAGCAAAACTTGAGTATAAATACTAATAATGTAGTACATACCAACGATAGAGTAATAGTGAATTGCAACAGTAAGTATATCTTTCTGAAAGAGTTAATCGATAGCAGTGATTGGTGCATCGTGCTATAGTTTAAACTTACTGTGTGTATAAAAATAGATATTCGCATGCTATAGCTCGAGGATAAATAAGGCGAGTTGTAAGAATTGCACAAATCCGTAAGATAACCTTTTATGGGATATATACTGGTAAGATCAGCTCGAATGCCACTACCCCTCCGTTCTGGATGGTAGGACTTATAAACTCTATAAACGCCATAGCAAGCTTATACGAATTAAAGCAGTCACAGCGGAATCAATAACGAATATACGACCCTTAATATTGGTTAACTAACTCGTTCAGCCGTGAAAAGTATTAAAAACTTTGATTGCAAATGTAAATTGGATAATCTAGGAGTTTTCGCATCCAATACTATTACGTTTAATATTTTAATAAGAGGATAAAATAATACTACGAGAAAATATTTTATTCCTAACTTCACCCAGGCGTAGAACAAAGCATATGTGTACTATAAATTTCCTAGCATGTTCTAAAGAAGAATATTTTCAACATGGTAAATTGATGATAGAGCGCCCCGGGGTAGCTTTCAATATATGTTAATGTAAAGCAATTGATTGGCTATTGATGTTTTATCTCTGCCCTTCAGTCGATGACGGTTATAAGTATTGTGAATTGCATATTCAGTACAGTACGTTTGTATCCAAGCTCTACAGAGTTAAGTTATAATTTATTAAATATATCGATTAATATTATACGGCTATATAGATTTTAAATCATTTACTTATATTACCTCGAGGTTCAGTTAGTGATTAGCGTAGAGTGAATTATTTTACAGCCTGACAAAATGAATTATCCTCATATTAATTATTGATTAACTTAGCAATAAACATATTGCATTTTTGTGATACGGGAATAGTAAAATCAATAAAAACAATTAATCCCTAATATCTTGGGTGGTTCCTACCAGAAATTCTGTCGATAATATTCTACATATGATTAATATGCGTAGATGGTTCCTCTATGATTTGTTCGGTTCTTATTATTTTTAATTAAATTATTAAAATCTAGTTTGCATTTATGTATAGTCTACTATTATTAAAATTGCATCGCTCATATGCGTTGAAGATATATTACGCAATAAAACTTACAGAATTGGCTATAGCCAATGCTATTGAACGCACCAGCATTTCTTTCAGTAACTGTTACCAGAAACTACATTTCATCTGATATAGGACGGGCCTTTACTAAGAATTACTCAGCGGGCCACCGTAAATATCATTATAAGAATTATATAGCAGTCTTAGAATTGCTAAATACAGTAATTGTTATCTATTGATTGATTTAAGCAATTAAGAAAGCCCTGACAGATAAAACGTAGCAAGTATTTATAAACGTACTTAATTTCATAATTTCGTATCATAAAAAGAACTGACTTAAAAATTTCCTTGTCATATGCTAGATTGCAGTAGTAACGTGGACATAGCTTCGTTCCTATTCTGGTTTGACCTGCACGTGTTCAAAGCAAAGTTTTTATAACATCAGTATGGCAGAATTTAACTCTGAAAATCCTTTAGTTGGCAAATGGCGCCTTGATCGAACTGAAAATTTCGATGATTATTTGAAGGCCACAGGTAAATACGGAGATATAGCGTTCAAACTTTTGTAACTACTAATCTCAACAAAAGTCAAGTTGAGAGGGAATTGATGACCCAATCTTGTAGACTCACATACGGCGAGAATTTTTACTAGATTTTCATACGGTTTTAATCGGGCCTGTGGCATTACAGATAAAATCTACCTGGAGGATTTCTCCTTTACTTCCATTTTAGAAAAACTAATATTTCAAACGATTTGATTTCTTCATATATCACCGCAATGTTACGAATTTTACAAATTGCACTACATGTAGAAGCTACTTCACGTACCTCAACTGATTAGACAATTAATACAAAATACCCAAATCGATAGTTAAAGTTTGTTGTATGGCATTTACATGCGATTCTTTCTTATGATGACAATTGTTAGCATGAAATCGTGGATGACAGATAACCCTATGACTGCTATGTTGAAAACATAACTTGAAAAACTTCATTATTTCTCAATATTATTTTATGACATTGATCAACTTTACTACAATACTTGAGATTTAAGCTTTTAACAGCATGACCGTTTAGCTGCACGATGCGAGTGCACTGAATAGTAAAGAGGGACAAGCCGATACAATAAATGTTGCTGCTATTCAAAATTGACCATTTAGAAATTTCAATATCATTAAATTGTACATTACAATATAATATGATATAGCTGCTACTTGTATGCATACGAAAATTGACGTAATATGCGGTAATTTGTAAGTATATTGCCGTAATAAAGCATCAACACGTGTTTGGATCTGCTGATCTTCCATTAATATTACAATAAAAAAACTACTTATCAATTTCTATTTCAAATGCATTTGTTCGATTTGAATTCTTAAAAATTACAAACTAATTTATAAAGCTAAAATAATTTATTTTATCCGGCAAATAATCTATGCACTTCCTGATTGAAAACTTTTTAGGTATAAATATAATTAAGCGCCAATTAGCCAAGAAAACCAGTCACGTTGAACAGACCATACAATGTCAGGAATCTAATAAGGTCTATATCAAAATTTGGTCTCGAGTTCTGACTAAGACAGATACATATATTTTGGGAGAAGAAATTGATGAAGAGCTTTTAGAAGGAGAGAAAGTCAAGGTTAGAGCTAATATCTGAAATGTACGCAACTACTTAAAATCGCAATGCACAAAGTTACGTGGCGTGAATTGTTTTACTGTTAAGATGAGCAGATGGCTCTTTGATGACGTATGCTCATTAGTTGCTACACTACGCTAGATATGGAAGTGAAGATATTACGACAGCATTATGAAGTTAATTGTATCGAATGTTCCTACTTCGATACTTAATGCAATTTTTCCTATCATTAACGGAAGAATAATAACTTTTAACGGAGCGTGCAACATTTAAGTTGTGCTGCTGGTATTATCTTCTAGAATGCCATTTCCCAAACATTGTTTATAATGTAATCATATCACAGGCTCCTATTTATTAGCAGATTATATTAAACTTTACATTAATGATACCTACGAATATAATGGTACACATCTATTTCATAGATTGTTAGGGAAAATCAGTTTTCTCATTAAGCATAAAATCAAATAAAATCTTTATGTTATGATAATTTTAATGTACTGGACGATAGGGAACCATGACATACGAAGATGGCAAGCTGTTGGACAGCATTAAAGGGTCTAAGAAACCATGTTTTAATAGCAGAGTTATGGAAGGCTCTCAAATGGTTCATGTAAGATGTTATTATATTGATTTTTTCAATCGTATTTCATGATTATAATATTTAAATTTGCCATGAAATTAAATTTCAGTTCTTAGCTGATACCGAACGTTCTAGGCATTTAGTAATATTTAATAAGCTTTTTATCTTGCGTAGGAATTTACATACGATGGCGTTTCCTGTAAGCGTTTCTATAACAAAACAGAATAAGAACATAATCGTGAAAGTACCATAGAGAACGTTCCGTATTTCATTCATCGACTAGCTTCAATCGGTTTATGACAATCATGAACATAAATTTTAATTAATTGCACTTGCTCATATTAGATTACAGATTTTGGACACGTTGGTAGCTCTTAATATATTATTAGTCGTATTCTGAATTAATTCCTATAGAGACCGGGAGCAAACATCGTTGATAAATTTTTACGCATAAAGATTGGATACTTCTATAATGTTTGATTAAATACAATAAAGCATCATTATTAATTGATATAAACACTCCGTCAATTCGATCGTTTATTAGTTGGCTACTTTATTGTAAACGTCAAATTAAAGAATTTAATAGCAGTAATAGTAATAAGCCGCTAACGAGCAATACAATATAACTTGCATGTTAGAAGACTTATTTTATTTCCTATACTGAAGTTTTTAGAATGATCTTTTATGGTTCATATATGGTTACAATTTTTTGATTGTAAAAATGTCTAAATCATCAAAAAATAGCTCTATCTGAAAAAACGATAATTTACTTCTAAAATTTAAAATCTAGTAATACTATAATGATATCTGTTCTATAGGTTGATAGCCATACGAGTGAATTATAATTGGTACTCTATAAATACTGTGTACTTGGAAAATTAAATGCATGAAAAGTACCGTACATAATGTATAGCTCGCAAGATATTGATAAATTGAGAACATTTTATAGGACAGGTTTGTAAACACTGCTTATTTACTAATATTTATTGAGATTATTCTATAATAGTTTCATTCAATATTAATAAATTTATTCGCGATACACTCGGGTACCGTACTTGAATAAAATATTCTCGGTATATTCCTATAGCTGATTTAATTAATTCTTTACTGACCAAACATTAGTAGCTTTATTCTTGCAAAAGTAGCAAAAATTCTGATCTTTATAAATTTATTATAAACCCTTTGCTGTTATCATAATTTAAATTTTGATCAGCACACATTAATTATTTATGTATTACTCTAATAAATGTAAACATCTTCAATGCTATAATTGCTGAGAAATAATAGTGTATTCATTTCTGTTTTCAAATAGCGATCAAAGATTTAAATATAATTGTCTTGTTATTATTGTTCGACCTTTTTACTTAAGGTAAATAATAATGATGTTTTATCACAAATAAATAAGTCACTTGAAGAAAATTGAATTATTGTAGCTTTAGATTATAATAATATTTATCACTCAATCATGGATATCCTACTAATCCAAAAATTGTTAGTAACAACAAATTAAGCATAGAAGGGTTTCTTATGTTTATCCTTAGATTTTATACTAACAGTGTGCTACGACAAATTAATTATCTATCGATTATCATGAATATTTAGCGAGCTATACCGAACCTTCAAACTTATTAATCCATTTGAATTTAATCAATTTATCTATATCGGTAATATATTGATACTAAAGATAAAGCGAAAATTTCATGTGATTATAATAGTAATATTGATTAATTCAGTTTGCAAATCGTATTTAGTTTCAATTTAATGCGGTTTAATCTTCCTGATCTTCTTTTTCTTCATTTGCATCATGTTCTGATGCTGGAGCATCAGCACTTCCGGGCTTCGGCGGAATAACTTTTTCAAATGGAGGAGCTTCGCCCACTTTCTTGTAATATCGTTTGCAAACAATATCACAGATTGTTAATGTCTATAACAGTGAAATACATAACCATCATCTCGTTAAAATTTTTACCATCATCATAATTAAGACCTTCAATTTTTTAGGTTACTAGTATGTTGATAATATCGAATAAAGTAGTCTTAACGTTAATTAGATCCTTATTATCTTAGTTTCTGTAAAATTGAAGTATGCTGTATGAATCAAGGTAAGATCTATAACTCCGGAATTTGAGATGGATAAATACATCTGTGATTGAAATTATGTTCACTGTTACATAGAGCTGAGTTTTATACCTCAATAACATATTTCTATATTTTCCTACCGGTGACAAAGTGACAAGTGTCTGATATGTTGCTATATCGAAGTCAATGATAGTACATAGGCTACTGCTTTACGCTAAGCATGCCATACAGGAACGTATAACCTACACTTTACAATCGGTAGCTGCTTATACAAATTTGCTAACACGGTTGTCCGTATTAAAAGTTTATCAAGCGGTAGGACGTTTACTTCGATAGATATCTAGATACTGTCGTAGTTTTTATTACTGAAGCTTACACAATAAAGTTATTTGACAGTACTTCATGAAAAATACCTGTTTGCAATAACAGTCTATCTATAATGAGCTACACTATTGTTATTTAGGCTAAGTTATAAGTACGCAGCGCTTCATTCTCACTATTATAGTTCATTATTAACTATATTTACTTATCATTGAAATAAAAGTTTAAAATCTTTAATGCACTGAGAGGATAAAATATCGACCCTTCATTGGGCATTATAAATGTTATCTAAGACTATCAGTACTATATTTAGTATTGCCTATAATACAGATATCGGTCACCGATATCAATATACAGAACAATTTCAACGTAAAGTATAGTGCATAATTATAATATATCCTGGGACTATAAAGAGAATTGAAATATGTAACTCTTATTTTCGGATAATTTAATCACTAGATTTCGACTACTTACATGGACCATTTCCGAACCTTCTACTACCCTCTCAGTTTTTAGAATACCATGCTTGCTACCATTAGACGTGGACGTTAAAGTTTGTTCGTCATCGCCTTCAAAGGTATAAGTTGTCTTGAAATAGATGTAACGAAATGTATTAAATATTTCCATCCGAGCTAATAGACGGTAACGTTATAAGTTAGAATAAGCCATCTAAGTTGGGTTATATAGTATATTAACAGTGAATATGTCTAAACTTGACGGCATGGTAAGTTCAAAAATGTAACATCTAGTCAAGACTTTACCAAATAGAAGGTTAATATATTATTACAAAGATACAGATTTTAATATGCGATAAATAGAAACGTTTTTTATATTCTAGATACTTCTTTATCTCATTAGTAATCATACTTACTAACGTAACCATTTCATTATTGGTAATAAAAAGTGTAAATATGGAAGTTACATCGATATAAGTATATTGCTATAAGCTTAGGGTAGATTCTTTTATCAGTTTAAAAATTAATTAAATAACGTCCATTTTTGTAGCAAGAAACCAATAGAATTTTACAACATTGTACTGACAAAATAATTTAGCATAGAATTTTTTCTAACTCTGTGATTTAGTTAGACTAGTGTTAAATACTAGTCGACTCTCGCTCGTAATACTTCATGTACTATACTTTTACTTTTTACTTTAAAATTTATCACAGTCACTTCACACTAAGTTAGGATCAATACAGTATAATTTGGTCGGCTTTCAGTTAGTGCTGCCAAGCCATTAGACTCAATACACGAAACCGGTGCGAATAGCCTTTTTCAAATACATGCTAGCATTATCAATTTACCTTCACTACTTCACCCTTAACGGTTTTCTCTGTAAGCTCTTCACCAAGTTCAAATTCAGCTAGATTGACGAATAAACCATTTGTTGTTCTGATTGCCATTTTGTTACCTAACTTAACAATAATCTGAGTTGGCTTATATTTTTTTCTCCATGCTCTCCCTACTTTTCCAATACCTAAATAAGAATGGTAAGAATTTTAGTGTTAGCTTGCTAATCTTATGCAAAGATATTTCTTCCTTTATTTTGAAACTTTTACTGAAGATGAATTCTAAGAACTAATTCAAAGTGAAGGGATGAAATTTTGTCAATGTTATTCAGAATTGCATGGTATATTACTTTAATTTCAGTTAGGAAATTTATTTAATTAATATTCCTAGTATTATACTCATAAATTAATTTTTACTGGGTCATCTTTGAAAATCTATTAACATTTTAAAGAGAATCTGGAACTATCTATCAGGAAATCAGAGTTTTCTAAAACAGCGATTAAATTGTATCGATAATTAATTAAACATGGCTAATATAGTAAATTAAAGACCATCCATTAACATCATTTTACCTATTTGGGTCATGTAGTTCTCAAAGTTTTCATCGCTTCGTACTAGCTTCCACTTTCCGATGACGTTCTTTTCTGCCATACCTACAAATCAGTTCATGTTTTTCGATAACAGGTTCAGGTATGTATTAAAAAAGCAGCTTACAGAGAAAATATTAATAAATTCTTTACTTACTAGTTTTTATTATCTTTTAATTAAAAGATGAAAAAAATCGCTATAAGAGAAATGCTTAATTAATTAAAGGAATTTCTTCTAGTATCGTTATGTACTGTAAGCCAATTTGATGTAAAGAGATTTTTATACTGCTAAGCAAATTTGGGCAGTTGTCACGCTGATTGCCAACATATGGTGATGAAAAAACTGTGCAATTAATGAATACTGATAGTTCACCAATAAAAAGTCATTTCCACTTGGTGGTATGTGCAAATAAAATAAAATCTCCTACTGAAATCATGCGAATTGGAGAAGAATTAGTAAGGTCAAATAATGTCATAATGAGCTTTTGCACTCTTCCTTATGAGATAGCCGGCCCATATGTTCCAATAGTAGTAGAAATTATTATGCGGTTACATCACGGACTACTTTCGAACTATTTCATTGCTATAATACAGTATAGGATCGTTAATTAATTCTATTACTAAGGAAGAAATGTTAGTTATGACGTAAAAAGAAACATATTGCCAATGGCCATGATTTTTTATCACATGGCATTCCAGTCACTACAATAAACAATCTAACTGATAACTGAGAGTTTAGTGATAAAGTTAATCTTTCGTTCACGTTTTAAAGGTTACTGTTATTTGTTGGTTCAAATATTCCCATCTAAACAATAAGTGATATATATGAAGGAGTATTACCGGTACGCATTGTGCTATATTAATAAAATGGTCGCATGATAGTTGCTTGAGACCAGTATTTATGAGACAGTGCAGTAAAAAAGAAAAAAGTAAACCGGTTATAAATTAATTTCTTACTGGTATTTACAGCTAAAAATTGATGAGCGATCTTCAGCTCATCAGTAAAGTAATAAGAATTAAAGAATACCTAATCGATATTTTCATTATTAGTGATGTTATGCGAACATATTTACAGTGTTATAAATTTTTTTAGAATCTTCTGCATTTTTGATCCTATATGGTAATCCATGAGAACTAAGCTCTAAAATATTTTTAGATATGATTAAGTCTGTACATTACTATCGATTCGGTATATGACTTTTAGAGCAAAATTATTATATACCATTACATAAAACCTTTCCGGTAGAAAAATAATCGCTTAATTAATTTTTTATAATTTAATCCATTATTTTGTTCTACCATTGGGAAACTTTGAATAACGTATAGCCAACTTAGTACAGTCTTAGGATACTGTATACGAGGGAACATTCTCTAAACGTTTCATCAACCTTTAAGTGAAATTCATCATAGTGCAGTAAGTAATTTAATGGTGGCTGTACTAAAGTGAATTGTGATTGCTAATGTGCTTTATTGGTATAACATTATATTGTTATAATGTACAATAATATCACCGCGATATTTTATGGAATTGCATTATGAATAAACTATTTAAACCGTTCCATTCTACAATAATTCTGATCTTATCAGTTTAGTTATGCCATATAATTGGACAACAAAACTACTCAATTTGCTTTACTTAGTTGCTTCTCTCTCAAACAAATCTACAATAACAATAATGGCATGAAAAAATGAGGTGCCTATGAAACTACATATATTTGACAAGAAACAGCAAATATGTTATAGGTATCCACTTTTATAAGCGGATTTCGACGACATCTGAATTAAGCAAATTCAAGAAATATTTTGATCATAACCCTAACAAAATTGTTCTCAGGAAAAACAGCGTAGATGTAGACTGGTTGTCCTATCGTAAATACTTATAGATATTGCGTTAAAGACGCCGTTCACGATTATGAATAGTGGAAACTTCTTAATTTTATCCCTGAACTCAACCCCGACTCCAAAGCCTTGATCTAAGTAAAATCCTTAGTTACCAAATCTATGTTCGAATCTCTTAGCCTACATTTTTAAAACTTGAACATTAGGCAGATAACAGTTGAGATTATATAAACATCATTTAAATTATAGTCTTAAAAATCATTCATGGTGATCCACCATAATATATCGTAAATTCACACATTTTGCATGAATTTTAGGCTTATATTAAAATATAATTGACATAGGATCTATGAAATAAGGACTTGATTTAATATCAAGTCTTATAATGATAATTATAATACAACATTTAAATATAAGTTCGAAAACAGTACCAATTTGAAGTCATATTCGCACGTTTTGCCTCCTTAAATTATTTAGAATTTATTAGTTTGATGAATATCACTTATAAATCGGAGCATAAAACTATCACATTCGATAATAGCAAAAATATCTATTATTTCTTAACGTGAAAGTTGCATTATAAGCAACACCTGGATATTAATTGCTACTTTCGGTGTTAGTGTCTGCATCTTTAGTATGATATAACACACCATAACTTCCAACTACTGTCTCCCAACTTTCATAACCAGCGTGCTCTAAATCAGCGCGAAGATTTGCCAAAACGGTGGCAGAAGTATCTATAAATTTAAAATCAAACCACACTCGTTCAGTACATCAAAACCATTGCATTATCTTTAAAATCGATTCCGTTACACTTTATAGAATAGCATGTCAGTATAACTATCACATACGCGTACTATGAGAAAATGTCCCTACCATTTCGAAGTAGCGTTAAAACACAGCCTCCACCACCAGCTCCAGTTAGTTTAGAATGAAAACCATATTTTGCCGTTATACGGCAGACATTTTCAATCGCTGTGTGATTTACTCCAATAACGTTTAACAATTGCTGATTTATATCGATAAGCATCTAGATAGAAATGGAAACAAAATAAAAAAAATTATGAGACGGAGTCCGTAATTGCATACTTTTTATCCAAGCTTATTTATGTTCTTCTTACCTCAAGGTGACCGTACGATTTTTCTAAAGGACAATCTTGACTACCTGCACATAAATACGATCACAATGTGATATACTGCAATTGGGTACGACTTAAGAACGTTAATTTCTACTACATCAAAGCGTACCGTCTTGTGCTAAAAGATTTAAACAGGTTTGACTTTCATTGGATATCGCTCCAATAGCATCCATGATCGGTTCAAAAACTGATGGCAACTACACCGAGATCAAAAGTTGCAAATTAAGGTATTTTAGTTCTTGTAATCATATCAATTAAGAATAGATGATAAAAAATCTTGATAGAAACACTAACTTTAATATAAACATAACTGCTTATAAGATTATATTAAATATGTTTTAAGTCCTTACTGAGTTAAATTTTTCCCTGACATTAGCTACCAATTTTTTTGTGCTTCGAGGAACCTTAGTATGTACTAGTAAAATTCGCAATTGTGGAATTCTATAAAAGGTGCATAAAATCGACATCAATTCAGATGAAAAGATCATAATTCTGTAAATAGCAAAAGTGACAAAGAATCGATCATTCCTTACTGATCTAATGTCTTGATTGATCCGCTGATGAAACTTATAGCACCACCTAAATTAAGATTAACTGGTGTAAGTTACTGTGTATCCGATATATAGCCGATATAAGGGATACAGATTGTGTAGCCCTACCGAAAGTGCTGACAGAATTATCGATGCCAGATGGTGTACCATGTATTAACCGCTCAGCTTCGAAAGCCCATTTATTTATTAGAGTCATACTATCAATATCCCAGTGATAATTGCGGGAACTATCGAAATTTGTAAACATGCGACTATTATTCTCTTCAATGGGTTCAATTAAACTAGAGGCCGTCAATAAACCAGCAGATAAGCAAACTGAGTATGCAGCTGAAGATCCCAATCCAGCTCCACTAGGTAGCGTAGATGTTAGGTGTAGATGGATGCCAGGTATATGTCTGCCAAACAGAGTACTAATTTACTTTCATTTGTCAATTTAGCAAGTTTGAATAATTCCATCAGGAAATTTAGTGTTACGAATTTGACTTTACAAAATAAATTCTTTGTAGTTAATTCCTGATTATTAGCTAAAATTTATTGCACACTGATATACCTCGATTTATACGCACTTCGCAGAAATAAAATTATCAAAAATGTTAATATATATACTGCACTCTGTCTACTAATTACCCATCTGACGTTCTAATAATAGCCGCATATAAGAATAAAAATGTAAGAATTGCAAGAGACTTGTTGTCTGTGGTATCTGCTTGAGTTCCAGCTAAGCTAACAAGGGCTGCCAATTGCTTAAAAGTTGGTGGTGATGGATTTAATGGATTTCCTGCAAAATTTACAAATCATGCATTAATAATAGGATAATATTACAAATTAAAAATTTTTAAATTATCATAGTGAATGAAAAACTGTTTGATCATTAGTATGAGGTAAAACAAAAGAATAATCTGATAACAACGTCTTAAATAAAAATTTCACTTCAAGGTAATTTTTACATTTATAAACGGTACATGCGGCACGCAATCCACAATTCATTGAGTTATTCATCAAATTTATATATAAAAAGAGTTCTGAAGGATAGTTACAAGAGAGCGTAATGAACTAATAGATAGCGCGAATAGTTGCTATTACACGAGTAAAAAATTCACCTAGTGGCAAATGTAGGGCCGCAGCGATAGTGTCACAGCTCCATTTACGCTTGATACTGATATCGGGTAGTTCTATGATAATCGAGTTTTCGTCAGTGGCGGGGGTAAAATGTGCAATTGTACGGAGACCCAAGCTAGCGGCAATGGCATTCTGAAAAAATAGAGAATAGCAATCATTGTATTAACACAATATGTTCACTATTCAAGTTAATAATAATCAAAATATTTGATGCTATATTATAGGAACTGATTAGGTATTACGAGATAAAAAGTTAACTATCAATCAATCAATCAATTCTGTGATTATTCGAGCTGAGTTGATACTACGATTCCTTTTAGCCTATCAACACAGACAAGTCTAATGTGAAGATATTAATATTATTATGAATATAAATTATAGGTAAAAATATTTCGGTAAAGCTTCAAAGACACTATTTATGCATGTAGCATCGAACAGATGCAATATGACATCTTGTGATACTGAAATACTGTCCACTGTATACACGTAGCTGCTGATCATACTGCTAAACTTTATATTAATACACTTAAAACAAAACTGGAGCTTCGTCGTACATATCCTACTGTAGAATCTGATAAATAGTAACAAATCGGCAATTATAATTATTTAGTCATACAGAGTTTATCTTGAAATGGTCATAGTTATCACATCATCAATCTTTAGAAACATTCCTTATATATCAGATTATGACTAATGAAGAATATATCATAAATCAATCCAGAATTTAAGAGTGAATATCGACTTCGCACTTGCGATACACTAACTTTGCCATATACGACGGCATGTTCTCCATTTAAGATAACTTTACCAGGAGCAGAAACTATACAGGATCTCAGCATTTTAAAGCAAATCAAGAATTGTGAAAATTTCTAAAACCTATAGGTGTAAAACTGTTAATGACCGAGCAAGCTTCTTAAGGGTTTCAAGACATCTGAATTTAAATCAATGTGCTGTACTGTATATGTAAAGATTAAAGCTATACTAAGAAGATCGACAATACAGTAAACTCCTCGCACACGAAATTAGACCTTTGTTTTCTTCCTGATGTGCATATGATACAAATCATAGTACAAACTTACCGTGCATTTATTAGAAGCACAATTCAGTACAGTACTGTACAGTACTGTTCAGTAAAATCTAGGGTATACTGTACAGTACTGTACAGTGTACAGTACACTACAGTACTCTACCGTAGAATTGATATTGATATTACGATGAATAGACCTAGTCACAGGGCATGCGTGAGAGACTGCGTAGTTGAAATGTAAGCTCATACGCAGAATCAATGGTAATCGGTTTGCAGCTGGATGCGAATAGTGAACAGTAAATTGTACAGTGTACCGCTGCAGACATGAGACACAGTTGAAATGACTAGTAAAATAATCAGCCTCCATATATTATCGGACTAAATATTAGTATAGCGAACGACCGTTTCCTTTCCGTCTCTTCCTCTTTACACTGTACTGTACAGTGTACCGTACAGTACTGTACAGTACTATGGCCCGTAATACAGTACTGTACAGTATTACGATCGTGTCCACACTTCTGTCTACTGTACACAGTACAGTACAGTGTACTGTACAGTACTGTAGCTTACAACGCCACCATGGTAACCTTCGTGAATCGTCAAGTGACCCCCGTATAAAAGAGAGACGATACTGTACACAGTGTGTACAATTACTGTCGTCACAGACTCAAATCCCGTTAGCTAACGTAGTAAAGCAGTCGTTTCACAAGAGCCTAACTGACCGTTATTGAATAAACTGTACTTTACTGTACTGTATGGATTGATTTCGGTACAGTAACCGTAATTGACTTTCAGTCGTTGTTTTAATCCGTACGTCACAGTACGTGTAAATGCGTACAAGCATTTAACAAGTTAATTAATTAAATTAAATTAAACTTAGGATTGAGTAATTCACTCCTACTAGAAATCGTTGATTATAATTATAACTATCTGAAGTACTAATATTGGTGATATGGCATTACCGACACTACGCCCATACTATCTTTCTGCTCGCAGTTCATCGAGCAGCAGATCGATCACTGAGAAGTTAATGGTACAAAAAAGAAATCATAGCGAACAATTTCGAGACCAATGGTCAGAAAACTCGCGATATTTTCAAAAATCTGATCTTGATAGTAGCAAACAAAGTCAATGGTTTTCACACTACAACGAATCTGCTAATTCTCCAACTCCTCGAAATATGTAATTATATTAAATTAAGAATTAAATCACTTGAAATGCTTAAAAATATAGTAACATTAAATACATTTGAGTACAGATTTACTAACTCATCCAATATATTTTTGTTAGTAATATTATATCATTTGTGCAATATACTTGTAGTAATACGATATAAGTCTAATGTCGTCAAAATTGAATTTGAAATTATGTGTCAGCCATCATTTTAGAGTAAAAAGTTTGATTGCATGTACTGCTTTACATAAATTTTTGACAATCTCGCATAGTTCGTATCATTTTACCAAATCTAAATGGTAAGTAACAAATGAATAGATCAGTTAGTAAACAAATAGTACTCCCAAAAGCTATTGCATTGATTATTACTTATGTATAAAAACTACATTATATAGCTGCTATTCACAAATCATTTAACTAGGCTTTCAACTATGAGTTTACACGTTAAAATAAGTGAATCATTCGCTGCAATACAAATATTGCTAAAATGTGTTGGTACCTGGGTATTTGTGTATGTACTTCGACAACTTTATTTTAATGTTTCGTACTATCCGAGTTTAGGGTTCTATACAGTATTAGCATGCCTGTTCTAAATGTGTTAAATTAAAATATTTCTACCAATTACCGTATTGCTGTTTTACTGATTGTAATATTCGTAATTATTATAATGTGTTTACGTTATAAGCAATTGTATATACGCGTATGTTATAAAGATAATATTCTACATCTTAGAAGTGATAGATCTGAAAGTAACCCTCAGTTAGAACAACGAAAAATGAAACTTGCTCGATTGTTAAGGAAAGATCAAGAACAATACGAGGTAACTTATCCGTCATAATTTTAATTATACATTGACTTCTTGTATTAGCATAATGAAGAAAGCGAGATCATTTATTCTATTTGTGAAAAAGTTAATCGCATTTCTTATTTGGAGTTATTAATAACAGTGTCATCACTATACTGTATGCGATATTATTGGTTTTCTACAATTCTTATTGATAGAATGCAAACTGCAGAAGATGATTATATATATAGCTTATTCGGTTAACTCTTATCACTTAGTTGTTGGATCATCACCACCGATATTACACTTTATATACAGCGTACATTGGCATATCCTAATAATTCTATATATGTAATAGAAAAATTTTTATACTTTTTATTTTGTACCGTTCAGCTAATGGTGTGCTACATGTACAAACATCAAGATATTTTATAGCTTCTTACATGTTATGTACTTATGTATCTCCATGTACTGTATAATATAATATATTCATAGATAACTAAATTAAAGAAATATTAACATTAAGTAATTCATCCATTATATTTAGAAAGAATTGAAGGCTTTACGAGAAAATGGTGCCAAAGATCGAATATTGCGTATGAAGCAAAAGTGCGTAATTTCAAATTTCTCTTAAACCATAGCATCACGGTCAAAAGATAAAAACAAAATATACAGAAATGACGGAACATAATGTATAATTCTAACTCTTGAATAGGAGCGAAAATCTTAAATCAGCAAGAGAAAGTGCTCGCAAGCAGGTGTGAGCTTATAGTAAAATTAATTTATTATACAAGATAACATTATGGCTTTGATGCCAATACTAGCTAAAGGTCATCAGCTTATTCTTAAGCACAATAAAATTTAATATAGTTAGCTGATGAGAAATTGTTTGAGCACTGGAGGCAGAATTGCCCTGAACTTAGAGTTGCGGCACAAGAACAACATAAGAAGCACGTTATTAAAGGTTGGAGTCAGCAAGTTGAAGATAAGAAAGCGGTAATTGCAGCAAATTGCATGCATTAATTAATTAATGACTTTTTATAACTTCCATTGCTCTTAAAATAACTACTTCATATTTTTCAATATTGCTTTTGACTTAAAAAGATAAAAGAAAAAATGAAATCCCAAAACAGACAGTATGTTACCATATTTTGAAATAATTTTGTCATCTAATTTACAGGAACCAGAAAAACATCGATATCGTGTTATATCCAATAATTACATTCTGTGTTTCCGTTAGGTTTGAAGAGGAATATGAGCGTGATCGCCAGCGTGGATTACAGGAGGAAAATGAAATTGCCAATAAAAGAAGACTGTAGGTTCCATTATATCGAAGATTGTTATGTTAAACTAAAATAATATATTTCTTAATTGTATAAAAAAAATTAGAGAAGAAGTTAGAGCTGCGGAAGCACTTGATATGCAAATTAGAGAATTAAGAACCAAAGAAGAAGAGGTATATAGTTGTTACCCTCGTACAATACAGGAAATGTGCTGTTTTCTGTTACGATTTCGTTTTTTAGAGCAAAAGAATAAAGCAAGAACAAGATCAACTTATGCAGGAACAATGGAACCTGCAAAAAATGGTTAGCTCCTACGGTTGCTTTATAATTTGCTTTTACGTTTTACTTAACCTAGTATTTATGGCTTCAATAACGTAGGAGGAAGAGCGAAAGGAAATTCAGAAAAGACGAAAAAAGACTGAACATGGGTATAAATAGATTAAAAACATTCGGCATTATAGCCAATCGAAATTTTCTGAAAGAATTCTAAATTATAACATAGGTTTTAAAAATCATTATTTTTTAAAGTCGCTTTCTAGCTAGACAATATCGTGCGCAAATGAAGCGACGGTGTCAGCAAATACAAGAAGACCTGGTTGGTATCAAATGCTATCTGTAATATGCGAAAGATAGCACTTTTTAAACAACTATATTTTAATTAGAAGTCATTTCTGTCCCATATATGAATAATGACTTAATCTACAAACATGAGTATCAGTGGCCTTATCATATTAATTATTTTTTATTGCATTCCTATAGGAAAAAGATATTCAGTTCCTAAATGCTCTGATTGCTAAAGTTAGAAATAGTATTTGAGATTTAAATTTCGTTTGGAGTCCTTTATATATGCCTTATCAGTTTATTTTATAACTACTAGGAAGAAGAACAGCAAATACTACAAACCGAAAGAAGGGAAAAAGCACAAGCTGATGCCGCATGGATGAAACAGGTCACAATCTTTTCTAAGAATATTTTTGATTAGAATCTTGTATTGTCCAATGTTTTAATAACTGATCGTGTGCTGTGCTTATATTCACGTAAAATACAGTATGTAAATTATGTAACAACATCATATTTAGTACTAGCTTAAATCATAATTCAGTATAATATCAAGTATAATGCTATTGATAATTGTTTTTGTTTAGGTGATGGAAGAACAAATGCGCCTTGAGAAAGCCAGAGAAGCAGAGATGGAAATGTTGTACAGGTGACTGTGACTTGATCATAAAATAGTGAAGGATAGGCTCAAATACATAATTATCACTGTTTAAGAATTAAATGATGACATGTTCTTAGAGAAGAAGCTGGGCGGATGTGGCAGAAAAGGGAAGAAGAATGGGAAAAGGAGCGACTAGCACGAGAGAGGCTAATGGCGGAGGTGAGTACTGTACAAATGCATAAGCGTACATTTTACTTTCTGTGTTTCTTTTAGACGAGCGCTATCGAATTAACAGACTAGCGTTTTATAATTTGAACTTTTTGGCATTAGGTCCTTTCTGAAAGACAGAAACAAGTGCGCGAGAAGATGGAAATAATCAAACAACAACAGGTATCATTTACTTCGAATTATTGAAAATGCTTTTCATAGATTTAAAGATATGTTGAATCTTTTCTTTATTGTATTTATTATTTCTGCAAGAAATCACATGCTAATCAACAGTATTCATATCTTATCTATGTTTATGGAAGATGTATGTTATCTCAATTTGTGTACATACTACTCTACCATTTTATAATTTAATTTAATTTGAAATCACATTAGCAAAATGCTTTTGAAGAGCGAGAGAAGCTATTGCAGCAATTAGAATTTCATAATGCCCTGACTGCTCGAGAGCAGGAGCAGCAAGACAAGCTAAAGGCAACGAGAATGTATGAGATTCAAAACCAGGTAATTATTGCTAATTCACGCCTATTAATGCTAACGCAGATGCTAAATTTTATTTTATTTTTAGTTCTTAAGAATAGTGAAAACTTCTTTGATATATTCTACTGCTTTAATTAATTAATGTAACATTTTACGATGTTTACAGATTACATCTAGAAAAGAAAAACTAAAAGTCGACAAGCAAAGCAAACTAAATGAATTAAATGATGATATGTAAGCACAATTTCCGTTAAATCAAATTGTATACCAGCATCTATACAATATTTACTCTGATTGACAGGGGTAGACATTTTATCTGAGCCACAAAATCCTTTACTATATACACATCAAATATTTTTACATCTAGATCAATAGCTTATTGTGTAGGATATCTTGTGATCTTGTTTACTTCCTAATCTAAAAATATAAAATGTACTGTTTAGTATAAGACTACTTTCACGAAAGATATATTATTAATTTACTATCGTATAAGAGTGACATAATGAACTTTTATAATCTTATTCAACAAAGTCTGTGAGCTGTATTGTAGTACATATAAATTTACTGTATCTCGGATTGTAAGAGCTAAATACGTAGTTATTACTTAAGCTTGAGGTAAGTATTACGTCTTAAGCTATTATTTGGATTTGCTATTGCAGTATGGCTGAACAAGAATATAAGGAAGTTTTAAGAGATGAGGTGGAACGAATGGCAATAGCAGACGAATCAGGGGTAACGAAATGCGTTTAATGCGTTGTGTAGATGATAATATTTCTTAAATCAAGCTTGTAAAATATCTGAGTTTGAGTTCACATTACTGTAAATGCTATGTTTTCCCGTTTATATCCCAAGCTGCTGTAAATTTAAATACTATACGCTTGATGATATAAATAATATATCTCTATATTTTTATTAGTTACAGCAGACATTTCGCCGTCGAAAAACGGCTTGGGAATAAGACAGTAATGGATGATGTTACTGTTCTAAGCTTTCACTGTACATACATTCAATTTACGACGGACACCAGCCTCTATCACTTTTGATATCATGGTTACATAAACTGAGCCCTTGTATCTCATTTATCTAATGAATAATCTATAACGAAAATATTTAAAGGCTTTAAATTACTGTGTTTTAGATAGTTTTATTAGTCAGAAGACGTTTCGAGTCATGCATAGAATGTGTTTTACGTGTAATGTCTTGAATTTAAGACTGCGATACTTTACGAATTAACCATTAATATAATAAAAGATACCAGTAATGATTGATATTGCAATTGTAATCAAGACTCATTAACCTGCTTTGAGGGCTGATAGCGCTACATGTAATACATGAACGTATACCTTGTACTGTAATATACCGAATATGACATAATAACACTTTCATGCAGCAAGCCAACGAAATCTGCTTATGTATTTTATTTTCTTAAGTGTTAATGTAACTGATATAATGTACTCGTATCACAATGCTTATCTTCGTTCTTTTGTTTCGTTTAAATAAAATTTTGCTTTTGTTTTATTATTTGTCTTGGACTTTTAGTCACTAGTTGTAATTTCAAGATAAATAGTAAAACTATCTAAATACCAATCAAATACAGTCCGTGTAGTAATTGACATTCGAATTTACACTAGGCACAATGACATTTTGATCTTTCAAATTTTGCTGGTCAGAAAAAATTTAGAAGCAAGGATTGTTATAGTTTATCCTGTGCGTTAAATTTTCCTTATGTTATAAGCAATTCATGGAGATAATTGGTGATAGTATACAGTATATGTAATCTGCGCATTAGATTTATTTTAAACTTTGGACTCCATCTAATTAGAATCAAATATGGTCAGCTGTTACTGAAGCAAAAAAGTATTGATGATCACGGATCTTAAAAAATGATTTCGTCTCGCTCTTCAGAAGATGATACAGTCATTTTTCAAGTTGCCAACTGCCTATAAAAGTTCATAAAAGAAAATCAGTCTTGGCCACTGTTAGCGGTAACGATAGCGTCTGTTTTTTTTGTATGCTCTCAGTCAACTGAAGCAAGATCGGCAGCTAAGCTTACACGTGAATATCTACCTTTATTCTGTTTTCTCACCACGTTATATAATATAATATAATACAGTACCTATACTGATCTGGCACGGAACAGAACTAGTTGCCGTCAAGCTCTGATAAGGTTGCAATATAAGCGATACGAATACTGTACAGTACAAGAAATCATATAATTAGAAACAGAGACGCTAGTAAATCCGTAACAGCCACTTGTGGACATAATGAACAAAAAATTGAGAAAAAAGAAATGCCGAAACCCGGGACTGTTCAGGATTCATGCGAATCCTCCGGATTGAACCAGGGACCTTTAGATCTTCAGTCTAACGCTCTCCCAACTGAGCTATTTCGGCTTACACATATAGAGCGATCCCTTTTGTTATAAGACATGATCTGATTATCAGATAGTGTGACAAGCGCGTGCGTGAAAAAATCAGGTCCGTACAGTACAGTACAGTACTGTTTACAAGTTGCGCTCCAAAGTACTGTATTTTGTACAGTACAGTACTACAGTATAGCCACCAAGTTGATTGCGCACAGTACGATGCACGTTTCCAGTCTTCCGATACAGTCAATGACCACTAAAATAGTCAGCCTTTGCATTTTTGGCAGTTCTGTTTCTGGTCTTCATAGATACAAATCGTGCTGTTTCCTTGATCAATGATCAGTAACACTTATTCGCTGTTAGTAAATGTTGTGGTAAATTCAATTCTATTCTAAAATAATTAATCTGACTGTGAGTATAATACGTATCATTCTACATACGTAGTTATATTACCAACGAAAAATCATTAGTTTTCCCAGTGAACTACGGCATACATACACCTGATAAACTTGATCCGGCCAGCTCTTCTTACTATCTCTGTAGTCAGATTTCGAGGTCACGGATAGTGAGTATAGTCTAATAAATGTGTATTATTAACGTACTGTACAAGTGTACATTATTGTACAATATATTGTGCCATTCAGTACGAAACAGTAAATAAATTAAAGAAATCGACAGAATCACGCGTGAATATTTGACGGTGAAAGCTCGCCCTTATTTAGTTATGGACTAAACGGTTATTGGAACACTGTACTTGCGTTATCCCAAACATTATTTTTGGACTGTTATTTAGTCTATTAGCCAGTATTCTACTGTCAGCCGTGTTTAAAATAGCCTATGATTACATTTTTTGCGTAATGCACAATTATATATGTACACTTGTACAGTAGGAGGTTCTGTAACATCTGTGAGCAATGAGAGAGAAACTGCTAAATGAAATATATCTTTAACGTTTCAGGTGCAAATGAGTGAGTGAACTAATATTCGAGAAATCTATTGGGAATGTATGATCAATCGTAAACAAAAATTTTATCCAGTAGTGATTCGTATATCACATAACGCGTAATCCCTGATCTGTATTTAGATGCCTAATTGCAGCATTACTGTACACATTACTGCACACTTTGAATTGCAGCATATTATAGCTTTGATTTGTTGACCTCGGAATATCGACTGGCAATAAAATTTCATTCTAAATATTTTAGGTTACCGAAATCGATTCGCAATAGTAGCGGATTCCCCAGTATCTCTTCGAAGCAATCTAAGCGAAAGGCATCCAGTGATGATGGAAGTCTCCTCGAAGAAGAGAGCAATCTGTACGACGTTTGTTAATAACTAACATATCAACTTTTAAATATCCTAAATACCATTGATGTGGTATTTTGAATATTTAAATGTAGATAGTTACAAATATTAGACTGCATAAGACGGAAATTTTTTTCAATTATTTTACTTACATACTATAGTAGGGCACTTAATACTTACTTATTAGCCTTGGATCTGAATCTATACGTACTCGATGACGTAGATGTTAATAAATTCAATCTGATGCGAATATACTACTGTATATTTGATTCATTACGATCCGTACAGTACAGTATTTTAGTTGCCTTACATGTTGTAATAAGTTTTAGTTATGATACTGGTAATTATAATTAATTTGATTTTTTGGTGATGAAACATACATTCCACCCCATAGAATTAGAGCAATTATTACCCCTTCTTCATTGTAATATCTTGTGTGTAGTAGTTTATAAAACATTAAACATAGAAATTTTTGAACGTGATTGCTTACTTCCATTTATATAGAACGTAACTCACTTTGTCTATTTAGGGTTAGGCCAGCAAGGAAACAATTAATATCTGAGGAAAAAATCGCAGCAAATTTAAGAAATTTGAGACTCGAAAATAATTATTCAAATGATACCGTTACTTATCAAGCGACTTTCGGTTCAGAAACTGATACAACTAGTATTGCTCCTGAATCGAATTTATTGATTGACAGCAGCAAGCGTATAAATGGAAGACATTTTGACTGGCATACAGAAACGGAAGAGATACCATATAATCAGCTTGCATCATCTATTAAACATGATAATCTAGGTGAAAAAATGGATTACTGTGGAACCCAAGACCTGGATGATGCTAACCGTTCCATGAAGATTACTAGCCGTGTACTAATTAAGGATCCTCTCGGAAATTTCGAGGATGATTCTTTTTCTGATGAAGAAATCGATCGGTTAGTAAGATTTTAATACGACTAACCATTCCAATATCATATTAGGTCAGCATGCAAGCAACATCGCTATTGCATATCCTAAAATTAAATACGTACCATAAAAAAGAGAATCTAAAGACTAGACTCTGTCATGTACACTCATTGCATCGATTCTGTAATTTAGGTGTGAAGTGTTATGTCAAGTCTTGAATGTTGATTGATGCAGCGCAATATGTATTTCGAATGGCTGATCAGAATCTACTATAATGTATACAGCAGTTAATTCATAGCTGCACCAAGTTTATGATATAAGCAACATTGACGTACGCATATACGATAAACTTAAGTTAAGCGTATATGCTTCTAGGGTTTAATTACATCAGAGTAAAATTTTTCAGTTAAACTTTAACTTTATGAGCTGTACAACTTATCGCTTCCCAATAGTGATCACTAATTTGTTTAGACTTTAGGTAAAGCTCTTGATTGAATAGCAATTAATGCCTGAAGTAATAAAGTTTTCAATAAAACAGAAATACATTCAAGATTTATAGCATGATACTACTTATCTTATTTACTAGAAATCGCAATTCTGAAATTGTTGTTAATCGAGAAGTATTAGAGCGATTTCCTACCAGCGGAGACTTACTAAAGGACTTCTTGCCGCAGATTTTAATCGAAAAATAGTGAGTAAAATGCACTTTAATTAGATAGTAACGTAATTTGCTGTTAAGGCTGGAATTTTAGATATTTATGTCATGATCTATGGTCATGGCAAGCACTTTTAAAAATCCTACAATTGTATTTATTGTATAAGGTTAGTGTATGAGCTAATGCATGAAGTTATTATTGGGCTTTTATTAAATATCCTAAAGTTTAATTTATGCTCCTTATGTTATAACAGACTTTGTGGGTAAAATAATATAGATATTACAATGTTTCATAATATTTAAACCATTTTGATCCGAAAATAGTTTATCTGTTAACTATTGAAACATTACTGAAAATTTTAAACTTTAATATTAAATGGAAATATTTATTTACTATGGGACCACGTTATGAATTTTCGTACTTATTGGTATTGGTATAAAATATATTGGACCATATACTGTACCTCTTACACTATTTTATACTTTGCATTTTGAAAGTAATAAACCATGTTTGGAATTAATACCTTATACTCCGCAATCACAATTTATCCATAATGTCCTAAAGCAAACACAAGCGGTAAAATATTATTTTAGAAATCTCATAGGAGCTTCTTTATCACCTGATAATATCTTGATCTTAGGATTTTTCGATTAACTAATTGTAGAGTACGAGCACTGCCCAAAAAATGAGTTTAGAAGATTGTAACGAATTTTATACTCCTACAATTGATGATAAAGAACCTAATTCGGAACGTGATGTGCTTGTTGGGTAAGACAGTTTAATTTTTTTGCAATATCGAACGAAATATAAAACATCTATTGCATTAATCTCAATATTCTACTGCATGATCTACTGATACTTGTCATCTAATACATTATTAAATTGATTTACGAAGGGGTGATGAAGAACTTGATGACTACGACGATCTAATTGATGCCGATTATATGGATTTTACCTGACGGACTTCTTACACCCGATATCTGTCATTAGCAAGCACTGCATATTAAGTTTCTAGTAACACAAATGCAATTATGTTTAACAGTTTTAATTATGTTTGAACGTGATTAGGAAATACTGTTTAAATTGGGCATTATAGCTAGAATTAAAAGTGGACCTTGCCGTAACTTTACTTACATGTACTGTATATGTTATTTTATATTATTACTTAATGTACCGAATTCTTTGATATGTTTTTGCAAATTGAGTTAATATGACTACCACAATTAACAATAAACTGGCATGTAGTAGTTATATATGTACTGATCCTCTTCATGAAAATGTTCAATGTATTGTGGATGAAAATTATTCATGGTTAAGTCACTCTTTTTCGAAATTTCTTCACCTTTTTTTCCATATATACGTAAAGTATTATAAATCATTTTCAAAGGTTGTGACTTTCTAGCTACAAAAAAATATGAATGAAGATCTATGCCTTCTACTATGCAGTATAAACGTGATAAAATAATACTAATCCGGTGCATGTGCATTTTATATATCACTTTTCGGTAACGCCATAGGCTAGTACAAGTTCTTAACAGTTAATTTAGTCCTTGGACTTAAAGACAACATACGAGAGATCTCTATCTGCTGTAGCTGTTACTGCAATTTTATTTCATCGGATAATTTGGAAATATTCTGGTAATACTTAAAATGTTATCTAATTAATTATACAGTATAATTATCAAGTACAAACTAAAATATGTGAATATGTGATTCATCCAATTATCTACAGTACATTATTATACACATAAGCACATATGGGAGCTAATTTAAAATATGAGATTTTTATCAGTTGAAATAGCAATAGCATTTTTTCTTTTAATATCAGCATTTTCCTACATTTTTAAGTTCATAAGATTATTTTATACTTTACAGTAGACATTTCATATGGTATAGTACAATCTACATGGTTCGAATCATCTTAAGGGTTACGAAATCAGCACAAATGTCTAATTTCACTAGATGCATAGTATATGAAAGTCTCACTGTTATGATGGGCCAGTAAGCGTTCATACAGTACGCACGCCTAAGCGTCAATGTTATACAGGTAGTGTTACATAATGACTCAGTTCCAGATTTCGGTTCGGTTCGTGAGGATAGCAAGAAACAGCGCAGTGATAACACATTTTAGACTAGCGATTACGAAATTTTTATTAACCAAGGCTAACATCAGTTTTTTTTAACTTGCTTGCGACAATACTCTTTAAAACTTGCAATATTGCATTGGGTTGTACATTAGCACGAAGAAGATCTAAAATTGTCTTGAAAACGTCTTTATTAATCCAACAACCAGATAATCTGCAAAGAGTATAAAGTTCATTATCTATAGTATGTCCAGAGATTAAATTCCCATTTGCACTTGCAGACAGTGTGGCTTTACTAACGCTGACTTCATTTACCAGGAAACTTTGATCTGACATGCTAGAATCCTTAGTCTTTCCTTTATAAATGTTTAATAAATTTTCAACTGGTTTGCAATAGCTGGTCGGATCTATGGCTTTCCGTTTAATAATAATAATAATAATAAATAATTATACTATACTGTACAGTGTACAGTATACAGTACTGTAGATTGCGCTTTACAGTACAGAGAAAGGGGTTTTGCAGTACTGTACATTACGGTAAGGATGATTACTGGACTGTGTAGTACAGTACTGTACTATGTTGTGTATTACTATCTACAGTACTGTAGTGTTAATACCAACAACGGTATTGAAAGTTCTTCCTACTCAATGTACTGTATTCATAGCATAGAGAAATTGAACACGTAGTTGAGGTTATTGTAAAACTAACTAACTACTAACTCCTACTCTCTCTTTATTGTATTGAAAAACGGCGGCTGATATGTTACGGCCAACGTCGGTAATCCCAGCGTTTACTACGACGTTACCGGTAATGACGCCCGCGTTACTACGCCATTACCGGTAATGACTGGCCACTACTGGTATTACGCGGTATTAGTACGCGCGCCGTTCACATTTATAAGACAATGTAATTGCAAGTTTGTGTAACAGTAGGTTCATTATACTATAGTAGTGTCGTAAGGAAGTGTTTGAAACAATATTTTGACGAAATGAGGCAGAAAATGTCCGTCCATCCAAGAGTGATCATTACAGTAAATTTGCTGCAACGTACTGTACGTACAGTACAGTACAGTAATTCGTAAACACTGACAGAATGGGTCGACTGTACTGGAAGAGAACGGAGTAGTCCATTCTGACTGGATATGGACTTCTTCGAAGATTGCGTATTTGAACAAAATGCAGAGACAGATAATGTGACCGATTTTGTCCATGCTACTTCGATATGGATTAATCAGCCACATGTCGTAGACAAACGGCTTAACTGTGCTATCATCGAAAAGACATTAAGTTACAATGAATGCATCGAATATATGCGGCATTTGTGTAAGGATAAAAAATTGAATCCAGATTGGCAAAGATATATCTCGACCTTGCAAGATGGTACTCATGTTAACCGTGACGTAGAATTACAGATCTTCATCAGGAAATTGATTCCAAAAAGAACTGACATTTTTTCATCTACTTCTGAAATGGTAATCCTAGGTCAGTCTTATATTCGTAATATATACACTTCTTATTATGGATGCGAATGCATGCTATGCTTAGCGTACGTATAAGTACAGTATATGTGCACTCCTATACATCGATGCAAACGGACAGTGTACTGTATTATAGGAATAAAAATCATACCAGTACCTAAAGTAAATTTAAAACAACCTCGAAAAAGGAAATGTAGTGCTACAATACTCATAGTTTTAGTAGTGATTACGTTGAATATTACCAACACGACGAATGAACATTTGTTCATGTTGGGTATAGGATCAAAATTATTATTATGGAATTTACAGTGCATGATCTGAAGCTTTCTCGAGATGTGTACGAATTAATGACTCCACATGTTATGATTTCATAGCCCTGTATTCTTGCCTAGCTTACATTATAACATTTCTCGTTATAGTGCATAAAATGCTCGTGATATTAACCCTGCTAGCAAACTGTGTTTTTGATATTTATTTTTATTATGCGTAGTAATGTTGGATTATGCAGCCTACAGTGTGCTGAGATTTTGTTCGATACTTAAATACAGGATTTCGTCTACTTTATCTAATAGGTGTAGATGGTGATAATGCTTACGCAAGCTTCATCGTGTTGCCATCTGAAAATAGCTGTGCGTCCTCTTATAATTATCAAGTCTCCTTCCGATCTGATTTAAACAAGTGTAGGTACGACTCTAGCAATACTGTAATTATAATATAATTATAGTTTATTAATGGAAAGTTACGTATCATATATATATATATACTCGTATCAACGATACTATAGCAACGTAGAAAGCGTAATACGCGTACATACGACTTGCCAAGAAAATCTTTTCAACTGCTAGAGGTTCCGTTACAAATGATCTATAACTGCAATTGGTCAATGTATAGGATACAACTTAGATTGACATCTTGTCCGAATCAACAACGTTCCCTCCACTATTTGTCTAAAAAGCCGAGGCAAACAACTGAGTGGCTGAAGAGTCATTTAATGCCTAAACTAATTGCTTGGACGGAGCAACAAAGTATTTCGCGTTTAAGCAATAAAACACAGTTTCCTGTAACTACTTCGATATCCCTGGTAGAAAAAGAAGATTATGCGACGCTCTACCAAGACCTGAAACTGAAGTATGGGAAAAAGTGGATTCAAGTATGCGCTATCGGGGCTTTTTTAGCCAGAATGATATCAAAAGCCTGTATTCCGTACAAAATTTGTTCTACAAATTATCGTTATATCACTGATTACGCAAACCATCACTTTCTGACTAAATTTAAAAACGTATAGATATGGCCGGAGAAAACGGATCCGTTTAAATTTGTGTATGAAGATGTCTCTATTGCGACATACATCTTGGTTTGTGAAACATGAAACGATATTAGGGTGTATGATAAAAATATTTTTAAGTCACTCTGATTGACCGATTTCTCCTTACATACTAGCTACTATGGAAAGCAGAAAGAGAAGAAAAAGGAACAAATGAGTTACAATCCTTTGTTGACCTAGGGTGTGGTAACGGACTATTGGTTCATATACTGCGATCGGAAGGGGTAAAGTCCTGGCAGATACGGTCGCTATACTTCAGGACGACTTAAATTAATTATAGTGAACATCTTTTTAGCATCCTGGGAAAGGAATTGATATTAGACGAAGGAAAATATGGGATTTTTATGGTAGTGATACAGTACTGGAGGTATATGACCATGCAGTTATGATTACTTATTGATGTATTTGATTAGTTTGTTATTTGGGTAAGAGAGGATATGCTACTTTCTAAGGTTAAGGCATTTGTTCCCTCAAATGAGAGTATTTTCTCAGAAACTGATTGGATAATCGGTAACCACTGTGATGAGCTTACTCCGTGGATACCAGTGATTGCTGCAAGGTACAGTAAAAACACGTATTTACTCCCACTAGAATTAAAGAACATACTCTGACGTTACTTACACTAATCATTATTATGCTTTAAAGTCGTTTGAGCATTCATTGCTATTTGTTTAACTTGTAGATCTTCCTACAATTGCCATTACTTTGTTCTTCCGTGTTGTCCATATGACTTTAATGGAAAGGTTTCAGTTAAACTACCAACGTATTAATTCTAAAGATATATAATATGGACGTGATGATAATGTATAATACATACTTCTTTTCCAAAGCAACAGACACACAATATCACTACAATACGCAGTCATTTATGTAACGCAATATCACCTTTCAGGGACTTTATTTTTAATTTTTCTTTACTATTAGTTTTCAAGGCGGCATGCTAAAGAAAGTCAATATAGAGCTTATCTTAACTACATTTACAACATAGGAAAAACGTGTGGATTTGATGTAGAAGAAGATCGACTTCGATTACCTTCGACTAAAAGAGTAAGTGTTACACTATGAATGATGAATAGTCAGTCATTGCTATCCTAAGAGATATGAGATCAAACGTTATTTTTACAACCAATACGAAGAGTGTTTGCTTCCAGCAATATGTCGTTTACGCTAGATTTGCCATATTGGTCGCAAAAGGACGTATGAATTTTCAGAAAGCGCAACTCAAAACCGAATGATTTCTGAAATGTTGTCTAAGGTTCCTTCCACCTCTTCTAATAGAGTTTCTCTAGAACGAAAGCATATTAATAGTAGCGACGATAAAATGAACGCTGATCAAGAAAAAATCGTGATCAAACCCGCTGAAAATGATGCTGAGCATCAGCAATGGTCACGAAATTTTAAACCAAGAGAACCTATAGAGCTAACTAGTAATTGCAAACAGTTAAGCAGAAGTTTTAAGGATGAATTTGCATTTGCTGTAGCTAGCAGGTTGCTGGAATTACCATCAAAACGGGTATTAAAACCGATGACCGATGATCAAGAAAACGACGATGATAGTGATCGTGTCTGGAATAAAGGCGGTAAGTTATACCTTCAATTCAATTCCAAAAGAATAGCATAATTTTATACTGATGAACTTATTTCTTTTGCATGATATTAAAGGCGAGTTAACTTTAGATGCTGTAGCCTCATTATTTGAAAAACCCACTATGCAGCAACTTAAGAAAGAATGTGGTGGTATAAAGACTTTATTGAAGTTATTTCATCAAGTTTTCATTGGTAAAGTGATGAAATCTAGCTTACCGTATTAAAATTCTATGCATTATATTAGCTATTCAACCCTAGCTAGCAGTCAGCTGAATATTATAGTATTCTGTAATATTATGTGCTCACAGTTTAACAGTAATAGGTCGTGCCCGGTAGATCGGATGACCTTGAGTTTTCTAAAAGTACTTCTCAAAGTAGTCAGCTTATTGCATGTATTGGATAAGCAGGTAAAGCTAATTTTATTCCTTCATATTATTATTTTATATTGCCTCAAGTTTCTGGTAATAAAGTAAAAATCAGAGACTGGTCATCGAGCGAAATTAGTGATCACTGTTGTTATAGTAAGTGTAAATCCGAGAAGGAAAAGCTGTATAAAACTAAACTATGTTGGTTCTATACTCATCACCCTGATGGTTGTCCCCTTAATGCCAGTACATGTTCATATGCACATGGTGAAAGCGAACTAAAGGAAAGACCAAACTTTAATTCTTCTTAATGCAAAACATACGTACGTCAAGGATAAAATATTGGGACATTTACTATAAGTTGTGGCTATTAAGATTTTTGTAATTGTCTCATCACTCACATTACTTTATAAAGCACTGTCTGCGTACTAGAGTACCGTGATACAATGGAAGTTTTCTGTAACCCATAATTATACTATTAAAATTTTGTTTTCGATGAAATGCTGTAGTGAAAATTGATTTATTTAAATCAATTCCTCATTTGAATTGCCGATTAGATTCTTTACCATACATTGGGGTATTTACTATTGTACCATAGAGGTTTATTCACCTCTGTGTTTCGTACAATAAGTTTCTCTTTCGCTATTTCTATGGTTTCGTACGATTTGTAACTTATTATCTGTCATAGAGAAAAGCTATTCTTGAGTTTTTGATATTGTAACCAACTGTAAGTTTTATAACGAAGACCTTAAACAGGCTAAAAAATCAAAACCGATCCGAAGTTTGTCTAGACATACTGTACTGTACTGCTGTAGTGTACAGTAAAGCTGATGTTAATAGAAATAGCTATTTACTAGTAATGCATACAGTACAGTAGCCTGAATTCGGCGGGTTTTTGAACTTATAGTACTGTACAGTACTGTACGTACATTACAGTACAGTGTGTACAGTATGTAATAGGTGTTCAGGAGACTCTAAGGACACCACAAAACAGCAATACTGTACTGTACTTTTTAGATAGTCGTTACGCAGATTTTCCCGAAGCAAGTTCACTTGTCAGCAAAGCGACGGGAGTTTGCACTAGTATTAATAAATCATGCGACTGCTTAATAATTGTAAAATCGTTTGCATGCAGGCCTCTAGACTGTGTCACTATCACTACCTGGATAACGCGAAAGGAACTCTAAGATCGTAC